TGCCCAATTTGCTTTTTTCTGTCTCCATCCATGGCTTGTTCCAAGTCACAGGCATAGTCACACGGCATATATAATGCTCGTCCCCATCTTCACACCCGACCTCACATCCTTTTCCTTCCTTGAGGTGTTTTATTGAGGTGAGCCGCGAACCCTATTCTCGAAAGGATGTCATGGGGTTCGGAAATCATGGCATGGACCGTGTACAGCACAGTGAGATGTTGAGCTACTAGCAAAGAATCTAACAACCTATGTCGGTATAATGACATGTCCGGTATGCGAGGGGGTGAGGGTCTTGTAGCTAACGAGGGTATTGAGCAATAAGTATGTTTCTGGGAGTAGTCGGAATACACATATCTACCAAAACTCCGTAGATGACCAGAATTTGTATATAGCAAAACCCGCCGACCGCCGTGAAAAATGCAAGATGGAAAGTAAAAGTGAAAGTGAAAACCCGCCCCACCGTCCCCCTCCCCCATCACACATTACCCATTACCCACCTCCCCACCCATAAAGCAGAAGTCACACTGTAGTAGAGTTTCGCGCTCGCTTCGCTTCGCCTGGACGTAAAAACACCCGTTCTCTCCTACATCCGCTCCCCTTCTCGCCCTGCGTGCACGCAGCCGGCTCCTGCCATTGCGGTGGGTAGACGTTTGGCATGAATACCTTGCCGTGGGGTTTTTTCTCGCGGGGTAGGTAGGTGGGTGGAGGGGGGTTCGAGACGTGGTGGGGGAGGAAGGGTTGTTGTTTTCGGGGGGTGGAGGGCGTGTGTGGTGGAAAGACGGCGGGTGGGGTTGGTGAATGAGGTGGGGAGACGGTGAATGGGGTGGGGAGACGGTGAAAGGGGTGGGAGGAGGGATATGAAGAGAAGATAGGATTGGACAGAGACTCTGCTAGAAAGTTGAGCCTGTTGATTGGCTTTAGCGTTGGAGATGTGGTATGTTGATGTGATGAGTTTAGCTCGAGTTCCAAAGGCTGTGGATCATTCTATTGCCTTGTCTTTGGACACATTTCCACAGTGCATTTAAAAACAGACGCTGGAAATGGAGACAAGCTGCAAGCTGACGATGGGAGGAAATAGAATTTGCACCTATGCCAGAATAAATCTCAAGATGATAGAATATGATGGGAGGAAGCAAATTGACGTATAGAGAGAAATGGAACAAACGTATACATTTGACCTAGTGGTAACCACGGAGTAAATTTGAGAAACCAGCCTTCATAACTATCAATGAAATCCAATGAATGTTGTTCTCCAAAATGAGGTTGTTGTGATGAGCGAGTGGTCCCAGTAAAGTGAGGGGTGACGTTGATTCCGGCGCCTTCCCGTCTCTGATCTAGACTCCAAGATCCCTGTCCAAAATTTCGAGATCCATCTTTTCGAGCTCCACGCGAATGGCGATTGCACCGCAGCGTGAGCCATGGGAAAACGAACGGTATTCGACGACGGTGCAAAGGGCGCACATGTGGAGCGCGACTCGAAGCGCCAAAGGATCGACAACAGCAGCTACGAGCGCAACTCGCCGCGCCCGACAAATGGCACAGCAGAGGAAGTCACGACTGCGCGCAGCTTGCAGAAGGCATTGCTCTTCGACCAGGGCGCGACCGCCGACTTTCGCAATGGTGAGCACGCTCTTGGCTTACCTCCAGCTTCACGACTAACCTTCACAGGCCTGAGTCTGTTCAAGCGGTTTCTCGACTCGATCCTCTACTCGGCCGAAGAGCACGATCTGCCCCGCAAGCGCGCCATCCTCGGCGAGTACCTGGACACGCAGAAGGGGAGGGGAAAGGACGAAAAAGACAAGCCGTTTCTGCAGAATTTGATCCAGGCCTGGGACTTTGCGGCAGAGACCAACTTCGAAGCCATCCTTGCCCAGGTCACGGCGGTGCTGGCGCTCTTGTTCAAGGTCCTGTCCAGCCATGGCGAGTTTGTCGAATACGGCACCCTCCTGGCCAAGGCAATCCTGCAGCCGTCCGTCGCCCGTCGCCTCGTCCGCAGCACCTCTGCTGCCTCAAACAAGGAAAACGTCATCTCACCAGCACTGCGCCTGCTCACAGAGCTTACGCGCTTCAACCAGGGTGCCTTCGCAAGAGGCGTCTACGCAAAACGAGACTTTACCCTTGAGCCCAAGATACTGGGTAGGAACATCGCGTTATGGAAGGAGCAGTCGACGCAGACAGCTGCTGAGCAGCGCAAGAAGCCAAGCGTCAGGACTACGGCCATTCGATATCTCCTAACGCATCTGAGATTTCAAGACGAGCGTGCAAAGGTTGAGATTTTGTCCAACACAAATGTCACGCGAGCTGTATTCGACCACCTCAGCACCGACCCACCTTTCCTGATCTTCGAGATATTCGATGTTTTCAAGAGCCATGTCTTCCAAGACAAGACAATTCCACGAAACACCAAGAGTCGCATCCTGAATGGAAAGACACTCTCGCGCATCGCCAGTCTGTACAACTACAATCTTCAGGAGGGGTCGCTCTTAGAAGGGCAAAAGGCGCCAGATGCGCTCGCCCACGAATTCTTGCGCATGGTCTGCACCGATCCGGCATATGGTGTTATGCTACCCACCCAGGGCTTTTATCCTTCCACATTTGACGATGAGGACGCCGAGATGGACGATGCAGGAGACTATGGCCTCGACTTGGACTTTGAATCGACACAGACCTTCGTCAGGATGGGACGAGTACGCAACATCATTCTCTCGGAATTCATTCTCAACCAACGACCCTATGCGAATACGTTACACCAGGAGTTGGTCATTGATATCTTCAAGGCCTGTCCTGAACTGATTGCAGACTACTTCACCAAGCGGAGGGACTTTAGCTACGACCCCAAACTCACGTCGACATGGATTGGGTATTCTGCGTTTCTGTTCCAGGCAATCCAAATCCCTGTGCCAAAGTACTTTGGTGCGAAGAAGAACTATCGCGACCATCCACCTCCGGTGCCAGCCTTGATGCAAAGCGTCTTACCTCAGCCTCTCAACCAACAGGTACTGTCAAAGTGTCTTAACCACAACTCTGACCTCGTGCAACTATTTGCAGTCCGCGTTCTCATTGTCGCATTCCAGAAACTACAAAGTCTTGTCCAGGAGCTCAATAATGCAAACCTCATCAGGCCATCCAAGCACTGGGAGCAAGCAAGCAAGGCCCTCGTCTCGGAATTCAGTCGACGCTGCCCGCCGATAAGAACGATATTTTTGGCTCTCAAGAAGCCTGGGCTGAAAGACATGAAGCGTGAGTCGATCACGAGGCTTTTGAGGCTTTACTACGAAGTTACGCCTCAAGTTGCCCTCCAGGAAAAGTTCGACGTCTCGTTGCCATTGTGTAATGCGCTCGGCGAAGTCGAGAAGCCCGCAGATTCACCCGAAGACAAGGCGTTCCGTGTCATGGAGCTTGAACATTGGATCCAAATGGCGAGACATTCTCCCGCTATGCGTTGGTGGCAAAAGCATAGTAAGTGATCTGGTCTGGTGTCATAATCAAATCACTGACTTCTTAGAAACTCTTCCTCATTCCCCATTCGTCACTCTTCTCAAGCTTCTAGTTACCTCAAAAGAGAACGAACTGTATGCGGGTGTCAAATCGCTGCTCATCGCTATTCTACATGATCAAGAGATGCTGCAGACGAAAACGTCACCCGATGCTCTGGATGCTCTCATCGCCAGCCTGGGAGCATCGTCCGGCCCATCAGCGCCGTCAACTGAAGTGCTTGACTTCCTCGACGACTGCTGTGCACGGTTCATTAAAGTACCCATCAAATACTTTGATGATCTGGATACCCTGTGTGCGCGCAACTCGCAGTCCGCGGCAGATCTTGGGCCTTTCAGCCCCCTCTTGTTAACACTAGTTGAACAATGGCCCTTCAAGGGTGGCGAGAAAGTCACAAGCAGCGTGGCAGAAAGTCTTGCTCAATGGCTATCGAAATTGCTCTATCTCCTCAAACTCATCGGCGAAGACGAATCCATCTTGAGCCTTGTGAGAGACTCTTTGGCCGATTCAGCAAACGTTGCATACAAAGAGGTGCTAAAGGATGCATTCTTGTGGAAGATGGGCAAGGAAAGGGCTAAAGAGAGTCTGAAACTCGCAACTGGCGCGGATTTTAGCGGCTCAGAGAGATCCAGTGCATCGCCTGTTCCGACAGAAGCGCCTGAGTTGCTGACTCGAGTTCGCCCTGACATCGATCCTGAGCTACCTCCCGCAGAGGACGAGAAGCATACTGGTCTCACACGATGGAAGAAGAAGGACTTGGATGAAGCTATCGATGATGGAGACATCGGAGACTTGATGCTGTGCTTGTGTTCAAAACATGCCGAGATCCGCTTGCAGGCTGTCAACAGCATCCGGCAGCTGATGGCGACGATAGGCGTAAGCATAGCAGTGTGGCTGCATACAACGGTATCGCTAACACTTCACAGGCAGAGGATATCAAACCTGATGTTCAGCAAATCTACGTGCTTTTCGGAGAAGTGCTTGAAACCGTTGATCCCACGGGCTCGCAAGTGCTTTCCTACGTTGGCGGCGTTCTCGCTGCCCGCGCGGTCCAGATTCTAGCCGATCCAATGCACACCATGTTCAGCAAGATCAACACGTTCCTCACAAAGTCTCCAGCGTGGGAGGTAGACCATCTGCTACGCTACTTTTGGCATAGTATCATTTCCAGCGAACCGGACGAAGATGGCAATTACCACAAGGAGGTCGACTGGTTTCTGGATTACATGATGGACTCTCTGCGGACTTCGACAGACATGGAGATATTCAGAACGAGTGGTATTTTTGAGAAGCTGCTCAGCTACTATAGTTCCAGGTCTTGCGCTGCACCCACGAAGGAGAAGATCGTAAAGCTGCTGCTAAGAGCTGCTGCTGTGGGTGGAAGCACGACGCTCATCACCAGATGTGGGTTGATTACTTGGATCCAGATGGCACTCGACAGCAATGATCCCCGCCACCGCTCTTTGAAGACCCTGGCGTCTAGGGTGTACGAGACTTGCGATCGGGAGAAGGTGGCTGCATGGAGCAGTGGCACAGTCAGCGAAGCCGTTGCTGCGTTCGCCAAGGTTGGAGCTTGAGTATGTGGAAAGAGCCTTTGATGATCTGGATGGCGATGATGTGAGGCGTTTGGGTGTAATATCGCGAGAGCATTGCAGGCGTTTGTCGTAGCTTTCTATTCGTATTGATGCAACTGCCTGGATGGAATAACATCTCAGCGTCGAATCGATCTTTTGCAATGTCACAACCGACTCAAGGTGACAAGAACAGAGTGAAATGGTGACGACTATCTCTCCAAACTCGCCGCATGTGACCTCGCCTACCGGTGTTAGTTAATCCGGGGCTCTCAGCAAGTGTACCATGGAGCACGAGGCATTACCACACTCGCAAGCAATCCAAGCACAACGACAACAACACAACATCAACAACAACAAAAGCAAACGTTACCCATTCTCCAAAATCTCAGCACTTTGCCGCAGAACGCCTCCAAAAATCACTCACCGCATTCACGACGAACGGTTGCCTGCCAGAGTCGCGACTGCTCCTCCGCTCGCCGCCTTTGCAGCAGGGGTGTGTGCTCTAACTTAACCCCGTCCACGTTGCATCCCACCTCGAGCTTCGTCCCCATCGCCTTGACCACTTCGAATCCGTACGATACCACAACACGCGATAGCTCAATCTCCCGCATACGGCCAGCTTACTTTTGCCTTGACCACTATCCAATTCCACGCACCGTCGGCGCCACATTGCTATATCACTGCAAGGGTTGTAGACGGAGATTCTCCCAATTGCCCGCAAATCGAATACACCACCGCTGGCCTGCCTCGAGGCGACCTCTGCCACCTCTGCAACCACCATCGCTAGCTCTACAACATCACACAAGATTACATTCACTAGCTGCTGCGACGAGCTCACAACTGGCCGCTTACCCCTCCTCTGCCTCCGCCTCCGCGCGACTGCACAGGCTTGGCCGCAAAGATGACAGGCCCTAGCTACTCAGTAGAGCAGCTGAAGGCTCTACAAACATCGCCGCTTGTCAAGAAGCCCGATGGCCTGCCGTCAATCCTGCAATGGATGGACGTGCCCACAGACCAGACCAACATGACGCACGCCGCCAACAACAACAATGGCACTGCTCGGCGAACCCGACCTCTACGAGATGGCGAAGGCGGCGCGGCCAACGAGCCTCGCACGGATCGTCCCATCATCAACCCAATGGGGCAGTTCGGCAGACGTCAGAGCATGCGTAAGTCAGAAGCTCAGGGCGTCGTCGCCGCTATTAACGCGCTTTTTGCAGAACCGGGCGACGACACAGTGCTTGGTCCGCCGAAGCTGTCCTTCACCTCCGCATCTCGAGGGGCCAAGGCGGTGGGCGAAGCAAAGGAGCGCACGGGAGTCACCTCGGTAGACGGCGATCAGCTTGGCGACCGCTTCCCGCGTGACAAGACCAACGAGCGATGGACGCGCGACCGCGAGGGTGACCGGGCCCGCGACAAGACCTTTGCCAATGGACGGCGTGGCATCGCACGGGAAGATGGCGAAGGATGGACAAACGTCAAGGGCCGCAAGAGCGTTGGTCAGGAAGACTTTGAGCGATTCGGCCGCAACGGCGACCGCAATAAAGAGAAGGCTGAGGGCGAGCTGGAGAATGACGGCTCTCTGCGACGGGGCAATCGCGAGCGGACAGAGCAGCGCTGGGGTCGTCGTGAAGATGCCAAGGAAGAGGCGAATAAGCCTGCTGTCCAAGGTGGCTGGCGCGACCGCGATCGAGAGCGAGAACGAGAGCGTGGCGGAGAGCGCGAATGGAACAGGGGCGCCAACAAGGCCGAGGAGGATCCAGAGTGGATGGACACTAAGGTGGAAAAGAAAGAGTCTAAGCCTCGCACCCAGGACGACTTCCAGCGCTGGAAAGAGCAGATGAGGGCCAAGGACACCCCAGCCGAGGCAAGGGATGAGCCTAGAGATATGCCTACGGAGAAACCGACCTCGATTGCCATCACCGCGCCTCCCATGCTGACTGCGCCGCTGCACACCCCCTCAACCGAACCCACTCAGGGTGTCCTCTTCGGCAACTGGAGCAGGGACAAAGGTGTAGATCTAGCCAGTCCAGAGGCCGTTACGCCAAAGCCAAAGCCAGCCCAGAAATCCAGATTCATGACCATGTTCGCGAAGCCAGAGGAACCAGCAGCGCCGAGTCAACCTCAGGCACCTCTTCCTGTCCCGTCTGCACCTATGCCAGAACCCAACGCAGACAGGGAGGGCTTTCAACGTATTCTTCAGATGCTTGGCCAGGTCAACGTATCTGGTTCTCCAGCTCCCCCGCCAGGCCTCCCCACTCCTGCCAACGGAAATAGACACAGTGGTGGTATCTCACTCGATTTCCATCAGCAGGCACCGCTTCCAGAGCCACAGAACACTAGGGCGCCACCACCACGAAACCAGGAGCACCAGAGTATTTTGGATAGTATTCTAGCTCAACGTCCGTCTGAACCCGAATCTCGGCAGCCACAACAAGGGAGGTTCAGTAGCATGTCTCCAGACAATGCGCTACACGAACAGTTCAGAATCCCAAGACCCGACTCGAATCGTCCGGAAGACCACTTTGCTGTTCAGCAACCACCTTCGAGGGCAAACAACCCGCAAGATGCGAACCTCGCCGCCATCCTAAACAGTCGTGCACGGGAAGAGTCGCAGCGTGACCAAGAGGTGAAACGACGCGAACGCGACTTCCTGCTCACACTGATGCAGCAACCCTCACGTGCTACTCCACCTCAGCTGCTACATCAAAATCTTCCCCGCCATACGCCGGAGCCCCAGAACATGCCATTTTTCGACCAGATGGGCCAGCGACCTCAAGGCCAGCCTAAGGGCCGCGGTGGTCTCCCACCAGGCTTTATGGAAGACCCCCGTATGTTCAACGAGAACGAGATGATGCGCCGCGAAGCTGAGCGACGAGAGCAAGAACTCCGTCAGCAGCTCAGCATGCAACAGCAACAGCAGCAACAGGAAGTCATGCGTGCGAAGAACTCCCGTATGTCTATAGGATTCTCGGGCCACGACGAATCGATCATGGGTATTCAACGCCGTACTACGGGCGGTGATCCTCGTCCTATGACAAACATGGGCATCCCATCTCAGCCTGTGCCAGATATGTCATACATGGGAGGACGCGGCCAGCCGGGAATGCCACCAACACCACAAGAGCGACCCAACATCGCCCCACCACCAGGCTTCGGAGGCCCCATGCGCCAGCCACCTGGTCTTGGAGGCCTGAACCAACAACCGCAAATGGGCCCTGGAGGACCAGTCTTCTCGTCAGGAAACACACCGCTTGGCCATCCTCCTGGTTTCCCGCCGCCCGGTAACATGCGTGGAATGGGTTTCCCTGTAGGACCTGGAGGAAATGGCATGCAGGGACCGCCTCAAGGACCGCCACAGGGATACTTCCCACCCCCTGGCTATGGAACAGGCCCGCCCATGTCTGGCATGTTACGAGGTGAAGACCCAAGGATGATGTTCGATGGTCAATTCGGCGGGCCAGGCCCACGACAACAGCCAGGTCGACCAGGACCACCACCACCCAACATGTACTAAGCCACAACGAAACGATGCTTATCATACGACGAAGTTTCAGCAACGAGCTTGATCACATGCACTTTACGAGCCCTCTCTGTCACGATTATCGGTTTGCTTAGCCTTGAGCGTAAGTAGCGCGGAGTTAAGGGGGTCCTGATCTGTATACTCTGGGCTGCATGTAGTTTTTCTCCGGTGTACATTTTCTCTCGGCGCGTCATGAACCTATAAAAGCGCTTTGCATCTGGCGATTGGGGGTCTGTACTATGGTATCTTGGTTGCGACGATGGTATTTCCTGTGGATGCCGTGTCTGGGCCGGCGTGTATATAGGAACGAACAAAGCATTCAACGCCGGATACATCGCCGGGTTGAGTTGTGTCTCTGGTGGCAGATAGCAAGTGAATAAGAAGTGCAAGAAGACGCGCGTTGCATTGCGTTGTTGTGTGACTATACGATTTGCCGGGGTGCACTATCCAAGGAGCGCGATACGTGTGGTGAGTAAATTTCGATCATTGGCTTGATCGGTTGGCAACTAGATATTGTGTTTGCAGGAAGAATGTCGTTTTCGTGATTCTCTTCGTATAAAAGGCGTGAGCAACGGCCGCTCAATATAGACGCACTGACGTAATGTCAACACGAAAGGACGTTGGCTTGGATGAAACCGATAAACAAGCAGCATGTCGTCCTCGGCCAAACAAGAGCCAGCCCTCAACAAGGGAAGGTTCCCGGAGCAAGAGAGGCTTAGTTGGTCCAGCCCCACAGCGAACCATGATGCAGCGTCATGCACTTACGACCACTACAACCAACGCACAAGCGCCACGCCGGCTTATGTTGGTCAGCATAGCCACAAACATGAGCAATATTATTAGAGTACCTGCAGTTCCGCGTCAGACACGCGTCCCGCCTCGCCATCAAAAGCGTCGCGATCCCGGACCTTCCGGCTTTGGTTGTTTATTCCCACCTCCACTCACTGAAGCCAAGCTTCCCAAGCACTGAAGTGAAAAGCTTCATTTTCGATTGATTTTCCAAACAGCACTCGTTATTTTCACAAGTATGAGGGGCGCTGGCCGATGGATGGCTGCGGCTGTGACGGCGGCGTTGATGGGCGGGGTCACGGCCGCGAGCTACGATGATATTCCCGATATTGAGGTTTACGGACAGCACTTTTTCTACACCAACAATGGGTCGCAATTGTATGCTCCGAATCCGCTTCATGATGTTGTTTAGTCAAGGTGCTAATTAGGGTTCAGCTTCCTCAAGGGAGTGGCATATCAGCAGAACTACAGCCCAAATGGGAGTACCAGCACCAACGCCACCTACACGGATCCGCTTGCCGATGCAACGGGCTGTGCGAGAGATATCCCATACATGAAGCAGATCTATACCAACATCATCCGTGTGTACGCTATCGATCCAACGAAGGACCACGATGAGTGCATGGCGCAGTGTAAGCTCTAGCGCATTCACACCCCACCCACTACTTCACTGTGCTAACGGTCAACCCAGTGGCCTCGGCAGACATCTACGTGATTGCTGATCTGGGCGAACCGGGGACGTCGATTGAATCGAACGATCCAGTATGGGATGTCACACTCTACAACCGCTACATCAGTGTTATCGATTCGCTACAGAAGTACAAGAACGTCCTCGGCTTCTTCGCCGGAAACGAGAACGTCAGCTCAGGAAACCAGACTGCGGCCGCAGCGTTTGTCAAGGCCGCTGTCCGAGATGCGAAGGGGTATATTAACAGCCAGGGCTACCGCAGCACTCTGGGTGTGGGATACGCCACAGCCGACGTTCCCACTCGCGACGAGCTCGCGCACTACTTTGCCTGCGAACCTGATTCTACGAACTCGACTCAGATCGACTTCTGGGGCTACAACGTCTACTCGTGGTGCGGCGACAGCGACTATTCAACCTCATCGTACGGCGAGCGCGTCGACTTCTTCTCCGACTACCCCGTCCCCGCCTTCTTCGCTGAATACGGATGCATTGAAGGTATCGACGGCGGCGCAACGCACCGTCCCTTCACAGAAGTCGAGGTCCTGTACGGAAACATGACCAAGGTCTTCTCAGGCGGCATCGTATACGAGTGGTTCATGGGCACGAACGACTACGGCCTCGTCGACCTCACCGACAGCGACGCCAGCGTATCCCCCTACCCAGACTTCACCTCCCTGCGCAGCCAACTCGCGACCGTCAGCCCCTCCTCCACAGCCCGCAGCGCCTACACACCCGCCAACTCCGCGCCCGCATGCCCCTCAACAGGAACCTCCTGGGCTGCCGTAGCCTCCCCGCTGCCCCCCTCCCCCAACGCCCAACTCTGCGCCTGCATGGCCGCCAGCCTCCAGTGCAACATCAAATCCACAAACGCAGAGGCCTACGCAGACGTGTTCGACTACATCTGCGCCGCAGACTCGTCCTACTGCGACGGCTTCGCGCACAACGCCACCACAGGCGACTACGGCGGCTACTCGGGCTGCGACCCAAAGGACCAGCTCGCCTGGGCTGCTAACCAGTACTACATCGGTAACAGCAAGAGCGCGAGCGCCTGCGACTTCAGCGGTCTGGCCACCAGGCAGACGGCTGCTACGGCGAACTCGTGCACGAGCTTGCTTAGCGCTGTAGGTACCGCCGGCACAGGGACGGCGGCTAGTCCTACGGTTAGGGGTACGAGTGCGGGCGCCACGGGGACGGCGACGAAGACGAGTTCCAAGGCTGCTGCGGGGAGCGTGAGTGCGCCTGGGTTCTTCGAGTATGGCGGGGTGGTGTTTGGTGTGTATGCTCTCACTGCTGTGGGGAGTCTGATGGGCATGCTTGTTTTGTGAGTGTGAGTGGGATTAGGAGGATATATCTTGTGTGTTTGTTGTGGGGAGTCTATTGTTTTTTGTCTCTTTTCTCGTGTTGTCGCGTTAGATGAGAGGGAATGAGATGGGTGATTATCATGGTATATTCACTGCTTCTCATTTTGATATACGTGGATTGAAGTGCTACGTTTTTTATTTGGTATCAGATGGCTCTGATTCGACTCGACTCGACTATCCTATGCGTTAACGAATCAACCATACCACATACGCCTCGTTCTCGGGGCATATCCCCACCATCCTCATAGTCAAAATGTCATGTTCATACCCTTTTGCCTTCCCACCAGCACCACCAACGCCATGAAATGCAGCTCAACAAACCAGACCTTTTGGGGGGGAAATGCACCCACCCCATCCTTAATCACCATCGCGACTACCTTCTCAACCCTCCATATTCATGTCCTCAAAGTCATCCAGCAGCTGCTCCATAGGGATAGCCAACCCGCCATCCTCCTCGCCATCCTCCGTCTCACCATCCGTATCCATAGCCTCCGCCTCCTTCGCCGCCTCCTGCTGCGCCTTATACAGCGCCAGCCCCTGCCTAAGCTCCTGATCCTCCTCAACATCCTGGAGGAACATTTCAAAGTCCTTCTCCATGCGATCCTGATCCTGTTTGCGGGGCAGCATCTCGCTCTGTTCCTGGCCCATGCGCTTGAGGCGCCAGTTGCGCTTATTCTTATTCTTCTTTCCGCGGGTGTAGAATTTCTTGACGAGGATGACGTCTGGGATTTTGGAGGCGTATTTGTTGTTTTGCTCGAGCACGTCGAAGAGGTCGCTGTTGAAGTTTGTGTTGCTGAGGAGGTAGCCCATGGCCGAGTCGCCGACGTGGAGGACCCCGCCTAGGTGCGTGCGGCAATAGTAGGTTGTGTCGTTTACGCCCATGTCTGAGGCGCGCGCGATGGTTGCTTCGGCGAGGAAGTGTCGGCCTGCTTGTTTGCCTAGGGGCTCGATGTCGAGTACGATGAACTCGGTGAGCTCTTGTACGTCGGCGAGCGGGCGGAAGGGGCTTCGCCAGTAGATCTTTGTGTCGACGTCGGCGGTTTGGAGCGTCGATGGGTCGAGGAGCTGGATGGAGGTGCCGATACGGGTGCAGAGGGTGAGGGGGGAGATGTTGCCGATCTTCTTTGCAAGGGGAACTGGGAGAACCACGAGGTCGTCTTTGCAAATGGGCACGATTTCTGCAGAGTACGAGAACTTGTAGTTCTTGGTCGATGTGTGGATGTCGTGGGAGATGAGTTCCTGCGAGTCCTTGATGTTGACGGGCACGACGGCCTTGAGGAAGTCGTTGAAGGCCTGTGCATGATTCCGCTGGGCGAAGAAGAAATCGATTCCGTCGTGGACTTCCTTGATGTTGATTGTGTCCTTGTGCGCGCCGTGCTTGAGGATCAGCTGCTCCAGGTACAGGAAGGTCCTCTTGTGTGGGACCTTCTGGCGCACCTGCACGCACGCCCTCCATGTGTTGTGTGTGTAACTCTTGGCGCAGTCTGGGCACTGCTGGTAGTTCTGTGTGTACTCGACTTCGAAGCTCTGCTGCATGATGGTCCCCTCGCTGACCTCGGACTGCACTGTGATCTTGACCTTTATCCTCCTGCTGTGGGGCTCCGTCCAGATGAAGCTCGCGTCGATAATCCTCAGCTTGTTCAGGCCGCGCAGTTTCTTCAGGCAAAGAGCGAGCAGTTCGCGCGACTCCGGGGGCGCGACGACCCAGGACGTAGGTGGAGAGAGCCAGCGGTCGCAATCGCGGCACATGAGCAGAATGGCCTCACGCGGGACATTCTGGGTGACGTCGGTCTTCAGTTTGATACAGTCGTAGCAGAAAGCGCCTGAGATTGTGCCATCAACGGGCGCGCCACAGTCGGCACAGAGAATGGTGGCTGCGTTCTTAGGCACAGGCGCAAAGGAGAGCGGGGCGTCGACTTCCATGGTAGCGACGTCTATCTCTATGTTCCTATATGTGTAGGTATGTATGTGAGTGGCAAGAGGGAAGAAGAGTATCCCCCGGGGTATAAATGTGGTAGAAGGGAGTGACAGAAGCGTCTGGAGGGATGAGTCGATCAGTGGCAAGTGCGCTTGGAAATTCAATTCACCCCGCCAAAATTTCCGACAGATAAGGCTGCCAGGCTTATCGGCACGTGGGCATCGGCGATTTTCCCCGCCGACATGATGAAGAAAGTCGGAGACTCGCCTTCGAGCGTGCCACTCACGCGTTCAGTCGAGTCAACATGTTTCTTTCGCGAGCAGCACCGTCACGGTTCGTGTGCAACGCATGCCGGAATAGCGTCATACGCCCATCTCAGTCCATCTCAACACCCAATGGCTTGATCCTCCGCGCCCCCGCAACTTCGCCCATCACGCCAAGAAAAGCGTCACGATGCGCTTTCAGTACGAGTCTCTCCCGAAGGATAGACGAGAAGGATGACTTGGCGGAGGATGACGAGTTGGCTCTTCTCGACGAGGATGCCGATCTCGCCGAAGAGCAGCCAACACCCACCACACTCGAAGCCACACAATCTCCCGAGTCCACAGCGGCTGCTGAGCTCGCAGCCATACCATGGTACCTACGGCAACAAGGCGTTGTCCAAGGCCAACTCCAAAAGCCCGCTGAAATTCCTGACCTACCCCCAAACCCGCCGCCACTCCTCGCAACCCTGCTAGAATACATATCCATCACCGCCGGTCTCGATGACCTCGAGCTCCTCGACCTACGACATCTCGACCCCCCGCCCGCCCTCGGCCCCAAGCTTATAATGCTCATCGCCACCGCGCGCTCAGAGAAACATCTCCACGTCGCAGCAGACAGATTCTGCCGCTACCTCCGTCGCGAACACAACCTCAAAGCCAACGCCGCCGGCCTACTCGGGCGGAACGAGCTGAAAATTAAGCTCCGACGGAAAGCGAAACGCATGCGCATGCTCGCCAACGTTGGCGGCGCAGCACAGGAAGGCAATCTCGACGACGGCATCCGCACAGGCTGGATTTGCTGCACGCTGAGCAAGATTGAGGCGCATGAGCTGGATATGCATATGCCTGGGGACAACGTGGAGGAGTTTGTGGGCTTCAGGGACGTCAAGCCTGGCGTCAACGTGGTGGTGCAGATGTTCACTGAGGAGAAGCGGGCAGAGACGGATCTAGAGACACTCTGGGGTGGCGTGCTGAGGACGCAGAACAGGGAAGTCAAGCAGGCCGAGGAGGCGCTGATGGATATCGATGAAGATGAAGGTGCGAGTGAAGAGGCGTACGAGACAGAGACGATCGACACGCCACCAATCTCTCGGTCAAGCGCTGCTGCTGCTGCTTCCCCTCCCTCACCAGCTAAACAGTTCCGTAAACCACGGCCGTCGCCCGGTGATTTCTTTCCTCCTGCTTCCGATTCCAACGCTGCGACACAGCTTCGCAGACTGCATACCGTTGGGTTGAGACGGTAGGGAGTAGGCGAAGGACACTTTATATATCCAAATATATATGTTAAACCACAACAACCACAATCAATAAACAGACTATGCTGCTCTATCTAGCTCGTGTATGACATCCACCAAATCTAACGCTACGACGTACCAAACCCTCAGTCACTCCACCTCTAGAAGCGCACGAGCAGTACCAACCCAAAGCACCATACCTCATGACGTACTAACCACGGGAATAAACAGCCTCCGACAAACAACCTCGCGTCAAGATCGCATGATGCGAACCAGACCCCGAATCGCGGACGCGCTGCTGCGCCGTACACGCGCAGGTAAGGATGAATGTGCACCCAACACGCTTGACAAGACACTTCGCGTGGGTCGGAAGCATGGGCGGCGCGACTTGCGCGATGGCGTCTATTGGAGGCGTGGGAACATCACTCAATATTGATAGTGAGATTGTAGCTAGAGTCTTTTGCTGTGGTGCTGGTGGTATTGGTAGTGCCTGGATGAAGGAGAAGCTATGTGTCGTTTTTTTACCTGGGAGGAGACGTGTGCGGCTGTGTGGTTTGCCAATGCTGCTAGCAGGATTTTGTCTGATCGGTGTGTTGTGGTGGTGGTGGGTGGGTTATACGTTGGTTGGGGCTTGCTGATTACTGTTTGGATGATCGGTCATCGAGGCTACCCAGCGAAGTGGTTTTGTAGGATGACCCCTGCCAGGATTGGCCTGGCTTTTGAACAACCTTGAAGAGATATTTTGTAGTTCTCAGATGATATGAGCAATGTAAAAGTACGAAGATTTTCATGTTGCCTGAGCATATGTCCTTTTTCTTAGATTCTCGCTTCAAGACATCGCAGGGGATGGCTGTCTGCCGTTGGACGATCGATGTCATTGGTTTGAGCGCGATGACCGCTGTCGTTGATCTGTCCCTGGCACAACGCGGCTTGCCATGCACTTGACACGCGGGACACATGTGCCGAAAGATCCATCCTCAGCCGTGTGATGGGTTCTGGTCGCGATTCTCGTCATGGTTGGACGCGGAAGCGGCAACGAAGTGTAGTCTCAGTCTCGATCTGCGTCTTCCTCCGGGAAGATCCAGAGACAGGACATCGCTGTTTCTTCTCGATTGAGCAAGGAACGCGTCCAGTCAATGCTGTCAAGGTATGGAAATAGGCGTGGGAACGTTACAAACTCATCCCCATTGGACGGCGGTTGAGTTCCGAAATTGTGGCGTGACGCCGTTGCTGGCCGAGCATTATCGTAAGATGAGACGTGTAGTTTCAACGCTGGTGAGTTTACTATGCGAATTAGTGGTGTCTAGACGTTGAAATATGGAGTAGAGTCCCAATTCTCCGTAACCAGTCATGGCACCTGTCATGGGCAAGACTTGCTTCGAAGCGTCGCGAAGGACGGCATGCGAGCCCCACAAACACCATGCGCACCACACGTGGCAAACTTCATTCCATGATTGCTTCTGAAACCTCAACGCCTTTTCGAGTGACAACCATTCACATCCCAGCCAAGAGATCGACATCGATCATTGATTTCGTACTTGTCGGTTGCATGCATATAATCAAAAGAAGACATACTCAAAAGCAAACTTGATTTGGAACATGAGAACAACAATCAGCTCATTAAAAAGGAATCTTCTTAAATGCATACCCCTCCTTCACGTGCGTGCTCGAAGTCCGCTGCCGCCCCTTACATAGCTGCACATCGTGCTCACTCCTACATGCATGTCATCCGCGGCTTCAGCGCAGAGATAGGCTGCCTTCCAAGACAGGGTAGACCGAAACCACCGGCAACGGCTGGCTATGTTAGCACACCCTTTGATCTTTAGCTGCCGTTGGGCGACGAGACACATTCTAGAAAAACATAATACCAAAAGGATCGGAAGATTTCCGCCTCACATCGTTTACAACGTTTCCTTCACTCCACTCCATCCTTGACTCGAATTCCAGGATGATTGCTTCACTAGGTACGTCCGAAGCTTTTGCGCGTCAGGTACGTGGCTTGGCAAAGGAAACAAACACACGGGACGGCTGTCGTCCATAGGCAGTAAGGCCGCCGAGCTTCTGTGGCCTAGCATGCGGGCGCATCCACCACTTGGGCTTGCCACAAAGCCTAACGCAATGACCCCAGTATCCTGAACAAGATACGAACAAGGCAGCTCGTTTCTTTTGAGCACTAGAGTGCAGTATGTACACGCGCCACGGAGACAAGTCCCCAACGGAAGCGAGCTCTTTCGTGAACCCAGCCCTGGTTCCGCGGTGGCTCGCGAGTCATATGTCACAATCTTCTGAACCTGCATACGACGTGGGGATTAATGTACCTAGTTAAGGGCTGAGTGCCGTGCGTGTAAGGCGTGGGTGGGTGTTCGATATCTCTCGACAAGTTGCTGCACTTCTTACAGTGCTATCACCCGATCTTGAATGCGAGTATTTGCGTATTCGCATACTAACCCTCATCGCCTGGGGATTCGCCTCCACGAACCTGACAAGCAGGTGCTGTAATCGCGGCTATGGATAGTGGTGATGAGCTTACGGCGTCGCTGGCGGACCTCCTAAAGAACTTACCTGATCCAAATGGACCGAAACCGTTGTCTAATTACCCTACTACCATGATGGGGGTCACAATACCATTTCATGTAAGTCTGACAATATTAGTTGTCTAGCTTGGCGATTCCATACTCACAATCGCAGGTGTTAAGCTGGCTTGTAGTCGCTTTTCGTCTACACACACGCATAGTGGTTGTGCGTGAGCCTGGGTGGGATGACTTCTTCGTTGTTCTGGCTGCTGCGTTCAACTTTGTGTCCATATTTGCGTTTTTATCGGGTATGTTTTTGAGCATATCGCATAGTTAGTACATTCAGTATGCTAACAAGTCCAGGTATCGACGCTGGCTTTGGTCAACATCTTGGCTACATCCTCAATAGCATCGAAACCATGATGTTTTGGCTGTGGCTTACCAACGCCGCATACCATACCACCACCGCTTTCATAAAGTTGTCGTTGCTTTTCCAATACCTGAGGATGTTCCGAGGAGGAATTCGCCGAAAGGCCTGCATTATACTGGTCGTTTTCATCGCCTTATGGGGAGCGGCGTACTCGTTCATCGCATGGTTTCCATGTTTTCCTGTAGGCTTGTCCATGTCGAGTTTTGCGGTCACTTTGTACTAATATGTCCGCTAGGTTTCTGGATTCTGGAACAGACACCAGACGCCAGTTCCCAAGTGCTATGGTTTCGGCTACGCAAACATAAACGACACAAAGCTCATCATATTGGTCTTCGCTTGCACGAACATGTTCTTTGATGTGGCAATCTTCAGTATCCCGCTCACTGAGTACTTCAGAAAGGATTTGAGGAAGAAGCAGATCCTGGCTATGACTGCGTTATTCGCCATGGGTTCCATGTGAGTGCTGTGTTCTGGATCCTGGAAACCTGATCACTAATGCAAAATAGTGTCGTTTTAATGGCCATCCTCCGCCTCTGGAGTATCTTCAAACATAGCAAAGCCGACGGTGGCATGGATTTCACCTGGTGGTACCCCGAAGTGCTCATCTTCTCCTGCTTAGAAGTCGATTTTGCAATCATGTGCGCATCGATGCCCATATTCTGGCCCACCGTCGTCGCCTCCTGGAGTCAGATCTTCGTCACAAAAGAAGTACGTGTCACACACCAACTGCTCGACGACGACGGCAGCGGGGATCACTACGAGATGAACAGACCAAGCTCCTTCAAGAGCCAGCACAGCCAGGAGGGCTTGACGAAACAGAGCAGTTATTACGAATTCGACGCAGAATCGGCACGGAACAAAGATGTCAGAGTCGCGCAGGTCGAGGTTCGACAGGCAACACATAGAATCCATATCGACACATTTCCATAGATAGTCTTTCCTATCTTCAACGAATAGTACACATACTTCAAACGTTTGCATGACTCAGCACCGTGCGTATTCGGAGTTTTGCATCACGATGCGGGTTACCAATCTTGCATGGAGTTGAATCGTTACACCACAAAGCAAACGCGGTCACAGAGCACGGCAATTCCACACCACAGCTGCATCGTCATGCGCCATCACTAACGGAAATTCGCATGTAGATCACGGAGAGACCGAGCCGACAACAACGTCCGATTCTCGAAATTAAGATTGCGTGATCCGGGAGTATATACGCGTTCGTTCAAAGTACCCTCGTCCCTGACTTTTTTTTTGATCAAGGGAAAAAGAGTCTGAAACACATCAGACTCACATTGCCGGGCTAGGTCTGTGCGCTTGGTGGCGCGGGTTTAGGGCTTGCGTATCTTCTCGGATCTTACTTCAACCGTGGTGCTTTGGCATGGTTGATCTCCCGCTAACGCAATTGCCGGGTCGTGGTGGGACGTCCGCCTGCGCTCTCTGTTCTCAGCTCGCGATGAAAGCATTGCATGGTGAAGGCTGGCGCTGTGTCATCGAATGTCACTGTACATATTAGGCACATGAAAAAGGCAGGCAAACGTCAAGTAAGCGGGTTACAAGCGACTGCCACACAAACCTAAACAGTAAGCCAAGCAACCTTATTTAGAGAACTTCGATCAGATCGCTCGCATGACTCCGAAGTTTCGATGCAGATTATGCATCTACATTCTATCTGTCCCGTCGCCTTGAAGCCTATTTCCCCATGATCCATGGGACGTGCACTCGCAGAGTTTCGGGATTGAAAGAGGCTGTTCTTAGAGTGCCAGTAACCTTCGGTCAACGTTGATCTAGTCTCGACAGGGCAGATAAAGTGATGCTTTGATCAGGATTACATCGTGGCTGAAAGCCACGGACTGCTCGTAGATCTCCCTCCTGATCTGGCGTATCTCCGTCGAACTGGTCCGTGTATATGGTTTCTAATATGCATCTACCGGTGCTCTTACCACCATGTATTGTCGCCTTTGTTAGTCGTTACAAGTACCGAGCAACCCCACGTTAGCAGTATGGCAGCGGCATACGGCACTGCTGATTGAGTCAGATATCCTACATAGAACTTACGTATGAAACGATGACGTTTTGTATCTCACTGAAACCATCGCTCGCCTGAGAATAAGCATGCTTATAACCATGACGTTGACAATTCTACCTCCTGAGTTGAAATAGTCCCCGCATATGGATGTTTGTGCAAGGCATATGCTAGAGACGTAGTCGCGAGGTCTCGTCGTCCGCTACAGGGTATGTGTTGGCGCAGTGGTTTAAGATGCGTAAGATCTGAGAGTAAAGGCCTGCATCTACTTGTTTATTCAGAAGTAGAGCACAGTTAAGAAAAAATAGGATATTAGGAATGTCACAATTCACCATCTTCTCGCATTACATCGATTCTGCTAACAAGTTTCCACTCAGTGTGGGCAAGGCAATCTAGAAGCTTGTGGTGCATACAGACTTTATGTAGGTTTGGGCGTCTATTCTGCGTATTGCACAAAGTCCGACCGTTATACCATGAGAAATTTGAACGGTTCCGTTCTTTCCATCTGCTTCAAGACAGGTTAACAAACAATACTTTGACGATCGCGAATGTAGCGATGATACAGATGAAGCAATACAAGGTATTCGAAGTCCTGTGTCCGCAAAGGAGTGGGTTTGATCGTCGGGCATGAGCTTCATTTCAGTTTGGACGCCTTGTACGCCTGATCTTGGTGTGTTTCGTGAAAGTGGCGTCGAGCGTGTGAGGGTGTTGACTAAAGAAAGCATGCAGACATTATCGATGTGATTTTGGTTGGTAAAGTGAACGATACGAAGGAAAATAGTGTGTTCACGAGATGATACTTAAGAATGTGAACGTTGTGAGCTCAAGCCGAATTTTAGTGTCGCATTCATCAAGTTCAATGTTGAAAAGACAGTTCAGATAGATGGCTCACCTCAACCATTCCTGGTGGTATTGAGAGGCCGTCCCAGCTCGGCGCTCACTCGGCGTGATCACCAGCCACGGATGATTTTCGCTCCCGCCTCCACTTGATCACCCTGCAGTCTGCAGGTACCATCATCATTCCTTGCGCGCCATGTGCTATGAAGAATCACGGTGTAGTCACCGATCGGTACGAATGGCCATTTACTCGAACGATTGGTATCGCCAAGTACCCGTATCACGCAGCTAGGGCGGGCGCTTACTAGCGGCGCTTAACACACTTAGTGGCTTGAGACACCTCGAGGTTCAGAACCACTCAGCTCTGGCATTCGATGTCGCAAAGCACTCCCATCCCGTAGCGTCCTATATCATAGTGGAATGACCTGGTCTCTCTATCGTGTTCCTTGCTGCCGCCTTCTTCCTCATAGAATCCTCCAGGCACTCACTACCGCCGACTCCCTAAAGCGTTCATCTCTCTTCGTCTGAGTGCAGGTCACCCTCTAACTTGATACGACTTCCTTTCAATATCCACATCGGCTTGTAGACAAAAATGTACTCCAAGCTACTCGCCAACCTGTTGCTCTTTCTTTCAATCTTCCGGTTCACACTCGCCACCTCCGAGCAAACCTACGATCATTCGACCATCAACCTTGCCGCCCGACAGATCTCTACAAACGCAGAAACATGTCTCGACTACGAAGTCACAGCGAACAGGTCAACGATCGGTGCAAACAGCACCTACCGTTCCGCCTTCTTACAGAAATCGAGTACGGGCACTATGTACAATGCGCGTATGCTTGACGCAGCTAGCAAGAAGCTACCTGCTCTGACCGCCAATAAAGAATTGAACGACCAGTGTGGTAATTGGACGAAGATTGCTTTCGAGGGAGCGCAGGTCAACTTCACGAATGGAATTGTTGCGCAATTTTCGACTGAGGGGTTGCCGGTGGGCATTAAGGCTGGACCAGAGCTTATCGGCATCATTGGGGGCATCGCTACTTTAATGTCGGTTGTCTGGGTGTTCAGTTGAGAATCCCATCGGAATTGGCTCCGGAAGTGGACTGTCATACATAAGCGAAGAATCCCTGATCGACATCCTGCGGAGAGACGGACCGCGAAACCCATGAAAGACTGTTCTCGAAATGATGTTCAACCACTATACTCGAGATGTCAAAGACAGAGGCGTTCGAGTCGAGCTGCTAGTACAGTTCCAGTGAAGCCGAGCAAGAGCCACGCAAATTTGAGGACAGACATGACGTGACGGAGTTATTTGAAGAAGTTCAAAGCAATTGCATTTGGATGATAAGATATGTACAAAGTAACTTCATCCAATACTACCTCCCTTCCCATTCATCTCACTACGATTACCACTGTGGATCTATTGTCTTGCACCTTTCGGTGTTAGAGTCGCTTAAAAGGTGACGACACCAACACCAGCGCTTGCCGTGACGATGCTGCAAGCACTGGCAGCAGCATCAACCGTGTAGCTGTAAGTAGGAGTCCAGGTACCCTTCTGCGTGATTTGGGTAGTGCTGTTGGTGTAAACGTTGTTCTTCTCGTTGGCAAAGCCCTCCAAGTCAGAGTCAAGGTTGGTGACGATGGCGTTGGCGGTGTTGGTGAAGGAAGAGGACTCGACAAAGACCTGAGCGCCCATGCGAGAGTTGACACCAGAAATACCGCCGTTGACGCAGGCGTTGTAGATATGGACGGTACCAAAGCGGACGGAAGGAAGACGCGAGTTGACCTTCGCGAAGGAGTTGTGGTGGTAGGTGAGGTGGAGCTTGCCAGTGTCCTGGGCGGCATTGTTGTCGCTGTGACCAATGAGGGAACCCTTCCACTAATGACAAGTTAGGAATCTCATTCATTCGCAGAAAGCTAATGATTTAACTTACGTGGTCGTGGAACTTGTTCCAGGAGAAGGTCAGGAAATCAGAACCATGCTTGGCGTCGAGCAGACCGTCGTAGGTGTCCTTGTCACCGACGACACCAACGGATGAGAAGTCGTTGTGGTCAATCCAGATTTTGGTGGACTCGTCAATGTCGATGAGATCCTTGCCCTCGGGCGCTCTGTAGAGCTTCAAGTTGCGGATGATGACATTGGTGACCTTGCGGACTTGGAATCCACTGTCAGTCAAGCCGGCGTTGGTTCCGACACCGAGAATAGAGGTGTTGTCAACAAGCTTGATGATACCGCAGCCAGTGAGCGCACCCTTGACCTTGATCACGCCACCTACTTTCGCAGCAGCAGTCAACTCGGCGCAAGAGGCGACAGTGGTACCAGCCCCTGAACCTCCTCCCGTGGTGCCGGCCGCGAAACCAACAAGCTCGTCAACCTTTGCAGCACGCTTCTCGATGGGGCTGGCGTAGGCAGTGGAGGCAGCAGTAAGCGCCGCAGTAGCAATCTCGAAGAAACGCATGTTGATGGAGTGGTGGATTGGTAAAGAATGAAGTGAATTCAAAGAAGAGAATATAAAGAATGGACAGAGATCGACTCTGAAGTTTGTAAGATGATGGTTGAATGTATGGTGCAGGGAGTATCTTTTATATCAGATGCAGTCGATATACCAAGCGTTAGGATTTGTCTTGCTTGTTTGATCTCCGAAGGCTTCGCCCTTAATATCTCCATTTCAGAACATATGTTCTTGGCACCCCGCCGTCAATTCCCCCGCAAATATATGAGCCTCCTCTTTGGACACAATGGGTTATTCAGATCATCCACCAAGCGCGTTGGAGCATATTGGTCTCGTGAAAGGCGTGATGCATATTGAAGTGCTCGTAACAGAGTCTTGCCAAGTGTTGGGTGTTTGGGAAACCATCTACATGGACACCTTCTCTACTGAGTCGAGAAGGCGCTTAATCCGTTCCTAATCGGTATGATACGAGGGTTCGCAATATACGTTGTGCAGCCACCGTTTTGCAACATCGCTCAGAACACTTGGCAATCGACAGGAGAAAGACCACCAATAGGAGGGTACCACAAGGCCGAATGGAATTTAGAGTGTTCCAAGGGAGAATCGACAACGACAGAATTGTTTCAATGGGACTAAAGTGAAGATTGATGGAAGAACTCTCAATGCGTTGATTGAAGACGTTAACATCCGAGATTGCGACGGATTTGACGGGAAGGATCGTGCACTGTGGTAGTTCGACTAGGACGCTAAGGTGGTCTCTAGCTTACGTTTAGTTAGTTTACTAGCCGTCGGCTCATTTTAGACCTTGATTCTACACACATAGACCTGCTGCAAACATCATCTACGAGCGATGAAAAATCTCGTGGTGGTGTTTCGCAAAAGTTCGGGCCATTTGTGTCAAACATGACTGCCAAGCGCCGTCTGGGATTCGAGTCAAGTCGAAACGTGCCCAGAAACGCGCCCAGAAACTACAAGCCCGAAAAGTACTCTAAATGTTCTTGGCTGAGAGCTTGAGTCATCTGCACCCCTACTTACCTATATGCAGACCAGGTCCCTAAGTAAGTCTTCTAGCCTCGTTCAGTATGTTCAGCTGATCTCAATCACTCCGATGAAAGCTATGGAAGGCTCGTACGTATCTGGTGACACAGTGTCAAAAATGTCACGATTTACTGCAGTGACCCTGTTCGTCTCCAAATCCGCTTTTTGTTTCGTCACACGACCTCAGAGAAACGGTGATGCGCACAGATCTGAACACTTACTTTGAGTTAAGGGGGTCTCTCACGGTCTTCCTCGATGCTCCTCATTGTCCAATACTCGAGATCGCAGGTTTACACATTTAATACTGGCGTGATCAGGGTTCAGATCAACATCAATTACAAATACAAAAGTTAGATCTTGATGTCTTCCACAGCTTTAATAGCCTCTTCGAAAACACGCCTTACTCCGATTCACGTTTAGGATCTTATCAACGAGCCCCACCAGCCTTCTTTATCAGTTCAGAGATTCCTACTCAACATTCAACAAACTATTCTCCACTAGACATGTGTCGGTCGATATACGCGAATACGGTGATATCTTGAGTCAACAATATCTTTCGGAAGCCGCCTTCTACGCCGATACAGTTAGCAGAGCCTGCTCAGAGGATCAAACATCCTTCGCTGGTTGTAACGGAGTACACAAAGCGAAGACGATGCTCAAATCGATAGGCTTAAAGTACTCAGCATCGAGCCTAGATATACTCGTTCAGCAACAACACGAAGGCGTTGCAAAGACTGTCCTCGCGGTGCGACAAGATGATAGAGTACAACACATGGTTGTCTGTACAGATCAGGCGGAGGTTATAGACAGGGCTTCACATGATACAGCAAATGCTGGTGGTTCCCCTGATTCGTTAAAGATCGTAGTAGCGATACACAGAAGTGACGAGATATTATTGATGACGTTTCTTGCTTCGTTTCGATTACTTATATAAGCTGTCCACCAGACGATCTGACCAGAGTGCAACAAAAGTATCGCTTTTAAGTTCTATGAAGACAACGTGTGTTTGGTCTGAGTTGATAGCCCCACGATGCATTACGGATACAATGCTACATTATACTGACCTCGTTTGCATTAGAGTGCGTAACAATTTGAAAGTGCAGTAGCAGGATTGTGCAAGGATCGGTTTCGCGTGTAATTATGTTTGCGAAGTAATACGATGATGTCCTAATAGAGTCCTCACTTTTTAAACTCACTGTGATAGCAAAATGTAGAAGATGAGCTTGTGGGGCGTCGATTGGAGACAGGAACAAATTCAATGAAACGAACGTAGTAGAATATTGCAAGGCGAAACAAGTGGGCTAGAAGTGGGAATTCAAAGAGAGCGTGGATGGAGTAAGTACGACGCGTTTACAGTGATAAAATCCAATGTGTTCTGAAATGAAAGAATCGCCAAAATTAATTCCTGTTCCCAATACTACCCGTAGGTATAAACAACCTCTAGAAATCCTTATCCAACATGAGCATTCTGTCTTAGTCAAACTCACCACAAGTCCATGCACACACACGTGCGCCTCAGCACTCTTCGATGAGATGCTTCGTAACAATGTCGCCTTCAACAGATCCCAATATTCGGCGTGGATTATGCATACACCCAGCCGGTAACAAAGGGTTACCAGCTACCCATATATCGAGAAAGTGCTGAAGTCACTTCCGTCGTTTGTGTCAAACACACTCGACATCATCAAATCCCAATCTTCCATGAAATCAGCCGACATATTGATGTCCAAGTCCATTCTTTCAAGATCGCCAACCTCGTTCTCTTGCCCCGCTAGCCTCGCCAACATCCCCGAGGTTCTGGCTCCTGCCTCTTCAGCAGCGTCTACCAAGACGCGTGGCATTTCATTCTTCCCAACATGACGCATGAGCGCATCGATTTGCGCAGAGAGAAGGCGCAAAAGTAGATAGCCCTTGATACCCGTCTCGCCCGCTTCAACAGACTGCAAATACCAGTTCGGTGCACTGTTCACAACGGCGAGAAGGTCGGGCCTAATGATAGTTGTGCCTATACTGTCGTCTTCTTGTACTTGAGCTCGCGTTTCCACAGCGAGCACGGTGGCAGCTTGGAAGGTAAACGCGCGGAAGAAACCGGAACCGTTTTTGCAGAGACGAGGCAGATCGTCTTCCGAATTCGATTGGTCGTTGTTGACAGGGGAGTTTACGGCGTTCCATGATGCTACTGGTGCCGGCGAAGGACAGGCGATAGACCAAATCTTGAGCGACGATTCGACAACCACCTTCCTTGAAAACGCATAGATAGCTTCTTCCAATGAAACACCAAAGAACGGCAAATGTAGTGAGGTGATGTATCGATGCATGATGAAGTCTACTGTTTGTAGTCCGAAGCGTGTAGGCACGGATCCGGTGCTCGTGGCGGATGTCTGGAGTCTATATCTGAGATCCTTGAACGATGCTCGCAGCTCTTTGTCGATTCGTAAAGTCTCGTCGTATGTTCCGTTGGATTTGATGTCGTTCAAAAACTTGAGTACTGCGAGTCGGGCTGGCAAACTCCCTCGAAGGGCTATCGCGACAGAGGTTTGCGTGTGCGCGTCTCTGGTCCTCGCCACAGGATTCGCTGCCGTGAGCTGTTCATCGTCGAAATTGCCTGGAGGCTTTGTATCATATTCCGAGAGCGTGATCAAGCTGGGCCCTCCCGAGACAAGGCTTGACTGGAGACAAATCTCAAGAATTGTGTTCCAGATTCGTCGTCGCAATTCCGCTTCAAAGATCGAAATTCGTGGAAGTTGAGTGGGATCCCTATGCAGGCCAATATACATGGCAGTCCTAAGTACTGATCCAGCTGATATCCAAATAAACTCGCCACCTATATCAACGAGTTCACGGGCTAGCAACAGCAAGATACTCGTCTGTAGATATTGAATGCCGAGCCGTGACTTGAATACAGGTGATGACATCCAAGTTTGTGCTTCGTACACCCAGCGAGTAGCCTCAGTACGCATCGAGAATTTGTCATCGTAGACGACGGCTCCGATAGCAAGTACCAGCTTGAGTTGTACCAGGAAAGCCTCGTTCGGCTCAGCCTGGGTCGCACACAATGCTTCGTATTCATGTAGAAACGTGGGGATATGTAGAACGCGGTATACGGTCTCGATGGTGCGGAGATACCCTTCAATGAGCTGGTCACAGATGTGCTTTGGAGGCAACTCTGTCGTCGAGTGAGTAGGCCAAGCCGGTGAACGCCGCGATTTGATCACACGTGCTAGATGTTTGGAGCGTTGTAAGCTACCGAGCATTGTGGACGACCCGCTTCTCAAGTGGGGCTCGAGCATCTCGATGATGTCGCGAAACAAGGTAAAGGTATTGATCCAGTGACTCTGGCCGAAGACGCGATTCTTGTGCGATATGCTCCGATTGACCCTATGCGCCTGTCCAAATACGTGACTGTCCTGGAGTACATCGAATGTGCCGGCGAGACCAGTCGTAAGCCTTTCATTTATATAAGAAGATTTTGCTGCTGAGACTGATCGTGCAGATGGAGCAGTCTTCTTCTTGGTAACTCTTGGCAACGGCTCTTCTGGATCTTTGATGTCAGGGTTAGCTAATCCCAGCAGCTGCTCCTCGAGCTCTTTACTGTTGAAGTCCAGCTCCAGTGGTGTAGATGCACGACCTGTGGTATGTGTTAGTCCCAGATGAAGTAGACTGAATTGCCAGATCAATGCTGCAAAGACAAGTGAGCAATGATCGTATCTTAGCTCCGCCGTTCAACACATGATGTGTAACATCGTTTTCGTTGCCATACGTAACAACCATCATGCGTTAGTCCTCCTCTGGCGTGTAGCGCATGCTCAGTTTTGTGGGTCCTGGCAGGCCATACCCCTATGTGTTTGACAAAGCAGCTGCTAGAACACGTCTTTTGTCTCTGAAAGAAAAAAACGACTGTACTTCAGGCGAGTATCACAGTACAACGCCATGTCGAGACGATCACGAGAGTCGCGCACTTACTTGAGATGGAGGCAGCATGATTGGAGCCGTTGCCAGCAACTTCGCCGTCAAAAAGCTGTCCAAGATTTTTCATAGCCTCATATACGCAAGCCGTTCCATTTTTCGACTTTGCGCACCTGAGGCAGGGCATCCCTCGGTCACACTTCATTTTGCGTCGTCTGCATGGTGTACATGATCTACGGCTCTGCATTAGCGTAGAGCTGATACGTGTGCTTTTGCTGTCTAATGCTTTGACTCTCAGTTTGTTGCCTGTCTTCGCGGTCGCGCGTCAGCGCGTAGGTGGAGGACGCGACGTTGACTTACACCGCGGGTCTGCCAAGTGTTAGCTGGAGAGGGTCCCGTTCAGATTACATGGTTTGCTCTGACCTCTTCCTGAAATTCTCCGATTTTACCAGCGCGTCGCCTTGCCTGATCATGGTTTCCAGTCAGTGTGCTAGTCGGGGTTGAATGAGGTGGCGGGGGATGACTGCGGCTGAGGTTCGTTCTTCACCGGCGCCGAGCCCGACGCCGAGCGCCAACAGGATATTTGCGCCTTTCCCAATAGGGCTTAGTCTGCAGGGATGAGAGACTAATCGATTTGCTCCTGGCTGCTTCTCGCGTAGCATCTCACCTCATCTGATCATCGCCGCGTAGCTCATCGCCGACAGATTTCCTTCCAGGTAACCGTCGCCGTCGCCGACTTAATCGATGATGCATCACATATTTGCGGCCTTCTGGCACTTGTATATAAGATCCTCCAGGACGTGCAGTCTAAAAGTCATCGGCACTCACACAAAATTTGTTTGCTATACAACTACTTGTGATTGATCAATTGAGAATCCCTAGTCACACTCACACCCTGATAGCTCTGGGTATCCCTTTTCACCATGCCAGATACAATCACGACTCCCCAGATCTCATCCAATGCCGACAATCAATCCAACAACGACCCCGAAAAGAACACCCAAGACATCACCCCTAGCTCGGATATCCAAGCCTTGGGGCCCGCCCCTGACGGCGGTCTACAAGCCTGGCTTGTGGCAGCCGGTGGCTTCTGCATCTTCTTCTGCTGCCTGGGGTTCACTTCGTGCTTCGGCGTGTTGCAAGAATACTATTCTACGCATCAACTGCGTGAGCGATCGACAGATGATGTTGCATGGATCGGTTCGCTCTCGTCGTTCATACAATTTGCTGGTGGTGCCATTGGTGGGCCAACGGTTGATCGATATGGGGCGGGGGTAAGTGAAGCTGATCGAGAAACTGTTCCATAACTTACTGACGTTGGGATAGATAATGCGCCCGGCAATCGTCGTCTACATCTTCGGCCTGATGATGGTCAGCCTATGCACCGAGTACTACCAGTTCATGCTTGCCCAAGGCGTGCTGATGGGTGCTGCAGTCGCGTTTCTCCAGTTTCCAGCCTTCGCAATAGTATCACAGTACTTCGACAAGAAACGTGCCGCAGCGATAGGCATCGTTGTATGCGGAAGCTCGATTGGAGGTGTTGTGTTTCCCATCATCTTGTCCAAAATGCTCAACGATTCGAACATCGGCTTCGGTTGGACAATTCGCATCATCGCCTTCATTCTCCTCCCGTTCATGTTGTTCGCCTGCGTCGTTATCAAGCCACGGGTCCCATCACGCCAAGCAACGTTTTTCATCGGCGCGGCGTGGAAGCAGCGAAAGTATGTACTTCTAGTCGCGGCGCTATTCTTCATGATGATGGGTATGTGGACACCCATCTTCTACATGCCCACGTATGCCGTCTCGCGCGGCATGGGCGTGTCACTCGCCGCGAACCTCCTCGCCATCATCAACGCCTCATCTACCTTTGGTCGTATCATACCAGGATTTCTAGCGGACAGGCTTGGACGGCTTAATACATTTGCCTTCGCCGGTGTTTCCTCCGGAGTCATCATATTTTGCATCAACGAAACCACGACCAACGCGTCGATCATTGTCTACGCAGTCTTTTTCGGCTTCTGTTCCGGCACAATTGTCTCATCGGCCTCCGCAGCCATCTCGCTCTGCACGAATGACCCGAGAGATATTGGAACGTATATAGGAATGGGTATGGGCCTCTCTGCATTCGCAGTTCTAGTCGGTCCACCCATAAATGGCGCGCTGATAGACAAGTATGGTGGGTTCCTACAGGCCTCAATCTTCAGCGGCGTTGTTTGCTTGTTCGGCGGGCTCATTGCGTTTTCGAGCAAGCTTGCGACTTCAGAGGGGATATTTGGCAAGGTTTGATGACATGAGGTTCTAAGATGATGCCTTCAGCTCACGTTGGCCTCTGAGTGGTGTGCGCTTTGTGTGGAAACATTTTTGATTAGGCGTTTGTTTCATCTCTACTCATTTGGGGAATTGGTTAATACTCACTCACATGTAGTCTTCGTGCTAAAAATCCAAGTGTCGTTACGTCTGAGCTTCTACCGATGTATTTGTGTACTTAGAGTCTGGATCTACGGGTTCAGTTCTATCTGCGTTGCATGATGACGACTCTGTCCTGTGCATTATGAGGTGAAACTACATTACGAACTCGCGTGCGTGTGCTGATTATCCAGTTGCTCAATCTTCCAAGATGCGATGTCATGATATCGGTTGTAAAGATATTTAGTGTCGGCGTGATAGTGGACAAACGCGATCGACCAGAATAGCCCGTGCACACGCGTACTTGGCCATCCTAGCTGTTATCGTTGATTGTAAGACATTACACAAAACACTCTCCCAAACTTTATAAGGTCGGAAAATGAAGCTTCAGAATATGTTCATATTGTAGACGCAGTTTCGTAGAGAGAATTGATTAATTATATGAGCATCAAAATCATGTCATTCCTTAGCGCCTTTGTCGTATCTTTGGCGTTGGATGAACATCACTCCGACCAGCATCTTTCATGCGCTAGGAACGAAACTCCAGTCATCACATATTGTATCCCACGAATGATCAACTCCACGCGTAGAAGATGTTTACAGCGTCCGACCGCTTACGTCACGTCACAGCACACCGAGTCCCACTCCCATACACCCTTGTTCTCATCGGCGCAACAAGTGGTGCTTGTTGCCGATCTGGTCTAGAACTTTTCCCGAGAAAAGTCAAGGTAGACCTTCTCGAGGTAGAGTATCCTGAGGCGAAAGATTCTATGCGGGAATAGGCTCATACGTGTTGTGAGCCTGGCGGTTGGAGAAAAGGTAGTAGATGATCATGCCGACGACGGGGAAAAGGAAGACAACGAGAGCCCAGATGACCTTGCTGGAGACAGGGCGGTTCGACTTGAAGATCTCAACTATTACACAAACGCGTCAGCTTCAGATGTCCACAACAACAAAGGCTGCAGAGATAAGACGGGACTGGAGATGTGAAAGACTTACTCCACGCGATGATGTCGAGCACAAGGACAATGAAACCCACGATGCCACCACCGGTACCTGCCTGCCACGGCTTCGCGGACTGGATGCTGACGGGTGCTGCTTCGACGAGCATGAAGAGCGAGAGCTCGAGGAGCATGGCGAGGACAAAGTTGAACATTTTCGCTAATAAAGACGGGTGCTGTGGAGGATATTGTGTTGTTCGGGTGTCTGTTATCTGCGGCGTTGGGATGAAAGAAGCTGGCGTTTATTGGGGAGGCCTGCCTGGTTTTGAGGAGGAAACGCGAGGCGGGGGCTGTGCTTTGAACCTACGTCACAGGAATATTAGCCAATAGACAGCCGCGCTAGTTGCTATCTGCTCGCGTGATCCGTCTAACAAGGCATGGATTCGTCTCTGACCCAGTTTCATCGGAGATCCTGCATCGTCATTCGTCGGACGTTCCAGTACGAAGCGACGACAATCCCTCTCGCAAGCTGAAATCGACTTCTTGTCAACAGTCCGGAGTTGGAGCACATACCTTCTTACAAAAAGCAAATATACAGGGCGTGAAAGCGTCTGAAATTCGTCATTTACGAAGAAGCTCGTATTTTCCAGACCGCTTTGTCTGTAGTGTAGGGCCACCTGTGCAGAATTCTTGCCAAAGCCTTCGATAGCCAAGGACCCTGAGCCAATATGTATGAATTCGCGTTTGCCACGGCTCACGACTTGAAAGGTACGAGTGCAATTCGTTCAAGAGAGGCAGACGGTACAACAGGCCGTCCTCGAGGTTTAGCTTTCATTTCGTGGTATCTTGATATGGAGCTGTGCATTTTCGAACGAATCAGTTTCGCTAGTTGTCAAGTCTCGACAAGACTGTTCTCTGAGCTCACTCGAATGCGCTGAAGATGTGTCCTGACTGCTATAGGATCAATTGCCCTCGCCCTCGTAAAGAACATGTCCTGCGGTAACGCCGGGGAGCCTGCGCGACAGAGACACCATTCTAGGCGTTGTTAGTAACTCAGGCATTCAGACATTCGTTCCAGTGTTACAAGAGTTACTTGAGGCGTCGTGCCTATAGGTAAATAACCAACGGCAATCCGTACGGCTAGAAACCATGTGGATTTGAGAGTGATGCCAGAAGCTTGAGAATGAGCGACATGGATGAGGAGAAAAGGTCGTGCAACTGCTTCGTCCTTACAGCAAGGCAGATCTTGTAGATACCTGTGGCATCACACCGTTGAAGAGAGAAATCCACCACGTTCAGATGTCTCGATAAAGTGATTGGGTACAACATTGGATGAAGCTCGTCGCCAGGAGAGCTCTTGCCCAGAAACATTTCTAAATTGAGGGTGTATCTGAAAGTCATGATCGGAGTCTATGGGGTTGATTGAGAGATCTGCTGACACATCAGAAGGTTGAATGATTTCTTTCCGTCGAAGCATGAGTCAAGATCGCCTTACAGCTTCGATCATACACGCCACTTCCTTGGCAGCAGCCTGCTGTTCGATAGCTGATGGCTCTTGCTCCGTTATGGCATTCAGCTGAAGCCTAAGCCAATATCCACTTGTTTGTACCTCGGGATGACAAGACACTACAGAAGATACTCTGTAGGCATTCGATTTCAAACCCCGCGGAAGCATCCACTTGAGCTACCCAAATCAGGCTTTGGCTTCAAAAGAAGATCGCCGTATGCTGTCGAGGACAGAATTTGAAATACATGCTGATCTTCCCTCAAGTTCCGTGCATGACAAAGGGCACAGTTCAACTCCAGCCAGCCTCTTTCTCCAGCGGTCTCAACGCTGACACGATTATGGAAAATGCTGAGATCAACATTCATCTATGATTTTATGCGCAGGTGCTAGCTTATCTCTGATGCGAAGGTTGGTTTCTTTGACTTGATCTAGCAGGTAGAGCTGAAAATGAATCCTCACGTTTGGTGACGCATTTCAGGGGTAATCAACGGAGTTTGACTATGACAAAGTGCTGAATCCTATCGCCGAATATCCTCAACGCTTGAGTAGTTTTCCAAAGAAGTGTTGTGGGGAGAGGGAGCAAGCCCTGTGAGCTGCGAGAGAAGAGCAGCGCTTAGAGACCGCAAGACAAAGAAGAGAAAGCCAGCTGAACTGAATGGTGGCAATTTGGCAGAGTACCACATAATCTTTCTTGGACGCAAGGAACGTGAGAGGTGACTGTCTAAGCGATCTGACATCCCGGTCAGTACTGAACGCCTTACGTCCTGAACACATATGATCAGCATTGCAGAGAATAACGTCGGCCAGGTACTCCTGAATATGCATTGCATCCTTGCGTTTCCGGGTAGGCGGGAGCATCACTTGTGCATACCTATCTGATTGAGAAAACATGCAGTAAATCGCTCAACTGGGCTTTTCCGTAGAGCGATCTTGTGCAAGTTTATTGAATGTCTTGGCTTTCTCGCTAGTTAATGCCATACTCGGCACTGATGCCGTGCTGACCTAGGAATGTCTGAACAGTGTTGGTTTGCTGTTGGCCTGAGAAATAATATGGCGTACCTGCATCTAAGGCTCGCTACCTCCACTGCCTTGATTGGCTTCTGAGTAAATGACCCTACCATGAGCCAACGACGATGATGTATGGAGCTGTCATGAGCTGAACTTGGTAAGTATATAGACTAAATTGGTACTGCTGCATAATAATGTAGTACAAACTTGGCAATCATAGCGATATGCAGCAACGCCTCGACTAAGACTGTACGAAAGTCGTCAGGGTAAACTAACAGTTACCACATGCAGTAGTCATCGCGGCATGGATGATACTCAGGAAGTGGTTTCCACGAGCGCCAGCTAGTCGAGCATTAGTTCGGCCTGGTAGTAAGAGATGTTACTTTTACGCGAGGTAATGAGTTACGGCCAAAGTACGCCGAGTGCGTGATTTTCCTTCCTCTAGATCGTTCTCGAGCCTTGGCCAGGGAGTTTATCCGCTCAGCAGCAGTTTCAGCGTATCAAGACTCATCCACGATTTGAGGCAATCGAGAATATACCTTGCTAGGTCTATCAAGATCACCAAGAGTCCAATCCTTAGAGTGCCATTCCACCGTACCGCATATGTCTTCTCAGCTGTGGCGTACATGTCTTCTCAGCTGATACCGCTTGAGAAGCGTTTAGACCGACTACGGCGTCTACTGAAAGGACCGAGAATCTGTTCATTAGGTAGAAACTACAAGGAACTTTATGCACAATCACCGTCACATCTGCTGTTGCAACAGAGGCGCCTAGGTTCCCAACACAGCCTATCATCATTGCCAATACGAACCACGAGGTATCAAGCATCTTGAGAGAAGAACAAACTACTAACACCTGTAGCCTAAAGCTGAGCACGGCGGTCATCGTACAGTAAATCTAACAGGACTGCGCTATTCATAGTAGACTAAGATGATCTCTGTATACCCCCTCTCCAGTTAGACTGGCGTACCTGAGACGCTAAGACGATTAGTACTTGGCAGGATGTGGCTGGCATGTAAGCGACAGGTTCTTGATTGGACCGATCCTAAGACTCTGTAACTCAGTGGTCATGCATGCGATGGAGAACGTTATGTCCAAACATCCACATTTGTGTAAAGACAGGAAAAGGGTTCCTTAGTCTTGCTCATCTAACAGCAAGTATCAAAGTTTTGATCAGCATACGTTTGCCCTCTAGTTCTTCAAACGTACCTCGAGTGAACGACCGCACACGTGATACATGTACATATTTGTATGTATAATACTGAATGTGTGCCCAGGCATCCGGATTGTAGAGTACCTTTCAATGCATCATGCCAAGTGCTGGAAGATGGGTCGTGGACCGTCGCTTGGAAGTGCCCCCGCCTGGCGGAAGAGCCAAGGCACTTGTCAGCCACAATTCTTTCATCTGACCTCTCACCATCTCCGCCCATTCACCCCATCCGTGCGCAACAATTCCCACGTTGTCTAACTTTACGCCGGCGTCTTGGAAGGCGGCGCTATTGAATGTTGCCGATTAGCGCTAGTACTCTGTGAGTTTCTCTCACTAAGAGCAAGCGTTGATTGGTGCCCCGTTACCTGTGATTGGGATTTTCCTACTCTGAACTCAGCCCTGCGGAGACTTCGGTCCCCTATCGGTCATTCTCTCCCAGCACAAGCTGAACTCCGACCTCAATCGGGCGATGGCCAAGCACGCCCAGACGACCAAGATCACATTATGAGAGCTTCTTTGCACTTCGGGAAACGATGCTTCCGTTTCCAGACGCCAGAGATCAACATACTGTCGCGGATGAGCATCCCTCCGCTCACTAATGTTCCTAGGCAATAGTTCCCTGCAGCACCTTACTGTCACCACGCCACAGGCTTTCACTCTCGCTTCGAAGTGCGATGGTGGCATATGCAGAAAGAATACGAGCCTCAGCGCTGTGGCTATCACCATTAACTTACACCATCTATGCATCACGGTGCTAGAAGTTCGTCCAAGCACTTGGTAGTGGTGGTCTAACGTCCAGAATCGATATTCACGACGTAACGATGCATGTGCGTCTCTCTAGGGAAGAGCTGAAGATGTGATCTCTGAGTTTGAACGAAGGCCGGTGGAATCGTGATCAAGTATAAAGAGGAGGAACTGCACCACCATAAGTCGACATCAGGCTCAAGCCAGACACACAATCACTCCTCAGTCTATCACTACTATTCCTTCGTTCACACAACTCCAATCGCTATAGATCAACCTTCACCATGCGCTTCTCTCAAGCCGCGTTGGTCGCCATTCTCGCGGCCACCACAGCTGCAAAGCCTATTGTAACCCGCCAGTCTGCCGATTTAAAGGCAGTCCAGGATTACAACGACTGCATCGAAGAGCACAATCCATCCAAGACATGCACCCCTCCGCCAATGAAACCTGAACCCAAGCCCGACAACAAGCCTGAACCAAAGCCAGACAACAAACCCGAGCCCAAGCCTGAACCCAAGCCTGATAACAAGCCTGATGACAAACCCGAGCCCAAGCCAGACAACAAACCTGAACCCAAGCCAGACGACAAGCCTGAACCCAAGCCAGACGACAAGCCTGAACCCAAGCCAGACGACAAGCCTGAGCCCAAGCCAGATGACAAGCCTGAACCCAAGCCTGAACCGAAACCAGACAACAAACCTGAGCCGAAGCCAGATGACAAGCCCGCTCCCAAGCCAGAGAAGGAGGAAGAGGAGAAGCCGAAGCCGAAGCCCGACGGCAAGCCAGATGAATACCCCACCGACGGCAAGCCTGAGAAGGAGGAAGAAAAGCCCCAGCCCAAGCCTGACGAAAAGCCCGACGATAAGCCAGAGAAGGAGGAAGAGAAACCCAAGCCGAAGCCCGACGGCTACCCTACCGACAAACCTGAGCCAAAGCCTGAGCCAAAGCCTGAAAAAGAGGAGGAGAAGCCAAAACCAAAGCCCGATGGCTACCCTACCGACAAGCCTGAAAAGGAGGAAGAGAAGCCTAAGCCTGATGGTTACCCTACTGATAAGCCTGAGCCAAAGCCTGAGCCAAAGCCAGAGCCAAAGCCCGAGAAAGAAGAGGAGAAGCCAAAGCCAGAGAAAGAAGAGGAGAAGCCGAAGCCTGACTACAAGCCTGAGCCTAAGCCTGAGAAGGAGGAAAAGCCTACTCCCAAGCCTGAGCCTAAGCCTGAGAAGGAGGAAAAGCCTACTCCCAAGCCTGCTCCCAAGCCTGAGAAGGAGGAGGAGAAGCCTACCCCCAAGCCTGAGAAGGAGGAAGAGAAGCCTGCTCCCAAGCCTGCCCCCAAGCCCGAAACCGACAAGTACGTCTTTGACGAGGAGATCACTCTCAAGTGCGAGGGTGGAAAGATTGTCATCACCGGCCACGCATACTAAACGATCGATATTGGTTCGGCGCGGTGAAAAACGTCTAAGAGAGCAAGACCCTGTTCAACAGTATTGCTTGCATGAATTGGCTATGATTCAATGCCAGACCTGTAACGGTCGAGGTGTATGATTTGACGAATATGTATATAACGACAGACGACTTGGTGGTGGTGGTGACCTTGGTCTCTCCTTCATAGTAATCTAATGTTTCTGACAATTTATGAACTTGCTGTGAAGAAGATTTGATTGTATGAATGGCGGAGGAGTTCCTTGTGCATCAACACTTTGTCTCCTGAGATGACTACAACCTTGAGCGAATTTCGACTATCGCTTGGATAACCAGCAGAGAAATGCTGCGAGTGACTGCCTGAGATCATACAGACAAGGTCAAGGGGATCTCAACTACCCAGCATTTGCTTAGCTCCTCGGTCGTGTGTTACCCAATATTGGCTTTTCGAATTATACACATTAAGGTATGAGTTTACGATAGGTATCGCACACACAGAAGATCCCCGTCTCGGAGTCGCAAAGCATAATTCGTCAGCCAAGCAACAACATTGCAAGTTGAGAATCCACTTTGGGCGAAGACACACCACTTTCACGCCTGGGGGCACTGGAATGCCTCCTACATAACGTATCTTGATAAAGACAGTAGTATGAACATGCGTCAGGCTCCCTGAATTTGTGCACGATCTGGCTCCGGGCTGTTTTCGCATTGAGCCTTGGGTACTGGTGAGGGTCACATGAGTCATAAGTCGGCGGCAAATAGAAAATCCCACAAAACAAGCCTTGTTTCGATTGGTATGAGCGTATGTACTAATAGAAGAGAGATGAGGGCTGTAAGTCTGAAGTATCGTTGGCAAACAGCAAGCGTCATGATGATTATGACCAAAACAGATTTCTGTGCTAGCTCATATATGAGCTATTGCTGCCTGCACTCTCTCTCTAAAATTATGTTGGTCGTGTGTGGAACATCTTCTCCTAAGCTGCGCTGGTTATGTGTCAAGTTCCGTACTTCAAAGAGATTTTCCATGACCCAAAGTTGAGAAACCAAACTTCTTGACGGCTGCCTAGGCCTTCGAACGCGCGTGCTCGCATTGGTACACCGAGCAGCCATTTGTCGAAGATTAGTTGGTTGATTGACTCTATTTCTGTATTACAATTATTGCGAAGTGGTACTGATAGCTTTTGCACGTAAAGGGGCTTGGGTTTTAAAGAACCAGGCTTACTACCGTGTTGGATCTATCTGCTTCTACATATTCCTGAACACGCTAGAGGTTTACCAAGACGATGATAAAAATCGTAATTGTCGAACCACAGGGTCCACAATTTCATATCGGCTGCATCAACTGGGCATCGGCGACTTCCACCGCGACGCCGTGGTCACGAATTGAACGAAACATATCTTCTCGCACAAAATGGTGACGTTGGGGACTTTCGCACGGAAAAGCATCTGGAGTAAATCGCTCATTGGTTCCATGGATAGAAACATCCACTTTTCGGTGTCCAGGCAGTCACGCCGACGGCGTACCCTCCTTCTTACCGAACATGACTGTTGAGCGCAGATGAGTTTTTGCAGAACCAAACATCCAAACGTATATAACAGTAGCAATATGCGCTATGTATTTCTGTCTACCGACTCCCCAGCATTTGCTTTCGTAGCAACAGTTTCCGGACAATATGGCTGAAAAGCCAAATACCACCGCACCCATGCCCACCACAGCCACGCCCATGGCCCTCGAGGCCCAATCGCAAAATTCACTCAGAAAGATTGACACCAAAGCTTCGGAGATATACGACAACATACCTATGTGGCGGAAATGCATTGTCGTCTTCGTGTTGAGTTGGTCAGTATTGAGTGCTAGTTTCTCCAGCACGTCACTGCTCAGTGCAAGCACGGAGATTGCACGGGATCTTCAGACAACAGAGCAAGTAGCCAAGTTGTCGACATCGGGACTAGTGTTTGCCATGGGTCTCTCGCCGTTGATCTGGTGTCCAATTGCACGAGTGAGTTGTGGCCTCGAAGCTCACGTTGCGGAAATGAACCACGCTAATTTGGGCTAGATAATCGGAAGACGAATGGCGTATACTGCGTGCCTTGCAGTCTTGATGGGCTTCACGGTGGGTGCAGCACTCGCGCCCAGTGCGAAGATCTATGTGACCATGCGCATCATGGCCGGAATACAAGGCTGCTACTTCCATGTTGCTGGACAGACAATACTCGCTGAGTATTTCCCGCCTGTGAGTACCCAAATATCCAGGTTTCGCAGGGCAGTTGTCGTCTAACACAAAAGTAGGTGCAACGAGGAACTGCCAACGGCTTCTTCCTGGCGGGCAATACACTTGGACCTCCTCTAGGGCCTTTAGTCGCGGGGATCATGATGACCTACACAACCTGGCGCAGTATCATGTGGCTCCAAGTTGCCATGATTGGTGTGGCGTTCGTTCTCGCTGTCATTTTCGTCCCGGCGGGCAGGTTAGATCAGCCAGGCCTGGCGTTGAATCTGAGAGGCTGGCAGGCTGTGGCGACGTTCAACCCTCTCCCCGTGTTCAAGCAGATGCGTTATCCGAACATCTCCCTCACGGTATGTCTTGCTCCTGACAAAAGATCTGGAGGAAGTTTCGCTGATATATTGTAGCATCTAAGCTGCGGATTCCTGAGCTGGTCGCAATACTCGGTACTGTCAGCACCACGACATATACTGAGCACGCGTTTTCTCTTGACATCCCCAATCTCGTCCGGCTTGTTCTATATCGCGCCTGCGACTGGCTTTCTCCTGGGCACTGTCGTGGGCGGGCGCTACTCGGACATGACAGTGCGAAAGTGGATTGACAGACGTGGCGAGCGCCTTCCCCAGGATCGGTTGAATAGCGGCATGTTAGCCTTCTTTGTCATCATACCACTGGCTTCATTGCTATATGGATGGGGTCTGCAGTGCAATAGCTGCTCAACCGAAAAAGTGGGACTGGCATTACCCATAGTAACCAGCTTCTTTACTGCGGCTGGGCTCCTTGCTGCGTTTGCCAGCTTGAACACATATTGCGCAGGTAAGGGTATTGGCTGAGTTGGTGAGGTATTGAGCTAACACTGTTGACAGAAGCAATACCAAAAAAACGCGGCGAAGTCATCGCAGGCAAATATATAGTTCAGTACACGTTCGCGGCGCTTGCGACCTCTCAATCTATTCCTTTGATGCAAGCTGTTGGAGTCGGGCCAGCTTCCACAATTGGTAAGTCTGAGAAGTGGATTGTCGCAATATAAACATCGTTCTGACTAGATTAGGTGTGATCTTGGTCCTCATCGCTGGATGTCTTACATTCTTAACTGCGAAATATGCTTCTTCGATGGAGGCATGGGCGGACGATACGCAAGAGAGCACCAAACAGGCACCGTGGCCTCAGTGACGGCCTAACGCAATCAACATTCGAAAAATGTTTATTCGATTCCAACACCATTAGGCAACAGGGTTGTGTCGGACGTCTCAACCTGTTGCCCATCCATTGCCCCATATTTCGGGCCAAAACGGAGTCTGCAGCGCATCGAATGTATGATTATCGAAACCCTGCATGTTCAGGTCATTGTCGGCAAGAAATTCCTGCAGCGACGGTTCAGCAAGCGCCATACCGGCTGTCATGGTCGGTCGGGCAAGCGAGTAAACGGTCTCTTGGTTCAGGTCCGACGGAAGGCGCGATATGCGTTGAGTGGAGTTGTTATTCAAAACACTTTGAATACTTTGTTCTATAGCATCAATATGCCTGCAGAACTCGTGCGCTCCGTAGTTGCCGCTCTGATTGAGCTGGCGCAGAAGCTCTACAGCATTATTGAAGTTGTCGCCATCACTTTGGCTTTGAGGGGATCTTAGCAAGCTCGATATGGCGAGAATCGTAGCAGACGAAAACAGGTATTGCATGTTAAAATAGTCAAATATAGCAAATGAACCTTGAACCCATGCTTCAGTGAGAAGACGGTACGAGTGTCGAGAGCATTGTATGCACGTCTCTGCTAGTGCAAGCGCACTGTCTGGGAGACCGGCTTTGGGGTTGATGGAAGGATCTGTCCAGGATTGCCGGTGAGTGCGGAGCACATGAAGGAGAATTGGTCGAGTAGCAAGAATGACACACTGATGTTGTTAGTCGTACGTTTCCCATTCATGAAATTTGCCACGGGTGCATACTTGGTTGAATGTAAGGTGAAGATAAACAATGTGATTCGACTGGGTGGTACATCTCTCACTATCCTCCAAATGTAACTGGGTAGGTAGGGCTTCCATCCATTTCGTAAGATCCTTCAGAGAAACCTGCACTCTCTGAGAAAACGGGCTGCAGTGTTTTCTTCTGCTGTATATGGCGCGAATGGACTGCGCAGAGAGTCTCGCCAGCTCAACACTCTGCAAAATATAGTCAACGTCGCCGAAGTCGACTTGAGCGTCATCTTCTAGCCCGACGCTGCTAGGAAGATCTACTAAGATGTCCTCGTCAGCAATGGATGACGGAAGACCGAGTTTCGATGCGCAAGTCCGGTCTAAAACGTAGACCGTCCACCACAGTCGCGTCCGATGTTCTCTCGCCAGGCGATTGCGGTATTGGTGTTCTGGAACGTTCATCTGCATGCCCATGATGATTGCAAGCCTAACTGCGGAGCTAGCAAAGAGGTATGCAGAATGTCGCCTATTGAGAACGTATGAATATAGGACCTATGATGTCAGCACACACGAACGTGCATTAGCAGTCGATTTCCGGCAATCTTACAAGTAGAAGCGCAATTTCAAGCGTATCCATTTGTGGCCTCTCAGCAGCCATTGTGACCATCTTCCGTGCTTGCGCATAGTATACCAACCCAGGAAAAGTGGCCTCTTGAGCCGCAGTCTTCGTCGAATAGGCCTCTCCAAGTGCAAAAAGTGCCAAGAGTTTGCAGACAACGAGTCTCTCGCCGTCACCACCATTAGCGATAACTTTTTCCAAAGCTTCTAGTACCACACTCTGGCGAACTATGTGATAGTACCGGCATACTGTATTTAAGGCCGCCTTGACCAGGAACCTTGCTCGAGCCGGAGTTGGGAAGGAATAGTGAGGTTCCGCGAGACGCAGCAACGATTCATCTCCTACATAACTCATTCGAGGGAGGTGGCTAATCGACTCCGTAATCAACGTCTGACGAAACCTAGTTGCGAATGCAGCGTCGGCAGCTTCATCGATGCGAATGGGCATATCCGAAGAAGACATGGGAAGAAACCATGGGCGATCTTCCAGGAGTGGATTTTGCACCGCATCTTGATTCTCGGCGTTACTATGAGACGATCCGAGACGCGGAGCATCAGATGCGGATGTCACGTTCGCATTGTTGTTGCGTAAACGTTCATTTTCTTTCAAGAGGTCCTCTACGTACCTTGACGTGTTAAGGGGATTTGAGTGGCGGAGGCTTGTCGCTTACTGTTGGCTCAGTTTGATGTTGCGGTCACGCGAAGGGTACTCGCATTCAGTTGGTCTTTCGGCGTCGCGGCAATTCGAGCACGGGTGCTCTCCAGAGCATTTGACCTTCCGTGAATGGCATCGTTGACAGCTGCTATGTTATTAGTAAGGGTAGTGGGATTGGGTCGAGTAATATCTCACGCGACAGACTTGGAGCCTTTTTTCTGCACTTGTCCTAACGATTCGGCTCTACCAATAGATGCCCGAGTTCGATTATGGGGTACTTTTGGCATCTCTCATGACAACACAAGTGATGGGACTGGTGACGCTTGTGCTGGGAGATGCATCGAAGAGGCTGGGAGTGAGGGTTGAGGCTAGGATCAAAACTCGGATGTATCTCGGGCTCTAGACGACACCGTCGCTCTATCTTAATAAAATTACATTAAGCACCGCAACAGACGTCCAGTATTCTTGAAAGGATGAATGCGCCGAGCTGATCCAGCATCGCACGCAGCATCCAAGAATGCCATTCATCAGACGGCACGCGCAAAACCCCCACAGTCACGTAATCCCCATATAGTAAACAGAGCCAATTTCTCGTATACCAACAGAACAACCCCCTGTCGTAAATACTCAAAAAGCGCAAGAACTCTAGAAGGAGCATCACCTGTCGAGACACTAACATTGAACCTGAATTCCTACTGAGCACAAGAGCCGATCAACAACCATCTCAGCCACCAGATCGTCGGGCTAGTGTCACTAATTCCGCGATTCCGCCCCTGCCACGCAGTTCCCCGCAACACCACCGAAAAGCTGGGGTAAACTTGCAGGGGGCCATCGACGTCGAGGGACGAGCCGATGCATGTGTGATTCCGCACCTGAGAATAGTATGCTATATATTGTTCTTGGGTATACTTACATATGCACCATGTGAAGCGAACTTCAATTTGAATCTTCCACGCGTTCATCACCAAAAGCCACCAGCATGATTTCCACCCTTACACCCCTCGCATCTCAAGCGCTGACCAAACATCCCATCCTCTCTATCCTCGCGCTCCTCGCCGCTCTACCATTCACCTACTTCCTATGCAACGAATACGTCCGCTACACACGGCGCATAAAGGCGTTTCCCGGGCCGCGCAACTGGCCCATCGTAGGCAACATCCCCGACATCAAGTACAACGCCGCAGAAAAGTACCGGCAGTGGAGCAAAGAGTACGGCGCGGTGTACCAGATCCAGCTGGGGAATGAGCCGGTGATAGTGGTGAACAGTGCGGAAGCAGCGCGGAAGATCTTCGGGGGGAATAGTCAGGCGTTGAGTTCTCGACCGGTGTTTTGGACGTTTCACAAGGTGGGTGCACTTCGCTTTGCTGGTAGTATGGTGGGTGTGAGACTGATTGATGGGGGCAGGTGCTTTCCAATACCGCGGGGACTACGATCGGTACATCGCCTTTCAATGAGTCGCTTAAACGCCGGCGCAAGGGCGCTGCGTCTGCGCTCAATAAACCCTCTATTGCGACGTATATCTCGCACCTCGATCTAGAGACCAAGGAGTTCGTCAAAGACGCGTTCGAGTCTAGCCAAGCGGGGACAGTGGGCGTGGACTGCATGCCGATGATTGAGCGGTTGTCGCTGTCGCTTGCTCTCACGTTGAACTGGGGCACGCGCATGGGTAGCCGAGAGGATCCCATGTTCCATGAGATTACTGAGGTAGAAGCCGCGATTTCCAAGTTTCGATCTACGACAGGCAATCTCCAGGACTATATCCCGGTGTTGCGGTTGAATCCGTTTAGCTTTGGGACGAAGAAGGCGAAAGAATACCGCAGGAGGAGAGACGTTTACCTTACGAAACTCAATAGGGACTTGGATGATAGGATGGAAAAGGGCGTTCACAAAACGTGTATTCAGGCTAATATCATCTTGGATAAGGAGGCGGGCCTGAATAAGGAGGAGTTGACATCAATCAGCTTGACTATGCTTTCTGGGGGTCTGGACACGGTTACGACGATTGTACAGTGGAGTGTTGCGCTACTGGCCCAACGACCAGACGTGCAGAAAAAGGCTGTCGAGGAGATCCGCAACTTCTACTCTGACACCGAGCCGCTCTGCGACGCAAACGACGACCAGAAGTGCGCGTACATCTGCGCGTTGGTCAGGGAGTGTCTGAGGTACTACTGCGTGCTGAGGCTGGCGCTTCCCAGGGCGACAGTCAAGGACATTGTGTACGAAGGCAAGTTAATTCCAGCCGGGAGCACAGTGTACCTAAACGCGTGGGCGTGCAATATGGGTAAGTTGCCAGCATTCCATAGATTGTTCAACGCTGACAGTGGTGAAGACCCCGACGTCTGGCACGACCCAGAGAACTTCCGCCCTGAGCGCTGGCTCGAGCAGCCCGACGCGCCGCTATTTACGTACGGTCTCGGCTACCGCATGTGCGCAGGCTCGCTCCTGGCAAACCGTGAATTGTATCTTGTCTTTATGCGGCTGTTGAACAGCTTTGAACTCATCCAGGATTCGGAGGTTGATGTGCATCCGGTGCGAGGCAGCGTGGATCCTACCAGCTTGGTGTGCATGTGCAGACACTACAAGGTCATTTTCAAGCCGAGGAATGAGACGGCGCTGAGGGCGGCGTTGGATGCGGCGGATGCGCGGTTATCGGGAGCTTAGGATAGTTTATCTGATGAGTTGACATGCTTGAAGACTTGAACATTGAACGAAAGCGAATGTGCATGTGAGTGACATGGAAGACGCAGAAGATGCGGTGGTCTTGGCATTGCAGGGATACTCTCTCCGCACGAGCAGGGGTCGTCATGGTTATCGCAACTCCACCATGTCCTGTTCAAACCAGTATCACTAGCAGACCAGGGTCTGTTGAGATCTTTGGAACCTGCGTATAACTGTAATTGCCATCTTGATCGCCTGGCGAAGTGGCGCTCATTTCCACTAGTGGGTCGTGTTCCACTCAATAAGAGCTCAGATCAATCTATTGCATGCGCTGATGCTTTTTCTTCCCCTCTATCAGTCACGTCTCACTTCAATGCGATGAATGAGCCACCGTGCACATGGTAGCAAACGGCCGTTCCACGAACAGCGGGTGGCTGCAAGAGGGAGTGATTCGGGGAAGCATGCTGGGCAAGACGATGCTCCCCACCGACGAAGAGCTAGGCAAGAAAGACGACGACCACCGATACAAGCCAGCGCGGCATCCCAGCTCGTCGACGTCGAGCCCCCCATTTCGCTGGCGAAGACGCCGGGTGTACTTGGTGGTGTTGGGCTTCCTCGCCCTCTCGCTGGTCCTGCACATCTTCCGCTCACCCAGGTCGTTCGAGGACAAGAAACGACTGCTGCTGTTCCCGTCGACTAGACCACCACCCCCAAAATACGCCGAAACAGCGTTTGAAAGCGACAGAGAGCCTACGGGACCGCCCCCAGGCACGCGGATAAGCAGAGATGGGGTGATACCACACACGTATGACGGCCAAATCAGGTTCTTCCGCCTCGCCAAATCGCTGCGCGCCACTACATCGCTCACCAATGGCTATCAGTCCACGAACCGGAATGTCGTATTTGCCATATCTAGCCTGAAGAGCGCAGGCAACCTTCTCCCGATGATATGCGACATGACAACGTGGAACAGGAATTGGGTACACGCTGTATTTGTGGGGAGGGAAGATATACCGTTGGATACCTTGCTGGAAATCAACGGCGTGGACAAGACAAAGTGTCCGGCGTTTTGGCACGATGCGCGGCCTGACTATGCCGAGTACAGCACGGATGCGCGAGCGGAATTGATTGTAATGGCTGCGCTATCGCATATTCATGAATTCCTGCGACCGCAGGTGGTTATCACGGATGATGCGAGATTGGAGGATACGTTTTTCGTCAAAGCATCAAGGGTCAAGACGGAGACGCTTGAGATTCCCCTAATCGAGATACCGCAGAATAGGTGGGAGGACTTCGCGTGGATGACGAGGCTCGATGTAGGATCACTGAGTAGTTGGTTTCTCCCCACGGTCGATCTTCTGATACAGGTTCCACCCGATTCGGCGAGCGTGTTGCGACTGCTCAAGTCTATCAAGGAGGCTGATTACAAGGGTCTGAAGCCGCCGCGTATCACTCTGGAGCTTCCTGCAGATATGGATATAGCCCTCAAGCAGCGTCTGGAGACATTCGATTGGCCTCCAGACAACAACCCCTCCAACAATATCGTCCTCAGACGCCGCATCGCCAACCACGGTGTGACACAGGAGGAATCCGCTATCCGCTTCCTGGAGCTCTTCTACCCTACTGACAGCAATTCGCACGTTCTATTGCTGTCACCCCAGGCGCAACTCTCTCCGCAGTATTTCCACTACCTCACCTACACGCTGCTGGAGTACAAATACTCCTCGTTCGGCGGAGTTGACAACGCCAACCTAATGGGGTTGAGTCTCGAACTCCCCTCTGCCCTCCTCGACGGCAAGACGGAGCTCATCCCACCCACAACAAAGAACATGCACAACGAGCGGTACAAGAAACTGCGCCCTGACACTCCAAGTGTGCCATTCCTATGGCAAGCGCCCAACAGCCACGCCACGCTTTTCCACGGCGACAAGTGGGCAGAACTGCACTCCTTCCTCCGGCACCGCGTCGCCAAACACCATCAATCCTCTAAACCAGCCGCGAGACAAAAACTCGTATCAGAGACGCTGCCCAGCTGGACAGAGTACATGCTCGAATTCATGCGCGCCCGCGGCTACGCACTGCTCTACCCCGCCACAACGTCCGCCGACGCACTCGTCACAATCCACAACGAACTGTACCACGCGCCGGAAGAATACGCCCCCGCGTCTCGCGCGAAGACAGAGAAAGCGGATGACGCGCCCGCAGATGTTCCGAACGAGGCGTTCCTCCGCGCCCCCTCGTCGCCGCGCGCCCCAGTCAATGCTGAGCGCCCGCTCTCCCCTGCCTCGCGGCCCCTACACCAACTTCTCCCCTTCAACGGCGATCTGCCTGAGGTGGCTCATCTACCGCGCCTCCTGCACGACGGGACGAGGGTCAGTGCGAGTAAAATGGGTAGGGTGGCGGTGACATATGCGGATGAGTTCCGCGTGGAAGTCGGTGGATGTGCGGTGTACAAGGATAAGAAGAGGAAGGTGGTTAGTGGGGAGGCGGGGGATTTGTTCTGCTATGGGGATGAGGATGAGGGGGATTGGGTTGAGGCTGTGGTGGTTGATGAGGGGTTGGTGGGGAAGGGGTTGGGGGTGGTGAGCGCGACGAGTGGGATGGCGAAGGAGAGCGTTGTGGTGTCTGCTATGGCGTCTGCTGTTGTGGTGGATGATTTCTAGGTTTTTGGGGGTTTGTATGTTTGGTAGATGGGTGGTGGGGGTTTTGTTGTGGATATGTTTGGATATATAAGATGTAGTGTATTTTGTTTCTTTCTCACCAAAAATAAAGAGAAACCAGCTCAAATATTTAACCTGCATACCCATCTACCTGTGAAATTCGTGTCTACACAATACATTCCTGAAATGTTGAGAAAGCGTAGATTCTTGGTGTGAATTGACGGGTAGACGTCGTTGACAGGTGGGCTCTCGCTTAGTCGAGATAGCAGGGATCAATTCACGATGCTCTTAGCAAGATAAGGCAACCAAAATAGAAGATCAGATGCTCCAATGAGAGTGGGCTAGGGATCTACCATCAACACACAGGACGCACAATTTTCTCAAAGATGTTAAACGTAGTTGTCATGCTAATGCAAGATTTCTGGTTCTAGGTACTTCTCAGCGGGTTGCACACGGGTGGCGATGTGGGGAGCGCTAAGCATCACTGGCTGGCCATGTCATGCATCTACAAGTCGAACTTTTTTCGCCGTTTGCTCAGATCACCGCCGCAACATCACCGCCACCGTCTGATTCTCGCACCTGGGCGCTGTTCTCTTTCCTTGCTTCGTGGTGTAGCAGTCGTGTTTTTGTTTTGTATGCAATTTAATACCACCTAGACTCTTCGACATGCTCGCGCGGGCAGCAGGGCGGAAGCTCCGCAGAGACGCCTTTAGGACCACGACACAACCGCACAGCCAGCAATTGTCGCTGCCATGGCTGTGTCCACGCCAAATACGATGGACCTCGGTGACGACAAACACATACGACGCCCGGCGGCAACGGCTGCCGGGCTCGACACCACCACGGCACCAGACACGCTCGCTCGCCACAGAGGCCGAAGTGCAGGCTGCCCCGTCCGACCTGCCCTTTGACGGCTTCATGGGGGCGTGGGCCCCGCGCGCACAGCCGGCGGACCTCGCCAGCCTGCAGCACTGGGACACGTCGCGGCCGCTGATTGTGAACGAGATGAGCACGGCGGTGCCCAACGGGTTCCGCAGCCACCAGGGCTTCGGGGCCGACCCCACGGAGCTGCACCAGAACCTGTACGCCTGCCTGCGCGTCGGCCGCATCGACCGCGCCGCCATCATCGTCGACCGGCTGGCGGCGCTGTACGAGCCGTCGGCGCCCGAGGTGGTGGACGCGCACAACAACTTCCTGCAGGCCATGTTCGAGCTGGCCCAGCAGGACCCCCAGCCCGACTCGCTGGCCCGCATCGAGGAGTGGTACGACGCCCACATGGTGCGCAACGCCATGCAGCCCAACGCCCACACGTTTGTCACGCTGCTGCGCGCCGCCATGTCCTTCCTCGACGGCGACGCCCAGGAGGACGCCGTGCGCCGCTTCCTCGCCATGGCCGACCAGTGCGCGCCCGAGCTCGTCGACGACATCAACGCCTCGCCCGACTTCACCGACGAGGAGTGGGACACGCTGATCCGCCTGCAGCCCGACGCCTACGACGAGCCGCCGTCGGTGCACGACGTCCAGGAGCTGCACACCACCACGCCCGCCGCCCACCGCAACCTCGTCGAGCACGGCCTCTTCACCCCGCAGCACATCCGGCCCGTGGCGCAAAAGGGCCTGGGCCTCGACTCGCTGAAGCAGGCCCTCGCCATCTTCGAGCCCGGCCACGAGCTGCCCTACCCGCACGACATGGCGGGCTCGCCCGAGGACAAGGACCAGGCCTACGCCTACGCCCGCCAGCTGCGCATGGAGGAGGACTCGATCGGCGCCGCCGTCGAGCGCTGGAAGCAGGAGGACATGAAGCTGCAGGACATGGGCATCCACGGCGTGCTCAACAGCAAGCCCATCCAGGCCCTCATGTACAACTGGTACACGGCCCTGCTGCCCCTCTTCAAGAAGGAGATCGACCACGCCAAGGCCGTCGAGAACCCGCGCGACGACGCCTTCGCCTACTCGGCCTGGCTGCAGCAGTGCAAGCCCGAGAAGCTGGCCGCCATCACCATCTCGCGCGTTCTGCAGGCCTGCGTGCGCGGCAAGGGCCACGACGAGGCCAACCTCAAAATCTCCGCCATGACCACGGCCATTGGGACGGAAATCCGCGACTATCTCAACAGCGACACCCAGGCGCGCAAGGAGGCCTTCCTGAAGAAGCAGCGCAGGGAGACGCGCCAGCGCCTGGTCGACCACCTCTCCAAGACAAAGACCGACACCGAAGCGCCCGCACCTGCCCCCAACACCCACACGGCGCTGTTCGAAAAGACCGACATTCCACAGTCCGTGCGCATCAAAGTGGGCGCCCTCGCGCTGGAGCTCTTGCTGCAGTCGGCCACCATCACCGTCACAGCCGACGACCCCAAGACAGGCGACAAGATAACCAGCACCCACGCCGCCTTCCACCACCAAATCGGCTATTTTCAGGGCAAGAAGATTGGATGGGTCGCCCCACACTACGAGGTCATCAACAAGCTCCGCACTGAGCCTGTCCATGGTGTGCAGACAGTCAAGCTCCCCATGCTAGTCGAGCCCAAGGCCTGGTCGGCCTACGACGTTGGCGCTTACTACACAACCCCAGAGAAGGTTGTGCGCCAAAAGGCCGGCGACACTGCACAGAAAGCGTATGCCCGGACGGCAATTGAGAACGGCGATATGGTCAAAGTTCTTGCAGCACTGGATCTGCTGGGCAGAGTGCCTTGGCAAATCAACTCGTCGGTACTCAACGTCATGGCCGAAGTCTGGAACTCGGGCCAGGGCCTCGCAGGCATCATACCTGAGAAGTCCGACTTGGAGCGTCCTGTTGAGCCCCCGGCCGACGCAACGTACCAAGAGCGAGCCACGTGGGGAAAGAAGCTGCAGGATTATGAGAATCTGAAGTCTGGTTTCCACTCGCAACGGTGCTTTCAGAACTTCCAGTTGGAGACTGCAAAGGCGTTTGTCAACGAGAAGAAAATGTTCTTTCCACATAGCGTTGACTTTCGTGGGCGTGCATACCCAATACCTCCTATCCTCAACCACATTGGGTCGGATGTGGCGAGAGGTCTTTTGAAGTTCGCAAACGGGAAAGAGCTCGGGACGGTTGGCTTGCAGTGGCTCAAGGTTCATCTCGCTAACCTCTACGGCTTCGATAAGGCTAGTCTGCGGGAACGCGAACAGTTTGCTATGGATCATATGGAGGATATTGTCGATTCTGCAACCAACCCACTGGACGGCAAACGCTGGTGGGTCAAGGCGGAGGATCCTTGGCAATGTCTTGCGTGCTGTATCGAGCTGAAGAAAGCTATGGACTGTCCCGACCCGACTAAATTTCTCTCCCAGCTACCAGTGCATCAGGATGGAACTTGCAACGGTCTGCAACATTACGCGGCTTTGGGAGGTGACGAGGCAGGTGCTCGTCAGGTCAACCTCGAACCGTCAGACCGACCGCAGGATATCTACACTGGTGTTGCTGATTTGGTCAAGGAAATGGTCGTCAAGGATGCTGCAGGTGGTCATGAGTGTGCCAAGTTTATCGACGGCCACATCACCCGAAAGGTCGTCAAGCGAACCGTCATGACAAACGTCTACGGTGTGACGTTCATGGGAGCCACAGCCCAAGTGCACGACGAACTGAAAAACGCCTTCCCCGATTTCAAGGAAACCAAAACCGTCAAGTCCCTGCACGCTGTTGCTCTGTATGTCGCATACAAGATCTTTGATGCTCTAGGCAAGATTTTCAACGGCGCTCAGGAAATTCAGTACTGGCTTGGCGAGTGCGGTGATCGCATTACAACGTCTCTCACTGCCGAACAGGTCCGAAGAATTCAGTGGCGTTATGAAGGCAAGGACTCGATGTTTGACCCTAGATTCAAGGCGCCAAAGGGTGCAGTAAGTGGATCGCTTATCAACAAGCTGAACAAGGGCATGGAGGCTTTCAAGACGAGTATCATCTGGACGACTCCGCTCAAGATGCCCATCGTCCAACCCTACAGAAAAAGCGGCGTCCAGAAGATTAAGACTAAGATCCAGGATATTACCGTTATGAAGAAGTCGATCTCAGACGTTGTCGACAGACGCAAGCAACTCCAGGCTTTCCCACCCAACTTCATCCACTCTCTCGACGCGACTCACATGACCCTTTCGGCACTCAAGTGCAGCGAGATGGGCCTCGACTTTGCCGCCGTGCACGACAGCTTCTGGACGCACGCTTCTGATATCCCGAAGTTGAACGTCATCCTCCGCGACGCTTTCGTGCGCATGCACTCTGAGGACATCATGGGCCGTCTAACTGCAGAGTTCTCGGCGCGCTACGCAGGAGCCATGCACCGCGCAAACCTGTTCTGCAGCTCGCATGTCGGTCACGAGATCTCGAAATGGCGATACCATCACCGCAAAACTACTGGCAGTGCCGCCGTCGGTCGCCATGGAACGGCGTCGTTCGAGGAGGTAGCGCTGGAGTCGCAGAGGCAGGAGTGGCTTGCCAGCGAGGACCCGGAGCTGAGGAAGAAGGGCGAGGAAATGGTGACGCCGACGAGCATCTGGCTCGCTAACCCGGATCCACGCGCGATTGCGAGTTTCCGCCTCCACCTGCTCGGTGAGACGAAGACAGCGACGAAGGATTCAAAGACGTTTTCCGAAGTCAAGGATAAGATTCTCGGCGCTGAAGCTGAGGCCGTCGAGGCCGAAACTGAAGCTGAAGCTGAAGCCGAAACAGAAGCCGACGTCGACGTCCCAGACCGCGACATCTTCGAACAACTCGCACAAGACGAAGCCGACGACTCCTCAACCCCATCAAAACTCAAATCCCCCGCCGCCGCAATGGGCGACAAAGCCTCGGTCCAAGTCTGGATCCCGCTCACTTTCCCCCCGGTCCCCAAAAAGGGCGGCTGGGACGTCTCCCGCCTCCGCGAGTCGGAGTACTTCTTCTCCTGACTCAGCCCGGCGCTGCGCGGCGACGCTATGAGAGACTTGTTCCGCACTAGTGGGACGTGGCCGATTGATGCTACGCCGGAGAGCTATCGTATTAGCCAGTTTCCTGCGCATGGTGAGTGTGGGTGGCATGTTCTCGAATCGAGTCGCAGGGTGTGGAGGGCGGAGAATAAGGGGAGTAGTACGCTTGAGGGACGGAAGAGGAAGGAGGGCGAGACGAGGGGGAGGAAAAGCAAGATGGAGAGGCCTATGTGATTGGAAGGGTTGGGGTTTTTTGGGGTTTTTATGGGCGTTTTTTTTTGGTGGGGGAACTTGGATGGGGGGGTTGCATCGCATTGTATGGCATAGCATGGCTTGGTGTTGGGTTTTCGTGGAGTTTTCGGGATAGGGCTAAAAGATGGTTGGGCGCGTTTGGGCGCGCGAGACGACGGTTTGAAAGAGTGTAGGAGGAAGGGGCGCTTGGGATTCCCTCACCTCATGTATTATGTATTTACCACTTGACGCCATGACACACTACACTACACTACACACCTTTTGTACGAGTATTTAGATACCAATAGATGAACTGTTTGATTATAGTATCGACTTAGTTGTATATCTTCTCTCATACTGCGGAATGGAATGGCGAGACGCGGTTCACTATTAATCAACCCCAAGGAAAGGAGCTGGTCATGTAGGTATCCCGTCTCACTCATAAACGCTTCGTGATATAGACACTACAGCTCATGAGCGGAAGACCCGCATTACAAAATATAAGCCTTGCTAGTCCAAGCTATGCAGATAATATGCTAGCAGTGCGCCAAAACCCCAGACCCTCCACACACTACTCAGCCGACAAATGTCGATGTGGCATACAGGCAGATGAAGATAAGAATACATATAAGACGGACATGCAGATGAAACTGAAGCGCTAGAAATATGTTGCCACAGAGCCCTGTGGATCAACGCGGATGCCAAACACAAAAGTGCCAAAAGTGAAAAGTACAAAGTACAAAACGCAAAAGCGCAACGCAATGAATCAGCTCATAAACAAAGACAAGAAGAAGAAAAACAGAATGCTACAACACCTCCCTCACACCCCCTAAAAACCCCAACCTTCCAACAACCCTCACACCCCACCAGGCCACCCCTGCACGCCCGCTCGCCCGGCCCAAAACGCGCGGAAATCCATCCCGTTGCCATCTCCCGCTGCTCCGCATGGCTCGAGATCCAAATCCGCGAGACTGACGCCGCTGTCGGGAAATAGGGTTGTGTTTGGAGATAGATCTTGGGCGGACCAGGAGGGTGTCCAATCGTGTGTTGGCGGGGAGGAGGGGAGGCCGGTGAGGTCTGTGAGGTGCGAGAGGGGGGAGGGCGATGAGGGGGAGAATTGTGGGTTGGATAGGGAGAGGGGGGGAGGGGAGAGGAAGGGTGTCATGTTCGGGGTGTGGTGGTGCGGAGGGGGAGTCTGGACAAGTCCAGGACTCGGCGTCGCAAACCCCGGCATCGACTTCTGCCTCGCCTTCGCCGTCCTCCTCCCCTTCACCACTCTCCCCACCCTCCCACCCCCCTCCCCCCCAACCTTCCCCCTCTTACTATTCCCCACCCGATTCTGCACCTTCCGATTCTCATACGCCCTCGGCGCATTAACAAACATCCTAACCTGACACGCCGAATTCATCACATCCTCACAAACCGTCTTCTCCCTCTCCAACGCAGCGATAACATTCTCCAACCGCGCCAAACAATCCACATCGCGATCCTCGTCCTCGCCCTTCCGCTCATCAGCCACATAATCATTGTGGTGCCAGCCGCGGAACCCCAGCGTCGCTTGCTCCAGCACGCAGTCGAGGATCTTGTGTGCGTAGGCTTCGACTAGGGCGGGTGGGTAGTGCGCGCTGTGTACCCAGCGCTTCATGGCGATGGAGGAGGGGTTGTCGCGGGCGGTGTCGGGGCGTGTCATCGCGGTGTAGATGCGGGAGGTGTGGTGGGTGCGGGCGGAGTTTATGGCGGCGATGGTGGGGTCGGTGGAGGGCGGGAGGTAGGGCTGCCGGTTGAAGCGGGTGTGGGCTTTGCGGTAGGTTTTGGCGGCGTGGGAGGTGGGGAAGGAGGCGCTGAAGGGGGTGTACATTGTTGTTGGGGGGGGAGGGGGGGATTGGGTTGTGCTGGTGGGTGGTATTTGTGGTGGTGCGGAGGGGAGGGAAAAGGCTGGACTTCGGCTCATGGCGGAAATAGATCTGTGGTGTGCGTTATAAAGGGGGGAGAAGCCGATGTCTACTGTTCGCGAGCGCTCTTGCTCCGGAACGCGGGGGCTGGACACTTCGGCGGTGTTCTCGATGCCATGACCGAGGCTGTTCTGGTTTTGGGCAGCGAACCCCGAAGCGTGTTGGTCGTGCGAGATGGTTCTCTGCGTGTCGAAGGTGATGTTTGGTGCGTAGGGTTGGTCGAAGGCGTTTGCTGCCCCATGCTGGTAGTTACTGGAGTCGGGGAACTCATGCAGGGCGTCTGGGAACGGCGAGGTATGTAGTGCGGATTCGAAGTATGTGGGTTGTGCATTGTCGGTATTTGATGGTGGCCAGTGGTGGTCCGGGAAGGGTTCGAGGGGTGGATATTCGCTCCAGTGGAGTGATGGGTCCAGTTCAAGGGGGTGAGATTTCATGGCTGGGTTGGTGAGTGGTTGTGAGCGAACTTGAAATCTTGATATGATTATCGAAAAAAGGAGAAGTGTAAGTTATCGATGCAACAGAATATCTTATGCCAGATATCCAATAACAATATCTGCCTATCAAGCAGTGTTATTCACTTCGACGTGAAAAAGTCTTAACAAAAGACCACACACCCAACGTGAAGAATCCCCCCTTAAATATTCGACCAACGCGCAGAGGTCCCGCGTCAATGGGCCGCCATCGCAGCAACACATGAAGCCTGACCACGCCCTCGTGGCTTGTGACATGGCGATGCGTTCGAACGCGTGGGGTAGGCGAGGCTGTGAAGAGTGTTGGCCACTGCGTCTTCGGAGCTCCAACGCAACGTGCCTCGTCGTCTCGAGTAGGGCTTTTGTTCGATCGGTTGTTCTGGGTTGGTCAGATGCTGCGTGACTGGCCACACTGCCCGACAACAGGGCCGGGATTTGTCACGGAGGGGTATTCGGTGTGCTATTCGAGTCTAAGACGTAGAGGGTCGATGCAGTGGGGGTGAGAGTTACCACGCAGATGTTGACAGAATCTATGCACTGCCCGCGGACGAGGCTGGTAGCTGTTGGTTGCGATGCTAGCATTGTGACGTTGGTTCAACCTACCGTTTGCATTCGTGGGATAGCCAGCCAATCGAAAGAGGTCCGATAATTAGGAGCCTGCGAACAGTGTTGTCATTTCCCACACGGTAACCTGTCATTGTCAACCAAAGAAGCGATACCAATCCTACACAAGCACAACACGAGATCACGAGAAAGCGAAAAGCAGAAAGAGAAGTTGCGTCAAAGACAAGTATATTCAGAGATATTGTATATTTACATCGAACGGAACAGTCACTCCTCCTCTCCAACATCAATCAAGATTTTCGGGGCACTCCTTAAACGCGGAAAGCACGGGCGTGGGAGCGAGCGCTCACCATGCGGCGGAGCTTGGAGGCGATGTCAGAGCCAGCGTTGGACTGGAGCCATGAGATGAACTCCTCAAGGGTGAACTCCTTGGGGAGAGCAGAGCCAGCCTCAGCGGACGCAGTGGGGGTAGAGACGGCCTCGACGGCGGTGGGGGTGGCGGAGGCGGAGGCGGCGGCAGTAGGAGTAGGGGTGGCGGAGGCAGCAGCAGAGGAGACAGCGGCCTTGGAGGAGACAGGAGCAGCAGAGGCCGAGGCAGAGGCCGAGGCAGAGGAGGAAGGCGTGGTCTCGCCGGAGCCACCCATGGTGAAGTCAATGCAGGCCTCGTAGGTCTGGTCGATGGAGGCTGCGTCCCAGTACCACTGGATAACACAGTCACCGGCGGTAGCGCACTCGGAGCTGACATCGGGCATGGTGATGTTGAAGTTGGTCCAGTCGGGGTGGTCAGACATGGGCGACGAGGTCATGGCATACTCGTCCCAGCTGATGAGGGGCTCGCCGATAACGGTGTCAGTGCTGGTCTTGACGATGGAGACGTTGGCAACACCGTTGTGGGGAGCATGGATCTCAACAACCACGGGGATGTTCTGGCCAGCGGTGTAAGAGTGAACATCGGTAGCGTCAGCGAACGGAATACCCTTGCACTGCCACATGCGGCAGTCGGGGTGGGAGCCCTGCAGGTTCTGAAGAGAACCCTGAACGTTGCCGTAGTGGTCAGAGTTTTGCTGGTTGTAGACCTGCTCGCCGCAAGCAGCCTTGAGGCCATCGCCGGGGAGACGGGGAGAGGGCGAGCTGATGTAACCGTGGGCAGCGACGGAAGAGACGAAGCCAGCAAGGGCAACGGCAGCGGAGTAGGACTTCATCTTGATTGTTGGTTTTTGAAAGGTGCGAGAGTTGTCGGCGAAGAGCGATGTGGAAGGCTAGCTTCTTTGAAAGATAGTGTAGTGAATGAGTGTGTTGTAAAAAAGAACGTCAGGTCACAGACCAGAAAAGAGCACAAAGAAGTGAGGTTGGAAGTAAACTGATGTTTGGATACAGAAAATATGATGAACGACGTTGTGTGTCTATATAGGCCTCTGCTCGAAAGAACTATTCCTTATCGCGGTTATTGCGGTGGATCAAGTCATTAAACATTCGAAACAAAACTCCCGATGAGTACCGCCTCCAAGCAAGGCTGTCCTGCGCTCTCGACCAGATCCATTTCGAACGTTATGCCGCTTCCGTAATATCCGAGGAAGGGTGGTGTTTCTGGTGATGCTTGGCTCTAATCGTCCACCAGTAGAAAGGAAGAATTAGTCTGACTAAGGGCGAAGGATGGAGAGCAAGGCGGCAGACTAAGACACGACAACGGGCACCATGTCGTTTGGTACCTGTCTAACCAGATGGCGGAGTATAGACGAGCAGTTTCGCATGGTCGAAGCGCCCAAATTACCAGGGATGAAACGGTCGGGATGGTGTGGCGGGTTTCATATGCAAGCGAGCATCTGGCCCGGAAAATTCAATAAGATGTGCGGCTCAATGACTGCACCATTGTCTGGGAGGCGTCATAGCGCGCGGTACCTTCGTTCCATGCGAAGCGAGATGCGGTGTCTGTCGTGGGAAGAAGAATGATGGAAAGACGTTGCGGTGTTCTCCTGTCAGAACAGACGGCCGGCGCTAGCTATACTGCATTGAGATTAGTACACCCACAGTTCATGCACGCATTACTCGGTTTGATGTTTCTATGAGAAACTTCATGGGGCGCGTTCGGTAGGAACGGAGCATTTGTATCGTAATGCCTGTAGGGTGCTCAACAAGTTTAAAATGTTCTTCCATCTTCCAAGGCAAGCAACGCTCTCTTTATGTTATTCTTGTAAGCATAATTGAGGTAGTTTGAGGTCAATACAAGAATGCATCATCTACGTCGTTGCGCTGACAAGAAGAGAGTCTTGAAAATCCTCAGCGCTTCGCATCCTGCCAGCGGGTCTGCCCCTGCATGACTCCTGTCATCTCGACTACAATCATATTTCTGGGTCCTACTCAGGCGCTTCCCAAAATATCCAAAAACTCGTCTCACCAAAACCTCGAAAGAAAAAAAAGGAAAACTCGCGGCTTGGAAAAGAGTAAACCTAATGGATGAGATACAAGAATAATAAGGGAAGGTTGCTATGAAGCTGGCATCCTGTGAGTCAAGGGTGGTAAGATTTGACAACGCCACATCCAAGGACTCGCATGTAAAGAATTGATTCCTTTGAAAATTATCGCCGTCCGAAAGAAACAACTGACTATGGACAAACTACGTTGACTCCAACCACGCCACATACCTCATCATTCCACCTGAACTGCCTGACACCTGACCCACACAACCCCTTCCGCCATGTCTACATTCCCATTTCCGATTAAGTGTACATATCCAACACCACCCCATGTGGACCACCCTCATCCGCACGATAATCCAACTCATACCACTCCAACTTTAGGTTCCTGTCACTTCCCGGCATCAGCAGAAACTGCGCAACCTGTCCCTTCGGACACGCGAACCAGCCTCCATCAACCCTTGTCTTTCCACCATGCTCCACAGTCACAGTTGCTGCATACTCTACAACCTTTGGATGAGTGTTCCATGTGTCTCTATCTTTGTTGATCCTAGGCTCGAGACGTGAGATGTTGAATGTGTAAGGGGCCTGGCCGGAGAGTACGAGAGGCGCGTTTTTTAATGGGTTGGTGTTGAGGAAAAAGTCGAGGTGGCACATGTTGGCATTGTTGGCGGGGACATCGAAAGAGATCTCTGTCCAGACGGCGGTGGTACGCTGGGATCTGTTAGTCGCACACTCAGAAATAATGATCATGGGGTTTACGTACGGTCTGGCTGATGTTGCCAGTTTGTTGAGTGCCGTATGCGGTGTAGGGTGTGGCCTTGACGAGAGGAACGATGAGGTGGGGATACTGTCTGTCGATGAGGGCTGCGAGGGAAGGGACTCCAAAGAGCAGAGGAAGGAGAGCGAGGATGCGCATTCTGTTAAGGTACATGTTGAATTGCTGAGACCTGGTAAGCGGTAATGCTGATGGTCCTGTCATGCTGTTCGTGACCTAGGTACTTATACCTGTATAGAGAGTACCAGTTATGTTGTCGTGCGACTACTCCCGATGTCCAAGATATGACTATGACGAACGCAATGCTCATGTGCAAGAGTCTGTACGTTGCGACCAGCATCTGAATAGAGATTCTATATTGAATCTCCTTGATAGTTGTTTATTGAATTTCCCGATTCCATGATACTAGCTCTTGTGGCAGGCTGACCAAACACTGAATGGCTGAGCAGTTCTCATATAGAGATGTGATGTGCCATTAGACATATATGTTTGTGCAACGGCGTGGGCTTTCCATGAAATTCTAGCGGTGAGTATAGTGATAACCGTGATACGTGACACCAAGTTCACTCTGGAGCCGTCATGCACGAGTTGAGTCCAGGAAATATGAATGTGTCCATGGTCAAGACTACTGGACTCTCTCTTGGAACAAATAAATAACGAGAGCCGCCGTAGACAACTGATGTGATGGCCGGCTCTTTGAAGCTGCAGGAAGGGTAAAAGACGTGCAATCGGTGTCGAAACTTTTGAGAATATCCAAGAACAGACGAAGACAGAATGTAACAAACGTACAATAGAGAGGCGTGCTAAGTCGCCATCAGACGCGGGCTCCTATCACAAGTTGCTCTTAGTAGTTGAAACCTTTTCGCTCGAGTCTGGTAGGTCAAATTGTTTATTGTGGCGATTCTGGGGTAATTGGTCCTACGCAGAGCCCAGCCATTCTCCGTTGAGAACATGCAATTGCCGTTGCTTGTCCGACCCCATAAGAGGATAAGTACCTCTCGAGGAGCACAAAAGTAGTTTATCCTCAACTGCCTTAAGGCATGATCTTTGATATCTATGTATTTATTTACCAACTCACACGCCTGACCATAGCCGTTCATCATTCGACTTGCACAATCTTATTGAAAAGCTTTTTCATAGCCATGCAGAACAGCTGAGATGATGAGTAGCTAGTTGTAGAACGTGCCGTCAAGCTGAGTGGAATGTGTGCATGAGTGCCTGCTAGATTGTAAATGTGAAAGGTCGTAAGGATCGCTAGCGTGATCAAACCTCGGCAAACGCGTCGTTCTCCAGCTAGGTACATCGTCACTTGCACGCTTCACGGTCACCGCCAGGAACCCAAACGGACATGCTTTGAACTAGCCCAGTGGTGTGGTGCTGCCGTGTTGTATGCGACCTACCTTGTGAGCGTTCTCACTCGCAAGCTCGCTTCGTCGCATCTCCTCGACGCGTCCCAGCCTCTACCTCGCGCTCCCGTATTTCCTTGACGACCACACACAACCCCGCTACCGCCTCCATTCCTTCACCGATACGTCCAAGAAGCGCTCGCCAGCATATGCGCATCTAAGTAATTGCTATATGTGCGGTATGAGAAGACTGAATGTGTCTAATTGGGGACAGAGAAGGCCAACGTAAACACGGTCGCGCCGTATTAGGGGGAAGGTAAGACGAACATATGTTCGCGGATAGCTACATACGTCAGGTGAGAAAGCACATGCTATCGCCAGGCACAGCCATGCTTCTAGGGCCACAACGGGTCGGGTGGTGTGTTCACTTCTGCCAGAACCACGACCTCGCCCACCAACGCGATGTGTTTGACCTGACACCGGAAGAGCTCGCCGAGTAGTACAGGAAGTTGCAGAAGGTTGGGCGTAGTCACAACATCAACCTCGTCACACCCAATCACGTCGTCCCGCTAGACGTCTTGTCCATCCTGTGCGCCCGCGAGATGGGTCTGCGCATACCGATCATGTACAACAAATCGTCGTTCGATTCGATGGAGAGCATGAAGCTACTGGATGGATCTGGCACACACCTACCAGAATTCGGGGTTTGTAATGACAGGATAGGCTGAAGGCTGCTGAAGGCGAACAACTACACAGCGATGGTTATTGAGACCTTGCATGCGTAGGTGGGTAGTCTTCGCTTCGCCGCAGATCGAATTGCGAAGGAAGGTGTGATCGTGCGCCACCTGATCATGCTAAGTCTGAATGACGAGGGCGAAGGAATCATGAATTGGCTTGCTGAGAACGTCTCTATGGACATCATTGTCCGCATTATGGAGCAGCACCACTGCCGCGCACACTTGGGGAATTCATGCTGGGGTAAGAAAGGCCAGCACAATTTGGCAGAACATGCAAACCAGAAGAGTGTATTTTAATGACATCGAATGCCCGGTTGACATGGAATGAAGGCCACCGAAGAGGCGGGATTGTGGACATTTGTCGAGGCGTTAGGACATTGTGAGTTTAATGCTTGGATTGCGGTGCTGCGGCAATTGCTGTTGTCTGCGCTTGCCAAAACACTAATTGGCGCCTGCGTGTTGTATGTCTACACCTGCGCAGTCACCTTGCTGTCCCCTAACATTGCTCCGCACAGCCGCACCAACCACAACGCTCTGCATGTCGAGCTGCACATTACTACGATGCCCTCTATTGCGCTAGATTTCGCTGCAGAGATCGACGCAGCCGTCCGCCAATTGAAGAGTGAGCGAGATACATGGCAGGCCGTCGCTGCCCAGTACAAAGCAGCCTTCGAAAGTCAGAGCGCACGGCTCTCCGAACTGCAGGACATATGCTTCGCTACTCAAGCGGAATTGGAGAATGAGAGGGTCCAACAACGCCGACTGCATGCTACGTCCACTACCAGCCTGAAGGATTGTTCGAGCATTGCCCAAGATCGTCAACATGAGCGGCATTATGGTACTGCCCTGATTAAGTCACCTAATCAGACAAGGGTTAGCTTGCAGCGACAATCGTTCGACGACTGTACCAACCCACTTTACAAGAGAGTTCAGCAGTCCGTCTCACAGCGAAACTATGGCAACGCACTTGCGGAGCTCGAGCGATTACTTCGCGGTCCTCTCAGCTCAAAGGCTCGTGCGGAGGGCCTGCTGCTCAAGAGTAGTTGTCTGCAGGCTGCAGGTCCTGAAGAGCTCTATGACGCGCTGGCGGCTTGCAGCGAGGCACTAGAACTTTGCGACCGCATTTCCGAGTTGGAGTCCTTCCTACCAAAGATACAGTATCAGCGTGGTATCTGTTACTATCAACTGCGTATGCTTCACCAGGCCCGAGAAGCTTTCAATGCAGTTAGGAACAGCGACTCACTCTCACTCAAAGCCAACGAATACCGCAGATCATGCGATGACGAGCTCGAACTGCTACGCCGCACTAATCGGCGATCGGGCTTTGATGAGAGCCGGGGTACGACGGAAGGGTTCCTCGCGCAACTGGAGGAGCAACCTGATGTGAGTCGTTAGTAGTCATTGCGAATGAAGTCAGAAGTACTGATGAACACACAGAACAAGCGCCGCCGTACAAGTGCACAACTCAGACTCCGAGCTGTAGCTAAAGCTAAGCGCATGTCGCTTCCGCATCGATGGGTAGTACCAAAGGGTGGTTCGGTTTAAACAGCACGTTTTGGTCACCGATGGCACATTGTCTGGTAGTTGCAACGTGTAAGAGACACTTTGGGGTGTTGAGTGTGTATTGTTTCGGAACCCACGTAGGCTATTTCTTTGTTTTCTGAGTTCAAAGTCCATACAATCATCAAGTCGACTCTTTGTAACCACTTTATCTTTGTCGCCTTCTTCAAGCTTCTCATTGTTATCTTTCTTGTACATCGGCGAGATTCGACAAAGCAAGACGTACGAGATTATAGTACACTGATTGTCGTGATGGAACGATCCTACAGTTTTCATACTGTGGCCCCAGATGTAGAGATGTGCTGGCTCAATTTGTTACGCATTACCACATCTTTGACTTGTATGACACATGTCGAAGAAATACAGCAACACGATGCCCGACAACAGTGAGGCGGGTGAGCCTTCGCCGTCAAGAACCACTTCGACTCATCAACATCACTACCAATCCGCCTTGCCAGATGCGCCACCTCTCCAGACAGAAGGACTCTCAGACCCATCAAGACATACACCAGAGACATGGAGAAACGTACCGATCACTGGGAGGGATATAACAAACCCTAGAGTTGGAGCACTACCCATCACTCGCGTTCGATCTTTACCTGCACGTTCATCACATCAGCCACAATTCATATCAGCTACCGAGACTCAGAGGCCTCGATCTGTTGGAGCGATGATTGAGTTCAGTCATCACTTCCATCAACGAGGCGAGCCAGGAGGAGATGATGACCCATCTTCCACACAGTCTCTGAATGTTGAGCATGACGCTGTTGTGTCGAACAATCTTGAGTCTTCGTCGACTCCTTCTGGAGTCGGAACGAGACTCAGGTACCCTACAAAACCAGTACACGATTTGAACCTCCATTCTTCAGGTATACTGACGCCTCTTCTTGCACATTCTTCGCCGAGTCAGGTTGATTCACAAACTTCCTTCGGCACAATAGACCATGATGATCTTCCTAAGTACATGTCAGCTTTTGAGTACGCCATACGTCCTTTCATGGATGAACGTATCCATCCCGAATCACATCTCCACCTCCCTTCGCCAACCGAAGCAAGCACCATGTCCGAAATCGTCTTGTCTCCCGCAGCACGACCCAGCGAGACAAACGAATCAGACACCAACGGCTATGATTCTGACTCCGATGACCCCGATCACGACCACGACAAAGTCCCCGAAGATAGTGTTCCCTTGCACGTCAGAAGAGACAATAATTTCCGAACGCGCATACGTCTCACCCACATCCGGATCCTACTGATGCGCTGTCAAGTGCTGCAAGATACGGTTTTCCTGATTCAACACAAACCGTGGAACACAAACCTAAAACACCCGCCGTACTGGTACTACGCCAAGATACGTCGCATGGCATACCGAGCACGCCAACTTGCCGCTGCTCTGCAAAGTGACGCCCTGCTAGCACGCTGCGAGTACTGGGCTGGTCGTGGCTGTGGTGGTACGCGGGACTACCAGCTTGCTGTTGAGCACTTCTCGCGCGCCATTAAACTCGATGTTGAAAATGATGAAGCGAAAAACGGCAGACTCGTACTTCGCGGTCTACGACCAGATGAGAAGGATGACGTCGATTTCTTACTACAAAGTGTAATGACGCGATGGTCAACCTGGCAAGCAAACTGCTTCAGATTCCAGCTTTTGGCTGAGAACGAGGCGGAGAGAACGGGTCATTCGATACAAGCTTGTATGGAAGGTATTATACCCGATGTTACTAGCCCCGTGTGGATGCCGGATCGAGATCGCATTATGGCAATAGCGAAGAGGGAGTTCGGCATGCGGAGGCGACTGGGGCTGAGAGCGGCGTTCTTGGAGAAAGATGACGAAGAGAAGATCGGAAGAGAGGTTGAGGAGCAGGTGAGTGAGGAGTGGGAGTTCGAATGCATCGGGGAAAGGGAGGGATGCAAAAGAACGCTGAATGAAGCGGAGTGGTGGTACATCAGACATGGGGATAGCATGACGAGGAAAGAACAGATACCGGAGTATGATTCTGAGCCTTGGGAAGCCGAGGAAAGAGCACTGAGTGTAGAAAGCCAGTCTTCGTTTTCGTCAGACCTTCCTTCGGAGCCATTGTATCACGGGAGCAGCCCGCCTGGTTTTTCCCCATCTACAATGTCATCGACATCGGAAAGCGACCACATAGAGGAGCAGCAGCCAGAGGAGAATCCGCTGGGCCGGGAACTAAGACAAGCGGGATGGAGTAGTCCATCTAGACGGAGATCTGCCCGAAGAGGGTCGTTGTCTCCACCACCACCAAGTCGTCTCGGCTTGCGTCGTCATCTCATCGTTCCGCCGATCAGGACGAATTTCTAAATTGATACTGGCGAGGCGGTGGATTTGGAAGAGTCAATACACTCACAGGAACCGAGGATCGTTGAGAGTAACGAGGAACAAGCATGAAATGAGAAAGTATACAAGCAGTAATAAAAGCGTTGGTTTTCAGGCATAGTCAGTCTGATTGCGACATAGTGAAATCTTAGTCCTATTCGCGTTTGCGATTTTGGTGGATGATGATCTCTCAATATCATCGGTCAGCTTTCATGTACTCAGGACTAAGACGCGAGTTCGAGCCTTAGGTAGATGACTGCATGTTTCAGTGAGCCTCACCTTCGCGTCCTAGCGATTTCCGCGTGCGCTGGGGTTTTTTGACTTTGCTGAACCCCCATCAATATCTGCAGTTGTTACATTCGGGATTACTGGCTTGTTGTTTTAATATCCCGCTTCGCTTTACCCATACCTTGGCTTTGCAAACGTTGTAAAAATGCCATAAAAACATACCTAGCTTCTGTGCCGGAATCGATGTTTGTTGTCTGACTTCCTTTAGAAGTTTCCATTGTACAGATTGTTTGTTTGTTCTGGGCATGTTCATTCCTTTGGCCCTTGCTTGTGAATTACTCTTTCATCACACTTCTATTGCATTCAGAAAGAGCTTTGTCTTCTCGTCGCCGGTTATCTACTTGACAGTGTTGCGAGCAGTGTTCTTTGCACATAGCAACATTATCTCCCTTCTCGAGATCAGAAATTGCACGACAACACTTCCACCACGAAATGCCAACTCCATTAAACGACAAACTACAACACACGATCAGTCAATACACAAGTAGCATCGTCGAGCGCCTTTTCCATCATGATTTTAACACTTCGATACACTTCGAACCACCTGAAGATCTCAGCGGCTTAACCTGGTATCCCAAACCTCACTGGACCATCTGGGACTACTTCTCTGTCTTGGTCGTTGGGATCACATTCTTTTTTGTGATGGTATCAATGGGAAAGCACGCCGAGTTTGAGGCCGACAAAGACATGCTACACTGGATTCCAATAGAGGCGATCGCGTCTCTACAAACTAAGTTACTGGCAATGGAGAAGTCTGTATCGGCCAAATCGGAGGCACGCCTGGAGGAGGAAATTCAGAAGCTGAAACAGCTCCAAAAAGAACTAGATCAGACGATCAAACTAAACCGATTTAGAGCCCGGACCGAAATGGTAAAGATGTGGGCCCAGCTTAACGGCACGGACCTTGCAACTGCACATCGTCACCTTACGAGGCACGATGGAGCTGCGGAATTCGAAGACGCTGTCGAAGGTGTCATGGCGACGTTGTTGGAACGTATCCAGAAGGACGGAGTGCGCATCAATCAACTTAGCGAAGCTCTGGAAACTCTGACAGGGGAGGATATGGATTTGACCTCGGATGGTGTACAGAGTGATAGAGCCGCGAATGGTAATGGTCACGGTTATCACGAGCAGGATGGAGTCAAACAAGATTGTTTCGTACAGTATCGTGACCAGCAAAATACTGGTAAAAAGGCTGGCGATCCTGGCTACTTTTACGCATGAGAGAACATCATTTCTGGGAGTTGTGTTTGATCACAAGCATGTCATTGTCCAAAAGGTTCGAAGACCCAGGAGATGGGGATGGAAGTTAATAGCTTTACGAATAACCTGCCTTAGCAAGCCCCATGTGCCTGACGCTTTCGAACTAAACCAGCTGAGTACAAACCCTTTCTGCTGACATACTCTAAACCTCATTGGGTAGTCGGCGTCTTGTTAAACGTATGTAACAATTACGAACATTTGTCTAATGAACAATGCATTGCCAGGACTTTCATTTTGAGTACATAACTTCAATGTTTAGAACTTAGCTAGCATTGTGGAGATTTTACTCAGTGTGTAATTACAATTCTTTTGATTGCTTTCACTTATACCGCCTATTGAACTCTTTCATTTACCGTATGTTCATCTTTTGTCAAAAAATCCATCGTGAACATATTGAGAAGTTACAACTTACCATCTTTGAGGTGATTGATCGGCTACGAGCATATTCGCAGCATTTCAAGTTTTCCTAGTCTCTAGAGATATTGAAACATAAAGAGATGGTCCCACCAATTTCCCGCGTCGCAGTTTTTTCTTCTTTGTGGAGTTTCGGTTGGATACTAAAGATTACACACGAAAGCATCAAGACCCAATCGAGGGTGCCTGAAGTAAAGAAAATGCAATATTACTCTGAACGCTACGAGAACATATATAGCAGCCGTATGGCCGTCCTTGAAAGTTGCTCTGGTCGTACTCCAACTTCGGTAAGCACAATTGCAATCACGCCAACTCCCAAATCAACCAGAGTTCTTCCCGTCCAAGAAGATGATACTGATCGCTGCATATCAACGAACATGGTTCAAGTCACATCAATTCCAATCCCAAATCTAGGCCCAGCTCCCACTCCAACCAACATCGAGTACCATGTTGGAGACAGCGTAAGCTGGCAGGTAAGATATGCCAAAGAGATATTCTGGCAGTTTTGGGGTTCCATACCCTCCGGGTTTATCTCGACTGCTTGGACTTTTATGAGTAATTGGATATCTCCTCACCTAAAGCGTCAAAAGTCGCAGAGGCGCAAAAGTCGAGCATCAAATGACGCTACTACTGACTCGGTCGGTCGGGTAGACAGATTTATGAACCATATTCTGAGCAATCGTATGATACAATTCATAACTCAAGGGTTGATAAAAGCAGATGCAGATGAGAGAACAACATGTACTAACCCTCTTCACGACGAGGATGCCTGTCCATACGAACGTACTGTAGAATCCAAGTTCGCCTTTTGTTACCATTCCAGAAAAGCATTTGAAGAATTCGAAAAGAGGCTGTCCAGCCTCGAGAAAATGGACTTGGCCGACAGAAGTGCCGTCGAAAGCCGGCAGCGAAGTCGTACACGTTTGGTGGAAATACGGACTCGATTTTGCGGACGAAATGTCGAAACAACTCCACGCTTGCTTGGGGAGGAAGACGGGGATGCCACTTTTGAGGACGTGGTTGTGAGTATTATCGTTGGAAAAGACAGGTGGCGCGTTGAGAAACCAGAGACACCACTGACACCCACTATGACGAATGTCGGAGAATTGATGGGTGGCAGAGCGACTGGGGACAAGTCAACTAAGGAGGACAAAAAAGACGAGTATCCATCAAGTGACGAGGGGTACTACGGGGAACAACATCATCATTGTATGCATTGTAGGGGCGTGACTGAGCAGTCTGTCCAGATGGAGCGGTAGAAGGTGAGATGTAGCAATTCTACCATGATTGGAAGATGAAGGAAGGTCAAGGAAGAAGAAAAAGGGAGGAAATAGAGTAGTTTATGAAACAAGATGCACATTTGTTGATAGATATCCAATTTGACAAAAACACTACGATCGCCACGTGGGCTATCCAAGATACCGAACGAGCAAAAAACCCTCTAATAACGTATGTTTCGATATTTGCAAAAGTCATAGTACTGACTCTGATCGAGGATGCAGACAAGTACGACATGCTCCAAGATAGTCTATGAGCCCAAGTCAACCCTTCATATAACCAAACCCGTGTGCTCCCAATGATATCATCCCTAGTATGTGCTTCCACTTAAATGAGATTTGTTTTTCGCACACAGGGTTGTTTTATATCCTATCTTCTGATCGACCACTACAAGAGTTTCATGAGTCCTGAAAGTCGAAATCCTAGCTAAATCGGTTTGGCACTACAAGATCACTAGAGAACAGATCTGATAGAGGAAAGGGTATCATATTAAGAGAACAAAGCTAATCCACACAAGCTAGCTTTTCAATCATACATATTTAACGTCTTGTGGTTCCATCTTCAGTCGACGCACCCAACCCATTCTTGGCCACATCTCGTCTGAACTCCGTCTGCATCGGTGTTGGGGAAGTTTGTGGCGACTCGAGCTCTGCACGTGCCGCATCAGTACCAGCCGGTAGCTCTGACAACCTGTGCTCGTTCGAATCTGGTAATTCAGAATAGCGTTGATCCGCAGGAGTTCTCCCAATATCTCCTGGAAGTTCCTGTGGGGCGTCGGAGATATGAGCGTATTGCTGGTATGGGGCGTCCTTGTGAGGCACGGCAGGGTACATGTTGGGGTTAGGGGAGGTGTATGTCGGCGGTGCTGTTTCTGAGCGTTAACGTTTGTTTCAAACAGATATTCTCGATATACGTACGCGATTGGCCGGCATATTGACCACCAGCGTAGTTTGGATTAGTGGCGCCTCCTTTCTCGATGCCTGTGGGGTGTGCGTTTTCTCCAACTGGAGCAGCGGCATATTGTTGTTGTCTACGCTGCTTTCTCTTTCGGCAAAGGAACCAGATAAGCGCGCCAATTATCAAGGCTGCCCCGATACCTCCGCCGACTGCACCGCCAATTACAGCGCCGTTACTGGATCCTTTATCGGAGTTTGAGGGAGATGATGATGCTGTTGCGCTGGTCGTGGCACTGGAAGATATGATCGTGGACGCATATGCGCTGAACTGTTCTGGCCTGTCCAAATAGGCAGGGACTAGATCAACCCTTGGGCAAGTGGAGTTGGCAGCGCAGGGATCGGATTTACAGCAGCCCCAGAATGTTGTACCAGCAGCACAAGACCAAAAGACGCTACCAGTTCCACAACCTACGTCTGGGAAAGTGCCATACAATGCTTTATCAAAGCCACCTTGGTACACGTTGCCCTGCGAACATCCCTTCGTACATGGATCCGAAGCACAGCAGCCCACGAAGTTGGAGCCGGTTGCACAAGCATACCTAAGAACGTCAGTATTGTCGTACCATTGGTGAGGTGCCTAGGCTTTTGTCTAGATAGCCTGCACTAGGAATTGTGTACATACCAGTCTCCTCCTAACGGGCAAGTGAAGCCGGTGCTGTTTTGTCGTCTAGTAAGATGTGGAGACATACTGAACCAAACTTGATATTCGTGCTAAACAATTATCCGAAGTATAGACCACGATAGTATGTAGAAGAATTTACAACGTTAGAGCGAGAAGAAAGAGGACAAGCAGTTTGGAATAAGATGAGATGTGACGGAATGATATGAAAAAGAAAGCGGCGCAGTGACCGTCTTACCCGCCCCCCATCATGACAACCGACCGACTCTACGCTTTGGCCTTCTGCGCCTTGTGCGGCCGGATAGTAGATCGACAACCCTAGTATCCACCACGTTATCGAGCATCACGACCAAGAAGCTAACAATGGCAGAACCACATGGGTCCAGGCGGATCTTTGTGAGCAGCCCTATGGACCTCCAACTCACAACTACAACTACGCAGTCGCTGGAGATGGAATTGCAGCTCAAGGGCTTACTCTTCTGCTGCAGAGGATTGCTTTCGTCGCCGGTTGGGGTGGTTAGGCCACCAACGATTTTCGTTGAGGTGTTGTTCTGGGCGTCAGATTACGCCCGACAGAGCTTGCGCCCCATCTTTGTGCGGCTGGACCAAGCGTGGAGCTAGGACAGAAACAGAACGCCTTATGATTGTTAAGCAAGTGACCAACGAAGCTAGCAGCCAAACAACATCGACGATACCGTCGTGTCGTCGGTTTGATTCACCCAAGATCCTATCTTTGGATTATGGATACCTCATGCAAGTGAGGCATGCATAGCCTCGCTTCAACGGTATACCGCTCGAGCAACACGATCATTCAGTTTGACCTGTACCACCTATCTCAATACATATTGGCGCTGGATGAAGATGCGATCCTGAGATATCACTGCCGAAAGTCAACACGGGTGGACGGTTGTTTTCTGGCGAGGCTGTGACATTGTGCCAAACGGGTGCGACTCGAAGATGCAGTTCTGGGGATACTCCAGGTACAGCGGCTGCGCCTCCTTGGCACAGGGCTGAGCTACCTCAAAACATCTTAATATACCCTTGTGGCTGATCACTGCCCCCCGAACGGCGCGTGCGTCTGATCTAATGCTCCTTCGAGCGTCTGTCATATGCAAACTTTTATTGGAACCGCACCGCTGGGCGTTGGATGTCAGAAACAAATTTCGGAGCCGCACACCACGCTACCACATCAGGCCAGGCCAAGGCCAGGGTTTGGGACGAACGTTATCCAGCCGAAATGCTTATCGAGCGGTGAATCCATCAAAATATAATTCTTTGAAGTCGCTAAATACCCAGAGAATATTTCTTCCCACTACCCTAGAAATTCATTCGCTCTCATTTGCTACTTGCAAAGCAAACCATGAAAGCAACCCGCTCTGCAAGACCCTTTGCTTATATTATAGTACTCAACCAATTGCGCAATGCAATAGCGACAAGAATCTCGACACCGTATCAGGCTATAGAAAGCTCGACGTCGATGTCACATAGCGATAGCGAAATTCCATCCAAGGGTTTCAACACGTAAGCAGATACGCTCGTCGATATTAGCTTCTTTTTCGGCAACGATGCCAATTGTTCTGCTAGCTCCAAAGTCCATGGTTTTTACAGACTCGTTATGGGTTATTTCCAATCATGTGCAAGTGTACCTTTGTACACACTACCCGTGTCATAGTTTGCTTGTGACATATTGCCAGCAAGGTCTGCACTGAGGATAGCATCACGCAGAATTAGAGGTTGGATAGGTTCAAGTGAATGTTTCAGCTATTACTGATCTTTGGCCCTACGCTGTTGCGTCTAGAAAGTGGAAGAGCTGACCCCACTTGTCTTCAGTATACTGAGTTGAAATCAGGATCTCTCATATAAGTACCTCAAGGGCTAGACACATATATAATCCACTCAAGCCGGCAAGGAGAAAGTATAAGAAAGTATATAGAACTCGATGATCACAATCACCCATCTCATGAACCTTAATGGAAAGTATAAAAACGCGAGAGCCGGACAAGAGCCCTCTCTTCATAACAATGAGAAATCCATATATTACCTGCTCGATATATCTTATCAACCTAATTTTGCTAGAGAGCTGCCAGCAATTTATTTCATCTTCGTAGATCTGTGATCTATCGCCAAAGCACCAAGGAAAGAGGCGCAGCTAAGAACCACAGTAACTTGCCAAGACTGCGTTAAGGCATCATTGAAAACACGCAGGACGACAAGTTTTATGTCTCCGGTCAGACCGTTTGTAATGGTTGTGATACCTCCATTTACCACTGCGGACGCATCAAGACCGATGTCAAGCTTTTGTAAACCATAGGAAAGATTGTTTGTGAATATGGCCTGGGCCACGGACACGAATATGGATCTGTAACTATAGTGAGCTCCAAATTATTAAGTTCGCGTTTGACCTTGAGGAGCTCACCCGCCGATTGTCTGTGCAAACATGACCAAGCTAGATCCAATGGGAACGTCATCCAGGGGGAGGACCTTTTGTACAACCATCAAAGGAATCAAACTAGACAGGCTACTTCCGACACCAAATAAAATTTGGTATCCAATCCATCTGCCAGTGCTTGTGGTCACTTCGAAGGTAGTGAAAAGTCCGGATCCAATAGCACAGAAAATAGACCCAACAAATATCCAACCGTTCGGATAGCCGAACTTGGAGATGATCACTCCACTTGTGAGAAGAGTGAAAGTGCTCGAGAGAACCCAGGGAAGAGTATAGACTCCTGATAGGATTGGGCTGTACCCTTTGACTCCTTGAAACCATCTGCGAGTGAAAGGTCAGCACATATTGGCTACAGAAAGGAGGATTCTTACGTAGGTAGATAATAAGTAAGGACAAAGATAGCCCCCGCGGTGCAAAACGCAAAAAATGATACAGAGATAACGGTTCGCTGCGTGCTGACTCGAGGAGGTAGCAGAGCTTGATCCCCTTGCCAGGCTTCGATGGCGATGGAGGTTACACTTAGCACAGCGAAGAGAACGAACAAGACGATGATGCGCGAACTATCCCACGCATAGTCAATTCCTCCCCATTGTAAGGCTAGGAGAAGGCAGGCAACTCCTGGTGCAATAGCCGTGAGTCCAAAAAGATCAAGTGACCGGAAGAAGTCGTTCCACGAGGTGAAGGCCTGGGACTCACGCTTCGGCGGACGAACGAAGAAAAAGAAGGCCACTTGGAGGGCAGCTTCAATGGGTAGGTTGATCCAGAAGTTCCATCTCCACGAAGCTTGTTCTGTGAGTGCCCCTCCCAGAAGAGGGCCGCAGATGGAGGCTAGCGAACGAGCAATGGCAACGCAGCTCAAAATGACTGGTCGTTTCGGGACTGGAGCGAGGAAAGGGACAAGGGAGAAGGTACCGATAAGAAGGCCCGAGGAGCCAACACCGGCGATGGCACGACCGGCGATGAGAGCTGGTGAGTTGGGCGCGGCACCACAGACGGCCGAGCCGACGAGGAAGAATAGCATAGAGATGCTATAGATCCATCGAATCGAATATCGTGCACTGAGTTTGCCGAAGAGAAGCTGCGACATACAAATAGCCATGGGATAGATGTTGGCATACCACCCGATGTCTTTGAGAGAATGGAACTCATCCGTTATATAGGGCCTAGCAGTGGCGAGAATGGTATTGTCCTATGTAAAATATGTGCATGTTAGTGCTCCAGGATTCCACGTTCGGGTCAGATTGAAGAACGCCTGACGCACCAAAGTTGTAAGGAAGATACCAACACAAAGAGTGGTGACAGCAATCCACAAGACGAGACCGGAAGGATATGCAGGCTCTGCAGTGCTGTCTACCACAGTTAATTCAGAGTATGCTCCTTTGTTTGCGTCTTGGAGTGGACCTGAGCGTATCTTTTCATTCTGAGAGACGTCCTGAGCTCCATCTGCGTCGCCTGTGTAGGGTTGCAATTCGATATTGTCCTCACTATGCGTGTTGATACTTCGTGTAAACATCGCACACATGATTGAGAGTATCTTCCTAGCAGATAGAGGACCTCAGACCCATTGCTTTGGATCCAGCCGGCATTTTGTATTTGTGTACCTATGGAAGGAGTCTATCAATATATGTCTATTTATAACCACGCCGCAAATATACACGTCTCTAAACAACTACGCCGCAAACACACATGTCTCTCGACAACTGTGCCAAGTGTACTGAGGTAATGATATTCCAAGCCAAGAGTTGCCTTGAACAAGGTAACGAATAAGATGTAGCTGCCCATCTACTATAGTAGGGATAGATCTGTTATCATCATACCAAGGTACGGGGAAAGTCCTTCTCACCCTGTAGATGTAGCAAACTCTGATGATTTAACTTTGAGCGATGCAATCATACTTTGAGGGCTGATTGTGGCGTCAAGTTAGACGAGGGTACTGGAACTCAAACTTCGGCATCACGATTATTCGGCTAAAGTTTCTCCTCTCTTGCATAAAGTGGTGCGTCGGGCTAGCTGGGCTCGGGCTGTATCAGTCTGTACGAGTTTCTTCAAAATGGCCCACTGTATCATACACGAAATTAGTCAACCCAGAGTCGATCATTCCGATAGTGACGCTAAGAAGGTGTCCCGCGAGCCGTGGCGTTATCGTAATTCTGGAGGATACCTGCCAGCGTGTCATGATTCGAGGTTTGAAAAGCGTTGTGAGCCAAAGTAGGTGCCTCATCCCGTAAGTACTTGAAGCTAGTATACCAGGACTTGTAGCGCAGCGGGTATAGAAAGAGTTCAACTTTACGAAAAGACGTTCATGCGATAGGATATTCTACAGAATTTTTATAAGAAATCGTCTACCTATATGAATTCTGGTTGTCGAACTGACCAGCGACGTGCGTCACAATTTCGGTCAGAAGCAATTCGATATCAGACATCAAGGCCTGCGTGTAAGTCAGAAGAATTGATTCAAGGCCTGGATCTAGATGGCTAATGTTTGTGTTCGATTGACGTGCAAAGAGTTGACCAAGAGTGAAGTGAAGGCACATGGCAGGATCCTTTCATCGATCACCGTGAAGGTCTCGTACATTGTTTACCATGGTTTGCTTCAGTCACGTGCGTTCGCGTTTACTCACGACAACAGTAATCGCGATGGTGAAAGCTCTTACAACTTCCACCACCAATACGTCACTCCCATCCGATTCGGCATCACTCTCTGCCTCCAACGGTTTCGGCTCATTGTCTCTGCGTTCGTCCTGCGGCTTCTTCATCTCCAGATGCAAGTCTGCCCGAGGTAATGATTCACTATCCAGTTCAACTATCGATTCATGCTCGCGTGTTTATTTCTGGTATGTTTCTTAAAATGTAGCAGGGTTTCGTCATCCACGCCGACTCCAACGCCGAATTTCAATACAATGGCTATGCCCATGGGCTTCGCCGCGCAGATCAAGGTGCTGCAAGAAACGCAGCGCGAGCAAGCTGAACGAATCGCCTTCCTAGAGCAGGAAAACGCGGAGCTCAAGGCTTCGGAAGATCAAAACCTTGTCGCACGAATCGACGCGCTTGAACGGCACAACGTCCACCTCACGGCGCGACGCAAAGAAGCAGTTGCCCAGCTTCTCAACTTACGCACCCTTCACCAGGAAGCCAACAACGCGTTTCACTTGCGCTCGATTGATATACAGCCTGACGATCTTGAGGGTGTGCTTGTTGTATACGGCACCTCAATCACGTCTGTTGTCAACCATCATCAGCGCGCACTGGCACACCTAAGTGTTGGAAGTCAACTCGCGCAAACGCCGATGTACAGCACGACCGCCCCATACCCTCGCTACATTAACCAAGGCTGCCTACCAACTAGTCCGATGCCTATTGGGTATGCGTATCCAGCGGCTTACGCTCAGTCGGGATATTGCCTTGCTCACAACATTCCCTACCCATGTCGAATGTGCGATCGATAGGTGTTACGCAAACGGCTCGTCCTGTTGCTTGTCACGCGTATGAACCACCCAGCCCCGCCGTGCCTGGTAGATTCTCGGGTCATAAGGATGTTGTGTGGTATTCCAAGCGCTCTTCGAATGACTTTTACTACCGCTTGTCAGCTCAGGATGTTATCGATGGTTATGGCTAGCGTTCGTTCTGTTTGATCTTTGTACTTTTGGAAAGCTCAACTTCTGACTTTTGGAATTCCTTTATGTTCAAATCGGGGGAATGGAAAGTCGGGGACTGTGTCGCCTTTGCGAGATATCACACAGACCTGAAACTTCAGCCTGATGCAGCCAATATTCTAATGTTTATGCCGTGATTGCCTTACTTCGCGGTTGCTGTGCACTAGCTGGTTAGCCACGTGTAACAGATGAAGGATTCTTGAAGCCTACGCCCTTTGATACAAATACACTTTTCTTTCACTCATGTTCGTTCGGCAGTGTGGGGCCACTAACTGTACTGTAAGTGTCTTTGTCTGCACCCAGAGTGCCAGAGTATGCCCATTTTTACAACATCATCTGCCAACACCCATGCTATTTTTCATTGTTCCAATTACGCATCCTGATTGCCGAGGTATGCCACCTTTCGACACTTACCTGTCGCGTGTGATGTCACGCAGATACAGCTTTCTCCTTCTTGTATCCCTCCTTCTCAGCGCCTTCGGCGTGGCGATCACTCTGGTCTGGCAGCTCAACTGTCCACCTTCGAGTTCAATCCGAGCTCACGTCATTTTCATCGCCCTACTCGTCCACTTCTCGTTCTGGATCGGCGTATACACCATGATGCTCCTTCAAGGCCCTCCCGTCCCTCTCCCCGATACCATTCTCGTAGCCGACGACGACGATACAGACAACCACACACAGCCTCTTCTAGGCGCAGATAGAATCAAGAGAATCGAAACGATATGGGAAAAGTCGCAGCAGGCATGCGCCAACAAGATTCGCGACGTGGAAGCCGCCTGGGATAAACTCAATCAAACATGCGCCAATAAGACGAAGATTATCGACGAGACCTGGGACAAAATACAGCATTCCGCCAACGATCTACTGCCGAAGATAAAGGAGCTGGAACGTCTGTTGAATCGGATTGGCGAGCTTGAAGCTATCAAAACCAAGATCAAGGATCTTGAACGCTTGAATCAGCCGTTTGTTGACTTGTTTCGACTGGAAGAAGGTATATTTCCTCACACATAGGTTGTTGAGCCTGCTCAAAATCATCTAGGCTCAAGCCAGACAAGGTAGCACCGCCGTTGATAAATGTTCATTTGTTCCAGAACCTTGTCCGACATGCAGTCTTTCCGGACACTTGTAGAAAGCCAACGGCGATGAAGCTGAACCTTGATGATAACGTGTACAGGCAAATCGCAACGAAGCATGCGGGGTAACGCCAAAATAATAATGATGATGATGATGATGATATCGAGATAGTCTTTCAATGATTTTCATATCACCGTGATTTACTTGGAGCAGAGAAACAGGATGCCACGTGGATTTGAGCTGACACGAATGTATCAATGGAAAGCGTAAGATTCAACAAAGCGAGTGAGCAATATGAGTGACCCGAAATCAAGAAATGACCGTCTGGATAGCTATGATCGGCTTTGTAAAAGTATCGATGAGGAATCTAGAAGGGTGGCTGGGAGAAAGATGATGACGTGAAACCGTGGAAAGAACGCGACGCGTTTAGCGGAACCGCTAACCCTGTTGGTTGTAGCTTGATCTTCCATTCACTTACCGTTCTTTCGATATCGTGAAGCGAGTGAGCGCATTTCATCAAGCCTGCATCCTCATGTACAAATTTCTTACGATAACGGAAGACTGATATCCGTAACTTTATATTTCCCATAGCACGTTCACTTGATGATACCACCAAGATGAGAAGGTAATAGAAATCATTGTAATCAACACACAGTACGCACATCGTGTGAATACCTTTCCAACCATCAACACGAGTTTCAAATTCCATCACACAATCGTAAACGTACCCGGCTCCGGTTCTGCTCCTGCGAACTTGGCCACTTGCCATACTAACCCATCCCAGTGACATATACCAACGCGCTTCCATTGTCCATGATGATTTTCGTCCGGTACCAAGCAGAGGCACACTAGCAGTTTATCCACATCGTCTTCCGCAACTACAACGCAACGCACGTTTGAGGGGGTCTCAACGACGCGATCGAGCAGCCACCTTCCAGGGTTGAGGAAGATCTTTGTCTTGTTCCAGCGTTTCCAGAACGGCGTTTTGAGGTCATTAGCTGTCAAGCGATAATCGAAGGACAACCCCGAGATCACCAGTGTACCAGTGATGCTGGTCCCTCTTATGGAAGTCTCGCTTGAAGCGGACACAATCTTGAGCATCGGACGAAGTTCCGTGAAAGTATGCGACCCGGTGCCGACAGTAAAATCCTTGTCACGTAAGGAGTTGTGGTAATACAGTGCTCTTGGGGCACTAAGCCATGACCATGAGGGCGCCAAGAATGTTGGGTCTGGCACTTGTTGTCGAGAAGTCTTCGGCGATAGATCCATCCACCATGTCAACTGATACCATAGTCCAGTTTCCCACATACCACCGACTAGGGTGTCCCCAAGAACGTTCGCCAAGGAATGCGAGATACCTTCTAAAGCTACTAGTTTGTCGCTCTCCTTCGTGAGTTTCCGCGCAGAGTAATTTTTGATGACTTGAACCCAGACTTCCGCTATTCGCTCACGAAGAATATCTTGATCGTTCCCTCCAGCGAGTGCTCTGCGAATGAGCTTCAGAGCCCATGTCTCGTCAGGATTATCGTCCACGAGAAGCGACGCCGAGAAGGGACAGGATTCGGAAGCCGACATTGTGATGCAATCCCAATACAGCTCTCCGTTATCGAAGTAGAGGATTCTCGGAGAAAGCAGTTGTTCCTGGAGTACCCAGCTTCGCGTATCTAACAACCCCTTTGGTCGCACTGCGCTTTGAACCTGGCTTACAGACGGAAACATATACCACTCCCCTTCACCAATCAATCCCATACGGTCACGATAACCCCCTGATTGAAGAGTGTCGAGGTGAAAGGGCCTCACGCATCGAGCTCTCCGTGACCGAAACATACCTTGCGTATGATCGCTACTGTCCGCTACCGCAATGGTTAATGCAGCCCCGCTGTATACACTGCTCATTTTGGATGCCTCTGCCAGCCAATCCACTTCGGAGTCCTGTACGATACACAGCGCGTCGACCCATAGATACTGATAGCCTAAACATCGAACAACATCGATCGCATCTCGTATGGTCTGGGACAGAACTTCGAGTGGGATAGACAGCAGCCTTTGCTCTATATTTGCTATCGTTGTTACCGGAAGACCTCTGATACCCCAAAGGTGACTCAAAGCAACGTATGGCTCGTTCAGTGTTACGTCTTGAACAAGCTTCAAATCTCCTTTGTTTTGGTGGGGCCCGATATCGAGGACTCTAGTTGGGGAATAATGAGACGTTTGATCAAAAGTACACAATCCATGATTGTGAGTACACTTGCGAAGCCAGTCTTTGGCCATTGCTATTGCAGCAAGGGATCCGGTGCCGGTGTCATCCAAGCTGCGTATCTCTTGCAGGGTCTTGTGCGATCCAACTGGGTTCAAGTCAGATCACCATTTCTAAGACAATATTCAGGCAGGTGGCAACAAATCATGCAAGAGGGAATGATGACTGTTTCTGCATGTGAGATATGCCTCTTGCGGAAGAGATCGCAAGCACTTACCGGGCAACAGCTGTATCGAATGAGAACATTCGTTCCCCCCGATTCTAGTCTGGAATTCATACACTTGGGTTTCTTTGTTCTGCCAAAATCTGGTAGACAATCGCGGGAAGCATGATACATCCACAACCATATCGCCATGATCGCATAAGAGATAACAGAGCCCGCAAGACGGTGTGGTTTTCCGGGGTAGAGGAGACAACCAGGACCCATCAAGTCTCTGGCTCTCGATGAGTACTCTACAACACCTTATGCATATGTTCGACCTAGACGACTGAGGTTGTTGTTGTTTCTCTTGAGATGATGGGTCAGATACAGGAGCTAGGTTACAGCCACCGACTGCTTCCTGGTTTTGCAATTCTCGGCCCACTTCGGATAGTTGGGTGTAGCATTTGAATAGCTGTTCAATAAGATCCGTTGGTGGGTGCTCGTAGACTCGTTCCACTAGGTCAGATATTGCAGCCAGTTGGATCTGTGAGTAATGCCCATATGCCAGCAACGTAATTGCTGCAAGTGTCTGATGTTTCTGTATCGCAATTTCGATCACGCTGGCCCCGTCTTCGTCCTTATATGAAAGGTCTGCGCCCGACTCAATGAGCAAAGATAATATGTTCGATAACCCACGGTGGGCAGCGATATGCAAGCCTGACCACTTTCGTAATAAAAACTCCTGGAAGGCAGAGTTTCGTTGGCGCTGGAGTTCATCCGCTGGTGGCAGTACATTCAGAAGAGATGGAATACGCCCATCCATTGCCGTTTTTGGATCTGCGCCACTATCGAGTAACATCTGAACGACCTCTTCATGACCATAGTATACAGCTTCCAGGAGCGGAGGGACTCCAAGAGAATAGATACTGACATTCGCTCCATGTTGGAGAACATAGTGACATATGTCGGTGACATCATCTCTATTGGTAAGATGTAGGCTAGCCTCTAAGGCACTTACACCAAGACTTCTGGGTGTCTCCAAGGACATACGCCAAATTTTGTTGACAAATGCTCCGACCCGACCGTCCGCAAGATCGTACGATATTCGAGTAACAACTCGATGTAACTGTTGTATGTGATGAATGTGAACACCGTGATTCACAAGTAGTAATGCCTTATGTGCTTTCATGGGTGGGGCTTCTTCCTTGATCGGTGCGATTATATGAGATAAGCATACACTGGTCCAGTATCCAATGCATCCTTGAAGTGATCTATTGGGATCGGAAAGCATAAGCAATTCGCCCAATGACTGGTCAGTTTGTTCTCGAGTTGCAAGCACGAAAGGATTCCGGAGTCTCAATTGGAGTTTTTCGGGTATCATCTCAGTTGAGGTATGAAAGCGAGCTCCATGTTTTGCAAGAAGCCTAACCAGATGCATGTCCCTTCGACACGCCGCGTCGATCAAAGGGACATAAATGCTCACCAGATGGGCATCGAGAGTATTGATACTCACATCCCCTAGCTTGGGAAAGGGTGTTTTTACACTACTCCATTCGCCGGTACAAAACAACTCATGGTAACTGCCTTCGATGAAATCACCATCTGGTTCTGCTGGTAGAGTTCGGTGAAGGTATCTGCCATCAACAGAGTAGCGACAAATAGCTACATTTGGATCTGCTCCGGCGTTCAAGAGGCTCCGAATTCGTTCCAATGTGTGCTTGTCAAGCAGCTTATCAGGGATGAGGAAATTATCAGGTCTGGGTGGGAACACAGCCACCCAATCCGCTGATTTTGGAGCCATTGGCGAGTTTGTCGAATAGGAAAGGGGATGTGCGTGGCATGGTGTCAGGAAAGGAGAAGGCTGAAGTGTTGCCTATGCGGGGTCCATCTCACGTGTAACCACCCACCCCCACACTCTGAAATGAGCAAAGACGACTACGCAAACCACCTAACGACGTTTTGCAAGCCGGATTAGTTTCTTTGGCTATACAAATATTATTTCTTTTATAAGGTGTGAGAACCTCGGCAGACGTTTCGAATCCAAGAAGCTTGGCGAGCCGGTTACGTATGCGCATGTCAAATGCTATGAGTATGGCGCAGGTCTTGTTGCATTGGTTCGACCTGGTAACAGAGGCCCAGCTGAAGAGCAACAATTTTCGAGGAACAGAAGTACCATGATTGATCGAAGGCGGGGTAATCATATATCTGAGTAGGAGAGTCCATCATATTTGCTGGTCTATACGAGTTAGCCTTGTGATGTGTTCTTTCCAGCCGCAGATCTCGAATGTGAATCGTGATGCCCACCGTCGGGTTTCCAACTCTCCAGGCGCGAAACCTGCTTGTCGTACTGCTCTCACATGCAGCTGAAAGTGCGGAGATTTTTACGTTTAAACATGGGGTTACTACTCAATCCAATGACGTATAAGAGGGATGTTTTCGAGAAGTTCTGATGCAAAGCGTTCAATTGGTTGATAGATTTCGGACCCGATTATTCAGAGGTAGAACGGTATCTGTGCACCTAGTGTGCAGCCCTTGCAGGGCCTCTAGCGCCGATCATCATATCTACGTCATCCTCGCGACACAAATGGGAGGCACGCGTTTGCTGCACCTAGCAGCTCTTTAAAGCTCCAATTCCCCAGCTCATCTGCATACATTTATCGTCTCTTCTCACCATTGACCCTTACCAATTGAACAAGATCAACTCACATCACAATGTTCTCAAGACAAGCTACCCAAAATGCCCGCTTTGCGGCTCGTTGTGCGCGTCGCCCAGCTGCACGAGCAGCCAACCCCAACTTCCGCACACAACAACCGCGCTTCCAGTCTACCGCCTCGGAGCAGGCAGCCAGCACAGCATCGCCCGCAGTGATTGGTGCTCTCACCGGAACGCTCGCCACGTTCACAGTTGGCTACATTGCCTACCGACAGTCGGGCGCCTATCAGCTCGTGAAGGCTTCCAAGACCACCCAGGACTACGTCAACACAGCGACGAAGAAGATCAAGGAGTCGACACCAGAGCCTAATGAAGCGTTAGAATGGCTACGCAATGCTGCCCAGAGCTACGCAGCCTTTATACCCGGTGCCAAGGGATACGTTGACACTGCCTTCAACGATCTCGATGCCATCCGCGCCAAGCACGGTGATGAGGTTGATGCCATTATCAGCGAGGCGTACGAGGATATGCGCAAGGTCCTCGGCAACGGCGACCTCAGCCTCGTCACTGCACACAAGACCTGGGACGTCATCACCAAGCATCTTGCTCGTGTCAGCGACCTCGCTGGTGATGCCTCGCAACAGATCATGGACAACCACCCAAAGCTGAAGGAACAGCTTGGTGGCAACTGGGACAAGCTCAAGGAGATGGGAGACAGCTACGGCCCGGAGGTTAAGAAGGAGGTTGACAGGACATGGGGGCAGATCAGCGATATCGTCAAGACTGGCGTGAGCGCAGAGAACATTGCCAAAATCAAGAAGGTCATAAACGAGAAGGTTGAGAAGATCCAACAGCTTGGTGACAAGGCATGGCAGAAGGGTCTTGAGCAGGCCAAGCCCTACCTCGACAAGAACCCCGAAGTCAAGAAGCTGGTTGAGGAGAACGCAGATGCGCTGAAGCAGGGCAATTTCCAAGAGCTGTTCAAGCGCGTCAAGTCTGCTGTCGAGAACGGTGACACTGGCGATCTTGAGAAGTACGTCAAGGGCGCTGCTAACAAGGTTCAAGACAAGGCCAAGGACAGCGGCATGGGTGGCGGCCTTGAGAAGTTCTTTGGTGGGATCCCAGGAGCTGAGCAGATTATGCCCAAGTTGAGCCAGCTGCAGGAGGCGGCAGAGAAGCACGGCGACGAGGCGCAGGATATCCTCAAGAAGGCTGTATCCGAGATCTCTGAGGTGTTGAAGAAGCACGGAGACGAGGCACAAAATCTTGCCAAGAAGGCTAAGGATGATGCGAAGAAATGAGCGGCCATGAAGGAGAGGAATGTGACATGATATGACTTGTACTATAATGCATTAGCGGCTTTGGGAAAAGCGAATATTCCAATTCATGACATTACAAAATGTTCACTCTCTTCCTTGCATACTCACATCAATGTCATGACTACTCCGTTCGTCTACTTTTCGTATCCCTCAGATCATACCGCCCTTGTTCATGATGCTCGGTTGCACTCTTTACAACTACATCCTCTGCTATGTCCTCGTCACCGCGCATACCTACATCCTGACTCTTATTATGGGCCTCGCCCTCGCCTCGTTTCCTCTTTTCTCCCTTCTCCTCCTTCATCTTCCGCTCATGCTCCCACCTCGTCTTCACCGCATATCCTACAATATACTCAAGGAACTCTCTGAAACTGCCCCAAATATCCTGCTCCCCGGCCCAATGGAAATTCATTGTACACAACCACTCAACGCCCCTCAACTTCTCTATTCCTCCATACAAGCTCACAGCAGCTCGTTCATACGCACGTCTCTCCCGGTCGCTTGCCGTCGCATACACCTTCTCGAACGCCTCTAACATAGGCTTGACTGTAGTTGGCGAGAACAGAACGATATCGCCCTCGTCTCCTCCCGCGCCGATCGTAAACCCCTTGATGTCGCCAAAAAGGATATTATCGGATATGTCTTCGCTGTGGAGAGCGTTGGAGAAAAGCTCAAACTCGTAATCTTCTAGAAATTGGATGTCGTGGTTTGCAACGCCTTCTATGTCGAAGAAGATGGCGCCGGGATTATCTCCCTCACCAGGGGCGCAAAAGCCGTTGCTGGTGAGGAGAAAAGCTTTGTAGTCTTCTGGGAGCTGTTCGTCGGCTTGCATCGCATCTGCGTATTCTTCGGTGGAGTCACCCTGCAGCCGAGATTCTAATTCGGCAACCTGGGAGGGTGTTGCTGGGGGCTGAAGATATGTTGACGGTTCGTCGGGCAAGCTAATGAAGCAAACTTGGTGGGAATTGTTGGGTATTGGCACAGGTTCTGGGGTATCGGCGGTGAGGAGGTGGACCAACTCTGATATCTTGAGATCCGCGTAAGGACGGCGGGGACCGTGTGTGAAGCGTTCTTTGATGTTAGCACAACCTTTGGATACGAAAGCTTCGAGCGCTTCTTCGTCCATGTTGAGGGCTTGACCAATGTATGCAGATTTGAGAATATGCCATATTCTGGGTGAGTGGTGTAGACCAAGATGGGCTTCGAGCCATTTCCTTATGTCCTCCGCGAGGGTAGTAGAAGAGGCGCTTTTCTCTTGCACATGACGGTAGATATTGGGGACGTACTTCTCGACAAGGTCTCGTGCAATATCCTCTTCGTCTAACAGCAATGCAACCTGGACCACAGCACCAAGTGTCATGCTGATATCTGGGTTTGACGCATCTTCTCTAGCGCCGACTGCCGTCCTGCTCCTATTCGGCTCTCGATTCTGGGGGTCAGTATTCAACCTTTGGATCGCGATATCTAGTTCCTTTTTGCTCAAACCCCCTTGTACTGCCTTCTCTCTCCACTCCTCGGGTAGGCCCTTCACCCAATCCGTATCCACATACTCTCGCACGTCTCCGCTCTTTTCTTGATTATAGCGGCCGTTGAACACTTTGTCTGGATCCGGATTGCTAATATACGAAGGAGTAGTGTTTGTAGCTTCCCAAGCGTTGTACAATGCTATCATTGTCTTATCTACAAACAGGTCGAACGTAATCCCGTGACCATATTCATACAAGGCGTCGATGAGTTTGTTCGCATGATTGGGATAGCCGAGGACGAACAGATCAAGCGCAGCTTGCTGTACGACAACGGACGAATGTTTCGAGTCACGAGTGCAGAGGAGGACGGTTTTCGACCAGGGGATCAGGGGGATTGCTGATGGCATTATATTGGTGGTTTCGAAATTGGAATGGACAAGATAGGGAAAGGTTTGACAACGTAAAGGTTGGCGGGACTGAGATTAAATAAACATTCACTAGGGCGGAAGATCCAGGCAGCATTAACACTAGTGTTTGGCTCTCTGTTGTTTGTGTAGCCCGCAAGGCTCTCCAGGCACCATCGTGCACGATGATGTCATTGCTGGGTCCCTTGCATGGAGACATATATTCCGTCAAATGCAAGACTGAATAAGAAGCGTTTACACCGCCATCGCACCGAGTGCCGGTATGCGCGTAGGTTCCCAGCGTCGATCAATCGCTCGGAGGTGATATGGCGTGGATTAGTGTAGTATGACTGCAATTCCTCGACGCATCGATAGTCTGGTGGGTGTCTGCTGTTCAACGAGGATCCTGAAAATAGACTTGAACGCAACTCTATGAATTTGAAGCAAGGTAAGGTGGAGAACGAGCGAACTGGGGAAGGGATGAACATTTGTAGGTAAGGGGTTTTCTTTGAGTAGGAAGATATAGCGCGCCTTGGAGATGCTATTGGTCGATAATGCTTGAACGCTGAAGTTCATTAGAAGTATTAAAGTGAAAACTCAAAACTTACAGACATGAGTATCAGGTAGATCCATTGTCAGTGTTACTGAATGTTGCCTCTAGTTGTATTAAATTAGTCTGAGGAACCTTAACTTTATATGATTAAGCCATGGTATTAGTAAAACGTATTCTTGTCGTGTAGTGCTGCATGTAAGGTTTCTTGTCAACCACTTTGTTGACGCTGTATTCTCTAGCCTAGTTTGTGATGTGCTAGGACTTGTATACCGTAGCTTTATAGTGTGGTCGAGAGATCTCTGCGTCTTGCTCTTCACGCCCGCGACGCGGTGGGTATCGGGTGCATCGGATATGATCGATGGCTTCAAGTTCGAAAGAATCTCCTTGTCACTTGTACCTGTTGTGACGGTTCCTCCGACTCTATAAAAAGAGGACGTAAGTTATGTACCTCCCAGGCTTCTAGCGTTCACGATTTTAGAAGCAACATGAAGGGCTGTTTGTCGGCGCTGAGGACTACCAAGAAAACACCAAGTATGAGAGAATGTTGGATGATATGTTGCAGTTCGCCGGGTGACCCTGTGTACCTCTATATGTCTGTAATATTGGTACCTCTTTCCTCGTGCCTGTCGAGGAGGTCGTACAAGGAAGTTGCGACCACTTTTCACATTATCGCGCTTGCTGAGAGTATGAGGCACTCGGAAGTGGCTTGTATCAAAGGAATTATAGTAGCTTTCCTTAGGCATGCTGAGATCGTGGAGGCTGGGCATATGACGCGTTTTGTGAAGGAGGCGAATAGCGGAGGAGCCGCCGCGTCCCTTACGCGTGCCTCCTACCACCCAACTCGACAACGACAGGCCTTCAACAACGCGTAGCAACGCCTCATTCATCGTAATTACACTGCATGTATCCATGCATCATGTTCATTCGCCCTTGAATTGGCCACATACAAGAGTGGCCGGCGCAATCAGTTGCGTACGCATACGTATCGTCGCCTTTCATGACCTATCATGAGCAACAAGGTGTTGATCTAACTGTACTGGAAAACTCGCATCAACAATTAACTACTACCGATCGATCATGACTGCGCTGCAACCTAAACACGGCAAAGAGGACCATCCTGTGACTGCACACCAACGATGCCTTTGTCATCAACAGCCCAATTCTCGCTGCCCACACCATGATGAACATAAAAGAGATCAGTGGGGTCGTACTGCTTCTTAATTGTCAAAAGCCTAGGGTAGTTCTTACCCCAGAAGGCGTTCTGCCAATCTGGCTCGGAAATTTCGGCCTCGTTGGCATACGAGCCTCCAGCTGGAGAGACTTTGCGGAGTCCGCCGATGAGGTCATTTGTCAAGATAGCATTGGCAGCCTTGTAGCCTGCTGCGGATGTATCGGTGATCGAGTTGACAATAATCACCATAGACGCTTCGTTGCGGAAGGCTGGGTTCACTGAGTTTAGGTCTTTGTTCTCAGAATCAGCTGGATGCTGATGATAAACTCTTAGAAGAAGTGACTTATCAACTGCATTCTTCAATGCAGCAAAAGTCTGGTCACGGATGTCTTCAGTCTCCCAGTTTTCCACGGGAAGTATTCGGTTGCCAGGCGTCGAGACCGCGCGGCCAACGCGGAAGTTGAGGGGGGCAAATGTGGCCTGGTACGCTGGATAAAAGCTGTCGTAGTGCTTAACCTCAGGGGCGAAGGCAATACCAAGTTCGGCACACTTTTGGTAAAAAGGTTTCAAGAGAGCCTCGTACTGCGCGATTGACATGTCAGTGGCGAAGAAAGGACCCATGGACCAGGAGTAGGCTCTCGGAGCAACCTTGATCAAGGAAAAGTAGGAGTATGTTTTGGCCTCGTTGTAGGCAGGAAAGCTGTCCCAGAAAAACCTGAAAGCCTTCCAGAAAGTCGCCTCCGAAACGGAGTCCGAAGTCACGATTGTCCAGGTGGCAGTCGTGACCGGGATTTTACGATGTACTTTGACCACGGCAGAAACAACGACACCGAACGTACCACCACCCCCGCCGAGCATAGCCCAATACAGATCGCTATTCACCGATGGAGTAACAGTAACAAAGCGTCCACTGGTGAGAACAACTTCAAGCGCGACAACTTGGTCGGCGCCGACACCAAATAGCTGCATCACAGGACTGTGGCCGCCACCAGTTGTATAGCCACCAGTGACACCGACTGTTGGGCAAATACCAGCGACAGCGGTAACGCCGTATTTCTCAGCGGCTTGGTATAGCTCGAAGCCTTGAACACCAGCACCAACTTTAAAAACAGGACCAGTATACTCTGTGTCCTGATAATCTGCAACGTACTGGATCTCTTTCAAACCGTGCGTCCAGATGCTTAAAGCGCCTTTAGCTATTGACCGACCATTGTAGTCATGGCCAGTGTTGCGGATGACTAGACGGAGATCAAGTGACCGAGCAAAGTTGATGGCTAACTGAATTTGAGCAACATTTTCGACTTTAACAGCATAACTTGAAAAGCCGCCTTGAGTACATTTTCCACGTGTGTAGTTTCCAGAAGCAGGTATTTCACACGTCAATCCAGAGTACAAAGGGCTCATGAGCGCGCCATTATCACCGTAGCTGCATCCATTAGTCGAGTTACCTGTCAGAAAGTGTAGTGCAACTTACTAAAGACTTTCGTCTTGAAAGTTCTTTATGAGGTATTCACATCTCTCAGCGTCGTAGTTATTGAATTCGGAAGTTTTGTAGCAGGGCGAACCTATAGGAACAATCTTCTCCAGCGCACCTCCAAGCAAGAGGTCAAAAATGCCCCAGGTCAGCTTTCCCGGGTATAGAAGATCTCCAGGCATCGTTTTGCAGCGCTGCGATCTACGAGCCCGCCGAACGCGCGCAGGCAATGTTGAGTTCACGGTGTCCTCGAACTCGAATAACGAAGCATACTGGGAAAGATCCGGGTTCTCTTGAATGTATGTGACGACATCATCAGTCAACTGTATAGCTTCGTTCTTGAAGAGAGGAACGTTCGCATGTGTTGAATTGGCAGCGACAGTCTCGGTGGCGGGGGAAATAGATGCAGTAAGAGTGGGAGCGTCAGAGGTCTGTGCCCTCACGAGAATAGCACAGGCAAAAGTCAGCCCGAAATATTTGGCCAACATCCTGAATTATGGGTGGCTGCAAACCAAGGGGCCAGAAGCGGATTGAAAATGAGCCTCTGGCTGCAATGTTCTTGCGGTTCGCGTAGGTTTTAAGGCACGAGAAGGCGCTCAATTAGCATGCGTTGGCGAGCAATTCCTGTCCACTGACAACTGCTTACCGATTTACTAGGTCTGCATGTCGAGATTTGCCGGTTTGAACGAAACGAGCTCGCAGGAATCCACAGTATTGGAGAGATAAGCGCGTCGAGTCAGACATGTTTTACATAGAACACCACTGCAGGAGCAAGCAAAGTGAGTTGCGCTGACAACCGGGTTCATTGCTTACGGGTGACGGACGATCCCTTCTCCAGGTGTAGCTCGTAGTCAGTTGATTTGCTATTGGTGTTGTGAGAAGATACCACGAGTGTTTACGACCAGGGGCGGCCTTCGAGATGGCTCGATCAAGAATGGCGTGGTTTTCCAGTAGGCTCCATGGAAAGATGTTGTAACCACATTAGCGTTCGCGTAGGATCCTCGATACTAGGAGTGCGATCCATTACAAGTGGATATCTGCGTGGTAAAATTTTCACATTGTACGGACCGCGCCCTTCGTGTAGTATTAGACCCTGACTGTAACGATTCTCCAATAGATGACAGTTTTAGCACGTTCCTTGAAAAAAAGACCGACAAACAGTCAAGAACAAGCTATGAAAAATGACAAAGTAACTTATTGAGTACACTTAGGATGTAAGACGTTATCGAACACACCTCTTCTGTTCACCGCTTCTTAAACACAGCGTGGTTACTAACTCCAATATAGGACGGTGCCTAATTAGTCAGTTGAGGCAAGCAGGCCTTCTATCTCAGACCACACATACCTTTTCAATGGCCTAGGGGTGCTGTCAATCAAGGGAGATACGGTACGCCCCGCCTCCAACTTCTGGACATCTGTCTTCGAAATATGTTACCATGGCCTGTGGTTCAGCTGGTGATGCTTCGCACGCACACAAGGCATACGCCTCTCAAATACGACTTTGTTGGTTACCCTCTTATTGGGGACTTTTTCCAGTGCTTTACAAAATTTGAACCATTTTGTTGTCAGAATTCATAATCAATTTCTCATGATGTATACAGCTCATGGATATTTCTGCGGTTATCATATAATTATTTGCTTTACACGTCGCATCCATCTCTACCTGCATTCAATTTTCTTTCACTATCCAAACTGACCAACTAAATCTTCTAGCCGCTGCTAACAATGGTAGAGGGGTAAAATTAAGGTACAGTCGTGGTGTTCGACTCCACTCCGAAGAATTGGGACACTGGTATTCCTCAGGATTCGGATTGCTGGTCATGGATCGGAGTCGAAACCTCGACTGAGTTCACAGGGATGTGAGATACTTGGGTATTAGGTAGGCTTTGGTATGTCCTTGAGGAGGACCCATAACAGAGCTTCTCAATCTGGGCAGGCGTTGCGTCGTGTTGAGAGGTTGGCGGGATCCTTCCGCACGAAACCGGGTGCACGACGCGTTCGCTACGCGTTCAAAGTATACGCGCTGACATCTCAATACAGCTTTCATGTTCAAACGGAGGTCCCCAGTATCAACGCATTCTTCATGGGAACGATGATTCTTCGGTGCTCGGGAACTGATCACCCGGCTGCATTTGAAGCATGCGGGGGCGTCGCTATTCCCGCGGACTGCGTGGGCGGCATCCGCCCCCGCATACCTCAAATACAGCCGAAACGGCAGGCCATGCATCTAGCACTCATCCATATTTACGAATTGACATTCATCGCATTGCCAAGACACTCATAATATGGCATCCATCAACGGAGCTGAAGTTGCAAAACACAACAACAAGGAAAGCTGCTGGATAGTGGTAGATTCGAATGTATACGATGTTACGAGCTTCTTGTCTGAGCACCCAGGAGGTGCAGCTATCATATTGAAGAATGCTGGAACTGTGAGTGGTCTGCCATGTTGCGACGAACCGCGCTGACCCGGAGGAGGATGCGTCCAGAGAATTCAAAATGTATCATCCGCTGGACTATCTGAGGGATAATCTGTCATCTAACTCGTTGCTTGGACCAGTCGACCCTGACACCTTCGGACAACTCAGACAGCCTAAGGAAGAGAAAGCAGCGTTGGGCGAAGATTTAGATAGTTCCAAGGAGATACCACACGTCACATTATGTGTGTCGACTCCGGATTTCGAAAACGCAGCAAAAGCTGTTCTGCCACATAAATCCTACATATACGCCTCGGGATCCGCGAATACTGGCGCATCGTTGCAGGGCAACCTGGACGACTGGGGTCGCATTAACTTTCGTCCGCGTGTGATGCGCAATGTGGGCGATGTTGATACGAGGCGTAAGATGTTTGGCTACAGCTCACCGCATCCATTCTACATCTCACCTATGGGAACCATGGGAGCTATGCACCCCGGTGCAGAACCAGAGATGATTCGAGGAGCAATTAGAAAAGGTACGCACGTGGTGGTCAGCACCTCAAGCACGAAGAGCAGCGAGCAGATTATGCAATGCTATATCGACGAACAAGAGCGGCTGAGAAATGAAAGTCCGACGACGTTATTCTACCAATACTATATGCCTGTTGATCGCACAAAAGCGATCGAACTGATGCAACTGGTCAAGAAGTGTGGGTACAAGGGTCTATGGATCACCGTCGATACTCCGGTTCTAGGAAAGAGGACAAAGGATCGGTATCTGCAAGCCGAAGAAGCCTTAGCTGTTGGACTAGGAGAGGAAACTACCGCTGAATGGGAGACTGGTAGCGACAATGCGTTTGCGCCTGCAATGGGTGGACGGCCTGTGCAAGGACAACTCAGTCCGCATACTACTTGGGATGATCTGGAATGGATACGCAACGAGTGGGACGGGCCGATCGTCTTGAAGGGTATCCAGTGCGCCGAGGATGCGAAACTTGCGATGGAATACGGATGTAATGGCATTCTTCTCAGCAACCATGGTGGGAGGCAGCTACACACTGCGCCCAGTGCGCTCATGACTCTTCTCGAGATTCGGACGTATTCGCCAGAGGTGCTAGGCAAGCTCGAGATCTACCTCGATGGAGGGTTGAGAGACGGGAACGACATCCTAAAAGCACTGTGTCTGGGCGCTACAGCAGTTGGCGTGGGTCGACCGTTCCTGTACGCGCTTGCGGCGTATGGGACCAAGGGTGTTGAGCGATGTGTAGATGGTATGTCTGATCAGTTCGTGACTGGTTGAAACGAAGCTAATGGACGATAGTGCTTGCGGAAGAACTCCAAACGGGCATGCGGCTGTTGGGTATCACGTCACTGGATCAGTGCAGACCTGAGATGGTAAACGCGAGTCGAGTGTTGAACGAGATGTGGCGGCCAGAGCAGTTGAGTATCAAGAGTCGGTTGTGATACTACCCGTATATAGCACAGTATAGCTCCTGTATTTGTCATTACAATGTACCGCTCAAGTCTCCGCCACAGCTAAAGCATGTCGTCGGCTGCTGCAAAATACGTAGAGTCGTCCACTCTAGACAGGATTTTCAAGGCTGGAAGATAGTGTTCATAAAATCCAACATAGGTCAAGATAAAATCTTCTTTCAACGAACGAATGAATCTGTGCCTGTAGATGACTCGACAATTCCGTTACGACCAAGCCGCGTCCTAGACTGGAGCTTATATCTGCCGACCGGCCCCGCACTTGAGAAATCTCTTGCCCGACCCCGCCTCACTCAAGCTCGTCTAGAAAAGTTGATTGTTCCAGGTAAGACTCGCCATGCCATCATGAAAGTATGAATTTTGAAAGCTATATATACGTTCTAAAGCAATTTTCCTCCATCAATCATCCTTACGGTGAGATGGCCGAGTTGGTTATGGCGCCAGGTTAAGGTCTCCCCTTAGCAACACTGAGCAATCAGTTTCCTGGTCACGAAAGTGGCGTGGGTTCAAGTCCCACTCTCATCAATATCGTCTGCTCGTTGAGCAGGTCGTCCAGGTTCTTTTTTTGCTGGTGTTGTGCCCTTCGGGTGTGGTGGACGGTTGGGTGTAGCACGTGCTGAGGCCCGAGCCACGCACGAACATAATATTTTGGCACCTCTGTGTACTCATTGTTATTCGTTTGTCCCATGGCTAGATCGTTTGGGTTTCATTCTTCTGCGTTTCGCTGGTGGTGGTGGTCGGATCACATGATTCCGACTCAGCGAAAATCTCGACGTGATAATCTTCACCATGAGTCTCGTGCTCGTCGATAGTTTCTTTTGAAGTCAATTGCAGGATACATCGTATGCTACCGTGTTTTGGGGATGACGGTCATCTTTTGATACAGCGATGCGTTCACCAACACATTGCTCAGTATCTTCATCATCACAACCAGTTTAATTTCTCAGCAAGTCTACAACTTCGTATTTGGCACCGCAAACCTGACCAAACCATCCTGAAATGTAGTCGCAATATGAGTCCCTGTCTCGTAATCCATCATGCGACTACAATGCAACGCTCTCCCGCCCGTCGCCCGCGAAAACCACATCTCCTGAACAAACCACTGCCGTCCATCCTTGTCCCCTTTCTCATGACCCTCAAGATTGCACATGGGCAGCGAGCCATCCTCCCACAACGTAGGATCGGCGTTCGGATGGTCGATCCTCGGCTCCGCGGCCATGATGAGATCTTTAACTCCGACGTGGAAGATGACGGTGTGCGAAAGAGAAGCCATGCGCGTGAAATCCGGTCTATCGAGATGAGTGGGTATGCAAAAGAGCGAGTTACGGTCCGAGGCGTAGGCATGGCCGATTGCGTGGAGATTTGCCCACCGCGTGAGCGCAATCTTGCCGTTTGGACCTGGTGCTGGGGGGAACGGCGCGGTCGGCAATGGTAGGGAGCCTCGTAGCGTGTAGAAATGGAGGTGTCTACGATCGGTGGCGGTCCGATTCGCGTTGTATTTTGCCATGTCAGGTACGCGGATGTGCAGCCCTGGGACGGGGTTGAAATGGTCTGGATGCGCTGGGAGATAGACCTTGTTGAAGTTCTCTGAATCATTGTCCGGTACGTCGCGGTGTTGCATTGGATCGTCTTCTTTGCCTTGCAGTACTTCCCGGTACGTTTCCTTGATGTTAATCGGCTCTTGGACTTCGATAGATGATAGTTCTTCTCTTTTGAACGAGCATGTACATGTGAACATGTCGCCTGCTCCCTCGACCTGAGTTACGGTCACAAAACGCGTGCAGTAACCATACCCATCTCTTATTTTTTGCACTTTGTAGGTGAAGTGCTCGTCGGGCTTTCCGCCCAAGATGAAGAAACCGGTGTTGTTCTATCACATAAGTTAAATCGTGTCGATGTCAGAATGAGGTTTCGGCGTACATGTATCATATATCCCTCGTCAACAGTCAACGCAGCGGCCCAAGCTGCTTGTGAGAATACATAGCCTCCAAAGGTACCATTTTCTCCCCCATAAGGCGAATACGCTTTCACAATGGACCGAAACGTCCAATCATCAATCTTCTCAAGCTCGAGGATCTTGTCTAGAGGCAGCACCTTTTTGTCCTCGGTGAAGTACGGACGAACAACCATAGTTTGCGTTAGGTTTGCAGATATGCCAGGAAAATATTTTGACTGGCTGGCGGATAAGATCGAAGTAGTATTACCTCGGGTCCAACGACGGATCAAGTGGGGCCACTAAGAGCGCCCTCTGAGGGGAAACCGGGATTTCTAGTCTCCCTTGTGCACGTCCACCTCGAGCCGCGTTACTTGATAAGAGATGGGTGTGAAAGTGATTACAAAGGGGTCAAGAAAATATGAATGTAGGGTTATGCGATGACGCAAGAATCGACGTCAGAAAACGAATGTGAGAAAGTCGAGATGATCAGTGCTTTTATGGGATCAAGAAGAAGAATATTGCAGTATACAAAGACATCAGCCCGTCTGTTCATCTCTGATCTTTCAATTGCTGTCTTCTCCCCACAATCTCTCGATCATTCATATCCCCTTTTCCTCATGTTTCGTCAACAAGGGACTTCTTGATGCGGCCTCTTCCAATAGTCGGAAAATGGCACAGCAGTGAAATAATGTTAAAAATGGTCGGATATAGTGGTACATCGCTTGTACCCTGTTCAAAGTGTGGAATGTCTCTAATGCATCCAGATTTCACTCTCAGTTGGCCACTCAAACAATGCAATCAGCCAATACATTCTATACTTTCCCTCACATTTCATCACCTGTGTCAATCAATTATACTATGATAAATGATCAGTTTTGGTCCGAAAAGTATCGTTGTGTAAGGAGGGTTGCTCCTGCCCATCGCAACCTGATGGCGCCTTCCTCACTTGTAATCGCTGTCTCAGTGCACGCGACGCGCCTGCCTTCAACTCCTGCAAACGCAAGAGAACCAGGCAGAAACCTCTCACCTTTAGGTCGCCCCACCGTCTCATATAAACCTTACCACCATCCCTTCTACCACCCCATTCACCTCAACTTCTCCTGCTTTCCCAATTCTTCTACAAACCCCACCCATCAAGGTAAGCTGCGTCAACCTATCAACGTACACTCTCAGCTCACACCCAAAGCGCTAGAATGTGTCAATACTGGAGGAAGATGCACACATGCGAACACCCCTCAGACCGCCCTTACCTCGAAATGTGCAAGCCAGGCTACCTCAGCAACACGGTATGTCCCGACATCGGCGAAGACCCCAAGCCGCGCAAGAGCTACTTCCCCTGCTGGTACTGCATCAAATCCGAATACCGCGCCGAAGTCGAAGCCGAAGCCGCTGCCAAAGTCACCAAGCAGGTGCAGAAGATGGCGGACTTCAGGGCGAGGGATGAACTGCGCATTAAAGAGGAACGTGTGCGTCGCGAGGCTCGCGAGAGGGCTAGCCGCGAGCGTGAGGAGGAGGTGAGGAGGAAGATGGAGAGGGCGGCACGGGAGGAACGCGCGAAGAAGGAGGGTGGGCTGTGGATTGAGACGGGGAGTGGGAAGAAGGGGAAGGATAGGAAGGGAGTCAGTGCTACGTCGGGCCCGCTTTCTGCTCCGCCGGTCATGAAGACGATTGTTGCGCGGGAGAAGAAGGAGAACGTTGCTGTCAATGTGGGTGTGGGCGAGGGAAGTGACAGGAAGGAGAAGGAGAAGAGCCTTGATTTGGGTGGTAGGGCAGGCACCTGGGGCCCGAAGAAGATGCTGAGTCCGGAGCCTCTCCTCCCGAAGAAGATCCTGAGTCGCAAGGAGAACATTGCGGTGAGAGAGAATGGTGGAACGAAGAAGTAAGTGCGAGTACGGTGTAAGAGGAGATATTTAGCTCGCATGAGTGGTGAATCGGAACGAGAGGAGCGAGCTGGGAGTCTGGGAGATCAGGCAATATCATGCCTAGCAAGGAACGACGAGGAACGAGATTCTCTTTTATATAACATAGGTACTTACAAAACTCGTGCACAAGTTCATACCCATCACTCCTTCTTGCTCTGACGGATAGACTCCCAGCCTGTACTCAAAGACGAAGATACTATTGAGTTACAAAGAACAACTGATGCAAGTCAGAAAGTGTGTACAATATGAGTCCGTTGCTTACTTGACGACATCGATATCCTGACATGTCCAAAGAACGTTAGTAGCACACCCAATGTGCTCTCTGAGTATGAGAAAGGTTGGCTAAGACTCAGCTCGAGACATGTGCATAGAGAGAAGAAACGTTGGAATTACGGGGGTATATCCATGACCAGACCTAACCAGACCCAGCGACACCCGTGAACCCAAGCAAAACAACCAATCCTACCCGAATCCCAGAGTAGTCATGCCCATGGAGTGTACACACGAAAACGAGCCGCTCAAGAAAATCAAGCGCGTCGCCGACTGGCCTTCTTCTCCCCGCGCGCCTCCCGGTGTTCGACCTTCGTGATCCGCGTCCCGCCCATGGTCTTGAATTTCTCCACCAGCGCGTCCGTCTCGTCGAGCTCTTGCATGTCGTCGCCGCCGCCGATGCTCTTGCCCATGAGCAGCACATTCGGCACTGTCCGCCTACCCGTCATATGGCCCAGGAATTCCTGTAGCTTCGGGCCGAGCGGATGTAGATCGAGTTCGACGACGTAGGGTTCGGGGACGATTGTGTATTTGTCGAGGAGGATGTGTTTGGCCATTTTCGAGTATGGGCAGTAGGATTTGGAGAATACGATGGCTGTGGCGCGGGTTAGCGATTGCCAGGATTCGGGGTGAGTAAGTGTGGGGGTGTCGTACTGGGACTCTTCCTCAAAATGGCGTTCAGCTCCATCTCCACTTCGTGGTCTTCTGGTGTTTCGTGCTCATTCATGGCTGCTTGGTCGCGTGGCTTGCCGCCTTGCGCGGCGACACCGGGAACCTTGTCTCCGTCTAGCTTAACTCGTCCTGCGACGCTCTTCGCGTCTCCTTCGACGCTATCCTTGACCTTTGCGTGTTTGTCGTCTGCTGCCTTCTTTGCCTGGTCTTCTGCGGCCTTAAGTCGCGATCCTACGCTGTCGGCGTCTCGTTGTTTTGCTGCTTCCTCATACTGTCGGTCTTGCAACGCCTGTTGTGTCTTGGTGTAGAAGGGTGATGACCGTGTCTGCTGGCCCGCGCTTGACATGTAAAATATGATGACAATAGTTACGATTACGAACAGGCTGATGGCCTTGAAGCGGCGTTGCGACGGCATCATGGTAAGCTTAGTGTTGGTCGTGAGGTAGAAAGTGCACTTTCGTGAGAATGGAATTCGTCAAATGGCCCGGGTTTTGCGCGTGCTAAGGAGCTTCCAATGACGTCGTTTCGAGTAACGCAATGCCGAGTGAGCGGTGCTGGTTGACCCCGTGTTTAGATGGTTGTGGTGCTAAGGTGAGCCGTAGGCGCATGCTCAGGTATATAAGATTGCGTAACGGCTCAAAGGAGAGTACGAAGCCCTGCAAACGTGACTGTGCAGGAGGAAGAGGGCAAACGTTTAGTACCGTAAGGTCGAGGCTGTGCCACAAAGGAGTGTGATTTTATTGGCGTGAGTGTTTCCAGACGTGCCTTCCGTGCTCTCCTCGATGGATGGAATGCAGCCCGCCAAGACGAACTCGGATGTCTCTGCCGCTTCTCCACACTTGCACCACTCACGCGTCGGCAGCTCCTTCTACGTCGCGTCTACAGATCCTACAATACCGAATGGATTTACAAGCACGTCTCACAGCACGAAATTCGTCTGGCAACGCATTTTAGCGCATTCAACGTATTTTCCTTCCCGTCAGTGTCTTGTTACTTCTTGCGTTTCAAGAAATCTTCCTGTGCCATTTCATTTGACAATGTCATCTTGTTGAACTTACTCGACATCGCTCACAAAACTACACGAGCATCGCATCGTTCAACACACGCCGATACAAACTGGACCTATCAAATCCACTCTTTAATCTACCGCTTGATTTACTTTAATGTCTCCTTTCAATGGACGAAATATGCCCCCCTCTTAACATCTATAAGCACTAGCTACTTCTCTTTGTATATGCTTTACAGAACCCAGACTTTGAAAAGTCAAGGTTAATTGATACTGCAACGTTGCACGTTGAGATGTTAGTCTTGTAACTGGCTGCCCTGCCTTCACCTCTTTGCCTTCACCTCCGTTTATTCTTGACACACAGAGTGGCCCTTGCGCTCGCACGCTCTCACGCTCCAGCACACAAACGTTTTTTAATGCAATTTGCGTCACAGTCCAACAACAACACCCCCTCCTACAACCGACGTCTACATCGCGCTCAAGTTACCAGTTTCCTCTTTCGTGTGTTCCGCGTGCCATCAAACTCACAACGCAAGATGAGCAGCAACAACGCTGGACCAAAGAGGCGAAAGGTCTCACAAGATCTCTCTAGTGAAGCTACAGCCCAATCGCCGGGCACGAAGCCCAAGAAGGAGCAGGTTCGAGACTTCCAGAACCTGAACAAGCTTGCCGCGAGCCTGGAGCTACAGGACAGCACTACCCTGAAACAGTGGCTTGAATCACCAGTCTTTACGGTACGGTGGGATGAGTTTGAAAGAGATGGTCTACCCAAGAAAGGCAGCGGCAACGAAGGTTGGGAGCTATAGAGCTGTTCATCGTGATTGTATTCTACGCACTGTAGCTACATCTTCCCTTTCGCCCTTCTTCTCAGCCCTGTCTTCTTCTGCGCTTGACTTTTGCCCCTGCAGACGACTCGAAGGCGCCCATCTGGTTATGGTTTGGTAGTGCGTTTCTGTCTACCACACCCACACCGCTATTCTTGAAGTAATTCAGGTCTCTCAATACGCGCTCGAGTCTGTAGCTACATTAGATCTCCCTGATGTACGTTTGAAGTATACATACCTAGCGACTTCTGGCGAATTCTTGCCTTCAACACCTGTCATGTGCTGCAAGATCGTCTTTCCCTGTAGCACCAAAACCGAACCAAGCCCCTTGAATGCGGTTAGAGTCAACGGGCGAATACTATCGTACACTTTGATGTACTGGAAGATAAGCTGTAACTTCATTCCTCTCCTGGCGCCAAGTTGGCAGAGCGAGTAAACGGTTGCAGGATCAACTCCCAGTCCATCGGGCCCGCGGATAAGAGCAGTCACCTTGGCGCCATCGGGAAGAGTGTTGAAGAATTGGCGAACATCTTTGACCATTGCGGGGGGCCTGTTAACAACCTTTTCAAAGTTGGTGAAGTATGCCCCCGGGCGCTGATGACATGTAGCTACGATCGTAGCAAATTGTACTGGGATTGGGCTATATCTCTCCAGTCTCTGCCCGAGGACAATACCCTCTCGTACCCGGTCTTGCACCACCTTTCCATTTGCAACAGCTGAGCTGTCACCCTCATTTTGGTATTTTTTTGCAGCTGACCAGCCGGAAAGGCGACAGATGACAATGAGGTATTGACCGGTTGGCTGGGAAGGATGTAGCTTCGCTATTCCGTCGCCATCATCGTCGCTGCCCTCGCTGTCGTCATCGTTGTCTTTTTCATTGCCGGCGGCTACAGCTTTACCCTTTTCATTGCTTGGAATCGCAGTCTCTGGCACAACTGTAGTTACCGCTAGCTCGGACGGAATCTCTACATCTTCGTTTCCAGCTTCGTCCTCAGAACTGTCAATGAAGATTACTTCTAGCACAGATTAGTATGAAGCTCAAAAAGAAGTCCTGTAGCTACAGAAATCGACACGCTCGAACAGCTTACCGTGATCTTCCGTTGCTTCCTCCTCTTCTTCTGAGCTAGGTTCATCTTCTGACACCTCGCAGCCCTCCCATGCATCGTCTTCAGAGTGCCATTCGTCAGCACATCCTGCGCGATCGAGCGCCCACTGGTCATGGATACGGCTACGTGCCACATCCTCGAAGCTATTCTCATGTTCCCAGAATGTGCCATATCGCTCATCGGGGTGAAGCTTCGCCGTAGCCAGACGTCTCGCCTCTTCTTCTGCAATTGCAGTACGTATCCGGCCAGCTAGACTGCGGTCTGCTGGATACGGTCGCTTGGGTCGTTTGCCGCGGCGAGTCTTCTTCCTCTTCTGGGGCTCTGCAGCGTCATTCTGCGTTGGCGTGGGTGTGGGTGTAGTAGGTACGGTCATCGTGAACTCGTGAACTTTGACTGTAACTACACAAGTGACTTCTAACAAGATGACTAGTGAGAAGCTTGAGACTGAGTTCTGAAGCTACGAAACTTTCTCTGAAGAAAAGTTACAAACGCGCCCGAGCCGTGCGTGCTTGCCGGATTGGGTAGGAACGAACGACTGAGGACTGTTACAACTTGGTATGCACCAACGCATTCTGATGCCTCTCAACGCTGCACTGAATAAGACGAACCCCGCCTTAATCTCCAACGCTTGCTGGTTTTGAAGATAGAGTTCTATTAGTAACTGGAAACAGAAGGAAAGCATGATGTGTAAATCAGTCATCGTGTTCCTCTTCCTGTAAAGACTGAGTAACAACATTCGAATCTCGTCACTCCGTCACTCCTCTTGCTACTAGATACTATTTTGATACTTCTTGAGGCTCACAAACCCATATCCCCCACCTCTGCTTGAGCCCTAGACCTTCGGTGTACCAACCCCAACATGCCGCCGTGACTTCTCGCCCAACCCGTATTCCTCAATCAGTCTCTCAGCACACTTCTGTCCCATAAGATACGCCGTCGGTTGAGTGTGATTGTTTGTGGTCAGAGGAGAGACACTCAGATCCGCCACTCTCAAATTCTTCACCCCAAGAACCCTGAAACTCGAGTCCACGCACGTCTTCGCATCACCAGGCTTGCCCATCACCACCGTTCCGTTTGCGTGCCAGACCGTGCCCGCATTTTCCGTCATGAACTCGTCAACATGCTCGTCTGACATTGACTTGGGGCCGCAGATCGTCCTGCGAATCGATGGCGCGAACGTCGGGTTGAGTACGAGTTTCGTCCACGTCGCGCGGATGGCTTCGCGCATGATGCGTTTGTCGTATGGGTGCGTGAGGTAGTTTAGGTGGATGATAGGTTTGTCATCCGGGTTGGATGAACGCAGAGTGACCGAGCCCTCAGACTGCGGGTTCATTAAGAACGCTATGCATGTCATGTAGCTATTGCCCTCCTCGAGTTGGGTGCCTGGCGGCCAGAGCAGGCCGTTGTTAATAAACTCGTATGTTGGTACCGCGTCTCGAGACAGGTATTCTTGGTGATCCTTGGGGAGAGCCTTGTACTCGGGCATTTCTTCTAGGCCGAGAATCTTGAGGAATCCACCCCACATGACACTTTGCTGCAGTGAAAATGCGCCGCTTTGGTCTTTTTCCCAAGCTGCTGCTGCCTCGTCGAGTAGCTTCTGGTTGGATTCGAAGGCATAGCGTCCGTTGAATGCACCTTCCGTTTCGACACTCATGAAGGACAGAACATGGTCCTGAAGATGCTTACCGACACCTGGAAGATCCTTCTTCACGTCGATTCCCAGCGCTTCGAGTTCCTGCTTAGGACCAATGCCGTTTTGTAGTAGAAGTTTGGGCGAATCGATTGCACCGCCGCACAATATGACTTCCTTGCTCGACGTTGCTATCCAATCCGTCAGTATCGACCTGAGGGAATAGAGTTCCTCGAAAACCTTACCTTTGCGTCCATCCTTCGTCTCAACACCCACTACTCTATCCCCCTGGAACACCAGTTTCTGCACCGTAGCATCTGTCCAAATCTCCAAGTTGTCGGGGGGATCCAGCAAATGGGCTCCCGCACTCGTGGACCTACCGACCTTACTATAGCTATTCGGGAACACGCTGACCCCGACCGGATTCCCTGAGTTTGGGTCCAAGTTGATCTTCTCGCCCGCCTCCCTCAACGCCTGCATCTGCGGCACCACACCCTCCTCCAGCGCCGCCGGTAGCCCGACCTTCAACTGCCCCTTTGTCCCGTGCTCCTTCCCTGGTTGCGCAAGCCCAGAGTACGCTTTGGCGTCTCCAAACCCGTAATTCTCGATCGCGTGGAAGCTTTTCTGCACAGACTCCCAGCGCCAGGTCTCATCGCCCACAAGATCTGCCCAGCGGTTGTAGTCTTCACTGGATCCGGTGAGGTAGACGCCAAAGTTCAGGATAGAAGAACCCCCGAGTCCTTTGCCGCGTGTGTATGTGATCTCGCGGCCGTTGAGGGTGGGCTCAGGTTCAGAGACGTAGCCATGGTCGAGATCCGGGCGTAGGGCTGCAGCGAGGAAACGATGGAAAGGTGCGCGGAGGTACTCGCCTTCAGGTTGCGCGCCGGCTTCGAGAACAAGTACAGAAGGTTTTGCAGGGCTGTGGGAGAGGCGGTGCGCGAGGAGGCAGCCTGCTGTTCCAGCTTGGTGGTGTTAGATGTGGAGGCGTGACTTGGCGCGGGGAGGATCGGAGGTACCTCCTACGATGATAAAATCGTATGTTTTATCCACGGCCATGTTCGAAAATGAGCGCAAGATACAATGAAGGGTGTATTTTGAGGGCAATTGCAGAACCAGAACAAGTTGATCAGTCTAGAAACCACTGTCTATTGCTTCAAGATCTGGCGGAACCCTTCGTATCCTTATACGTGACCCCAGAGCTAGGCATGCAGGGTCACAAGCTACACTTTTCCCCCATGCATTAGCGTGAGCATACCGTTCATACGGACATCGTCGGATGCTGACTGCGGCATGCCGCCAAGCGCTCTGATTTGCCGCTGTAACTTGGTGCTGACAGGTTGTGGTACCGGTAGAGTCCTGCGCATGGTGCGTGGATGGATGGATGTGTTAGCGACCGGATGGAAACAAGCTTATTGGCTAGAATGGAGTGAAAGACTAGGATTTGAGCGCTGCCTGTAATGAAACTTGTCTAGATGAAGGTCTTGGGAGTGACAATGACAGAAAGAGGAGAGCCTGAGTGGCACAACTTATTCTTTGATTGAATGTGTATATTGCTTAAGCCAACATCTGTTTGGACGCCTCGAGAGGGTTACGGTGAGGTATGCCTATGTTCATTCTGTACCTTGTTAAATTGATTGACGAGTTTGGTCCATCTTTTTAAGTTCGCCTTCACTCTGTCTCGCCTTCAATTTCCATGCTCTTCGCTAATCCTTTTCCTGTCGTATCAGGCCATACTTTGTGAATCCTTGCTGTCTTTTCTGCAGTCACCTTCCGTACTGAGCTACTCCTTGCTTCTCGCGCCATGTAAACGCCTTGCTGTGTGTGTGTGGATGCTTCCCATGTATGTGTGACTTGGCTTGCTGACGATTATGCATGCCCTGCTATCTGAGCACGAGCTTGTTATCTATAGTGAAAAGCAACTATGTCTCTCTCTTGCCTTAGTTAGACTTCCTCCGTCGATTGACGTTCAAGGCCGAATCGAGGCGACGATCATCTGCTGACATGCATATGGTAGCTGACTGTACCTTGATAGACAAATCGAGTTGCCGATGAAAGACAGAACGATATCGTAGTACTCGTATTCGCACGTGTCTACAATCTCTATGTCTATCAAGATCTTGCAGGAGTGAGTCTTTCCCGTGCAGAAATAGGAATCTTCTGTCCTGGCGATAGGCAACAAATCGCAGGTAGTTGATTGGATGTTGTTTTCACACGTCGAGCGTTGGGCAGTAACAACAAGACATGGCTGAGCAGATAGAATCTCGGAACGTTTGTAAAAAGAGAGAGAGCGTAAAGACGCAGTGGAAGAAAAACGAGGCTAGGAGGCAGACAGTATACGAGCTCACGACCCTTCGCGTAGGCTGGAAAAACAAGATTCAAAACCCCGATGCAAGTTTAGCACGGTCGCTAAATGGCTGCGTTGGACATTACGCTGGCGCGCTGGCGATGACGATGACGATGAGAGTGATGTGTCTAGGGTATCTGGCGATGCGGAATAGAAGGCAATCCTGGTCGGTGGTTGCTGGGTGACCATCACGGCGCTTACCCACCCGCCTGCTATTTGTATACAGACGGCTTCAAAGCATTGCCAGCACATCCACAAGATAAACACGCACTCTACAGTCAATTGCATCACTTGAAACAACTAGAATTCTCAACTGCGACAGAGATCAGGATCGAAATCGGAAAGCGCGTTCGGCAAAGTTCAAGTCCGTAAGGTGGTTGGTACCAGCCTCCTCTTCTCAGCTTCCCAGCCTCGAGCAAATCTAAGTTGACCTATTTCCTCGCACCACCTCACCCACGCTCTCCTGCATCTGCACACTCCTCCTCCTCCTCTCCTGCACATTTGAAACTGTACATTCGTTGCTGACCTTTGAGTTTCTTTTGCGACAACGCATTCCGTCCACCAACCTTGGACTGCTGCAGCTAAGCGAACCGCCGACGGCCCCGCATCATCATCGGCATCGCATCACCATTCCCCGCTCGCGCTCACCGCTATCGTCGACGACTACTTTCCGCGCGCTCGACAAACGACGATCCTACCATCGTCGGCCCTCCACAGCCATCATGTGGTTTTTCAGAGCTCCTGCGGCTGTCCTCGGCCTGGTCGCCATTGCTTACCTCCCCTCAGCATGTGCAAAGCCATATCCCATGCACATGGAAGAGCTGCGAGACCTGCACAACGCATCACAGATAGAGAAGCGCGACTGCCCCAGTAGCAGCACGCCCTGTGGGTATTATGGTCAGATCTGCTGCGCTTCCGGCGAATCATGCGTCACCGACGCGAACAACCAAGCACAGTGCTCTTCCGGGGGAGCAGCGACGACGGGCTGGTCCTACTACACGTCCACATGGGTCGAGACAGTCGGACTCGCCACCAAGACATCCGTGTACAGCTCCTACGTCGGCGCAACAGCGGCCACGTGCTCGAGCTCCCAGTCACCTTGCGGTTCAAAGTGTTGTGACAGCGGCTACTACTGCCTCACCTCCTCTGGATCGTGTGCGCTGATCGCCGGCGGTTCGTCGGGAGGCATTGTTCCTACTGTGAGTGCGGGCGCCCCAGTGCGTCCCACGAGCTTGTCTGTCGTTGTTGTCACATACACGGGCACCCCGACCGTGACCGTTCCTTTCCAGACCCCGATTTCCACCGGCGCAACTGGCGCGCTTGTTCCAGTGTCAGAGAGCAGCGGTGGTCTCAGCGGCGGTGCCATTGCCGGAATCGTCATCGGTACACTTCTTGGTCTGTTGCTTCTCTCGCTTCTCTGCCTATTCTGCTGCGCTAGGGCTCTATTTGATACCCTGCTCGGCATCCTCGGCATCGGCAAGAACAAGCGCAAGCACACTCACGAAGAGACTTACATCGAGGAGCACCACACCAGTGGCGGCGGCGCTGCTTCTTCAGGCGGTCGTTGGTATGGCCAGGGCCCTGCTCGTCCTGTGAGGGAGAAGCAGAGCGGTGGACTTGGAAAGGGCATGGGTATCGCTGCTGGCCTTGGTGCCTTGGCCCTCACACTGGGATTGAAGCGCAAGAACGACAGGAAGCACGACGACAAGAGCACAACGGTTTCCGGGTCGTCATACTACTACAGCGACTACACAAGTTCAAGTGAGTACCCTAACCACCATTTTCCACCTACAAATCGCTAACAAACAACCAGGCAGCGCAAGCTCTTCCGATCGACACACACGCCAGACTCGACAATCGTCAAGACGTTAAACTCCAATTCAACCTGTACATTTGTTTTATCTTATTTATTGTTTTTACGCATCGACTGTACGGCGTAGGTGGTTTGCTGCTTAGTATGGGATTGTGGACATGTCCACGGCGTTCTACACGGCGTTTGACATGCCTCAGACGAGGTCATGATAGCAACACGATGTTGCTGGTAGTAATGATTCATGGAGGATATGGACATGGGTACGAAACACGAGACATGGGATATGGACGCGTAGAGCAAAAGCGATCAGAGGCTCTGAATATGACGACTTTGCCCAGCTTGGGTTTCTCATGCATAGTTTTTTCCGATTCGCGTGATGACTTGGTGAATATACTTCGATAGCCCCATGACATAGGTTTTGGAGCCAGAGGTGTTTGCAGTATGTACTACGCCCCCCTGCAGCTTTCTGAGGTTGCTCAAACGTTGAGATTCCAGAATGGACATATGTAGAAGCGGCGGGTCCACCAGGGAAACTCTGAGTAAAGGCGGTTGCCAAGAAGGCGGGTTTCAATTTAGCGTGTTACGTTGGAGCTCCAGCATGTTCGTTCAGCAAGGCAGCGCTACTTAACATCTGCCTGCTCTGCTTCCACTCCCCCATTTCTCTCCCTACACATCCCACAGACTCAAAGAAGCAGAAGCCACATCTTGGTTGCATATCTCAACCACCCTACGTCTCCAGCAGTGTACAGTCCATCAGCGACCGCCACAGTTCACTGCTCACAAGCTTCCCACAGCCGGCAAACTGTCGAAGAGAAGACATACCGAAGAGGACCTGGGTCCTAAGAAGAAAGTTATGGCAGTAAGTGGTGCACGACTGATTCTGTTGCGTCGACGGGCGCGGTGGTCGGGGATAGCAAGGCTGTGCATTTGTAAACCATGGATTGCGCTCGATAGCTCCCGCGGCGAGCGCATTGCCCCCGCGATCCCCCACCACGCCACACCACCTCAACTCATCGTCCGAACATGACTGACTCACCCAAGGACAAGATGCAGGTCGACGACCCTCCTGCTGCCGTCGAGCAGCTCAAAGAGGCTTCTGGCAACAATGGCGAGATCGACGAGTCGCTCTATAGCCGACAGCTGTACGTGCTGGGCCACGAGGCCATGAAGCGCATGGGCTCGTCCAACGTCCTGGTCGCTGGTCTGCGAGGTCTTGGTGTCGAGATCGCAAAGAACATTGCCCTCGCCGGTGTCAAGTCGTTGACGCTGTACGACCCCAAGCCCGCCGCCCTCGCCGATCTGTCGTCGCAGTTCTTCCTCCACCCCGAAGACGTCGGGAAGCCGCGCGCCGCCGTCACCGTCCCGCGAGTCTCGGAGCTCAACCCATACACACCCGTCCAGCAGTTCGCCGGCAGCGATCTGACGTCAGACCTGTCTCAACTCAAGCAGTTCCAGGTCATCGTCCTGACAGATACCACACTGCAGGACCAGATCAAGATCGCAGACTACTGCCACGACAACGGCATCTACGTCGTTATCACGGACACATTTGGCTTGTTCGGTACCATCTTCACCGACTTTGGCAAGAACTTCACAATAGGCGACCCGACTGGCGAGAACGTCACAAACGGCATCGTGGCTGGGATCAACTCCGAGGGTCTGGTCTCTGCGCTGGACGAGACAAGACACGGTCTCGAGGACGGCGACTGGGTCACGTTCTCGGAAGTCAAGGGGATGGAGGATCTGAACGGCTGCGCACCCCGCAAGATCGAGGTCAAGGGGCCATACACCTTCTCGATTGGTGACGTTTCCGGGCTAGGCGAGTACCAGGGAGGTGGCCAGTACATTCAGGTCAAGATGCCCAAGATCGTCCATTTCGAGCCATTCAGCAAGCAGTTGAAGAAGCCCGAGCTCTTGATCTCCGACTTCGCCAAGTTCGACCGACCGCAACAGCTCCACGTCGGCGTTCAGGCTCTTCACCACTTCGCCGACAAGCACAACGGGGAGCTCCCACGTCCACACCACGAAGCTGATGCGGCAGAGGTTCTGCAGATTGCTCAAGAGCTGGCCGGCCAAGGAGAGGAGAAGGTTGAGCTGGATGACAAGCTTATCAAGGAGCTCAGTTACCAAGCACGCGGCGATCTTAGCCCGGTGGCTGCCTTCTTCGGTGGTATGGCCGCACAGGAGGTCCTCAAATCTGTGTCTGGAAAGTTCCACCCCATCCTCCAGTTCCTCTACTTCGATTCACTCGAGTCGTTACCAACATCGACAACTCGTTCAGAAGAGCAGTGCGCCCCGGTTGGCTCGCGTTACGATGGACAGATCGCCGTCCTGGGCCAGGAATACCAGAAGAAGCTTGGAAACATCAAGGAGTTCTTGGTCGGTGCTGGAGCCATTGGTTGCGAGATGTTGAAGAACTGGGCCATGATGGGCTTGGGTGTGGGTCCCGAGGGCAGGATTACAGTGACCGATAACGACCAAATCGAGAAGAGCAATCTGAACCGACAGTTTTTGTTCAGGCCCACAGACGTTGGCAAACTCAAGAGCGACGCTGCAGCGAAGGCTGTGGAAGCCATGAACCCTGATCTGAGCGGGAAGATTGTTACACTGCAGGACAAGGTTGGCCCTGAGACCGAGCACATCTTCAACGAGACGTTCTGGAATGAGCTTGATGCGGTCACCAACGCTCTGGATAACGTGGAGGCGCGTACATACGTTGACCGACGATGTGTGTTTTTCCGCAAATCCTTGCTCGACAGCGGTACTCTCGGCACCAAGGGCAACACCCAAGTTGTTCTGCCATTCATCACAGAATCCTACTCCTCTTCGCAAGACCCACCGGAGAAGTCATTCCCCATGTGCACACTGAGGAGTTTCCCCAACCGAATCGAGCACACTATTGCCTGGGCGCGAGAGTCGTTCGATTCGTTGTTCGTCAAGGGACCAGAAATCGTAAACCTGTACCTCACACAGCCGGACTACCTCGGTGCGTCGTTGAAGCAGTCCGGTAACGAGAAGCAAACCCTGGAAACCCTGCGAGACTTCTTGGTGACCGAAAAGCCACGAACCTTCGATGACTGCATCATCTGGGCACGACAGCAATTCGAGAAGAGTTACAACCATGCGATTGCGCAATTACTCTACAACTTCCCTAAAGATTCCACAACTGGCTCTGGCCAGAAGTTTTGGTCAGGGCCGAAGCGTGCGCCAGACCCGTTGAAGTTCGACCCCTCAAACCCCACCCACTACACCTTTGTTGAGGCCGCCGCGACTCTGCACGCGTTCAACTACGGTATCAACCCGAACGCCACCAGAGACCACTATGTCGAGGTGCTGAATGACATGATCGTTCCAGACTTCCAGCCTGACCCTACAGTGAAGATTCAGGCAAGCGATGCAGAGCCCGATCCGAACGCCAACCAAGCAGCCAACGACGAGAACGATTCTTTGGACAACATCATGAACCAGCTTCCAGCACCAAAGACGTTGGCTGGCGTCAGGCTCACACCTGTGGAGTTCGAGAAGGATGACGACACAAACCACCACATTGACTTCATCACAGCAGCCAGCAATCTGCGTGCCGAGAACTACAAGATCGAGCAGTCCGATCGACACAAGACCAAGTTCATTGCTGGCAAGATCATACCGGCCATTGCCACAACAACGGCGTTGGTTACCGGTTTGGTCAATCTTGAGCTATACAAGATCGTCGACGGCAAGACCGATATCGAGCAGTACAAGAACGGCTTCATCAACTTGGCGCTGCCCTTCTTCGGCTTTAGCGAGCCGATTGCCAGCCCCAAGGGCACGTACACGGGACACAACGACGAGGTTGTCACGATTGACAAGCTGTGGGATCGATTTGAGGTGGAGGACATTACACTGAAGGAGTTTGTCGACCACTTTGAGAAGAAGGGTCTCTCGATCCAGATGATCAGCTCTGGTGTCAGCCTGCTATACGCCTCCTTCTACCCTCCGGCCAAGCTGAGGGACAGGATGGGCCTCACGTAAGTTCTCAATTTCTTTTACGCAGGAACATATGCTAACAGGGTATAGGATGAGCAAACTCGTCGAGCATGTCAGCAAGAAGGCCGTTCCTGACCACCAGAAGAACGTCATCTTCGAGATCACGGCCGAGGACCAGAAGGAGGAGGATGTTGAAATTCCATACGTGATGGTGACGCTGAAGTAGACGGGTTGGATGATTGAATTACACAGCCAGCGGATTGGCGCAGGCGGACGATTATGATGGCTATCATGGTCCACGGATGAAATATGCCCTTACATGAATAGACGCTTCACTCTTGAAGATGTGATTCGCTGAAGTGTGATGAGCCTCGTTCCGACTTTCGGAATGGTGTGGGGCAAAAAGCCAAGCGACGTCAGGGCGATATCTGATTATCAAGCCGCCATTGCCTTTGCACAACACGCAACTATGTAGTCCTCCACTCCCACAACACCAAACAAACACACACCATGGCACCCTCACTAGAAGAGCCGGTACAGGTCGACCTCAACGCGCCTCTGAAGGTCGCGCCACAACTCGTTGCGCCCGAGCCTGGTACCATTTCACCCCGCCACCCCTCCATCCATGACAGTAACTAATCGCATTGCACAGAACACTGCCCAGGCCCCGAATCCCAACAAGCAGGCCTTGCAGACAACTGCGCCGGATGCCCCAACCAAGCCATATGCGCGTCCGCGCCCAAAGGCCCCGACCCCGACATCCCCATCATCACCGCACGCCTCTCCTCGGTGCGCCACAAGATCCTCGTCCTAAGCGGCAAAGGCGGCGTGGGGAAATCGACATTCAGCTCCATGCTCGCATACGGCTTCGCATCCAACCCACAGACAGTCGTCGGACTCATGGACACAGACATCTGCGGGCCGTCGATCCCCAAGATGATGGGCGTGGAAGACGAAACAATCCACGTGTCGGGCGAGGGCTGGGAGCCCGTATGGGTGCAGGAGAACCTCGGCGTGGTATCAGTAGGCTTCATGCTAGGCGACCGCGACGCAGCCGTCATCTGGCGCGGCGCGAAGAAAAACGGCCTCATCAAGCGCTTCCTAATGGACGTGCGGTGGGGCGGGGAATCCGACGAGGAAGTCGGCGTCCTGGTCGTCGACACCCCGCCCGGCACCAGCGACGAGCACCTCAGCGTCAACACGTACCTCAAGCAAGCGGGCGTCGATGGCGCCGTCCTCGTCACTACCCCCCAGGAAGTAGCCCTGCTGGATGTGCGCAAGGAAATCGACTTCTGCCGCAAAGCGGGCATTCGCATCCTCGGCATCGTGGAGAATATGAGCGGCTTCGTGTGTCCTGGGTGTAAGCACGAGAGCCAGATCTTCCGCGCGAGTACAGGCGGCGCGAAGAGATTGGCGGATGATGAGCGGATTCCGTATCTCGGTGCGGTGCCGCTCGATCCGCGGATTGGCATGGCGTGTGACTTTGGAGAGAGCTTTTTGACGGCGTATCCCGATAGTCCGGCGTGTAAGGCGATTCGCCAGGTGGTTAGACGGGTGGGGAGGGAGATGGGCATGCGTGAGGAGGATGTGCTGCCTGTGGATGGGGAGTATGGGGAGTGAGGTTGGGGTTTGGGGGTGCTTGGTTGAGGGGAGGGGTGGGGGTGTATGGAGTTTGGTTGTTGGGGTGGTGTGTTGCATTGCATTGTATCGCGTTGTATGGCATGGGGCGTTTTGGATTTCTTCCCATTACAAGTGAAATGAACTTTTATACAGAGATGAGTATGTTGAAAGATAATTTTAACGCTTTGTATATTCCGCAGACAATACATATTACTTCTGCCTAATATCTGAGAAAATACCTAATCCCGGGAGAAGATATATTTACTTCAAGGAGCTATGCTTGACTAATTAGTAGTCTTCGTCATCCCCCCTTATTCAAAGTAAAATGCCAGATGATGCGCGGTACAAAGAACCAGCCATTCGTTCCTTTTCCCCGCACGCTTTCTCGCAGCCGAGGCTCGCCTTTTCATTCTGCGGGCTTGGGGTGTCAGATGCTGGGCCCGTCTTCCCGAGTAGGTGGGGGGCTATATAACCCTTGGTAAATGAACTTTTTTTGAGAGGAGTTAGTGTTGGGAAGTAGCGTTGTTTCAACGACTTTTTCTAGTTGAGAATTTATTTGTTTTACGTTTTGACCGAGAAATAATAGCCTCGCGTATCCAAACTTCTCTCTATTACTATTCTACACAAACCGACTCGATGCCACAGCCAAACCCACCAACCGAACACGCCCTCTCCACCCTCCCAACCCAACAAACTGAGCCCATCTCCCTCGACCCCCTCCCCCCCGACCCCATCTCCGACGACCCCACATCACCCTCCCCACCCATCGACGGTGGCCCCTTAGCATGGCGCCTCCTCCTCGCCGCCTTCATCTTCGAAGCCCTCCTCTGGGGCTTCCCCCTCTCCTTCGGCGTCTTCCAAGCCCACTACACGCGCCTCCCGGCTTTCGCCTCAAACCCCTACCTCCCCCTAATCGGCACCAGCGCCTCGGGCATCTCGTACCTAGGCGCGCCCCTCGCCACACCTCTAATCCGGCGCTACTCGGCCTACCGCACGCACATGATCCTCGTGGGGTGGCCGCTGTGCATCGCGGGTCTGGTGGCGGGTAGCTTTGCCGACCGGCTTGGTACGCTGGTACTTACCCAGGGGGTTATGTATGGCGTGGGGTTTGTGGTGTTTTACTACCCTATTCTGTCGATGGTGGATGAGTTCTGGGTGCAGCGGCGGGGGATGGCGTACGGGGTGTTGTGCGGTGCGAGTGGGGTTTCGGGAGCGGTGACGCCGTTCGTGCTACAAGTCCTGCTTGGGCGGTTTGGATACAAGGGCACGTTGCGGGGTGTTGCAGGCGCGCTTGTTGTGTTAACAGGCCCGTTGATACCGCTGCTGCGGGGACGCAAGGGGCATATAGAACAAAGCCAGGGGACAGATTGGGCGTTTCTATCCAGCCGCCTGTTCTGGACGTATAGTGTGAGTAACGTGTTAATGGGGATAGGGTTTTTCTTCCCATCGCTGTATCTACCATCATATGCGGCGGCGCTTGGACTGAGCGGGACTAAAGGCGCGCTGCTACTTGCGCTGATGAGCGTTGCGCAGGTTGCGGGGCAGTTCACGTTTGGGTATTTGTCGGATGGGACGAGGGTGTCACTCAATGCGCTGATTGCCGTGTCGTTGGTTGTTGCGGGTACGGCGACGTTGAGTACGTGGGGGCTTGCGCAGTCGTTGGCGCCGCTTGTGTTTTTTGTGCTGCTTTATGGGTTTTTTGGCGCGGGGTATACGGCGATGTGGGCGAGGATGGTGAGTGCGGTTAGTGGGGAGGCGGCGGCGGCGCAGGCGATGTTTGGGCTGTTTTGCTTTGGGAAGGGGGTGGGGAATGTTTTGGCGGGGCCGATTGGGGCGGGGTTGTTGGCTAGGTCGGGTGGTGCTGGTGCTGGTGGTGGTGAGTATGGGCATGGGATGTATATGCCTGTTGTGGTTTTTACGGGGGTTTGTCTGCTTGCTAGTGCTGGGAGTTTGGGTACGGTGTATCTGAGGCCGAAGAGTTAGAAGTTAGTGTGGAAGAGTGAAATGTAGGGTTCTTGATCCGTATTGTTGGACAGACTTGAAATGATCCATCAGTGTCTTCTCGTATGGGTTCGTACACCCTACATATCTGAAAGGATTGATTAGCTAGGGTGGAGAGTATGGGTAGCAGAGATACTGATGAATTGGAATGAAGATATTCCAGAAGTTGTATACTCGTGTACTTGAGTATCACATCAATGGGAAACAGGAAATACTACTCGAGCATTTCATATCCTAAAGTCGGGTCGTGTCAAGTACAGAAGTCGTCACGAGAAACGTCTTCAAGCATCATGTCTCTCGGCCAATCGAAATACCAGGAACCAGGGTGCAGCGAAATCATGCAACAGCTTAACAACTATAACCAAGTTTAGTATAGCAATGTTGTGCCTGAATCTTAAGCAGTATACGCCTTGCGTGCACTTCAAAATATTTTAATTGTGTAGTTTTGCAGTTTGTAGGAGTCGCAAATGTAGCTTACTCCCTGCTTTTACATCGGTACATGGGCTGATGATCGCGTGTTGGCCGGGAGGGAGGGACGATCTCGCTTGATAATCCTGGTTTTCCCTGCTTTTGTTGCTCGATGCAGGCGACGGAATTAAGATTGTCGTAGCGTCATTACGAGCGGCAACTTGAAATTTGGCGCCTTGGCTCTGCTTGGCTTTACTTGGCGCGAAGCTTGGTACCGTTCTCGCGTTGTGGCTGGATATTGCTTTTGCAGATGAGCGTCGGAGGTGATGGGCGTTTTGGCTGTCAAAGGAGGAGACGGATCGTGTAGTGGAGGGTAGTGCAACATGGGGAGCATGAATTGCTCACCCATGATCTACATCGCACGAGTCAGGATTCCGCGCGGATCTATGTCAGGGCGTCGGGAGTAGCGGCATCGTGAACATGTAACACAACAATCCTGCGCGCGACTGGCACATGCTGGGAGGCGCGTAGCGTGGCGTCGGGCCTGCTCTGGGACCACGCGTCCTTGATTTTTGCACAATCTCTGCGGCTTGACGTCCATCACGCTCTCTTCTACAGTACCTATCTCTCGCCGTCGTTGTCGTGTTGTTGTGCATTGAAGCGCGTCTTGCACAGCCCGAGCGCATTCGACTTGGTCAGTGTTCCCAACGTTTAGATACTGGATGCTTGGCTGACTGGAGTTTGACAGACCACTCGCCTTCGCCCTCGCCCTCGTCACCTCCCTCGACACCATGGCTGCAGCAATCCGCCCGTACGAAGACGACAGCGGGACCGTCGGTGTCGGCCAGGGCCCGCAGGTCATCAGTACGTCCGAGGGCGTCGATGTCATCTGCGGCCCGCTGCTCAACTACCGGCGTACCAGCAACCAGCAGACCGGCCAGCCCATCTGGCACGGCAGCGTCCTCATCGTCACCACGCCCGGCCAGCAGGACCCGCAGCTCGTCCTGTCGCCCGCCGGCGCCATCGACCCCAATGTTGGCCACGCCGCCTACAATGCCCCCAGCGAGCGCGCCTTCCGCGCCGAGAAGCTGTACGAGGACCCGCACAGGGCCTTCTGGCGCTTCATCCTCGACGTGCCCTTCCAGCAGTTCGAGGCGCGCTGGCAGTACGACATCCGCGGCCTCACCTACGTCGACCCCGAGAGCGCCGCCAAGCCGCAGACGTTCGTCGTGCCCTCGACGTCGCAGTCGATGCGCATCATGTTCCACTCGTGCAACGGCTTCTCGGTTGGCACTGATGTCGACGCCTGGTCGGGCCCCGCCCTGTGGAACGACGTCCTGCGCATGCACGGCCAGAAGCCCTTCCACGTCATGATCGGGGGTGGTGACCAGATCTACAACGACGGCGTGCGCGTCGACGGGCCCCTCAAGCCATGGACCGCCATCCACAACCCGCACAAGCGCCGCGAGTTTCTCTTTGGCGAGAAGATGCGCGCCGACTGCGACGAGTACTACTTCAACAACTACGTGCGCTGGTACAGCCACAAGCCCTTCAGCACCGCCAATGGCCAGATCCCCCAGGTCAACATCTGGGACGACCACGACATCATCGACGGCTTCGGCTCCTACACGGACAACTTCATGAAGTGCCCCGTCTTCCGCGGCATTGGCGGCGTCGCCCACAAGTACTACCTGCTCTTCCAGCACCACCTCGCCCCGCCCAAGAGCACCTACACCACCGACGCCCCCGACACCATGACCGTGGGCCCAGACGGCACAACCCCCGCCGACCCCGTCCAGCTCAAGGACACGTTCGTCATGACCGACGACGTGGGCGACCCTTCGTACCTGATCGGGCACAAGCCAGGGCCCTACGTCGAGGAGCGTAGTCGTAGTATCTACTGTCAGCTGGGCGCGCGCATTGCCTTTGCGGGCATCGACGCGCGCACAGAGCGCACCCGCCATGTCATCAACTACCCCGAGACGTACAAGATGCTCTTCGACCGTCTGGACAAGGAGTTCACCGCCAACAAGGACCTCAAGCATCTCATTCTCCTCCTTGGCGTGCCCATCGCCTACCCGCGTCTGATCTGGCTGGAGAACATCCTGGCGTCGCCCATCATTGCCCCCATCAAGTTCCTGAACAAGCGCTTCGGCTTTGCAGGCGCCCTGTTCAACCAGTTCGACGGCAAGGTCGACTTGCTCGACGATCTCGACGACCACTACACGTCCCGCCAGCACAAGCACGAGCGCCGCGAACTGGTCCAGATGCTGCAGTCCTTCTCCAAGAAGTACTCGGCCCGCGTCACCATCCTCGGCGGCGACGTGCATCTCGCAGCTATTGGTCGCTTCTACTCGAACCCCAAGCTGCAGATCCCCGCTGAGCAGGACTGGCGCTACATCCCCAACATCATCAGCTCCGCCATCACCAACAAGCCGCCCCCACCCGCTGTTGCCAACCTGCTCGCCAAGCGCAACAAGATCCACCACCTCGACCACGACACCGACGAGACACTACTGGAGATCTTCGACCGCGACCCAGGCCTCGCAGGCCCCACGCGCGTCGTGACCGGCGGCCTCGACGACCACGTAAACGGCACCAGCAAAGAAGAAGGCAAAGGCCACGCGGAAATCAACGGCAACATCGTCAACAAAAAAACCATCGAATCCAACCACGCCACCATGCCCTCGCGCAACTACGCCATCATCTGCGAGTCCACAGCCCCGACTACCTCCACGCTGTCCGCCCCGGCCCCCGCTCCCGGCCAGACCCCCTCCCTCAACGGCTCACACCTCTCCGCACCCATCGCGAAGAAAGCAAATCCCCGACACGCTATTCATGACGGCGAGCAGAACGCGGGGACTGCGCATCCGGCGGCTGGGGGGCTGCTGCCTACGGGCTTGTGTGGCCCGTTTGGGCTGGATGTTACCCTGCGAGTGGAGATTAGCAATCAGGATCCTGAGGGCAGGACGGATGGGTATGGGTTTAGTGTGCCGGCGTTGGCGGTTAGTGAGGCGTTGAGGGATTTGGGGGAGAGGTGGTAGGAGGAGGGAGAGGGAGGAAGATGTAATGGGTGGTGGTGGATGGATGGTGTGGTGGTGGTAGTCTTTTTTCGCTGCGTTGCGTTGCGTTGCGTTGCGCTGTGCTGTGCTGTGCTTCGGCTTATACCCTTTGAATTCTGTGTTTCTCATTCCCACCCCCTAGCTTGTTTTTGCGCTGTGAGCTTGTATGTATGTAGCTCGCGTACTGATGGTCGAAATACTACCATTCTGATCCCACACTGTCTTGGATGTCGTGTCTTTGTGCACGGAATGGAAAGCATGTACGTGTGAATATTCCCCGAGTAGGGCGCTGAGGTGTATGAGGGAAGTCTAGTATCGTGTCTTACTTTCCCTCCAGATGGCGGGATACTGCGACTGCGACTGGCAGCTACTATCGGAGTATACTCTCCTATTCGATGGTGATGTAGCAGAGTTGAAGAATACATCACTCCATGTAAGCATGAATAACATGTGGATGATGTAGTCGTACTTGTCGTATCCTCCCACCTTACAGCGAGATTGCACAAACCTACATCCGCAGATGCACGTTGTTATCAGAGGATACTCCCATATCTTATAATGTTGCAGCAGAGTTGAAGACTACAGTGCTACATATATGTGTGCACAAGGGGGGAAGTTGGAAGCGTAGTTGTCTCACTGCCCTTGTTCAAAGGAGTTTATGTTCACAGGATCTCCACTGCACAGCCAAATGGCAGGAAGTACTGCGGCGGTAGACAAATACTATCGGAGTATCATGTCTTATTTGAGGTTGTTGTGGCGTGGTTGGAGAATACAGCATTGCACATAAGTAACTAAAGAGGTGGATTTCGGGGGTGTTGTTGTCTCGGTGTGCTCGCACAAAGGCGGTTTTTCTTGATATGTCTGTGTGTGGGTATATTGCACGAAACTGCTTCTGGAGTTGTTGACTACTATCGGAGTATCATGTCTTGTTTGGTAGTGTTGTAGTGGGTGGAGAATACGGCATTACATGTAAGTATGAATAACATGTGGAATATAGGACTGTAGTTGTCCTTTCAATCATATCTCCAGTGAGAACATACCCGATTTGGCGATTTACTATTTCTCATATATCACTGCAGTCAAGCACCTAGCCAACTGGCAGTCTTCTCTTTGCGTGGGAGGATACACCAGAGTCTTAGGAATTGTGGGTCTGAGGACTACAGATGTTGCGTATGCGTATATGTGGGAAGTCTTGGGGGTTGGGTAGGCGGTTTCTGAGTCTGATGTCTTGTGGGTGTGTGGGTCTGGTTGGGTAAGTGTTATTGTTCTGGTGGGGGGCTTGCTTTCACTTTCGCTTTTTGGGTGACTTACTTCGCTCGTAGACTGACACTATACACCCCCACCACATCACTGTCGCCACTGCAACTGCGAGTAAGACCAAACATGGCTTCCAACGTAGCATACCAGCCGAATCCGCCGCGGGTCGACACCGACTGCGCGATTTGCCTGGACACCATCGATGGTCCTCACGCGCGCCTTCAATGCAGACACAGATTCCATCAGACATGCCTCAGCAAACTCCGGGCCTTCCATGAGCGGGAGCAGGAGCAATACGGCGGAACAGCGACCACGAATCCGATTTGCCCGTGGTGTAGCAGGCCAATCGACATCACCAAGATCCAGCCAGACGAGTCACCTGCACTTCCCACGCCTGAAGAGACGCGAAATGCACAGGCCTACAGATTAGCTGCGGAACAAGAGGTGGAGCTGGATATCATCGAGTTGAGGATCCTCGGCGGCCTTCCTGTGACAACTGAGCAGTTTGCCCTACGAGCAGATGCAGGTGATGAACGCAGAGCGAACAACAAGTAAGTGCACTAGTATCTTCTCGCGCAGTCCTTGGTAAAGCCTAAGAAAAAGTCTGACAACAATAGCACTTTCCCAGCCGTGGATCGGCGCCACAAGAAACGAGCCGTCACTGAAAGCGAGGCACTCAGTCCAGAAACTCGACAAGTATTCGAAGCAGCAGCCACGACAAAGAACACTGACGCGCAACGCAACAATACCATCTACACCAAAGGCGCCAGGAAGTCCCAGCCAATCGACTGTGTGTTCTTGACGCTGAGCTTTGTTGTGCACAACAACACGGCCGTCTTCTACATATGGGTGAAGCCGGGCGAGCGGGTTCTAGAGGTGGGGAAAGCTTGGGCAGATGTCTGGTTGGGCAACAACGTTATGAGTTTCAGCGGTAGGGTAGCGTTCCTCAAGCTCAATGGCGCCTCTTTGCCCTGGCAGACTAAAGTTGGCGACGCGGGACTGCGGGATGGGATGACGATTACGCATGAAGCGTTATAGAAGGGCTTTGGAGGACTTCTGTCTTGATTCTCCTGTGGAATGTGTAGTGAGTATACATTGTATACTATGAGCATGAGGGTATAGAGGATCTGGAATCTTGTCCTTGGTAGGCTCGCAAGATGCTCATTGGAAAGCTTCTGGAGGAGAGGGAAGGGTCAAAGGAGGGCTGAAAGGCATACGGACATTGAGCACCCATCTAGTAATGATGAAGACATGATACACAAGAACAACTTCAATAACATGTAGTGTTTCATACATCACGTCGTACACAAGTAATGTGATGTTAAGAGCACAGAAGAAAGTTAGTAAGAGTGTTTGGCGGGGCGCCTCCGACCGATTCAGGGTCCTGAACAGCGTCATCTGCATGACACGCGCAGGCTTGGCGCACGAACATCGTGCGGAACTTTCGGTTGTAGACGTCCGAGGCCATCCTCCTCGTCATTGCTTCAGATGGGAGTGTGCAGCTCGCAATCAGGATGAGGCCGCTGCTTCAGTATGCTTCCTGCTCGCTTGTAGCCAATGCTGCTCCCTCCTTGGGAAGCTTGGCTAATAGAACACTGTCTATCTGCTTCAGATGTCAGTACCGGTCAGCTTCGACTGCCTTTCATCCGAATTGCAGGACCCAGTTGAGTCCACCACCGCCGAGGAACTGGTCGCGACGTCAATTCTCAAGCTCGAGAATATGGCTGGAAGACAGGAAACCACCGAGTTCATCCCAGCCCATTTACATGCCGCCGCCCGCAACTGAGTCGAAACGAACGCAAGACGACCGATATGACGATAGACCGCCTGAAGACGACCTACCTATAGAGGTCCAAGCACGGCTACAGCGATTGCAGAAGGAAGCACAGGCTCAGGCACGTCTGAAGGAAGAGCTGGAGACTCGGGCACGCTTGAAGGAGGAAGCAGAAGCTCGGACACGCATAGAGAAAGAAATGGAGACACAAGAACTCTTGAAGAAAGAACAGGAGAACCAGGCACGCCTAAAGAAGGAAGCAGAAGCCGTACCGGAGCCTATACAACCCCCAAAGCCCGAACGAAGACAAGAAAAGCCAATCGTGACTTCGAAGACAAGCGAAGTTGTGGACAATGTGACTCGTGTTCCTGATGAAGAGCTACCGTCTCATCGAGAGCGACAACGATGGGACCTTTCGAAACGCTTTCTAGGCGCTATGGATGAACTGCTGCCCAAATTAGCGCTCGTCACCCAGAAAGTCAACACATACACCGGAACAGACTACTCAGCGATCGAGGCTTTGAGAATGGAAATCAAGGATCAAGGTATTTAATATATGCTCTCGTGCATATTACTTGTCTAACACTACACAGAGAAACTCGTCAAAGCTCGTCGCCTCGCAATTGAAACCTCCAAGGAAGCTCTCGATGACGCGCAAGCCCAGCAGGCCGCTTCCCAGAAAGAAGTAGTTGCTCTCCTCGAACGCAAACACTCTTGGTCTTCTGGAGATCTCGAACGATACATGTCCCTTATCCGCTCGGAACACATTAATGATCGTGCAGTGCGGAAAGCCAAAGAGGCAGTCGCGGCTGCCGAAGATGCGCTGGAAGAGGCAAGGCGTCGACTAGAGAAAAGAGAGAGGGCACAATATCACGAGGAGCAGATCTGGAGCGACACCATCAGAAGAAACAGCACATGGGTTACGTTTGGGCTTATGGGCGTGAATATCTTCTTGCTGCTTTTGAGTCTGGTCATCCTCGAGCCATGGAGGAGAAGGCGAATGGTTAGGGAGATCAAGAGCACACTGGAAGCACAAAAGACCGCTGTCGAACCTTCTACTGCTTCGCTCGTAGCATCGCCAACCGCCGCATCAGACGACAAGGCAGATTCCACCGTTGAGCCCACGGAGACTACGACAACCGGACTAATCGCCGAACAACCTTCAACCACGGTCACAGAAAAGCCGACTTCCCAAGGGTCCAGTCTATTCGCTGACGCTATCCCTGAGAGCATTGCAGACCTGACACCAGACGTTGTAACCCCAGAGGTCACCTCCGTAACTCCAGACGAAGCCGAGGCTCTTCCACAAGAAATCATTGAGATCACTGAACAAGCGCCAACTAGCGAGGCTATACATGGCAAGCCCGAGGGGTGGCAAGAAAGAGTCACTGCCGTAGCTCAGGACATCATCAGCGAACGCGCAATCTCGATGCGGAGAATCGACTTCACGACTGCTATTCTCCAGAGCGCGGCGGCGGGAGCAGTTGTTGCGGCAGCGTTGATTGCCATGCTGAAGCCGTATTGAAGCTTTTGATTCTCTCGGCTCCCATTATCACGACGCTGAGTGACGACCTGGGTCATGGTTGAAGAGGTATTGCATGATCACCACTTTAGAATACTGGGCATCTGTAGCTGTTCGTATGAGTAACGATGTACATAGACATACACAACTCAATGTATGAAGGAATAATCTCACCTGCTCAGCATCATGATCCAAACCCCTCCGGGATCACATTCTGCAACCCAGATCACATGTTATAAGCGGCACTCGAAACGGAGTGTCGGCATTCACGACTTAACAGGCCATCCTTTCCTTCCCCGACATCATTCTGACCGCCCATATCCCTAACGCGCAAGGCTAGGGTTCTGCTGACCGGAGCTGAATTTGATGAAGATGCACGTCCTGATGCATGTCAGCATGGCGCTTACCGACAGACTATAACGGACTTGATTCGGTGAGTGATGATGGGTAATGTTGCACTGCATTTACATAAGCGGGGTTAGTGTGGTGATAGGTTGATTTGTATGTCTTTCTATAAATCAGCCTTGTTGGTGTGAGCTGTGAGATGAGCTGCAATGTTGGTTAAAATGGTAAAGGATGCAGGAGGGACCGAAGACCTGAGAACGAATATGCTGATGGTATATTAGTGTTTGCCTAGTTGGCTGAGTTATCGTGTATAGGACCTGGTAGCCTTGTTCATTTCTATACGGCTGATGGGGGCTATGCTCAAGATCATATTCTCACGCTGGTTACCTGTTGCAGCTGTCTCCCTCCTAGATTTGCAGAACCAGATAGGCGTAGAGCAGCATCATGACATATAGCGATATCCACCTCCCCCTGCGTAGGTCGAAACTCCCGCCTAACACAGAACGCCCATTCCAACGACCAAACCCATCCCACAATCTCAACTCCTCTCCTAACATATCCGCAGCGGCTTTCATAGCCCTAGACTGGACCCTCCTAACCCTCGCCCTAATCCCCATCACCATCCGCCTCTCCCTCCGAACCCGAAACCGTGGCCTCCACACCCCATCCGCCAACCTAGCCGACACCTTCGTAATCCTCGCCTGGCTCTCCGGGTGCGTACTAATCAGCATAAACACCTGGAAAAACACGCTACGAATGCAGTACCTCTCCGCGCCCCCAGCCTCACTCTACTACGGCGTCCCACCCCACCTCTCAGCTCACCTCCTCCACATATCCTGGCTCTCACTCTTCTTCATCTACACCAGCCTGTGGAGCGCTAAGGCTGCTTTCTTAGCCTTCTACTACTCCATCTTCAGCCTGCAGGGGCGGCGCGCGCAGATCGCCCTGTTCGCCGCTTGTCTGTTCACCCTCGCTACGTTCCTGCTGCACATGCTCCTCATCGCGTTCTGGTGCTCGCCTGTGTCTGCGAACTGGGCGCCGCCGCCTGGTGGGCGTCTTTGCTCGGCTGTGCATTCCATGGCCAGCGTCACGATCTCCACGCTGGCGAATGTCGCGACTGATTTGGTGATCTTGGGGATTCCCATATCCACGCTGGCGGCGACGCAGCTTGGGAGCAGAGAGCGCGCGGGACTGGTCTTTGTGTTTGTTATGAGTGGTATTTCTATTGTCGCGGCTTTGGTCCGGTTTGTGTGTCTTAAACTTGTGCAGGAGACGCCTAGGGCGTCTATTACGCATACGATTGATGTGTGGGCGTTGGTGGAGATTGTGTCGTCGATTTTGGCGGTTTGTCTGCCGTGTATGCGCACGTTTGTGAGGCGGAATAGGGGTTTGGGGCTGGCGAAGGGGTCGAAAGCGGGTAAGGGCGTGGCAGATAGCATTGAGAGTGTGGGGGAGAGAAGGGCGCGGGGCGAGATGGATGAGAACGGAGTGTAGAGAGGAAGACTGGAATGTAAGAGTTTGTGTGAATGTTCTGTAGGAAGGCCATGATTAGTGAGTGGTGGCAGTGATTACAATCGTCGGCAATGCCTATCCTAACTCTTTGACTAAACTCAGATTTATCGTCGTTCAAGTCTTCGATGTTCGCAAACTTGTCATTTTTCCCGTTCTACTTATGGAGCGCATCCTCGTCATCCTCATCTACTACTTCGCCTTCATCCTGGGCCTTTTGCGCAGTTGGCTACTCGTCCACACATCGGTTGGCGGGTAGACATGCGAAAATTACCGAGCTTGTTGCTCGATAGGCAGGCAGTTGAGCGCAGACTGGATGGTCTGCTGTATCGTTATGGTACCGCGCTTGGCTGGACCTTTGCATTTTACGCATGATTTTGTCTTGTGTCTCTAGTATCCACGAACAGCAGGGCCGGCCCATATGAGTTGAGCAGGCTTCGCAAAGGTTCTTATCGCCGACTTGCTTGCATCCAGGATCTGTGCTTACGTGTTGTAATCTACACGTGTTGCACTTCAGTCAAGGTTGCCCCTTGGTTTTGCCTCCCATGTGCGGTTCGTTGTGGTATTCAATCTCGCGAAATGTGTTTCTCCACGTTTTGAAGTCGGTATGTAGGCTGCTTCATCTGGTTGGTAATCTCCTCAGGACTCTTTTGACCATGGGCGATAGGCGGAGTACCGCCCTTCCCTGCTAAACCAATGATGTTGTCATGCTAAGAAGGTCGAACATCAAGCGCTTCACTGCGCTGTTGTTTGGCCAAGCTGGCAGCTACGCAGGTAGATCTGGTGACTCGCCAAAGATCCAATGAACCCTGCGTATGCTGTTTATGTAGACGCAGAAGGATCCCGGCGCACCCGTAAGCACCTTGAGGACCTCCATACCTCCGAACACACGTAAGTCGAAGTTTGCCGTCTCATCAGAACCCTTGACTGTGCGATACATCACCCTCATGTCTGACGATATGCTCACGGAGACTCGCCGGACGGGCTTGGAGAGTGACTTGATAATCCATGATCGTAGGTTCGGTCAGATGACGTTGCGCCACAGACTGTCACAAATCGCACATAATCTCTGAGAGCTTCGATCGCGCGGTATACCGCCCTCATGTCGACTGGTAGATCGATGGAGACTCGCAGTATGGGGTCGGAGAGTGTATCGACAACCCATATCCGCAACTTGGGGGAGATGATCTTGCACCATACACTATCGCAGGCTACCATCAACTTCGTGATGAGTAGGGTCCTGCTCTTCTCTCCCATCTGCATGCATCCACTATGCAAAGTCAGTTATGTCTGTCCGTCATACATGCTTGACACTACTTACTCAAAGTGAATGGACATCTCCCACGGCCCGAATGCCGAGTAGAGCCTCTCTTTGTTGTGGAATATGTCTTTGTAGAACGAGACGCGCTCCGCATGATCAAGCGAGCCAAAGGGAATGACCTCATCGGCCAGGCCAATTCCCTTGCCTGGGTAGGTGGCACGTAGGTCCTCCAAGTACGGGCGGACGAAGCTTCTCGCCCACACCACTTCTTGGCCCAGCTCCTCTTTCTGTGATGCTGATGCTCTAGGATTGAGCATCAGTGCGGCGCGCGCAGCCTCGGCCTTGCGGAGTTGAGTCTTTATCAGACCTCCAACTCGAATATTGTCCTTTTGACTTTCACTTTGAGACTCCGAGCCTGGATGTTGCGGACTGTTTGATTATCGTCGTCCTCGTCGGGGGGATTGTGATCTGGATATACCTCCGCCATGTTCTTGCGGATCTCCATACGGATCTCGGACTCAAGTGTCGTTGTAAGAAATGCGTTCGGTTTTCCGACAAACCGGTAGTTCAGTTGAGAGACCTCACCAGACATCGTTGACTTGAGCTTATTCCAGTCTTCGATGTTGGTCTGTGGGCCGATGCCGATGAATGGGTCGAGGTTCTCGACATGGACGTGGCAGAGGATTTCGAGCGCTGCTCGACGGCGGACTACGATCGATAATCGCATAGTTTGGGGTGGTTGGCTCGGCCATCCCCTTGCTGCGGAGAATGGGCTATACCCTGGTCCCCGGCGCGCATTCAAGCGCTTCGTCGGGCGAGGAGGTAACGTATCGAAAGGGGTTCCGACACATACTGCAAGATCTCGGCCTCGAGTCGAATATCCTTTGACGTCGTCATGATTTAGGGTCTTTCGAGTTGTGATGAGAGAAGTTTTGCAGCGTAATAGATGGGAGTGACGAGTTTTAATATATGAGAGCGAAGATTTCTAACACATGTAAATCCGCGTGGAATGCGACAAATGAAGCACGTGTTCGCGCGAACTGCAAGTAGAGGTATTAAAATTCCCAAGTGAGCGTAGGTTTCACTGTAATGACGTATGACTTGCGCTCTCAGTAAACAACACTGCGTATTCATGCTCTTATTATGAGTCTCTTTTGGGTCTCTTTTGGGCCTCTTTTGGGCCTCTTTTGCGACCCCCCAGCGACCCCCCAGCGAGCCCATTGTCTGTCGCCTGTCGCCTGTCGATGTTACCGACGGCGTGGCCGCGAAGATGCCGCAGTGGCCTCGACTCGTTTGCTAGTCATACTCTCGTACGTTCTCTCCGAATCGGAGTCTTCCTCCTCATGCTTTCGCTTAAGGACGTTGGTGATATCTTTCAATGCCGCTTTCTTCTTCGGCGCTGTAGATTTTGTGGCGGCAGGTTTCTTGACTGCAGGTTCATTGGTCGTTGTTTTGTCGGCTGGGAATAGCACCTCTAGCAGAGGTTCCAGTTCGGTTATTGTCCTTTCGACTTTTGCTATGTATTGTGTGTAAGGTGAGAGAGAGAGTTGGCTAGGTGGCTCATGTCTTATGTCCATGCCAAGACTCGGTTAATCGAAATATGCAGCGAAATCTTGCAACAGCCTGACAACTACATCCTAGATTAGTGTAGGAGTCTTGTACCTGGGTTTATACCGGTATACGCCTAGTCTACACATTTATAAACTTATAGTCATAGTTTTGCTTCTGTGGGATCCACAAAAAACGCAGCCTACTCCCCGCTTTTGCACTTAACCAAAAGTTTCCAATTCGCGTGCCAAGCCCATGTCATGCAGATGACGCTGTGTGGACCCTGAATCGGCCTCAGAGACGCCCCGCCAGATAATTTCCTGCAACGTCAACACCAGCATCTCACTTTCCTCTTGACTTTCTATACATACACGTGTTACCCATTCAGACAAGATGAGTGTACAAAATGGCGCAGCGGACCTTCCCGCCATGAAAAACAACCCCAAGGTATGCTTTGGTAACGCATTTTTGGTGCCGATGCTCACCGATGACAGTTCATCTTCTTCTCAGATTTTGACGGAACCATCACATTACAAGACAGTAAGTCTTCAGCTCTGGATACTCTCAGATTCCCTTTCAGCTTCTCTCTCATCTTCCCTCTCATCACCTCTTTGCCAATTCACATTTCCGGCCATTCACCTCTCTTCTTCTCCACCGACTCTCTCCAAGCAGCTAACACAAACAGGCAATGATTTCATGACCGATACCATTGGCTATGGCCGCGAAAAGCGTCGCGAAGGTAACATCAACTGCTTGAACGACAAAGTTACATTTCGCGATTCCTTCTACGAGATGATGAGCAGCGTCACCCGCCCGTACGACCAATGCATCCAGTACCTTGTCGACAACATCAAACTCGACCCCGGCTTTGCGGAGTTCTTTCAGTGGAGCTTGGCGAACAACATACCAGTCGTAGTGCTAAGCAGTGGCATGGAACCCATCATCAAAGCACTTCTGGAGAAGCTGGTGGGCCCAGACGCGAACAAGATGCAGGTCCTTGGTAACTACGTGGGCGCGAGACAAGGCAAGAGTATCAATGATGAGGCTGGTTGGGAAATTTTGTTCAGACACCCCGAGTCCGGGTTCGGGCACGACAAATCGGTGGAGCTGAGAAAATACTCGAGTCTGCCAGCGGATAAACGACCTGTTCTCTTTTATTCGGGGGATGGAGTATCTGACCTCAGGTGAGAGCTCTGCACATCTGTGTTTGGCGTCACTAACAAAAAACAGCGCCGCGCGGGAAACCGACCTGCTGTTCGCCAAGAAGGGGCACGATTTGATCAACTACTGCGCGCGCGAGGATGTGCCTTTTACCGTCTTCGAGGACTGGTCCAACATCCTGGCAAAGTGCAAGGAGATCGTCGAGGGCAAGACGACTGTGCAGCAGGCTGCTAAAGATGGCTTTGAGGCATACAAGAACGGTGCTGCTGGTTTTGAGAAGGCTACTGTGAAATAAGCATATCACGGCAGGAACGATTTTACCCAGAAATCCAGAGCGTGGCGAATCATATACATTGGGCATTATAGGACATAGAAGACACGGATAGACGGCAAGACATAGATTACAATGATACAATTACGGATTAACACACATTTTTCTCCTCGTCGTGTCTTCAGATATAAGCCTGGGATAACCATCAGAGATCTCGCTCACCAAATGCCAATGACAATCCTGTGCGATAGATCAGGAAGAATCTGTCCAAGCATGAGAGCCTCACAGTCCCAAGAACTGACAGTCATGAGAACCTATGGGCCCATATTATCCCGCGTTATCTTGACAATCAGCATTACCCTCCATGTCGTCAATATCCGCGCGCATGCAGTAAGAATATAGGAAGGACGTCTAGCCGTAAGCGATGAGCTTCTCCGGTCCATGTCAATAACATTGCATTCGATGGACATAGATCGTCGGTCTTTTTCGTCTCTTCTAGTTACCCTACCATCAAAGTGACAGGAAGAGGAAAAAAGGCACAAAGCCACGATAAGAACAACATAGAGCCTCCAGAACAAGCCTTCGGGCCTCGGAACGAAGTGGTGAACATCTTAGCTGCCGCATAGACTAGTGTAATGACGATGCGTGAAGCTCAACCCTAGGTCCAAGTCCAGCGCCAATCAAATGACTCGGCGACTTTCCGACTGGCATCGAAGCCCTACAACCACCGCTCCTACACATGCACAAGACACACAGATATGACTGCAGCTTGAATCCTTCCATCTGATTCGGATCGGCATGCTACTAGCCTGGGCCTAGCACTGCGCCTTTCCACAGCCCCGGTTGGAGCGGAGGAAGGGCGACCCTTACGTTTTGGATTCCGATTCGCCAATCGCGGCCCCCCTCAATGCCGTGCCTACTGCCCTACGTGTAACCGTCCCGCCCGCAGTGTTTTTTTAGCCTAGAATGTGTGTGTATGTGAAGATGTCGCGAGGCTTGCCTTACCGCACTGCTCCTACAGATCAATAGCTCGAGCAGGTGGGGAGACGTCGTTCCAGGCACAGCCACCAGCCAATATGCGGACTTGCTCGTAACACACGCCTTAGTGTGGTTGTCTTGCATGTAGTCTAGGAGATATGGCACCGACAAAGACTCCAACACGGGGCTTCAACCGCCTCTATGACAAGACAATGTGGACAGCTCAAGAGATGTTGAAACACAGTCCAAGACTTCCCACAGTTCGTATCAACGTATAGTTCGCAGCTCGAAGATTTGACCGTAATTGAAGCCGCAAGTGATGCCGAGTAACTAGATCTGTTTTTTTTACCCACAGGTACGGAGTAACCTCGTGGCAAGAGGTCCTAAGCCCTTAGTGGCCAGCGCATTGGGATCAAGGCGTCCCCCACACACCAGGTTCTAGTTCTGACCCCTACCACGAGGGAATTTATTTTGCCCGAACGAGAGACCGCATGGCAGTAAGCGCAGATAGATGGAAAAAAACTCATTAGCCTGCGCGGAGGTAAATAGATAATCGGCGTTTTCGGTCTTCGTCCTCTGGTGTGTGTTCTTATATAGCGCTCGACCTGGCATTGCGTTTACCGCAGCGTGGTTTGGAGTCTTCCCAAGTATCTCAATCAAGGTCTACTTTTCACCTTGTAATACTCTACACGGCGTCGGCTTTCCGTTCTTCACTTGCTACAAACTTTCGATATGCGAACGGCTATACTTCTTACCGCCGGGTGGGTGGCGTCTGGAGTCCAAGCCGGTGTTGTTCCGACTGTGGATGGAGTTTCTCCTACGTTTCTCTTCGACAAGAGATTAGAGGTTTCGAATAGCAGTGCTGAACACAAGGTTCTCGAGGCCGACCTCTGGGCTACCAATGCCGGTATCGTGCAACGGGCATATCAATCTTCCACAAAACCTTCACAGTGGAAGAAGTGCCACTCGGGGAACCTCGTCGTAAGGCAGGAATGGTATGGGCATATCTTTCCAAACTTAAAAATCCGACCATGACTAATGGCAACAGGTCGACCTTCTCGAAGCCGCAGAAAAAGGCATACATCGCTGCCGTCAAGTGTCTTTCGAGGTTACCTCCGAAAACTCCGAAGGATGTGTGTCCTGGTTGCCAGAACCGCTACGACGACTTCCTCGCCACTCACATTCAGCAGTCGTTCACGGTATGTAAGGCTACTCCATAAGCAGATGTTGTTACTGATCATGGGAAGATTCACGGTACTGGCAACTTCCTCGCCTGGCACCGCTGGTTCGTGTACGCGTACGAGAAGACCCTTCGTGACGAATGTGGATATAAGGGAACGCAGCCCTACTACAACTGGCCGCGATGGTCCGATGACCCCGAGAAATCGCCCGCCCTGGATGGGTCTGACACGTCGATGAGCGGCAATGGTGTTTTGGGATGCACCAACCAGACTTCGTATGGCGTTCCGTCGAATGCCGCTCCTTTGATTAGCATTCCTCATGGAACTGGAGGTGGTTGTGTCGCCTCGGGACCTTTCAAGGACTGGCCTGTCAACCTGGGGCCCATCTCTTCTGATCTGACCTGCACGCCTCCCAATCCAATTACTGATGTTACCAGTCCCCAGCTTGGGCTCGGATACAATCCTCGGTGCCTGAAACGGGATATTTCTCCATGGACCTCGAGGCAGTGGAGCAACGACGAGCAAGTCGTCAAGCTGCTCAAGAGCCCGGATATCAAGACCTTCTGGGCCGACATGCAAGGTGGTGAGAAGACGTTCACGAACAACTTCATGGGCGTGCATACCGCTGGGCATTTCACGGTCGGCGCTGATCCTGGTTCTGACTTTTTCGCCTCTCCCGGTGACCCTTGGTTCTACTTGCACCACGGGCAAATTGATCGTGTGTGGTGGACATGGCAGAACACCAAGCCTGAGGAGCGCACAAATGCGTTGTACGGTACCATTGTGATTGTGGATCCTACGGCGCCGGCGACGAAGCTCAACGATACGATATCGCTGGGCTATGCGTTCGCGGAAAACATTACGATTGCGGAGACGATGAGTACGATGGCCGGGCCGTTTTGCTACACATATGTCTAGATAGGGTCCATCAGACTGAGCGATAATCAGAGACTTGTAATGTATATACTTGCCGTCGCCATGCAGTGAATGTCAGCTCACGACACGTGAGGAGTTCAGTTGCAGCAATTGCAGAAGCGACGGGTGGAGAGTGAACCAGGGTGATGGAACGCCGATTGGAGAAGACCCGCATGAAAAGTTGGTCACGTTACCCGTACTCCCTGGCCTGCAGTGCCAACGCATCACCGCTACAGGAGCAACAAAGCCCAATGCCCTCAGACACGCTATGGACATGGAGCAGCGCCTCGATCGGAGCCCCTCGCTTGGTCCCTTGATTTGCATACGCTCGGACAGAAGTTTGCTACCCCGCCAACCCACATTTCACCACCGACAGACGACACCTCTCGACGCCCACCAAGCCACAAGCACACGGCTCCCTCTTCGCCATGAACACTGACCCGCTGACCGGGCGCCCGCTCCCCGCGACGGCCATCCAGCGCATCCTGCACCTCGCCCCCAAAGTCCACATCTACCAGATCCCGCCCGCGACATCGACAAAAGGCTACGCCGCCGCCTCGTGGACCGCCAACCCCGCCTCGCAGATCTTCACGGCCCGCCTGCGCGTCGTCGAGACCAGCATCCCCTCGGAGCCGCCCGCCCAGGACGAAGAGCGCGTGACGACGACGCTGCTGCTCGAGGATCCCAAGACGGGCGACCTCTTCGCCGCCGCCCCCTACACCAGCGAGCGCACCGTCGAGCAGGCCCTGGACAGCAGCCGCTTCTTCGCCATCACCGTCATGGGCGAGGGGCGCAAGGCCGTGCTGGGCATGGGCTTCGAGGAGCGCTCCGAGGCGTTCGACTTTAGCATCGCGCTGCAGGATGCGCGCCGCGTGCTGGGCTTCGAGCCCAAGACGACCTCGCGGGCGCAGCAGCTGGTCGAGGAGCCCAAGCGCGACTTCAGCCTCAAGAAGGGCGAGACGATATCGATAAATCTGGGCGGACTCAAGGGGAGAAGGACGCGCGTCGAGGGCGAGCGCAGCCCAGAGGTGCAGAAGAGCGAGCAGGATGCCCTGTTCAGCATCAAGCCGCCGCCGGGGAGTGGGGGAGGAGGGGGAGGGGGCGTGGGCTTCTTGCCGGCGCCGCCCAGTGCGAAGAGCGTCAAGGACGAGCGGAGGAGGAGTCGGCAGAGCTTCGAGCCGGCCCACTTGAACCCCACGCCGGAGGATCTGGGCTTCGACGACGGCGAGTTTGGCGAGTTTCAATAGTAGACGTGCAACGTTTGGTTGCAGTGGCATTTTGCATGGATGGGTCATTTGCATAGCGGGCGTTTGGGAAGACTTTGAGATTTGGAACAATGCATTCCGATGTTCGATGCTCACAGGCACCTGGAGTGCTGAGTATATCATCACGTCCATGAATAGGCGAGACATGCGTCAAGGCAGCTCCCAGATTGCGCCATCTTGTTATTCATTGGCAAGAAAATTATTCGAGCAGAAAACTCAATACGTCCAGCCCTGCGCTTCATCGTACAAGCGCTCGATATCCTTAACTAGATCCTCAGGCTTCGACCCATCGTCGCAGTCCTTCCACTCCCCGCCATCATACACACAGCGGACCTTGTCGTTCAGCCTCACGGTACAGCTCGTCTTCACGTCTACATCTGCGCTGTGCTGCACGCTCTCCCGCAGCAGGTGCATGCCATACGCGCCTGTGTCCTTGCTCATGCACTCGTTCAACACGTCGAAGTCGAGGCCGTGTTCCAGCGCGCAGTCCTGGACGAGCTCCTTGCGGGGAATCTGCTCGTAATCGCTAATCAGGCAGTTGGAGAAGCCGAGGTGGAGTTTGGGGTCGGGGTACGAGGAGGCTGCGCAGAGCATGAGGATGTTGCCGAGGCATTCAGTCTGGCCGTGCATGCATTGCACGCCGTCGTCTTCGTTGGTCAGTCTGTGGCTTGTCAGTCTGGGATCGAGATGGCTGGGGTACTGGAAGTGCGCGCGCGTATGCAGGGAAGCCTGGGCAGGCTGGGGTGGAGTGGAGTGCGGGAGAGCGGGAAATGCACGTACTGGCCGATGAAAGACAGTCTGAAGTCGACCTTGTCGGACACGTCTGACATGGCCGGGACGACGAGCTTGTTGAGGCAGTCGCGCGCGTCGGGGCATTTCGACCTTAGTATTATTAGTATCATGCGTCATGTCCCAGCTTGCTTCCCAAAACTCACATGATATGCACTTCCAGCGGTACTTTTGTATGCGCCTCCGCATGCTGATGCTCGCAGTTCCATGTCCTCGCCAGCCAGAAGAAGCCCGCCAAGATCATGAAGGCTGCGACGTGAAATCTAGGCGAGCGCCTGGGGCTCGGTAGGAGAGCCATGGTCGCGTCCGCATTCACATCTTCCTGCGACTTTGTCTGGGGGAGAAGGGGCTCGTTCTTTTCCATGATGGGCGGCGGGGGGCCTGGCTGCTTATGTAGTATGAAATTTCGGTTGAGGTAGGTGCAGGTGAGAAAGAGGCCAGAGCTATCTATCTCGATCGGCGTAAGGCGGCTGAGCGCCACAAGCTGAATCTATCTCACGACAAAGTCGAACGCGCAGATAAAGAGTAGCTAGCTATGGCACGAACATGTACGCCGTTGACGTTACTTGCGCTAAGAAGCGTCCGTTGGTTAGCTTTGCATGTGCGTGTCGTCGTTGTCGCGTTTGCGTCACGAGTGGTGACTTTCCCTTTCGTTCTGCCTTTCAAGTCGGAGGGGTCTCCTACCTTGCACAACAGCACCCCCACAGCCAAGTACGGTACCTATCACGGCGTTTCATTTTCCCGCAAATAGCTAGGCATACTCCTTCTGATGCAACCTGGCTTCCTATGGCAGGCTACACAAATCCCACCTCGGCGCATACAGCAATTACCTCGCACGCGCGCGTGCTCTTCTCGAGTCCATTCCTTTCTTTGTTTTGATTTCCTTCGCTCTACTCCTTACCGGTACTCAAAACCAACTCACAACGAAATCAACCATATTCCAACCTCAATTAAGCCCTGCATTTAACATACAGGCGCCTTGACTCGCCTTCTTTTCTGCGGTACTTAGCCCTACGGTAGTCGAGACCGTAATGGCTGGACCGAGAACACCCGAGCAACGCGATGCTACTAACGACGCTCTCCAAGCCTTGACTGGTTTCATCAATACGAGCTCGTTGCTCGATTTGGCCAACCGATTCGCCGAGACTTATACCGATTTGGCCAAAACGTCGACTGATCACTTTCTCGTCACGCCAGTCACTGCATTGCCGACTGGCAAGGAAAAGGGCAAGTTTCTCAGCATCGATGTCGGCGGCACAAATTTAAGAGTGGGATTTGTTGAACTGGTGGGAGAGTTGGATGAGCCTGCAACGAGTGTGCATGAGAGTGATATGAATGGAAGAGATGTATTCGCGAAGATCAAGAGAAGTCATGAGAAAAATTGGCCAATTGGGGACCACTTGAAAATGGATCATGCCGAGGATCTGTTTGCGTGGATTGGAGATTGTATTGCTGAGGTGGTTGAAGATGCACTCGAGGACGCGCCAGTGACTGAGGGCATGGAGTCTGCATTAGGGGAAGAATTGCTGTTAGGGATAACTTTCAGCTTCCCTATGGCGTGAGTTTTAGACACGGCATGGTCGTGTATTGGTATGCTGATGTACTTTGCAGACAGACGCGCCTCTCAGAAGCCACACTACTGCCCATGGGCAAAGGCTTCGCAATCACCTCCGACCTCAATCTGGGAAAGATGCTCCTCGCTGCATACGCACGCCACTGTGTAGATCCGACAACGAACGGCGAATCGAAAAAGAGCAAGCGCTCCCGTCTGCCACGCATACGGGTTGCAGCTATCACCAATGACACGGTAGCAACATTTGCGTCACTGGCGTACGCGGTGAAGGCCGCTCCCAACAGTCGGGTAGCGATGGGTCTTATAGTCGGAACGGGAACTAACGCAACTGTTCCAATGAAGTTGAATGATCTGCATCCTGCCAAGAGAAAATACCTCTCGAACCCAGATGCTGTAGACACAGTCGTCATCAACACAGAGTGGACGATACGCGGTACAGACAAACCCTTGATTGACCTGAATATCAAGACCTCGTGGGATTTGACACTCGACGCGAATAGCGAGGCACCCGGATTTCAACCTTTCGAATACCTGACTGCCGGACGTTACTTGGGTGAGATCGTCCGACTGGTCTTCGTGGATATCGCCTCTCGGCAACCGGGAGGGGACGTGCCACCATTACTCCTGAGCAAGAATGCTATTCTGACGAGATTTTTGTCGGAGGTTGTAGCGCGAGCAGATGATGTCACATTAACGAAAGCACTGGAGACCCAGTATCCTGCCATAAACCCATCGACACCGTTCTGGACATCAACGAGAGTCAAATCAATCCGAGACATTGCGCATGCAGTCCAGCAACGGTCTTCCGCACTGATAGCAGCCGCTTGTGTTGGTCTCCTGAAGTGCGTGCGAGACATTGAAATCGACCACACCCCGAAACCCGGGACAAACGGCAAGAACACGTCAGCAGGCGCAGAACATGACAAAGAAGAGCTGGTAATCGCGTACGCAGGCGGAACGATATCGCAATATCCTCAATGGTTGGAGACATGTCAGACATGGATCGATATTCTGGTCAAGGAAGGATCGAAAGCGAATGCATCTAAGAGAGTCGTCTTGAAGGAGGCGCTGAATGGCGGGATTATAGGTGCAGGTGTTCTGGCAGGGATGGGCATCGACTGAGGTTGGTCGATTCATGTCTCAGAATTACCCAATAGAGAACTCGTCCTTAGCTGCTGGATACAGAAAGGATGAGGCGGCCTGTTATTCTCAAATCACGTTTATGATGTGGTGCTCGCACGTCAAAAGTTCGTGTCTATTCTTCTTCACTTTCGCAGCTATACACGATTCGAGGTTCATTCCTATGTCAAAGTCATCGTCAAACTTTCCAAATAGGTAGAGTAATTCTTCCTGTCGCTCCGTAAGCAGAGATGGCCGGGGTAAGCAGACAAACATAGCAAGCACACTAACATCGACATCAGTGAACCACGAGCAAGCAACACCATTCAACGCAAACATGTCGACACCCGTTTCCTGCCCATTCATCGTGTCTCTCAAATCACAGTAACAGTTCGCACTTACACACTCAAATAGCTTCGACTTATACCACCATGTACAACCCAAGCAGCATTCCATTTTCTACTCCTCTCCATCTCCGCCTCCCGTACTTTCCATCCCCATCACACCCCCCCAATCGCCGCTCCAAGATGACCTTCCTCCCCCTCCTCGCCGCCCTAATCGCCCTCTCCTCCACCGTCAACGCCCACCCCCACCACCCCTGCTACCACAGCCCCAACACCCCCGCCCCCGCCAACCTCCTACCCTGCTACACCCCAACCCCCTCAACTCACTACTCCTGCTGCCTAGCAGGCGACACCTGCCTCGACCACAACGCCTGCTCCTCCGCCCGCACGGGCACAACCTACCAGTACGGCTGCACGGACCGCACATATCGCGACGAACACTGTCCGCAGAAATGCAGCCTCGATACGCAGAAAAGTGAGTGGGTTGGTCTGGTGTTTTGCAATGGGGAATATGGTGCGCTGAATGATAGCTGGGTGTGTCGGCATCCGGATACCTGCGATGATTGCCCGACTGGGACGGGGGATGCTGCGCTCGAGGGGGTTGGGAGCACGGAGTGTGCGGATCTGGAGTATGTAGCGTTTTACGCAGGGGATACGCTGAGTGAGGTTGTGGGGTTGCCTGTGCTATCTGATGTGGAAGGGTGGTGGGCGGAGTACGCTGATCGTATTTCGTCGACATCAACACCGTTTCCCTCAAACACAACATTCACCACCAGCCCTGGGTCCAACTACTCCCACCCCGCCCATCCAACACCCCCCTCCTCCGCAACACAAACAGCACCACCGACCACCACCCCCGAATATCCCGAACCCCCGCAGACTAAACCCAAATCCACATTCTCCCCACTATGCACCACCATAGCCCTCAGCCTCGGAATCCCCTTCCTCCTCAGCTTGCTGGGCACAGGCGTGTACTTTTACCTGCACTTGCACCACCGTCGGCGACGGGGTAGACGCCAGACTCCGCGTCCCCCAACCGTCGAGAAGCGTGAGTCCGTGGAGAGGTTTGAGTTGGAGGGGTGCTCGCCGGTGGCTGCGCAGATGCCGGTACGTCCGCTGCCGTGCTTGGGGGCGCCGTTTGTGCAGCCGCAGTATGTGCCTGGTGAGGGGGAGGGGGAGGGGGAACAGGTATTCTACCAACCGCAGATGGGGGTTGAGCCACAGTATGCATCGTTTGAACAACGAGATTACGGGACGACTGAGCAGACGTATTACCAACCAAGCTATGTACAACAGTACACACCACACGCTCCGTTCACGTATGACGAAGAGCAGGTTGCTGGACGCGAGGGCTTGTGTGGGTGTGTTGAAGGGCCGTATCCGGTCGGTGGGAGTAGTGTGGCACGCATACTCGGTGTGCAGCGCGAAGATGCAGTATGAGGTGTGGTGAAGAGGTTGTGAGGAGATGATTGGAGAAAGGGTGTGCGTTGCGACGTCGACTCGACAAAGGGATAGTGTGGGATGAGATATATGTAAGGCTACATCATCAAAGAGAATTTTTGTTTCTCCTTAACAATGAATACACACTACGATACGATACGATACATTCGCGGAAAACAGCCAAGCAGATAGTCCCCACCACCACCCTCTCCAGAAGATACTGTACAAACCCCCCACCCTCCATACCCTACAACCGCGCCATCTCCCCCCTAGTCCTCATCCACCCCGCCCTATCTTTCCTCTCCACCCCAGTCCCACCCACCACCGCCCCAGCCCACAGTTCCGCACCCACCATATCCGCCAACTGCAGCACACGCGTATGCACCGTCGCGCCATCACGGCGATTCTTCCCCTCCCTTCGACTAAGGCTAATGCGTTCCGCGAAGCGCCAAAGCGGGCCCGCGGGGACGATAGTCTGGTCTGCATATATCCCCGCTGTTGCATCGTCTTCAGCTACAACATCGGCTTCGGCTTCGGTTTTAGGTTTACTGTCTGTGTCGGTTGCGTCGGCTGCGCGTCGTTCCGGCACCCATCCTTCCGCTAGTCGTATCGTAGCCGGCACGTTCTTGCCTTTTGCTTTCGTGACTACGATCATGCCTTCTTCTTCGAAGCGCGTGTATGCGTTTTTTAGTGTTTCCTTGTTCACGGCTTCGAAGTAGCTTAGGTCGCCTTGGTGGTAGAGGGTTTTTCCGAATAACTGGGCGCGGTCTTGGACTTTTTTTAGGTCGAGAGCGGCGGCTGGTACATGCGCGTCTGCATCTCCATCTGTGGATGCGTGTGTATTAAGCTGAGAAGGCGGCGTAAGCATCATCAACGACAGCGCGCCCAACCACGCCGCCTCAACAAACGGCCAAATCAAAAAACAATAAAAGTCAAAATTCTCGCGCCCGCTCGCGCGCTCCGCATCGCTCAGCTCCACGAACGACACGCTCCCGGCCTCGTCGCGCGAGACGGTTATCACGCCGTCGGATTCCAGCCCCGTGAGGGTTTTGGCCAGGTTGTGGTCCAGGCCTTCTGTGGGGAAGATGAATTCGCCGCGGAACAGCTGTGAGAGGAAGAAGACTTGGGCGTGGAGGTCGGCGTAGGCGATGCGTTGGTTTTTGGGGCCACCGCCGCGTTTTACTGTTGTGTAGAGGGCGGCTGAGACGAGGGATTGTAGGATGAAGAGGTGGATTGTCATGTTGCGGTAGAAGGAGAGTTGGAATCTGAGGATTTGTCAGTGTTGAGGAATGTGTGTGTGGGGGATGGGGGATGTACCTGTCGACGGCGTAGAAAGTGTCTTCTGGTAGTCCGGGGACAAGGCCTACTAGACTTGATCCCAAGACTTCGAGCGCGCGGTCTACGACGACGCTGGTGGGTAGGTTGCCAAAGTGCGCTACTCGCCCGCCCTGTGCTGCTCCATGTTAATACTCATCCAACTGCTCTCAACATGAAGTACAACTCACCACGCACACGCTCACTCAGCCACTCCACCCTCCTGATCAACTCGCTCTTCCCCACGCCCCGCCCCCTCAGCGTGAGCAGCACGGTGCCCACCAGCGCAGTTGGCATCACGACCGATACGTCGTTGATCTCGGACAACACCTTGTACCCCAGCGTGCGCAGCAGTCTAAGGCGATCCTCCTTATTATCGAGCTGTTGCGGCATCTTACTCATGCGCTCGCGCTGCTGATTGATGAAAGTGCGCAGCGACCACGGCTCCTGGAAGCGGACATCCACGCGTCCGAGTTTCAGCGATAGAACGGAGGACGCAGAGAGGAAGTCCATGAGGTTTTCCTTAGGCTTAGGTGTACCGAGGAGTTCGCTGATATACGAGCTGTTCATTGTCTTGTCAGCTTAGTTATCATGTAAATTCCAAGTCCAAGTCCAGGGAATGCGGGCACATACTCGACCTCAATAACCTTATCATACTGCGTCGACACAGGACAAATAATCGCATCCTCGACCCTCCCACTCGCAACACTATCCAGCATATAGCTCAAAATGCCAAACTTGGGCGGCAACAACTTCCCCGTGCGACTCCTACCCCCCTCAACAAAGCACTCGAGATTATACCCCGTAGCAAGCAACGTATCGATATACGCCTGCACAACCGTCGCATACAGCTGATCGTCCCCAAACCCCCTACGGATCCACATCGCGCCCGCATGCTGCAAGAAATATCCCACGCCGGGGAAATTCAGATTATCACCCGCCACGACGGTCGGCAGCGCGAGGCCAAGCCGGTAGCAGATGATCTGCAGACTGACGTAGTCGACGTGCGAGCGGTGGCAGGGCAGGAAGATGATGGAGTGTTTATCGCGTGCTGCTTTCTCCGCGACGGCGCGGAGCCGCAGGACTTCCTCGCTGGAGACGTGGACACCTTGGTGGTAGGCGCGGGTTAGTAGCTGCGTGGCGAAGTAATACGCGCCGCGGATGAAGTTCTTGCTTTCCATCTTGCAGATCATGCTGTCTGTCCAGGAGTCGCAGACTTGTAGGAGCGAGTCTTCGATCTTCTTGCGCCGCTGCGAACGTTCATCCTTGCCCGTTAACAATCCAGCCTCGACCTCGACGCTGATGCGCTTCCCCGCTAGCTCGGATACTTTGTCCACAAGCATCTTGCTCCCCAAGACCCGCGCTTTCATGTCCTCGCTAAACCCTGTGTAGAACTCCGGCTGCCCGATGTGCTCGTCGAAGGACCGCCATCCCGAGCCGGAGAAGTGCAGCGAGACTTCGCGCAGGAAGTCTAGCGGAGATGATCGGAAGCGCGCCATGCTGTGGATGAGGCCGCGGTCGGGCGCTTCGTTGTAGCCCGCGGCGTGTAGGGAGATGTTGTCTGCGGCTGTGATGGCGAGGTCGGGCGCTTGTTCGGGCGGTGCGGGTTTGGGAGGGGACGTCATGGTGGGTGGTGGTGGTGGGCGGGAGTAGTCGTCGCCGTCGTCCTGCGCGGTTCGTGTGCGTGGTATCCGTCCCAACGTCTCGCAACACAGTATATTCACAAGCAATCCGCTTCCAGAACCAATTCCAATTCCCTCAACACTTTCATACACCTCGGGTATATCCAGCTATATCACAGCGATAAAGAAACTCATAACATCATCAGCAACAATAAAAAACACGTGTGTAGTTAGGAGAGGTCGAGGTTGAGGCGTTGAAGGAGATAGTGTAGGTAGGTTGTTTGAGCGTCGACCCACTTCCCCAGTTTCGTCCAAACATCCTCGGCCTGGGGGAAAGCTACTGGGCGGGACCCGCACCGCCTCCGATTCGCTTGCCGTTTATTAGCATGTCCTCCTGCCATGGAAATAACATCTAACGTTGGACTTGATCATGTGGAATAAAAATACTGCATATTTTAATATCAAACAGGGAGACTCTCACATGTCGTGATAGTGTTTGATTTTCCAATGTAGCCATCACCGCCTACTTCATAAGTCTATCCGCCTCCTCCCCACTCTCGCTCTCCGTCTCATACTCGCTCTCTTCCTCACTATCCTCCTCATCCTCCTCATCATCATCCGTCTCCTCCTCACTGCCACTCTCCTCTTCCTCCTCCGCCAACCAATCATCCAGCGTCTTCTCCTTACCCTTCTCCTTCTCCCTCTCCCTCGCCGGCGCCCCATTCAGCGTCCTAGGCGCCAACACACTCTCCGGCGCCCTACCACTCCCCGCCGCAGCATCAAGTCTCTCAGCCGCAGACATAGTCTTAGCCGCTTCATAAGCCGAAGTATACGTCGACGAGGTCTCTTCGCGAAGCGCCGGGTCCGGTTCCTGACCCTCCTTAACCCACTTCGGGATATCTTCGTAGCCACGTAGTCCGCCAACACCGCCTTCATCGCCAATGACGAGACTCGCGCTGCCGAGAACGTATCCCTTCCGTGTTTCGCTGGGGCTGGGGATGTGCGGAACGGGTTTTGGCGCGAGCAGAAGTAGCGAGGCGAGTTGGGTGGAGGTAGGTGTCGCGAGGAGCGCTTTGTAGACGCGTGCGCGGTCGCGGAGATCGTAGGACGTATCGTATCGTACGAGCAGGAGGATGTAGTTATACAACGCCTCGATTGGGTGAGGTTTCTCCTGCTCTTGGGGCTCGGTGGGTAGCGGTGGAGGCGCTTCGAGATGGTCATCCCGGAAGCCGCCGTGTTCTTCTTGGAAGTCGTCCAGGAGTGAGGGAGATGGGTTTGGTTCTTCTTCGACTTTGGGTGGTTCGGGAGGCGGATTGGCGCTCAAGTGATGCACGTAGACCTTTGCTGCTAACAGCACGATTTGGAGCTTTGCGGGTTCGGCTTCATCTGCGAACCCCTTCGCCAGGATGCGCAAGACATCTGCAGCGATGTTGTTTTCTGGATCGAGGCCTGCAAACTCGCCAACCAGCCATATGATGCTGGCTCGCGCTTGTGGGCTCGTTGCTGCGTCCAGATGTTTAGCTAACCGGACTACAGTCGTTCGGTGTGCATCCGGGTTGCGCTGGATGAGGTGTCGAATCACCTCGAGGGACTCGGCCACCAGATGGGCATCTGCAGACCCAATATGCTTGAGCAAAAGCTTGAGACACCTTGCTGACGTCTGTGGGCTCGTAGCCGGGCTTTGAGAACAGCGTCCAATCGCCCGAACTGATTCCTTTACCAGAGCTGCGTCCAGACTCCCGGAGTGTGAGAAATGGCTAAGCTCAGCCAGTATCAAGCTCTGCAACCTCGGTGGCGCGTGAGGAAAGATGAGCGTGAGCAATTCCAGCTTCAGACGCCATATATGTGGCGCATCTGTTGAGCGCACCAGAAAATGCGTGTAGTACTTCACAAACGGCTCCGGGTGATTTAAACAGACCTGTACGACGTTGTACAGCGCTATATGCTCGATGTCGGCTGCTGATCGTAGAAGCGAAATCAACGGTCCTATGGCCAGAGACAAGTATTCAGGTGTGCCTAAGTAGAGGTATGTCCTCGCGACCGCCATTACTACGGCTGCATTCCGAGACTGGAGAAGAGGCTGACAGGCTTTCAGCAGCAGTTCGAGATCAGGATCCAGCACCGCAACTTCGTCCATATCCTGCTCTTCTTCCTCTTCCTCCTCACTCTCGTCATCGTAGAAGCCCTTTGTCGATTTCGCAGGTTTTTTGTTTGTGGTGTTCGTAGTTCTTTTGACCTTTCTGATCCGTCGCGGGAAGCACTTGCGCGCATAGACCATCATGAGACGCAGAGTAGCCAACTGTCCCCACTCGTCCATATCACCTAGTTTCTGTACCAAGGAGCGGTAATGCGGATGTATCAGATCCAACCGGTCCGGGCAAATCTCCAGAAACGCTGCGACTGCTGCACCTGTCACAAAGTACTGCTTGTCCCCCAACAGCGTCGAAAGATATTCCAGCAGCTGAGGCTCCGTGTTTGGGTCTAACCTGTAGCATTTTGGTATAGCCAGAGCCGCTGCTCGCCTGACTTGAGGTGACATGTCTCCTGCGCCTCGCTTGATGCCCAGGCTCACAATCTGGCTGATGACCGGTACCCGAATGCCCGACATGACGCGCAACGCCAGGGCGCGAAGTTGCGGGTTCTGGTCTGTGAGCGACTTCTGTATCGTGTTGATGGAAAGGAGCGCGGTGTCCGGTTCATGCTCGGCATGCTGGAGGAGGTATATGTATACGAGCTTCTTGACGGGGAGGGACGGGGACGCGACGTTCTTGATTACGTGGGAGAAGAAGGGCAGCGTCTGCGAGGGCGGCTGTCGATAGGACATCTAGCATCTCCACAGTCAGCAACGCCGTCTCATCTCATACCAGTCCAGACCCGTGCAGGTGTAGGTGACAGTGGTGGGGCAGTTCGTACAGTGACCACCTTCCGCAGCCCCTCGAGCACATCGCGCTCCGACCGGCTGTCGAGGAGCTTCTTGAGCTGGCCCGAGGGCAGGATGCGCGTCGGCGGCTTGCGGGCATTGCTTGCGTCGCGGGCAGCCTCGAGGGTGAGATCGCGGGCTGTAGAGAGAGACCAGTGAGCAAAGGTGGACGGATGCATAGCAGCAGGGCACCACCGCGGGGGAAAGGACAGTGGCAGGCTCTGCGGCAGCAAGGAAAGGGACTCGGCATTTACCTGTCTCCAGCAGGCTCGAGATGCGACTGATGGACTCCATGGCCGCCTACTACGCCCCAAGCAGCGCGTCGGTCCGCAGTGCACGCGCACGTTCGCGCCTAGCTTCCACTCGGAGTCAGCGGCGCAAGAACGCTGAGACTATGCAGAGGCAGGCCCACGGATGTCCGGGCGGGCAGAATTGTGAAGGTGTTGATGTGCCTGGCGTGCATTGGCCGACCACGACGTCCTTGGTGGGGCGAGCGGAGAGGGGAGCTTCTCCGAGTGGAGTCAAGTCCATTCCACCCCCAGCCTCCACACTGACAGCAAACTGGACACCACATATGGCAGCGGACTTTCAGCTGCTTGACCTGGCTTGTTCGACATGTCCTCGGCGCCGTCGGTGCTGTATCCGCTGACGCTGCCTGCGCTGCTGGACTACATCCTCACCACGCAGTCTGGCACTGCACCCACGACTCTGATCATCTGCTCGAGTCGCGACACTTTCCTACACGACCTTGTGCATTTACTACAGCAAGGTGATGACGAAGATCAGAGCCAGGTTCAGCAAGGGAGTCTGCAGCAATTGGTCACGCCTACGCTCCATAATCTGTTGACAGCTCGGCATGTCAAGCTTGCCTTCTGTGGGTCTGTGCAAGCTCTGCTGGCCTTCTTGACAGCATATGGCCGGCCTGACACTGAACATCTTGTTGACGTCGAGGAGGGCGCGAGACTGCTGCTGGTGAATCCACTTGCGTTGCATGCATCAACGCCGTCATTCTCAGCCCAGGGACTATCACGAACATTTGCAGCAGCCACGGAGACAGCGCTCAGGACACGCGTTGTGCTCCAGGTCGTCGAGTGTCAGGGAATGCGCAGAAGTGTGGAAGAAGACTCTGACCAGGACACGGACATGGCAAACGGGGACGAGCAGCCCAACATCGCCGAAGAAGATCCTTGGGAGCAGGAACTGTCGATCCTGAATGTCTCGGCACGCAGGTTCGGCTCGGGCACTGCCGACAGGGCGTGGGCTGGGCGAACCGTCAAGGCGAAGAGAGTCGCCGGACGCTGGTTCCACTTCCACAAGCTCGACAGTCACCACGTACGCGAAGCCCCAGGATGAACATAATGAGAGTTGAAGCTTCGAAAAGAAACCATCTGTTCGGATTTGACATGCTACGAAATCCTATATCCTTGCTCATCGACATCGTCAGCCGTCCAATCGTGATTTTGCGGGAGCCTCAGCTGCCCTGGATATCCAACACTTCCAACTTAGATGCACTTGTATCGCCCGTCTTCTCGTTCCAAACACTCAACGCTCAGTTCCAGTCCTTCTTGATGTCGAAAGACCACTTGAACTGCAAATGAACGTGGTTGTCGTCGTCGACAAACTTGGAAACGGCGGTGTAGTGGCCACGGCCGAGCATACCAGAGGGAGCCGTCTCAGACTCGACTATCAAATCTATCAGCACAATACCAGACAGCCAGCTTTTGGACTACACTCACACTTCTTCTCGTAAAAAGGCTTCTCCTCTGTGCTAGGACCATAGCTTCCCTATTTTTTTATTAGCCCTTCTCAGAACCTCACACCGCGACCACCGACTTACCATCATCTCCTGCATCTTGCTGCTCACACCCATGCGCGTGACCTTTTGCAGGTACTTCAGCCCCGCGAGAATCTCATGCTGCACCTTGAACTGCGCCTTCATGCGGAACGTCGCGCCCTCCTTGATTGTGAACGGCTTGCTCTCGAGAGCCTCGACGGCGCCGGGAGATCGCAGGTCGATGATTATGTCGGGGCGGCCTTCGACCTCGAGGCCGAGGCTGTGGATGATGCATTTACGTGGGTCCGCAGGGTCGGAGATATCCTTGCCCTGGCCGAGACCGAGGGAGGCTTTCCATTTTTGGAGGGACTCGTCGTTTTGGTCTGAGGATAGGGAATTAGTGGGTAGATAGGTAGGTGGATGGTGGTGTTGTTGGGCTGTAGAAATGGAGGTGGAGGTGCAGGTGCAGGTAAGACAGGGAAGGTGGACATACCCAGCTTCTGGTACTCATCAATCGTCTTCTTCTCACCGACCTTGAAGCCCTCGGTCTGCTCTGCATGCAGGTCGTCGTCTTGGTGATCGCCGGCCATGATTACTGTAACGTGTAGCTGGTGATTTGTTCGGTGTAGCTGAAGAGGCAGTTCTGTGCCACGTCGAAGGAGTGGGGGGGAGATGTCAAGCGTGTTTGGCGCGAGTCTCGACGCTGGTGGGGCATTCACCGCATCTATGTGGCTCGCCGCAGCTTATTGGCCGGGTTCCTGAGCTGTGGGTCTTGGGTAGGTGAGCTGTGAGCTGTTCAGCTAGGGAATGCAGACACGAGCTGTAGATTCTTTTTTTGAAGAATATGTTGAGGTATGTATGTGTATTCACAGGTTGTTCAATGCAAGAGTGTCAAGATCCCCGCGGGTTCGACAGGCAACCCTGTACAATTCACCTCGTATCGATATCTTCAGCCTTGCTGAGGGTGAAGCCAGTGCGCTGGAATAGCCATGTCAAAGAAAAGCGCAACTACACGAGACCTTCCTATGATGTGTCTAGAGCTGAGACATGTATTGTATTGATTTGTTTGGTATGTCATGGGCTTTGCGACAGCCGCGCGAGATGCAAAGTCTTTGTCCATCTGCATAGAAACCACTCAAGCGCTGGCTAGGAGGGCTCAGTCTGGTGGGATAAGCTGTTGCTGGGCTTTACGAGTAGTGAATGCAGCCCCCAGCACTCTACTGTGACACGCGAAGTCCACAATGCGTCCGAGACGAAGTCGATAGTTGAGACGGAGTGTACAGCACGGTATGTCGTCGCGCTGAGGGAACAGACGCGTGACTTGATCTCTTCAATTTCCCATGTCGCGCTATCGTGTTTAGTTTCGATCGCGATGGAAAGCCAGACACCTGACGAATGAGCAGAGACTGGAGCAATGGGCGGGCAATTAAAACTGCCATGGCGGGTGTCTTGGAGCACGATCTGGGGAAAGGCGGCTGGGCGGCTGGGAATAACAGCGCCGAGACGCTTACCTAGTACAGGGATGGCGACAAAGTACCGCTCCTTCCTCTCTCTTTCTCTTCGCTCGTTCCCCACCGTGCACCAAAGTCGCGTTATCACAAAAGTCGCGTTATCACGAATTGTCGCCTAAGCAGTCGTGCCCAGCTGCTGCATTCACCGCGTCGACCCACCTTTTTCGTTTTCGCCAAACGCGCGCAAACCACGTCGTCACCGCCGCTCGTCATCCTTGCGACCGACTCTCTCTGCGCGCGCCTCATCTAGCACTACTCACCTTGTAATACCATTCATAGTCGCGATAATGGGCTCTACACGCGTCCTGCCCGAGAGGCACAACCCGCTGCTGGCGCCGCTCGATTCTGCTGGAAGTACGTCACGTCGGCGCGTCGCATCCATCGCGACAGGTTTGCTAACATTGTCGCGCAGTTGAAAATCTCATCGAGAGGCGCCGACTGGGCCAGACATACCTCGTGGTCAAGACTGGCATCGCCGGCGTCACCAACGCGACAAAGGCGGACAACATGGGCTCCTTTGACTACGCGCATCTCAGGGTTCCACTCCCCAAGGACCTGACCGGATCGGGCATCTTCAAGCTCAACAGGAACACGGCATTCCCAGAGTCGTATTTCCTGATGGTACGCCAATGAGGACAATGTGCTGCCGCGGGCGCAATCGGCTAACGACACGGACAGCGACGCAGCAGCGACGGACTTGTCAGCTCAACGGGCATGTTCAAGGCGGCCTTCCCATGGGCGTCCTTCGCTGAAGAGGAGGTCGAGCGCAAATACCACAAGACCTTCCCCGGAGCGGATCCGGAAGAGATTGCTGGTAGCGTCTGGATCTCGCCAGAAGAGGGTGAGTGAATGTCGCGGCAACGCACATCCTAAAGGAATTCATCGCTGATGCTAATCTCGCCACAGCACTCGCTTTGGCTGAAGAGTACTCGATGTCGCAATGGGTTGAAGCTCTGCTCCACCCCGCCCCCATAGAGAAGGGAAACAAAGACAAGAAGGACCTCCCAATCCAAGCACCACCCGTGTTCGACTTTGAAAGTGCTCGTCCCGCTCTGCTTCCACCCCAATCAGACATCTACACAGGCCCGGCAAGATCCACCCGCTCCGCCTCACCCAGCAAGATGGCAACCCCAAGGCGACGCATTGCCACACCGCGCAAGGCGCGGGCAACCAGGAACGGCACCAAGTCTGACATCCTGAAGGCCGAGGAACTATTCGGATCCGTAGCGTCGACACCCGGAAGCGCGCTGCAGAGGGAAATCCTGAACGGCGCAACACCGCTGAAGGCTACGAATGGCCATGCCGACGAAACCGACGACGACGAGATCAAGGCCGGGAACGTGCGCATCCAGGTAGAAGAGACAGTCGAGACAAGGGGCAACGTGGAGACGACGACAACCAACGTCAAGGTCGACGTCCCACACGACCACCCCGCGCTCCCCGAGCCAGAAGACCCCTCCAAGATGATCGAGGAGGCAAAACGCATGGTACAAGAAGCGCAGAAGCTGGACGGCACATCCTCAGCCATGACGACAAAGCGCAAGGTCGAGGAGATGATCGAGGAAGAAGAGATGATAGCCGAACGCCCCGCCAAGCTGGCCAAAATGTACACGACGGAGCAGAAGCTGATCAAGGAGAAAGTCACACGGAGGGCGATGGTCGGTGTCGCTGTCATGGGCGCTATTGTGTACGTCTCCCCCTCACTCATTCTGGTTCGGAAAGAATCAAGCAACTAACTCATCCGCAGTGGCGCATTCCAATACTTCATCTAGCGGAGCATCTCACAGCTCGGTCTCTGTCTTTTTCTCTCTTCTACGGTGTACGCTTTTAGTCTGGTCTGGTCTCGGTCTCATCTCGTCTCGCGCATGGCATTTTGGGTACATACTTTGAAACTTGTCTCCCACTCCATTACGCCTTTGCACGTGCTTCTCCCGTCTTTCTACCCGCTTCGACCAGATACCAGACTCACACCCCAATTCATCCATTCATCCATCCATCCATTTTCGACCTTCTGTTCACAATCTGGCGCAAGGTATGCATGCGAATCTGCGGCTTTTTAGGCTTTGCTCTGTTTTTGGGGGTGTTGGGGGAGTGGAGAGGGGTAAAATCTGAAGGGTTGGATGGGGATGAAATGGGGATGGTGATTGTGCGGCGGTTTGTGCCCCTTGTGAGGGGAAGAAGGTAGTGGTTATTTTAATGTCATGGCTTTTTATTGTGTTTTGTGGGCTGTGCTTTGCGGAGGGTCGTTTTCTGGTTGTTTGCTTGAGGTTTTTGGATGTTCATGTGTATGTGTATATACGCGTATAATGAACTCAGCATATAATCATCACTGCTCATCGAGGTCTATTAAGTTTTGATATTCCTGTGCACGTCTTTGCTGTCAGCATAAAATAGTTCACTTATCTCATCTCTGTTACGTGCCTGATCATTCGAAATAACACATATGAGCCTGGTAGTCTTCCTGTATCGCATCTAGTCAAGTAAGGTGACTACATATCATCAACACAACACACCGCGCCAAACCCTCCAATAAACAAGTCGCTATATTTTATTCATAAAACCCACCACATTTGCGAGCCCTTCCTTTGTCATCCGCGTAGTCTCACGAATAAAACATGACAAGATGTGATATAAGAGCGGCAGATCTCCACTTCGTAGAATAACAGGATGGAGTAGAAAACGTTTTGTTTAGGGCAGTCAGTGGGAACAAGTGTTGTAAAGATGGTTTTTGGGGGAGAGAAGAGGGAAATTTTAGTGGGGAGATAGATGGTAAGTTGGTTGTTGTGCATGGGACTGAGCAGTGTAGAGTAAAGTAGAAAGTCTTGTGTATATTTTGTTAACAGATAGCTGGGTTCCGGATTTTAAATGGCATTTATCTGCTTCTCTCAAAGGCATGAACACGCCGAATATTAATATACAGCATGGCAGATGGATATGTAAGTAGATGGGTAGGCAGGGGACTTGGAGGATTTGTCTTTTGGGGCTGTCTATATTATGCTTCGTGATACATATTTTCGAAGTGCGTTTTTGTATTAAGCAATATTCCCATGCCTCATTCTGGTAGTTCTTGCCTATTCTTCTTCTTGAGGGGAGGGGTTCGACGAATTTCTAAAACCAAATGTAGCTAATCGCACATTTGATATGGAAGAGGGAGGTGATGAATAGTAGATATCGCTTTGTTTCTGGCGTAATCACTAATATGAGATTGACGTAGGATGTCGTTTCTTCTAACCATCACAGTCCTCAGCTGGCTATCAAGGTTCTCAAAAAGCCTGGTATAAAGCATGAGCGTCCACCCATTCCAAGGCTACTGCATCCGCATTGTAGTCTGGCCCTTCATCCATATGCCCAGACATGGTGGCTTTCTTTCCTCAGCCCCGTGCTGGCTAGTTGACCCCGGACTTCCCCCGCATCCGTACTTCGTCCTGACAACCCGTGGAACTTGGTCGTATCCACAACATTACGTTTGGAATTGCTGCAGGGGTTTGAAAGCTCGGCTTCTGGACATACTCCTGGAAGCTCTCCCGCGGTTAGACCGTACAGACTTTGAACGTTTGTGTAAGAGGCCACTCATAGCAACCACAAACTACACAGCTTGGGCCAAGTACGTTATCTCGAGAAGTCTTTTCCACTGTACTGTGAAGGAAGACAATGGTGGGAACATCGAAGTGCGGACATGTTCCACTACCCCGCGATTGTCAACGTACCCTACAGGCCTCTGCATTGCAGCGCGGAAAGTTCCAGGTAACGCGTCGTGTACTGGAAGACTATGATTGGGCAATTGTGTTACTCCTTGGGGATACGAGGGTACGTGGCTTGAGGCTGCAGGCCTTGCGCAGCATGTCTAGCATGTTGATCAAAGTACGCAGGCCTTGCGCTCGTCCGATCCAACTGACTGGTGTAGATGTCTCGGTCCCCGGATGTCAAGTACTCACATGATCTGTGTTGGACAAGATGGTTGGAGGATGGCCAGATGGAAGTCGTTGGACTAGCCAGCCGGGAGCGCACAGACCATCCATTTTGACGCGGGGGAGGAGCTAACGAGCCCTGCACGTTGTAAAAGGTTCAACCCTTGGTCTGCGAAGTCCCGAGCAATTGACCTTCGAATGCAGTGCATGCGACGCAGTTATATTATCGCCTTCTTCATCAAACGATCGCTGATGATGGCATGGTCGAGTGATGCGATGTCAGGAGACACGTCTCGAAAGGTTGCCTGACATCCAAACCCCTCACGCCACATCCAAAGATCCACAACCCCTGGTAATGATGAGATACCCTAGCGCCAAAACATGTTAGTCCGCCCTAAACACGGGTAGTCCACTCCACTTAGGTCGGACCTTCCCATGCTGTCAGGTTACCTATCTTTGCTCCCACCTGTCCGACGCATCATCATCCGACAGCTTCTCGACCAATGCCAAGTTGTATCTACGATTTGTACCCCTCTACCAGATAGCTGCGCCGCAAGTGCCCCACCATGACTGGCCAGTGGGCAATACAGGCAAGAATAATCTTGCCGGCCCGATGGACAGGAGATCTGAGTAGTAATGGACGAGAGGAACCCACTACTATCCAGAGCTTGCAGCTTCACTTGGAAGATTCTGCAATGGGTAGCGAGACCCTGACGCGCATCTCCCACGAGGTGGGGTCATCGCCTTGAGCTCTAGGCAGTCGCAGATCCAACTATATAAGACCTGTGTTTCCCTTGACACTGAACCATCATCACACAACGATCAATCAAACTTACTTCTACACTCAACACTCTCCAAACTTTCGAGCATTCACTCCATCAACATGTCTACTGAAGTTCCTACCGAGCAATGGGCACAGGTCATTGACAAGACCGGCGGCCCCGTCGAGTACAGGAAGATTGCTGTTCCAACCCCAGGCCCTGATGAGGTTCTCGTCAACATCAAGTACACTGGTGTCTGCCACACTGATCTCCACGCTCTGAACGGCGACTGGCCACTGGTGAGTACTTACTTCTCCCAACATACAATGTCATGACGGTTGTCTAACAAAACTACAGGCCGTCAAGCTGCCTCTGGTCGGTGGTCATGAGGGTGCGGGTATCGTCGTTGCCAAGGGCGAACTCGTCAAGGATGTCCAGATTGGCGACCACGCTGGTGTCAAGTGGCTGAACGGCTCCTGCTTGCAATGCGACTTCTGCCAGCAGGCCGACGAGCCCCTCTGCCCCAAGCCCGAACTCTCCGGATACACCGTCGACGGTACATTCCAGCAATACTGCGTTGCCAAAGCCGCACACATCGCTCGCCTGCCCAAGGACATGGCCCTCGATGCCGTTGCACCCATTCTCTGCGCCGGTATCACCGTCTACAAGGGACTGAAGGAGTCTGGCGTGAAGCCCGGTCAGTGGGCTGCAATCGTCGGCGCTGGCGGTGGTCTCGGATCTTTGGCCCTTCAATACGCAAAAGCCATGGGCGTACGCACAATTGCCATCGACACAGGCGACTCGAAGAGGAAGATGACCTCTGAGCTCGGTGCTGAGGTGTTCGTCGACTTCGCTACATCCAAGAACCTCGTCGCCGATGTACAAGCTGCCACCGCCGATGGTCGTGGTCCTCACGTCGTCATCCTCGTTGCTGTCAACGAGAAGCCATTCCAACAGGCTGCCGAGTACGTCCGACCACGCGGTACCGTCATCTGCATTGGTATGCCAGCCGGTGCCTACCTGAAGGCCCCCGTCTTCGAGACTGTCGTCAAGATGATCCGCATCCAGGGTTCATACGTCGGAAACCGAAGGGACGGTGCTGAGGCTATCGACTTCTTCGCCCGCGGTCTGGTCAAGTGCCCCTACCAGGTCGTCGGTCTCTCAGAGCTCCCAATGGTGTACGAAAAGATGAAGCAGGGTGAGATCGCTGGACGCTACGTCCTCGACACATCGAGGTAGATGTACCCAGCATTGGGCAGTAGAGTAGTATTTCTTAGGTGGGTCACTGGATGGGGGTGTTTTAACGAAATGGCTGATTAGCCTTGCTGTATATACGGAAAACAAAATGAAATTCACAAACTTTAAACTCAAGTCTTTGCCTGCTGCCATTTTCAATTGTTCTACGTGAGCCAGTGGCTCATGTCTGTCTTACACTGCTTACGCTTACTTCTGAGTGACAGCTGGCCCTTGGTCCGATATTCTTTCCGGCTCGCATGTTCAATTCTTTCTAGATAAGCCACCGTCGTGTTTTGTTGGGAAGACAGGGGATTTTGTGGGAATCACTAGCAGTACAAAACTGGATCAGTGGCATGACAATGTATGATCAAATCGTGTCATCTAGAGATTTCTTGATGGTCTCACTATTTGTGCTGTACTGATTTCTGGTGTGGGAGGTATTACACTTGGGACAAAAATCTAGAGGTTGAGCATCTGGTGACGAGGTTAAGAGTGTGGTCGCCGAAGATATGGCATAAAGATGGGGCTGAATGTGGGCGTGAGCTTAGAGTTGGGTTTGAGCTGCGATGTCGGTGGTGGTTTGACGATATAGAAGTAGTTATGGGATTGGAAAGTAAAGACTGTGTTTATAGACTATCTGCGATTCAATAACCTGAGAATCAAGTCAAGGAGGTAGAGCTTTTGATTAAGGAGGTTCGTGGAGTCTATCCCGGTGATAGATCAATAGCAAGGTGGGTTACAAATACATGACGCAGACCGTCTAGTAGAGCGAATTTTCAACAAGTGATTGGCCGACAAGATCCTCCTGAGCCTGCCTACACGATCCCAATATCCATGTGGCTGAACTGGGCTGGCTGTGTATTATTATAAGTTGTTCGGATGGAGTCGATAAACAAAAGAAATGCGCAAACGATCATCTCAAACGTTCTAAGCTTCAAAGGGGGTGGCGCCCATAAGTATCAAGTCGTAAAATCGTAAAGTCATAAAGTCGCAGGGGTTGTGTCGGTAAAGTAGAGTTGCGTAAGCAACTACAGTAAGGCGGTTCGGAACTGGTTCGATTGTTGGTGTTCATATTCATTAGGGCGCCAACCCCATCTGCAACCGTATGATGACGATTACCTCAAGTAGTGATGTTCCTTTCAAGTCCACGTTCTCGATTCTCGATCCAATCCGTATTCAGCATCGCGTTGGATAGCCTTAGGAGCAGGAGCCACTCCATGTTTTACTGCTTTGTGTCGTGCTAGATTCTTCTTTTGTGCCACGCTCTCGTTGCAACCTTCGATGTCGCAGGGATATCTCTTGCCCTGGTGTTTGGTCTGATTGTGTTCCCTTAGTGATTTTGCATGGGGGTAGTTTTTGGAGCAGACTTTGCACGAGTATAGCCTGTGCTTCCCCAAGTGGTTGTCCAGCTGTCGTTGCTGTGAAAATCTCTTTGGGCATCCGTTTACTTTGCAGACAAAGCTAAATGCGAGAGGTTGTATAGGTTGTGGAGGTACATGACATCGAGGCTTTGGTCCTCGATGTATTTTCAAGTCTTGGCTGTTTGAAGAACCCGTATGTGGTGGTATTTGTTCGAGTGATGCAGTATTAAGCAGCGAAGGCGCGAACCTTTGCGTGCTATTAGGTAGAGTGCTGTTATGATGTTCGGCTGAGCCATATTGTAGGTCACCAGCACACGGTGTGTCCCAAGGAAGGGCGAGCGTCATAGATGGACTGTGATCGACGATCGAGAACGCAAAACATTCAAAACCAGGGCCACCAGACTCTTGAGACGTTTCTGGGAGATACCAAGGGTAAGGGGCATCGTATGAGCTTCCATGTCCTGATGTACAAGATCTGTCAAAAGAAGATTGGTCTGGAATGTAGATTGGCAAGTTGTCGACACCGTTCGCGATCTCTCCGGTGTTTGATGGCCATTGGTCTGGAACCCAAGCATTGTAGCAATCGTCAAGATGCGGTTGGAGAAGCTCAAAATTGTAGTTTAGATGATCATAGTGACCTGCCGAGATTGAAGCAGCGCGAGGCTATGGTAGCCTCGCGCTACGTCAAGAAGATGTATTGGTAGGGTGCTGCTGATCTAATTAGTACCATGCCTGCAATGACGCGACGATTGAAGTGACCTTGAGACAAGATGAGATGAATTGAATTGGGAGAGGCGTAAGAACTCGAGAGTTTGAGTTTGGGCACAACTAATGCGGGATTCAATCTTCTTATGTTGGGATGTGGAGGCTGAGTTTCATCTGATTGGTACTTATAAGGGGCCTCTTTGAAGTTGCACTAACCATATGTGGTAAGCGTCTACCGACCCGCAAAGTTTCTTTACGGGAGACCCTTCATCTTTTTCCATTCGGCTGTTGAACTAGTAAGACACAACGATCTTTTTTGCCTATGATGCTAAGGCAAACACCCCTTGTTGCAAGCGCCGAGCCTCAAGCCGAAACCAGGCGTTGCCACAGAACATAGGAGCAAAACGTAACACTACCTGAAGATAGCATACAATGTTGCAATATCGTCGCCGCCGAGGGGGCCCTGCCAGGCCGTGATTAACGCACATCGTCTATATGGGATTTGTGTGCATCACTGTAAGGCTGATATACAGAACGGCCATGTTTCAGCCTCGGTGCCGTTGGATATGAGAACAGAACTAGGATGAAGCCTCTAGTATCGTCTGCCAACGATACCGTTGAGACCCCCTTGTCATCGCCGGAAATCCAATAGAGTGACCATCTTAAACCCCTCAACGAAGAGATCCTCCAGCGTGTGTCGTCATATATATTCTAATACCTTGTTCCATGAGTAGTGTAGTGGAAGTCCCTGTGAGGCCCTCGTTTAATACCCAAACTCATAATGAGACCCTTCGTTGTTTTTCAGAACCGTAGAGCTATAGGTGAGAACGTGAGTGTATAAGACGCGGTCTGCGTTCGCTGGTTTTCATTCCACCAACAACTCAACAAACTCAGTATCTGCTCAAACAATCCTTCAATGTATGTCAGCGTTGACTCTTCAGCCCCTTCAATTGCTTCGACTTCGGCAAATGACTCTATCGAGAATCAAGGAACCATCGATCTCGCTACAGAAATTCGCCAGTTTTTGAGCCAGACACGCTTTCGTAAGCTTTTGTCATTCCATGAAAAGACTGCCACTAGAAGCTGATTTTGGGGAAGACAAGTCATCTGAGCTCCCGCAGAACCCATGGACTGTACCTGCGGGCCACTACCTACGATCAGATGGTAGCGTTGTCCATATTGAAGGCCCAGACCGGTTTCGAAGGATTGCTGCCAACGCTAGTGTCAGTTCGAGTTTGTAACACCAGTCTGGAGGTTTCCAGAAAGTGAAAAGAGGTAGAAATGTTGCAAAGACAGAGATGTATATCGAAAGATTGGGGATAGGAGTCTTAGAACTTCTACGAGTACGGCGAATGGATTCGGCGGTCGTAGTTTGATTGTCTTAACATTACCGCATGACTAGTTGTCGAGGAGCTTATGTTCATGGTATTTGTGATGCGGATGAAGGACAGACGAGTTCGTAAGGAGAACTGAGAAGGAACAGAGGCCACTAGTCTAGAAGCAGTTTAGACTTGACTAATCCAACCCACTCCTCCACCTCTCTCCACCTCCAAGAAGGACCCACGTATATAACATCTTTCAACGACCGCTGTTCGTTAACAAACTACTTCTTCATTTCGTAATCGAGCAAGTTACCATCATAACTACCTGACCTGTGGATTACCTTCACACGAGGCAATGACGACGACCATGACCAGCGAAGACTATCCACGACCAGACTTTGTCCGCAACAAACTATCTTGGCAGTCTCTCAACGGCCCATGGAATTTCCTTTTCGACGACAATGATATCGGATTATCCGAAGGTTGGCACCTGGATAGCCTACCAGAGGAAGTCACTGTGAATGCCACACACACTAACAGTATCATGAACGCCGAAGCGCAAAGCATCACAGCCAAAATCACCGGAGGCACTCAAGAGTTATTCCAAGGAAATCAGTTTAGCGAATCAGAGGCAACCACACACAAAACGCGCGATATTCAAGTACCCTATGTTTTCCAATCTCCAGCCTCCGGAATTGGAGAGAAAGGCGTGCACGAAGTCCTGTGGTACGAGCGAGGGATCGAAGACTCACGTACGGAAGAGGACAAGAAAGCAGGTCATCGTGTGATCCTTAGATTTGGAGCGGTGGACTATGAAGCCAAGATCTGGGTTACCGGTAAGTTTTTTGGAGGTCACCGCGGTGGTCACGTTCCATTTGACATCGACATCACGGATGCGTTCGCGAATGGAGAGAAACAAAGACTTACCGTGAGGGTGTACGACTCGGCATACGACTTAGCACAGCCGAGAGGAAAACAGTACTGGGGTGCAAAGCCCGAAAGCATATTCTATACACCGAGTGGAGGAATATGGCAGAGTGTGTGGATCGAGACGGTACCACCTGTTCGTATCGGTGATGCGAGTAAGGGCACGGTGCTTAGAAGCAATGAGATCAAGAGGGGCAAGTTGCTTGCAAGTGTCAAGACTCTGGGAAGATTGGCGGGACACAAATACAGTGTGGAAATTGAGACTAGCCTCGGAGGTGTGATGGTTAGCAAAACGGAGAGGTTTGATTTGCCCCGAGATTCAGACAAAGTGTCTTTCGAAGCAGATATGCAGCTCTCAGAAGAGCAATTGTCCCAGATTCCCGCTAGCTTGACTGAAAATGCTCCATTGAAAGACGATACTTGCTGGCTTAACGGTGTAGCTCTATGGTCGCCAGAACACCCAACTCTCTACGACCTCGCCATCCGTCTTTACGACTCAAATTCTACACTCATCGACGAAGTCCATACCACGACTGGTATGCGCTCCCTGTCTTGGAACAACGACACCTTCCGCCTAAACGATCGTCCATACTTCCAAGCCCTCTTCCTCGATCAAGGTTACTGGCCCGACACTTTCATGACGCCTTCCTCCTCGGCACTCAAAACAGACATCGAGTTGTCGAAGAAAATGGGCTTCAACGGCTGCCGCAAGCACCAAAAGGTCGAAGATCCGTTGTTTCATTACTGGGCAGACCGCCTGGGCTTCCTCGTATGGGGCGAGATGGCAAACGCGTACATCTTCAGTGCAGAATACGTTGAACGCTTCGACCAAGAGTGGCGCGAAGCTGTAATGCGAGACATCAACCATCCCTGTGTGGTAGCTTGGACACCAGTCAACGAAAGCTGGGGCTATACTGATCTCAAGGGCAACCAACAACAAAGAGACCACATCAGAAGCTTGTATTACGCAACCAAAACCTTGGATCCTACAAGACCTGTTAACGATAATTGCGGATGGGAACATGTTCAGACTGATCTCACAACGTTTCATGATTACAACGATGGCGATGATTTGACAAAGACTTGCGCGAGTAAAACTGGTATTCTGGCGCCGAAAGCAGAACGCGGGATGTTTCTCCCTGCACTGCCAGGTGATGACGGGTCTTCGCATCGAGACGGCACGCCGATCATATGTACAGAATTCGGTGGTATCAACATCGCGCGATCGACTGTGGGAAAAGACGGCGAGAGACACTGGGGCTACACGACTGCGACCGATCCAAAGGATCTGCTCAAAAGGATCGAGAAGATGATGACGGGCATAGTGGACGGAGGACATATTGGTGGGTTCGTGTATACGCAGTTGACGGATATCGAGCAAGAGGTCAACGGCCTCTATACGACGGAGAGGAAGGAGAAGTTGGATACTGGAGAGGTGAGGCGAATTGTTGAGGGAGTCAAGGCGAAATATCTGCAGATGCATACGTAGCCCTTGCGGTTCATGAATCTTGGACGTAAGACCGAGGTGTATTTGATTACGTATCAGACACCCAAACGCAGTGGCTGACGCTTCATATATTTCTCATGTAATCGGGTTCTCAGAGTCATGTTCTCGACCCATCTGGTTTAACATCTCTCAAAGACCCGATAAAGCCCCCTGAGATTGGCGATTTCCACAACCCCTTTTAGCAAGCCCCTCGTAGCCACTAGTCTCGCCTTGCAAGCTGGGAAAATAGTGTGTTCCAACGCTCTCCTCACCTTCTTCCTGCGCAGAGCAATTTCCGGATCTTCTTCTATAATTCTTTCTTTGCTCGTGTCGTTACCATCCACCGGCAGAGAAGGCGCCAGCGGCAAACACTCTGGGACGTAAAACGAAGCAAGTTCGCAGAGCAAGGTATGAAAACAAGCTTTCTCGTTATCCCACGTCACATGTGGACCGAGACGCAGAAGAAACTGCGGTAATTTGGCCAGTGAAGGTGTGTAACCTTTCATCAGCAATGGAATAGAACATAGTTCGCCTTCCGCCGAGATTTCCATGCACAAGTACTCTACGAGCAGAGTAGCCTTCCCGATTAATAGTCGCTGAACGGTGTCAACGACCTCATCCCAATCCACATCATCTGCCGCGTCACCTGCGTTCTTTTTCTCTTGCTCCGCTGCGATCTTGAGTAGATCACGCAATGGTAGAGGTGGGTTGAAACGTATCGAACCAAAATTTGCGAAGTCGGTTAGGCCAACCTGGTAGAAGTACTCGTTGCATAGCATACCATAATCGATGAGGAAGAGTTTGACTCCGCCTTGTATCGCAGCCAAGCGCTTTTGCTCATCAACTATGCCGACAAATGTATGGGTTGAAATAATGTCAGTGAGGTCGCCGTGCATAGCGTCTCGCACTTCAGCACGTAATTCCTTCACGGACGTTAGGCGACAGATCATCGGCTCTTTCTCAGAACACTCGTATTCCATCTCGTCTTCGTCGTTTTCGGCCTCGTCTATGGTGCGTTGCGGTTGCAGCATGGATGTAATCTTGCGTGCTGATGAATCTGTGCGCACAAGATTGTTCTCGTACGGTTTCTTCGTCGCTGTCTTCGGAACTCTCGATCCGCTGCGGTCTGATATATCGCCTGTCGCTGGTGTCGCTGGCATAGCTGACATTGACTGCTTCATGGGTGTTGCAAACGGGACTTTGGGATTCGACAGTAGCGACTGTGTCAAGAAAGTCCTGCTTGTATCCACTTTGCTCAGGCTATTGCGGATCTCGTCACATATAACAGCGATAATTTCGTCTTCATCTAAGAAGTGAACTTCGCGTTTCGTGGGATGTACATTGACATCAACCCGATGTGGCTCGATCTCAAGGCTCAAATACGCAAACGGATGCCCACCTTTCGGCAGGAATGTAGCGTATGTCTGCTCAACACTCTTCTTGATCACAGCCGACTCGACCGATCGATGGTTGATGAACAACAACAAGCTCGTCCGTTTGGCGCTATAGTTCGCATTGCTGATCCATCCCTCACACTTGAAGCCCCAACGATCGTCCTCTGCCTTAACAGTCACTAACTCGTTGGCTACCGCGCTGCCATGAATCTGTCGTATACGATCCTTCATACTAGCGGTCGCAGGAACGGAGATGCCACTTCCGGCATTATCGCCAACTTTTCGGCAGGAGAAAGACACACCCGCACAGTGCACCGCGTAGCGTCCAACAAGATCGAGAATCTTTGCGTACTCTTCGCTAGCCGAGCGGAACGCACGACGGCGTGAAGGAACATTGTAAAACAGGTCTTCGACCTATGCAAATCAGCGTTCCCAATTCTGAGGAGCGAGTCGTCTGACTAGCATACTGTGATCTGTGTTCCTGGTCGTCCAGCTTTCGCTTTCGGCTCCGCATTCTGACCAGGCTTCGGACTGGCAAGCTTACCGTCCGCATAGTGGGCTTCCCATGCGCAGCTCGATTCCTTCGTCTTCGTCGTGACTTTGAGATGTGCAATATGACTGATGCTCGCCAGCGCCTCTCCACGAAAGCCATAAGTGCCGATCGAGGTCAGATCCTCAAACGCCTTCAGCTTCGAGGTTGTGAATCGTTCACAGAGAATTGGTAGATCTGCTTTCTGCGGGGTCGTCAACAAGCAGTACATGGAAGCAAATTGTGAAGACACACATCAATCCCGTGCCCGTTGTCTGTGATCTGCAGGAGTTTGAGGCCGCCATCTTTCACCATAACTTCCAATGCAGTCGACCCTGCGTCAACAGCATTCTCGATCAGTTCTTTGAGCGCGTGTACAGGCGCGACGATAATCTCGCCTGCAGCGATCTTGTTGACTACATCCTGCGCAAGTGCTTTGATCCGACGTGGCGCCGGAAGTGGCAGTGCGTCATCGCCCTTTCGTTTCGTACCGCGAGGCGAGGGAGGCGACAGATCCATATTCTCTGCCATGACTTTGGTTTCAACCGAGCATCGGGGATGCAATGGCGATGATAAGTTGATATTAGCGTAGTTCGCAAGCGAAAGAGGAAAGGGCGATGACGAAGACGCGACGCGAACCGCGCGTGCACGTGCCCTTCACGTCTCGGCTAGACGTTCTCGCGTCCTCATGCACCGTTCGTTGATCTACTTGCCCAAAGCAAAGATTGTCTGTACAGGAGACATGACGATACTCTCTACGTTCCAACCTTGACTCGCACTAGAGAGCAATGCCTGAGGCCTATGTTATCATGCTTTCGCGCCATCAGGTACTCTTGTAAGAAAGCTGGATCACATCTGTGGAGGCGATAGAAACCCAAAATATGAACTGACTGGGTGGCTTCGGACAACGAGATTATTCCAGTGGATGTGTTTGTAAACTCTCAAGTAATGACTTTGTACTCAGATGACTTAAACTTGCATGAGAAGGGGCTCTTTGACTGTGCCGCCCAGGCGGAGACGCCTGTCAAGTGGCGAAAGACGATGGGCTGATCGCTCAATTAGGTTGCGAGGCTCTAGGCAACTCTGTCAGTAGACTCGATACTGTGGTCCCCCCCCCCAGAAGTATAAGTCATTCGCCCGTTGTGGGTGCCTTTCAGGACGCTCACGAATTGGTCAGAGCCCTTTTAATCAGCAACCCTGATGAGTTGAAGACTAATACGTAAAGTGGAGCATGGCTTATACTTCCGGGGGGTGGGGGTGGGGACCACAGCATAACTGCATCATCTCATGTTCTCGCCGTCCATTATCCCCCAACCTTTCATCACCCACAATGCCACAGAAGGGAGGCACATATTGCCCATCATCAGGTACACCTTTCTTCCCTGCTCTTTCATTGCCATTTTTTGAAAAATTTCTGATCCTGAATCCATAGAAACAAACAAAGCTTCACAGCCTAGATCCAAACCATATACTCGTATCTACGATAACCATGAGAAAGGTGATAGTTTCTTCTCAGCCTATTATTTGGCATGCCGTCAGCTCAACTAAGAGCATGCGAACTGGCGTTAACGCTTCGCCGTCAGAAATCTCCACAGAGCCCGACCAGCATGACAGCAAGACTGATCTTGAAGAGTGGACAGTTATAAATAGCCCTGAAGACGAACCGGCCACCGGTGAGAGCATCATGTCAAGTCACTTCGATCTTCAGCTCGGCTGGGGAAAATGGAAATTCAACGTGTTCAGCTGGGACCTGAACATCAAGAAGTGCTGAATCATAGGATTGCTAGCTTTCAACGCGCAGATTTGCAAACAGTACGCTAGAATTGTGGTAAAGAGTAAATTATGGTAAATCCAGGTCTCTCTGATAGCCAGAAAAATATATACCTTACACTGATTTTCTTCGGCCTCATCTCAAGTCATACACTTCCCTTCTATCAAAGTCACTGCGAAGGTTCCGAGCATGTTTATTGCATTATTATCATTGTAAAATTGCTTGGATTTTCTGACTCTCACCTTGTTTGTAACGATCCTCTATGGCAGGCCAACCCTCTCCACTGGACGATCTTGACCCGTTTTGTTACCTGATGGAAGAGGAATGGTGGATCCACCAACCGCGCCGCATGCAACTTCAAACCTTTGCAGCGAGTACCAATCAATCGTCTTTTGAGGCTTTCTCAGACAATCAACTGCATGTCCCAAAACCCAAAGACCACCCGCAGTTTGATTATAACCGAGAGCAGGCAAGCATCTTCGTCCCTATCTCGCATCACAACTTTGACGCATCCCTGTTGCCAAGGATCTTTCCTGCAGTCCATATATGTTAGGGTTCCTCCACAATCGGAGGGAGATGCGATAAAAATCACTTTGGTGGACAAAGGAAGGTAAGAAGAACAGTGCTTTCCAGAAAGGCTCCGTTGTAGGAATTGGCCAACAAGCAGCTAGACAACCACAAGCAAGAAGGCAGTGGGGATCGTTTCGAGTCTACGACTGTAGTAAAAGATGCAGGTCGATAGGCGTGAGTTGGGCCGATACGAAATGGTCCCCAAGTTACTTTTCTTTCAAATATGGGTTTGCCACGCCATTGCATCATTACAAGTAACCCCATTTCCTGCTAGTACTTTCCGAGACATGCCGTATAATACTGTTCGCATCTGTTGTGCATGTTTCATATTTTATGTTTGCCCCATTCTTTGAAGTCAAATAACTACTATAGACTAGGGCGTGGCGGTACAATGCCCTCTCCAAACACAATGAGCCTATTGTTCGGAAGAAACTTGGTATGTGCGTATACAACCTGTTTTCTCTCAATCTCTACCGGTGCTGAGAAGTTACGCTTTCGATTAGGGAAGAGGTGAGTAGCGTTTGGCACTGCGACTGTGACCCTTGCTTGCAGTTCTCGAGGCGGTCGAGCTAAAGAGTCGAGACCTTTGTGCGACTTCGAGAACTTCTTTGTGACTATTGGTGCTTCGCCGAGTGATCGTAAGTTAGCGGTGTATAACATGGCAACGCTTCCAGGAAGTGCTTTCGAGTCTTGGTGTATGTCCAAAGAAGGATTTTGTAATTGATTCGAAGCATCGGTTTTTTTTGACTTTGGAGTCTCTTGGAACTTCGCAACTAAGTGTGATTCGGGTGGCTCTACGACTTCTTTTCGCTTTGCACCTTCCTGTAGTTTTGTGGACCAAGACTTTTCCGACACGAACTGTGGCAGGAAGGGAGTGCGCGGCGGTAGTCCTAACAGTAGCATGTAATCTTGGACATCTGGAGCTGTAGTCGTTTCAAAGACCTTGGGAGTTGAGAGATATTCGGGAAATACAAGTGACTGTAGGAGTTGCCCAGGCTCTGTAGTTCCGCCCATCTCCTGTGACTGCAACGGCAACGAGGTTGACTCATGGATGGTATCATCCTTCTCAAAATCGATGGCTTCTGATTCTATCCTTGGAACCAAGGATGTAGGCCGAAGTGGAAGAGTAGGGGGAGGAGGAATGGTCTTGCTGGAGACCGTCTCGACACGAAAACCCTCTGGCAGGTTCTCCCACTCTGATGTCTTCAGAACAGAGAAAGAAAAACGACGGAAATGTCCCAAGGCAGTAACAGCCGGATCTGTAGACTTTTTGCAAGTCGTGATCTCGAGGCTACCCTCTTCATCAAATCGAATACCCTTCCGCAAGAGTGAATTACCAGCAACGTACACGCCTCCTCCCTGCTCTTGCCCTGCAGATCTCGTCGTAGTATAATGTGCTCGATGCTGTCGTCCATCCCAGTGCCTCTTGATACCGAAGTCTCTCATCAAAGTCCGCTCTACAACCTCCGACCTAGCACACAATGCCGCAAGTGATGCCTCAAAGTCGTCCCGTGCAATGACACCTAAGCTGCCGCCGTGCTGACAATTGTGTAGATGCCATATCATGTCTTTTTTGAACCACCATCTGCCTTTCTCGTCGTGGAATCGTTCAAGACAGATAGGGCAATTCGGGGGCTGGAGTAGATTCATGCATCTCATAAGGTGATGTAAACCATCAAGTTTGTCGCGATGATGAGTAAAGTCGTATTTGCAGAGGAGGCAGCTTGTAAGGGGCATTTTTACAGCAGACTGGATTGGGTGCGAAGTTTCCTCGCCGTCGATGTGAAGTATCTCGGAGATCGCTTCGCCATGTCCCCCGTCCGGTGAAAGGGACGATAGAGAGTGTCCAGGTCTCGAAACCAAACTCTCCATCGCGGGATATTGATAAGTTAGGCGTTTCTTCTTGCAAAGATCATCTCCGAACCTTGCCCAGCATTTCTGAAAGTGCGAGATACGGTCTTGGGCTGCAACATTAGTGCAAGAGAACTCGAGGTGGCAGATTGCGCACTTGCTTTGATGTGCCTCGATGATGTCGTTATCTGATACGATGGAAGGGGAGGCTGGGTCTAGCAGAGCGAGGTCTTGATCAGACGAAGACTCGTAGCAGACGTTCTCATCAAAATCTCGGTTTGAGGACATTCTGGGAGATGGAGGCGCGGTGGGTATTTCGTACTTTATCGTTGCGTGGCTCGACAAGGGCGTAGTTGTAGTTGAATGAAATAGTGTCTGAGTTCAACTTGGATTTGGTAGAGTACAGAGAAAAAGAATCGTATTGTCACAAAGTTAATAAAGTAACCAGTGTCGGAGGCAACAGGATTTCCAAGTTTCTCCCGCCAAGACAGCCTGTTCACTCTACATACTTCCATCTGCACCACACAATTTAACACTGTCCCGTAAGAAACATCATCACCTGATAGTCGGAGGAAATACTGAAGTGATTAACAACTGTGGTGCCCAAGAGAATATCAGTCAATTCGTCAACCACGACTCACTCACCCTGTACTACAACCAATTCTCTGTCAATGTTCCATGATCCATCGTCGCCCCCAATGGATAACAGTGAACTATCATTACCAAACCCCGAGTTTAGGCGCCTTTTTAGCTCTTGAAATCTTTTGACATGATCAATGTTTGTCCGTTTTTTGTCATCACGACCGTGGAAACGACGGTCTATGTTGACCGCGAGGCCGTCTTGAGACGTGTAGTGCTTATACAAACAGGTATGCTTTTCTAGTTGGGCCGTGCAGGTGCAGTTGTCCGTCGAGGGAGCCAATACCTGGTACTTTCCTTCTGTATTTGTTGGAGATTCATTTACTTCAACTATGGGAAAGAGAGCAGAATCCTGCCGAACACGTTCCTCGATAGTTTCATTATTTGGCAACAAGTCGTCAGGGCAGGTCCTCAACGCTTGTCGAGGGAGCGCTCCGATTATATTCGCAGGTAAGCCGCGCCAGTGCTTAGGCGTTACTGTTCCGGCACTTATAGCGAGGAGCGCCTCTTCGCATCTATCGCGCGTGGGATCATCTAGGTCGAGTGAAATGATGAGACGAATGACCAGATCCATTTTGGCTATATGTGTAGGCAAAGTAATGGATTCTGATGGGCGGCTTCCTTGTCAAGAGTGGTGGAAACTCGACTCTAGTTGAGGGAGGGAATTTGTGAACTGGTTAAAGAATGCAGAATCTATCCTATAACTGTGAGAAAACAATGTGTGGGGGAACCTTGTGATATGCCGCTTGGTCAATATACAAAACAACGACATGGAAGGGATGTCAATAGTAATCATTTGTTGATTACTTACGTCATTGGTTCTACGTTCAAGTCTATATCTTCACCGTCCCAGGGAACAAAGGGTGTATGGGAGACATATCGTAAAACTTGGAATTGTTCGTTATAGCAAAGCGACTTGAATGTCAGCCTGATGGAGAGTATTGCTCTGTTCTCGATTATTTTGTCAGATGATAAAACAATAAACAGCGAATTTCACGTCTATACAAAAGAGATACATCAGCTCGAAAGAAAGATACAAGACGTGTCTTAAATGGTATGTTTCTCCAGCTCTGAAGATGAATACAGATTATCGTGCATGATTGATGACATTCACTCGTCGTTCCTCTTTCCTCTCCATCCTCGAGAAGCAACTGCTTATGTTCCTCGCACATGTGACTCCACTCTTGTCACTGCAGTATCGATAGCAGTCCCAATTTTGGAAGCCCCCAAAGATAAAATTAGCTATTAGATATTAGTCAACATGTGTGAGGAGCGGAGGGCGCCCATATTCTTTACGGCTTGATGTTGACCCAGCACTATAATCAGCTGCATGCGGCAAATTCATGGGGACGAACCAAAGTATCGGCTGTGTTCAGGCCATCTTCGCTCGGGTTTGCCGTGTGTGTACGTTTTCCTAACAGCCATCAATCAATCATCTTGAATATTGAACTCGAAACTATTTAAAACCACACCAAACTTAAAAGATATAACAGTAAGGACTATTCAGTTGCATAGCTAATCATCATGGACAAACGGTTTCCCGACAAAGTCAATTGAGTATATCACGTAGAAATTTTGAGACTTGTCAATACATTCACCCGGTGCCTATTTGCTAATGGATTACGTTTTCAGCTTCTGACATACGATTGAAAGATATGGCGGTCCGGCTCCCCATTGCCTCGCACCGCAGAGGGGCTGAACTGCTTACTCGTCGGCTGACGTTGTGTCTGGTTTGCCTAATGTGGCTTAGAGATTGCCCGGGACCAATTACACCACTTCAACTGACCTGATGGCTTACTTCTCTTTTCGCAGCAGGGCGAGTAACATTTCAACTCCATATTTCGTGGCTGACATACGTGCCGTATGCTATGACCTTAGATTAATTATACTTTGGCTGTTTGACGCTGCACACTGTCTGCTGTATCGATATGCGTATATATAGCAATTGACATTTAGTCTTTTATAAGAACCGCACGCCATCATCCAGTTTCGTTAGTATTTTCATTTAGGCCATATTTCTCGCAATGCATCTTTCAACGCTGCAGTTTATGGGCTGGCTTGCCCTCAGTTCCGTCGTCGCATCCAGCGATCCAACCATGTCCACATGCAAAACTCTCTCCGTCGCTCTTCCAGATGAAGTCTTTTTCCCTGAGACCGATTCATACAACGCCTCCGTCTTGTCATACCCTTTCGTTCAACTTCGTCTCGAATCGACTTGCATTGTTCGGCCCAAGACTACGCACGATGTTGTCACTATTATCACGACCCTCAATGAAAGCAATCGCACCAGATTTGCTATCAAAGGCGGAGGTCATAACGCCAACGTGGGTTTCAACAACATTCGGGATGGGGTGACCATCGACATGCAAGGTTTGAAGACTGTAGAAGTTGCAAGAGGTAATGAAGTTGTAAGAGTTGGCGCGGGTGCATTGGGGCAAGATGTATATGATGTGGTGCAGAAGCACAATCTCACAATACTTGGGCCCAGGATCGGAATGGTTGGTGTAGCTGGTTTTACTACTGGAGGTAGGTACAACCTGATCCAACCTTATCTCTCTCATGAATGACTGCGAGATGCTGACCGGTCACTTCTCTAGGTGGGATTGGATTTCTCTCTCCCGAGAAAGGCTGGGCCTGCGACGCAGTGGTCAATTTTGAAGTCGTACTTGCCAGTGGTGAGATCGTTAATGCGAATGCAACTTCCAGAGTTGATTTGTACACGGCTCTCAAGGGTGGTCAGAGTAACTTCGGTACTGTCACGCGGTTCGACCTCAAGACATTCCCTCAAGGTCCAATTTGGGGAGGTAGAATTGCTTATGCTGCTAATGCCAGTGCTGGTCTGATATCGGCTTACACAAAATTCAAAGATCCGGAGAACTACGATCCGTACGCATCGGGATGGGTGACGATTGGATATAATCATACGGTGGCAAAGTTTGCGCCAGTGAGCATCTTATGGTATACCAAGCCACAGCTGAAGCCTGGCGCACTGGGAGGGATCATCAATGCCGGTTCGCATGTAACCAACGGAATGATCGAGGCGCCTATCAATGAGCATACAAGAAATGCATCACGGGGTGTAGCTGCTGCAGCAGCTAGGCGGTGAACCTATTCGCTCTGTACCTTTGCCTGTTCAGCTCACTAATGGCGTACAGTACCATATGGGCGACAACCACCTTTCATATCTCGCCTACGATTCTGCATCGGATTCATTCTTTCTGGGCAGACTTGATACCCGAGATCTGCGAGACACATGCAGAAGCTAACGTCGCGGCCGAATTGACATTTCAATCACTTCCTCCCTCACCTTCAAGCGACTCACATCCCAACAGTTTGGGTTTTGCGCACAACGAAACACCTGAGAAGAATATTGTTTTCGTGCAGGTTGTCTTCCTGTACAGTGATGGTGCAGCTACAGTAGGGCTTGAGAAGGCGTTGAAAGACCTCGTTGAGAGAATCAATGAGCTAGCGGACGATGAAGGTCTAGCGCACAAATTCAGGTATATGAACTTCGCAGCTTGGTTCCAGAATCCCCTGGGTGGGTATGGAAAAAAGCAAAAGAAGACCTTGAGGGAGGTCGCGCAAAAGTATGATCCTAAAGGTATGTTTCAGAAGCAGCTCGCAGGGGGGTTCAAGCTTTTCTAAAAGGGGGTTTTAAGCGAATTTCTTTAGACGAGGGAACAGACATCAATGCAGACATACTCTCGGGTGCTGAGTGGACGTAGGAAGAGCGTCATAATCCACAGTAATCATACTCCGGTTCCACTTTCTTCTCTCTGTCCATGAGCTAGAATGTCCGTCGCCAACAGGGACACAGCAACTGCAACTCTCGTAAGCAGAAACCCCGCCGAGATCTCCCGACCGAGCACCAACTCTTTGCGATGAGGTTTTTAACGATAGCAGTCATTGAATCGAAGAAGGAAGCTGCCCACTTTCCGTGCTTCCAGATCATCGCAGACTTCCCGTTGTTGAACGTGCGTGCCGGGGATCCGCGCAACGTGTAACCCCACTTCCTGTGTTGCCCATCACTAGCCTTGTGTACCGCGTTGGTGAATGTCTTTTCGGTCAAACCGGGCGTTCTGTGTGTGATGCTGTTCAAAGAGGGCCCACGGTAGTTGTGTTTCGCGTTGTTGTACTCGCCTAGGAAGCACCAGGTACAAACTCAAGATGACTCCCCGACTCGTAGTAGATCTGCTCTACCTTCACAAAGAATAAATTAGGGGGATGTACGTGAGCGCAAGACAACCATAAGCAGGGCTAGAGAGCTGGGTAGGCCCATACATTTTTTGAAATTCATCAACCTGTCGACATGCACAAAATTGCCAGTTGCTGGAGTGACATGTCGTTGATACGATAGGCTAGAATTTTGGAGGTAGCCCTGGACAAGACGGTGTAACGTGATGAGGAGGTCGTTGTTATCAGCATGTGATGAGAGCAAGGTTCAATTATTTTCGCGGTGAGATGACGGCCACAAGTGCCCGAATAGCGCCACGTGTTATTCGACGCTAAAGCCTAAAGCACAAAATTCCCCGAGGCACAGATCTCGGAGTTTTCGAACTTCCGATGTCACATTGTCGCCCTCTCCTTTCCGACCCCGATCCCCCTGTCACCAGCTTCGCGACACGTACCTTTGCTCTAGAAGCAGAAGATCTCATCCGTCATTTTTGTCACGGCCCCGGGTGCCTGGAAACCCAGAGAAATCAGAGCCTTCTTTGATGCGTTAACCATCCCTAGAAGTGCATACGTTAGCATATGGCCTGACCAATGCATGGAATTCGAAGATTCTTACCTGGTGGTCCACATAGCATGATTTTGGTGTCCGGTCCCGGCGAAGGTAGCCTTTCCTTCATGATGTCCGCTGTCACGAAGCCACTGCCGTAAGCCCATGTTGGCGGCGGGTTGTCCAGCATGTACCAGATCTTGAAGTTTTTCGGATACCTCCTGGCAAACGACTCAAGCTCTTTTCTTAGAAGGATATCATCCTCGGACCGATTGGCAAGGATCAGCGATACCTCCGTAGTATCTTTCTCGTCTTCGCAGATAGCACGGATAAGCTGGTACATGGGCGTGATGCCGGTCCCGCCCGCAATCATCCCAACGTGCTTGCACAACCCTTGCTTGTAGCCCATCGCGCCTTTGGGACCGCGGAAAAGCACCTCGTCGCCAACTTTGAGGTTGGCGAAGTATTTCCCTGTCAGGAGGCCATCGGGATAGATCTTTATCACCAATTCCAGGATGCCTGCGTCGAGGTTGTTCGAAGTTGGCGTATATGACCTGGACACAGACTTGCCATCGATGACGGCTTTGATAGCAACGTGCTGACCAATTGGAAGGCCTACGACGTCTATCGGGCGGGGAAGTTTGAAGACGTAGCGATTGACGTTGGGCGAGAGCTGGTCTATCCGAACGACTTTGAGGGTCTTGTATTCCTTGGGGTCAAGGAAACCCTTTGCGAGATGGGGATTTCCTGGTTTGACAGACTGACGTTGCTTCCGACGGGGAGGATACTTTCCAAAACCCGATTCGATATGTGTGAAGGTCGACAACTTCTTTCCAACAACCCCTGCAGCGATGGTAGATATGACACTAGCAATGGCGAAACCACCGGCAAACGAGCTATATCTGCTGGAAAATGAAGTTTCTAAAGACGGCCTGGAGACCTGGAGGATCGGCAGTTCAGAAAGAAGCTTTCGTGCTGACGGTGCGTATATCGATGCACCGTAAGCGGAAGCTACAAAAACGAGGGAGCCGACAATTGTTTTGATGGGTGCGGAAGAACGAGACACGTCTTTCACCGTCGAGCCTGCGGTTGGTGTAGTTTGCTGGACTAATCTGATAGTTTTGGACCGTTTGGCCTTGTCGCTGTTCACGCAGGTGCCGATCAGGAATGATGCCAGTATTTCGTCTGCATCTTCGGAGTGCCCAACATCTTCGTATGCCGATGTAGCGTCGGTTCCCGCTACCTCGATGAGTAGATCCGCGCCGCCGGGATGGTCTCTCACATATTTCGAGACGTCGTAGACTGTGTTTACATGTCAGGGTATGAACCTAGAATATACACAATGTCGATCTACCTTTCTCAGATATGATTACCCACAAGTCGTTCCGGGTCGAATGCGCCGCAACGTCGGTCGCAGTATAGGTAGGCAATTCTGACATTGTAGTGTTGTGGAAGAACAAATTCGAGATTAGAAGAGGAAGACCGGAATAACACACTTTGATGAACAAGATATTTCTGACACCGACGTTGTTATCTTATTCGTAAGCCTTCTAGAACCTCGGTGCCTCGGTCTTTACACACTGCATTTCAGAGCCTTCAAGATGATACCGGTCCGATCTTTTTTTCGAGTCTGAGCTATCCATGTACACAGCGGATACGTCCGTTCGCTATCTGTTAGACCCCTAGTAGGAAATTAGGGCCGGTATGCCTCGGCATGCTTCCGGACAGGGGCCAAGTCGCCAATCGGAGAACTGATACATGTGGGTACGGTGTAAAATCTATGCCCAGTATACCCTGCTGACATTCGGATTTACCAACGACGCATGAGGCTCATAATCCCTGACAGCCTCGGAAGAGCCTCGGAAGAGCGATAATGCGGAAGTTCATATACTACGACTATCAGTGAAGTTCCAACGATTTCGCCAGTTACTCTCTGACATCTATATCAACACAATGCTTTCACAATCATTTTATTTACTAGGCGAATCTTCAGCCTCTGCTCGAGTGATTGAAGTCGACCAGAATGCCCATTTGGATGATTTGAAAGATTTGGTCGCATCTCATTTTGCGATCGTCCAGGCAGAAGGTCAGTAATTGCAGCGAATTGACGTGTGTCTTCTCTTCCTGACTGACAATGTATCTAGGTATCGAATTCCAGAGTGAAGGCGAAGCCATTTCGGATGTCCCGGCCATTTTATCGTCGGCCGATCCCATCGCCATCACTATCGACGGCCACGCAGTCCGCACAATTCCTGGTCCCAAGGGTCTACCCTATGTAGGAAACTACTTCGAAGTATTTCCTGATCATCTGGGCAACCATCAACGCCTCTTCGAACGCTATGGGCCAGTCTTCAAGACAACCAATATGGGCCGTCCCTCTTACCACACCAATGATCCAGAAATTGCCGCTATTGCCTTCGCAGAGTCAGATTTCTTCACAAAGAAGATCACAGAGGACCATCCACTTTTCGCCATCAAGACACCCAGCGCTGGTGTTTTCTTGGGCGACACCGACACACCTGAATGGAGGTTGACGCATAAGTTTCTGCCCCCTGCTCTAGGACCCAAGGCAGTACGACACTACGCGCCCAAGATGCAAAAGACAGTTGAACAAGCCTTCTCTGTGTTTGACCAGCTGGACGAGCGTGGTGAATCTTGGAATGTTTACATATACATGCTGAAGCTGGGTTCTCAAGCTGTGGCTGAGTTGATGCTCGGTTTGGACATGAACCACTTCGCGTCAGTGGACGCACCCGTGCACGAAATTGTCCGTTTGATTGCGCAGTCGCTCTCGCTGAACAAACAAGTCAGTTCGTACGGTAGCTGGTACGCCAATCTGCCGTTTGGTCCACCCAAGCAGCTCCGAGACATCAAAGAACGCATGGAGAACATGATTGGAGAATCCATCGAACGAGCCAGTAGCGGTGGTGTCGAAGATTTGCCTCTACAAGATGCTGCAGAACGAGCGGCGAACATGGTCGGTATGTTGATTCTCCTCACCGTGGTTAGCATCGAAGAGCAAACACTAATACACAGACAGACTACGCAATCCGTGCGACTGACAACAAGGGTGACAAACTACCCAAGAGCAGTCTGAGGGAAGCTCTCGTCGTCGCCACAGGTGCCGGTTTCACAACAACGTCATCTCTACTCTCATGGCTCATTTACGGCCTTGTCACATACCCGGGCGTGCAAGAAAAGCTTCTGCAAGAGCTCGTTGACAACGATTTCAGCGACGATTTGCAGATCACCTCCGATTTCACTGATAAACTTGTGTACCTCGACCACTTCATCAAAGAAACCCAACGCCGACACAACCCTTCTTTCCAACCTGGCCGAACCGCCAAGGTTGACATGATTCTACCAGGTGGCTACAAGCTACCCAAGGACTCTGTCGTCATTCCCGCCCTGCACCACATCCACAACAACCCTGCGCTGTGGGACAACCCAGCGAAATTCAACCCCGATCGATGGGAAGTACCTGACAAGAACCGCCACAAGGCAGCGTATATACCATTCGCAGCTGGACCGCGTATGTGCATCGGGTTCAACTTCGCGTTGCAGGAAATCAAGATCTTCCTGCCGAAGTTGGTATGGAGGTACAAGTTTGTGAAGGATGGAGATGAGACGATCGAGTACGATCCTATGTTCCAGTTGATCAGGCCAAACAATCTGTATGTGAAATCGGAGAAGCGCGCGAAGTGGCCGCCCAGATCGGAGGACGAGTCGCTGTCGGAGAAGGTGTAGAGCACGGTTGGGGTGGGAAGTCTATAGAAAGAAAATTCATTAAACTGTCATATGTATCTAAGCAATCGCATCCTGAACTCATTCACAACCTTTCTGATCACTTCTGCGTCATTCATATATCCGCGCCAGCCCTGGAATGTTCAAGTCATGTTTGTAGCATGAACTCTTACGACAGCGCGCATGCAGTTTCTCTTCGTTCTCGTCGCCATCATTCTTCTGTTGTACTCTAACGATGTTCCGAGTCAAACTTTACAACGCAGCATCTGTGCACCTTCGTATAGCCATAATCGTAAGTATCTGTCTTCGCGACCCGATACTATCAATATTAACACGCCTATCAGTCCTCTATCCTCTACCACTCTATCCTCATCCTAGCCGCCCCAGTGCCGTCAACTTCAAACATCACCCTGCGACATGCTTCTCCACACCCAAAAATCACGCCCAGATCACACATCCAGCACGAGAAAATGCGCCCAGCCCTCATTATGGTCTTTGTGGTTTGCGGCCTGCTCGAGTTCTGGCTAATCTTTGCAATCCTATATGCATTGATGAAGAGGAATGACAATCGGGTCTATTGGGCTAGGTTCAAGGACGCAGTGGAGTTCAAACTGTAGAAGGTGTGAATCGGGCGATATGGTGTTTGCTCGTCCACGAGTTTGCTTTCTTGTTTGTGCGGAGTCGTTCGCGGGTTGAGCTTCGAATTTGATACGTGAATTTTGTAACACGGAAGGGGTGTGTTATCTTCACATTCTATCATTTATTCACACAATCCAAAATGTAGAAACCCCAATACATGTATTCAAATATAGCGTACGTCACCCAGCCCACTTGATTATAATTTCTTATTCTCGTTCAAGCCCCAAGCACCACACAGTTTCACACCAGCGTTTAAGATCCAACGAAACAACAATACCTCTACATCACACTTGCACATATCTCACACAAAGCGAGGATGTACACTATGATTCTCCCCCCAGCGGTACAGCTCACTCCGAACAGTATCCACTCTACATTCTGACCCCACCAGTCAATACTCTCAAGCCAAGTCCATGCCACTCCGCCACCCGAGTCGCCCTTAGCCAGCCGCAAGCTAGGATCCCCAGCATCAGCCATGATCGGAGGGTTCATCAGCGGGATAGCCACCATGATCCTCATATGGATCTTATGGGGGATTACTTACGCGATTTTACGACGTGCCGATGGTCGTACTTACCAGGCGCGGTTTCGAGCTGCAATCTTATTTAGGCCCTGAACATGTACATACACACACAAGCCAAGATACAGTCTGACAATTTCGAACGAGAAAATTGGGTATATGGGTATTACGTAGCAATTCCGCACCCAACGGTCAGCTTCCTAAACTCCACTAACCATGCCACCATGACAATGCATCTTCTACTCCCGCAATGTCCAACTAATTTACAGCAACGATTCGAACCTGGAAAGAAAGCAGCGCTCATCTAGAGCCTGCAACAAATGCGTAGTCCCCATCCATTACACTCTTCAACCTTCCGCCTCAGCCATGATCTGCTCCCCCTCATCCAGCATCTCAACCACTCTCTTCAAGTTGCCCACCATCTCCTTCGCCTGGCCCACAAGCAGCAGTTTCTCGGCGTTCGCCGGCAGCCCAAGATAGGTCGGCGGCTCACGTTCCGGAAGATTGTTGACCCACTGCATGAAGTCCTTCCAGCTAGTCGTGCTGGGTAGCTCAAGACCTTGGCTGACGTCTGTGTCCTTGACGATCTTGAAGTTGTCCTCGAAAGCAGCAGGCGTCATGCAGTCCTTGACGATAGACGCGAGCGTGTTCCAGTCACCCTCGTTGTCGATCTTGCCGCCGTACATTTCGATGATAAGCGTGCGAATCATGTCCCATGGGATCTTGGTGGGGGCGACGTTAGAGCGGCCTTGAGCGACGGTGTCCATCCACGTGTCGATGATGAAGCTGCAGCATTCGTACTGAAAAATCGTTAGTAAAAAGAAAGGGAAGTGAACGGGATGCGAAACTTACATCGCTGTCATTGAACTCCCAGAAGCCCTTCCATCCTAGGCTGGGTGCGTATCGGAGACGCTCTTGCACCACAGCGTGCAAGAAAGACAAGATCAGGTAAAGGCGCGCCTTCTCCACTGGTGGTTTGGTAGCCTTCTCGGCTAGAGAAGACAGCGAGTCTTTCATGTTGGCACGGATACCAGCAGGCTGCTCGTACGACAGAACGCGCGAAGCCCGAAGGAGGTTGACTGGGATTCTCGGGTTTGACTCCATGGACAGGAACAGACGGAAGTTAGGGTTGGGTCTATGCGCTTCGAGCCTCTTCTCAAGCGACTGCAGCCACTGTGGAGCCAGGTGAACGTTCTTGACAAGTACCCAGTTTCCAGTATTGATCGCGTTGGCGATAGCCTTGTCTGCCGATGCTGCGCCTTCGTTTGAACCCATGGCAATGTTGGTGCAAGAAACGTTTTCTCGCTGAACGAGGTTGTCGACTTTGTAACTTGCATCGAATCCGGGACTGGAGCTAAGAGCCACAGGTGTAGTTGCAGTAACTTGCTTGACGATATCTCCAAGATCACCGCTGACATCCAAGATATCTTTTCCAAACACCTCAACGACGAAGCGCTCGACAGCTGGCACGAATCGGTCCACACGGAACAACTTGACGAGAATAAGCGCTCGGAGATGTTTGTCGAGCTTGTTGAGATCCTCAGCCCAGACTTGGGGCACGTATTGGTCTCCCAGCTCCTCTGTCAGGAAAGCATCCCAGGCGGTGGCGTCAACCTTCTCGAGCTCGCCCTTGAAGATTGACATTTTGCTCGCACGTTCCATGGCTTCGTTCTTGCGATCCGGTTGAGTAGACACATCAACGCCCTCCAGGTCGGTGTCAAGAATCTTGTCGATATGGGTCTTGTCCATCTTGTACGGCGCAGCTTGCACCAAAAGCATTGCAAACGTGACACGATCCTTCTGAAGTAGCGAGAGCGATGTACGGCGGTATGCATCGACGAAGAGCTCAGCGATAATCTGATCGATACGAGCGGCGTGCCCAGTTGCGGAAGAGTTCCTGACCTTGCGAAGTACAGTCTCAAAGATCTGAGTGAAGTACTGAAGCGAGAACTGGTAGAAGTGATTGAGGTGATGCAGCTGCTCCAATACGGCGAAGATGGCCGAGCAAGAACGAGCGACAACAGTGTACTCCTTGGTGATATTCTCCACTTCCGTCATGACGCCCGCGGTTTCGGACACCTTGTCCGAGATCTCCTTTGCTTCCTTCTTGAGTGTCTCCAGAGTCTCGATGACACGATCATCGTCAAGAATGTTGCCACGAGACTCGTTGAGGGCTTGCAGGAGGCGCTTCTCAAGTTGGCGAAGATGTACAGCGAACTCACCTTGCATCTTGATAAGATTTGATCGTCGCTCATCGACATCGGGCCTCTCAGACTTGAGGACTTCATTGAGGGTCTGCGTCTGCAAACTGCTCTGCGTGACTGTGAAGTTGACGAACGTCGTTCGACTGCAGATATCAGGCGGGAAGTTGGCTGAAGGATCTCGTGTGGACAGATACAGGCGGAACGAAGGTGAAAAGTCGATCTCCTGTTTACCGAGTTGAATAAGAACACGTCCTCCAGTCCTTTGGTATTCCTTGTTGAGAACGTGATTGAGGATTGGATCCAGATGCTCGGCGTCCTGAATTAAGATAGGATTGCCGAAACGCAGAGCACTCTCAAGCTGCTTTGTGAACGAATCGTCCAAAAAGCTGGTGACAGTAAGACGGCGATCCTTGCATTCGTTCTGCAAAAACTCCGTGGTCCTGCCAGATGGATCGATAATCAGTGGATAGCGGTTGAAGCGTTTGAGGATGATGGCGTTCTCAGTGCATAGGTCATCTACAGGCAGACCATTATGTTGCCAAGTCAGTCTATCATCGGCAGTAGATAGATACTCTGTGAATGGGTTTGGCGTCTTGAAGCTGATACCCGAGTGCTTGAGGTGATCGAACCAGTCTTCGGTAAGAGCTTTCCTGTATTGCTGGTCATAGTAACCTGCATAGGCGATAGTAGCAGCAGCCACAAGAACGTCTCCCACAATGGTGTCGATCTGAGAGTCGAAAGACGTGCTGCTCTGTTCCCAGCGCTGTTGCTCGGAGGATAAACTGTCAAGGAGGCGTACGCTGCGGTCAACCTTGAACTGAACAGCCGACATCTCTGTCTTGATAGCCTGTGTCTGACTGATCAATGCTGCATACTCTTGCTTGTAGCGGTAGATGCTGCCTTCGAGGCTGTGGATCGCCTTCTCGGTTTGCATGGCGGTGTCTTCCGTCTTCTTCAACTCGAACTGTAAGCTATCGACCTCAGCGCGTAATGGTCCAACTCGATCCAGGATGTCGGAGTAAGTGACTTGAGCTGAGACCCACTGCACGAGCGGACCGCAGGCCTTGGAAGCACGATTGACCTGTTCGAACGTGAAATTATCCTTCGACAGGTATTCGTTCAGCATCTTCCTACGAAGTGGAGCTGTCATTTGCTTCTCGTTGTCGAACTGAACAATGCTGGCAATGAAATCGTCACGCCTGACGATTTGAACAATAGTCTTCCAGCTGTCGGGTTTGTGGCCAAGAAGAGTGCAGACGGCTTCCAAAGCCAGTTTGACACCTGCAGGAGGGTTCTGCATAGATCGCACTTCAGTAAGGTGCTGTCGTTTGATGTTCTGGACACTCTTCTGCGCTTCCAAAACTGCAGGTTCAGCCGCTGCCAGATCAGTGTTTACTACCTCCTGTCGTTTCTCAATCTCTACTTTGCTTATCGCAAGCGCAGCCTGGAGCTCGACTGAGCCCTTCTTCTCTCGCTCAGCCTCCTGTTGATCTTGCACCATTTGCTGCAATTTACTGTTCGCTTCGGCATCCTTCTGCTCTAGTTGAGTCTTCTTCTCAGCAAGGCTGATACGCAACTCTGCAACCTTGTCAAACGTCTCTCGAAGTTTCTCAAGACCGACGTTGAGATGACGCTGTTGCTCTTCAAGATCCTCACGCTTCTCATTGTATAGCTTGACATACTGCGCGACAAAGTCGAGGAAGTGTCGAGGAGTGAGGTACATCCTTCGGTTCTGCGTCTTTTGTAATTTGTCGTTCTTCGACCGCAGAGAATGATGAACGGCAACCATAGCATTGACCACGCTCTCCCGGTGAGTTGGTGGAAGATTGAGGCCGCGATAAGCGACTGGAATGCTGTCTGGTGCGACGTACTTCGGCCGGTCAAGGTCGACAGACTGAGTAAGCTCGGAGCTGACTTGGTACAAAGCTTGATCTGACCAGTCTCCAAACCAGTTGAGCACACAACGATTGAACAGGGCGGGACTAGTGGCAGCCTTGGAAGAGAGACCTCCTTCAGGTGGGTTCATGGTAAAGACCACGTGAAGGTTCTTGACGATCTGCTGCGTGAACCACTTGTAGAGTTCTTCTTGCGAATCGAGAGTGATATTCTGTCGTTGAGCACCTTCCTTGATAGCAGTCATCAAGGCAGCGTATTCGTCACCCTCGAATAATCCAGGAACCTCTGCGTTGGCAAGAAGAGTATTCATGCGCTCAAGGAAACCCGAGTCGAGGACATTAGCTTCGTCCATGATGAAGCAGATCTTCTCACCCTTGCATCCACAACGTCGAAGCACGTTGCGCAAGTCTTCATCAAAGTCTTCGCCGGAGTACTTCCCATGAACCTTGATTTGGTACACGCTCAGGTTGTTCATCCAAGCGACGAACCTTGACAGTGTAGTTTTTCCGGAGCCGCTAACACCAATGAGAATGAGATGACCTTGTGGTTGACGGAATACACGATCGATGCGGAGAACATGTTCGAGTACATCGTTGAAAAGAATCAGCGGAACATCGACCGCTTCTTCGCAGAAGATCTTGAGTCGTTCTTTGACATAGTCTCGAAGCACGTCGCGTTTCACTGGTACGTAGTCCTTCGACAGCCAATTGGAGAACAAGATAGGCCCGCCAAGAGCCTCCTCTTCATCGATGGTAGGGAAGTGCTGCATTGCCACTCGGTGCACGCATTCTTCGGTCCAATTCCTCTCCTCTTCGGCAATGAGACGATCCTGGAAGAGACGCAGAGCTTCATGAGCCCAGATCCTGACGAGGCCTTCGACGGACAACGTCTCGTTTGGCTTGAGAGCCTCATAGATACCCCGAACCCATCGCGTAAGCTCACGGGGAGAGTAGACGTAATGTGGCTGGATATCTGGCGTGAATCTCTTTTGTGACTCAGCATACAACTGCACCATGGCTTTAGTCAAGGCATCGGAGGAACCGCGCAACGTTGGAATGATCTTGAGCACAGCGCTAGTGAAAGTACCGTAGATCTGGAGGAGCGATTGCTCGCCAGGGTAGTCGACCATGATAAGCGGAGCGTGTCGCAGGAACCGAAGACCCATTGGTGTACGGCCAGCATCAGTCGGGGGATTACAAGCGCCAACAAACTGGATGCGATCGAGGGTAACCCAAGTTTTGTCAGACGTCCTCCAAAAGCCGTTGTGCTCAACAAGTTGCCTTAGGAAGGAGATGGCTCGTTGTGTACCATACTTGTCGGGTGCGGGTAAATTAATCTCGTCGCAGAAGATAACGAGCCAACGCCCAACCTGGGTCGGGGTGAGTTGCACGCCACTCAACGTCTTCTTGTACTCGCAGTACTGTTCGAAAGTTTTGATGAGAAGATCCGGAGTCGTTGCGCTCGAGAAGTTGAGGCCGACAACCTGCATGTTCGGCAATTTACGAAGGGCACTGAAGAGGGTCATGGTCTTGCCAGATCCTGGAGGACCACAGAGTAAGAGAGGCTTGTGCTCTGCGAGCCATGAGTACAAGACATCTTCGTGGCGAACCGTATCCAGAGTTGGAATAACCACGTCAGTTTGAACGATAGAGTGAGTGTTGACTTCGACATTCGGAACCTCGTTCTGCCACATGTTCCACTCCGTCTTACCAGGCTTGACATCGTAATCAATGAGCGAGGTGGATTCCGTCAGTGTCGGTACCTCCACATCGGCCAGGCTGGCGATGAGATCACCAAACTCCTTGCGATCTGACAGCGGGCAGTCACCCACCAGAGCCCAAACAATGGCGACAAGCAGTTTCTTAGCCAGGTAAATTTCCATCTTTTCCTCCTCAAGCGGGAAGTCCTGATGCTGAACGTTGTACTCGAGCACGTTGCGGCATGCCTTGTTGAGAAGAGAGAACAACGTGTTCAAAGCACGAATGTCAGTGTACTCCATGATGTGCTTGAACCTTCTGGCCATGCTGAGCGCCTTCTCGATGAAGTGATCTTGTGTAAGTTTGACATGCAGAAATTCTGCAACCATGTCCTGAGTTGACAGAGTATTCTGAGACATCTGGCCTGGAGCAACAGAGTCATCCTCAATATCCTCAAATGGCGTGCTCTTGAGGTGTTCGATATAGTTCTTGATCATCATCTCCACATCGACAGTATCGTCACTAAACCAGACCATACCGCAACGAGAGACCGTAGCGAGGGTGGCGTACTTCAACGTCTCGACTTCGAACATGATGCGAACATTGGATGGCAAGTTGAGACGCTCACCGTTGGGCAGAGTAAGGAGCTTATTGTCATCGAGAACGGAGTTCAAGTTCTCGACCCATTCAGGATCGACATCGCCATCAAAGACAATCCAGTGTCGCTTAGTATCTTCACCACGAAGGTTGTCAACGATCTTGCGCAAAATGCTAGTAAACAGGCCGTCAGTCCACTCGCGGGTGGTACTGTCGAGGTTTCCGTAAAGCTGTTCCTTGGACATGACCTTGGGATCAATGACATGGCAAACACCCTCGACCCCTTCAACCGTTTGAAGTGCGGAGAGAAGTGTCCTCCAAGCTGCAGACTTACCAGATCCCGAAGAACCCACCATCATAACACCGTGGTGTAGGTTCTGGATTTGGTAGAGTTGGATAATCTTCGTCATCCAAGCATCGCTGACAACCAGTTTCGACTCCGCGGCACTCTGGCGAATTGCCTCTGTCAGCTTGTCCAGGGGTGCAGGAATGTATTCGACGCCTGGGAAAGAGTTTTCTTGGATAGCCAGCATGAGTTCAACATCGGATCGGATGAGTTTTGGTGCGATCGTCTCTCGCAAGCTCTGAATGATGATCTGGGGTTCCATGATCGCTTCGTCGGGGAACTCAGCATCTTGCACGGAAATGCGGGCTCGCTTGAGACCACCAGAGCTGACTAGTACGCTCTTCAGAGCACGCAACCCAAAATCGTAATGGGCCTGCTTCGAAAGGCCGGCAGAACACTTATCGAAGAACGGAACGACCTGCTTGGAAAGCTCTTTGGCTTGCGAGAAACCTTGGGAGTAAAGCATGACTTCGGCAATCAGTTCCTTGTCAGGCTTGGACATGGCAATGCTTCGGAATAGCTTCTTCAAGTTATCAGGCAAGTTAGATCGACCTGCGTAGCCGGGATTCATCGTGATAAAGATACCAGTGTTACCGTTGACACTAAGCTGGCGACCAATGAGCTCGATCTGTGCCTTTTCGTCCTCGGCACCCTTCTTCAACCCGAGTTGGATGTTTTGCACTTGCTGAGATACAGCGGAAAGGATGCGCTCTTCTAGACGATTGAACTCATCGAAACAACCCCAGGCGCCAACTTGACAGATACCGAGGAAGATACGGCCCATAGCCTGGAAATCGAATGTGTCGTCACAGCAGAAGACAAGGGTGAATCGACCAAGCTGCACACCAAGAGCCTTGACTGACTCAGTCTTACCGGTACCGGCAGGTCCATATGGCGAACCTCCAAGTCGCTGGCAAAGCGCTTGTGTGAGGGTGAGGAAACAGCGATCGGTAAGCGGTGTTCGAACAAGGCGATCCGGTACACCAAGATACTCAAAACCGTAATCGAGGACAGCATTGGCCATCTTGATCTTTAGACGCTTCAATAGGTCGTGCTCGGGCTCGTACATGTAGCGCATGCAAAGAAGCCACATGTGATGCGTAGGTGAGCGTGCGCCAACCTTGTTCAATTTATAGATCATATCGCGTTGGTGGACGAATTCGGTGATAAGATCCTCGCATTTCCTGCGATGAATGGGTTCCAGATCACCCAGCACAGCAGCAGCAAGGAACTTGAGAGTGTTGACTTGTTTCTCGTATAACTCAGGCAGTGAAGTTCCTTCCTCGATGAGCGACTTCTCCACGGCATGAGTCCAGGCGATCTGCGTTCCGAGGACGACGATCTGAGCCGGGTACTTCGCGATGTAGGCAGTGAAAGCATCAGAATCAATCGCCTCGGGTATCATGAGCTGAGCAAATTCTTCGTAGGCTTCGAATGTCAGCTCCGCCAACGTTGTCTTCATGTTTGCTTCCAACGCTCCAAGCCACTCGTTGATCCTAGGTGTCTTGACAAGAGAAATCTCCTTTCGAAGCATCACCTCTTCACCTTCTTTCGACGTAAAGCCTGTGATGAGACCATCTTCGTCTGTGATCAAGCCAGAAATACCAGCGAACATCTTCCTAAGATGTTTGGCAATACGAAGAACGTCGTTGCTGTTACCGATGATCTCCAGTAGGTCCTCGTCACCAACAAAGTAGAAGCGGGGGAAGGACACACGCTCGCGCTCGAGGTACTCTCCCAAGGCTTTCTGGATCTTGTTCAGGAGCTCAGCCAGGCGTTCGAGAGACTTCTGCACTCCGGAAATATTGAGAACGTCTAGAACAAAGGGCTGACGCATGACCTTCTTCATGACGGACAGGAACTCGGAGTTGATGTTCTGGAATCGAGTCGACTCCATGGGCAGCAGGTGCTTGATATCTGCGTTGCCTGTGAACACTCCCTCCAGGTATACCCATTGACGCTGAACATCGATCCACACGTCGAAGAGAACATGGACGCGGTTGAGCTTATCTTCCCATGCAGAGGCTTCCTCCTCGAACTCCTTGTAGTAAGGTGAGTGTCGCATAGCTTGTAGCGAGTTCAAATTCTCGCTGCACTTGGCGAACAGGTCGTCCCAGCCACGGATGAGACGGCACTTGTTCTGATAGTTGACGAGCTCCAGAGCGTAGTTCTGCCACGTCTCACGAACCTGCTTGATGAACTCTTCAAGTGCCATCTCACCTTGAGCTTGAGTGATGACTTCACGGATGATCTTCTCGCTAGGGCCGAGCTTGAGATCCCAGACATCGCCAACGGTCATAGACACAGCCGAGTAGCGCTTCTGCGGCTTCAATTGCTTGAAGATCCGGGCCCAATGTCGCTCCTTCATACCATCAGATTTGAGATCACTAATGATAGCGTTTTCTTTCTGGAGTTGCTTGAGCGTTATCTGGAAGTACTCATACGCCTGGTATTGGCGCAGACGACTGGGCAAGTCTCGTGCCGTCTTGATCAGGTTATCGAGGTGGCCACGTAGTTTGCGCGGCTGAATCGTAGTCCAGAGGGCTTCGCGGAGATCGTCGATAGCACCCCAGAGACTGCTGAGAGTATCCCAAACGAATTTGAAGTCGCGCACTTCTTCAAGCAAGACCTGAAGGGCGTTCTGAGACGAGGACGGCAAATTGAGAGCTTCCTTGGCTTTCGATATGTTTCCAGATTCCGATTCCAACTGGCCAATCTTTTGTTCGAATGTGCCGAGAATGCTCAAGGCTTCCGCTGGCGCAAGAGTCCCAGTGACAGGCTTCTCTTCAGACCACTGCGACGTCATATCCGCGATCTTCTGGTTGACAATCTTATCCTCAGCAGCGATCTTGGCCCGCAGAGCGTCAGCCTGTTCGTTGGCAACCTTGGTCTTCCTCTCCAGAATTTCGTTCAGCGTCTGCCACTCGTGGTCAATCTGATCCATCTGAAGCCAGTCAGATGGAAAGTGATAGCGTTGACGGCTCAAGGTAGCCTGTCCTTGTCTGAAAGTGGAAATCTCGGGTTCCCATTCTACGACCTTCCTCTTACATTGCTGAACCGTAGTTATGAACGATACCGCTTGTGCAGTAGATGAAGCTTCAAGCGTCTGCACTTCGAGGTCCTTTCGTGCCTTTGAAATCTGCACAAAGACGTCGTTCATGCGCTGGCCGAGCCTGGACGCGAATTTGGTCAGGATTTCCTGTTGCCACTGATCGTACTTGGCATTCACCTTGACCTGCACTTGATCGTAGTCTACAGTGACATATCCGAATCGGCGGCTGATGTCGGAGTTGTCGAAGGTTGAGCGGGTCTTTCGGATCTCCTGGAGCAGTTGCAGCCATTTCGCGAGGTCTTCACCGAGAATGTCATAAACTTGTTCGGATTGTAGATCCCAGAGTGATTGGAACTGAAGCCACTCGTCCACGTAGGAGGAAACATCACGCAGTTTACCCTCAACGGCACCGTACACCTCGATCAAAGAGTCTGTGCATCGACTAGGTAGATCTGCGAACTGGTTGGCGGAGGCGTCCTCGGTCGCTTCCAATCGGATCTCATAACGCGAGGCCTTGATTTTCTGAAGGGTACAGACTATGGCAAGCCATTGCTGGAGCTGTTCGAGCCAGCTTGCCCTGGCGTATTCTACCGGTGGACTGAGGTAAATGACTTGGTTCCGCATGGTTATCTCGAGTGTCAATCGGCCAAGGGTTGGTCTCGCCTCGGGAGACTCTGCGGTTGCAGGCTGGCTAACAGGTCGACGATCCTCATCTTCATCCTCAACGTTGTTGAAAACATCGATCCACAGTGAGATCGCACGATTCAATCGAACAAGCAATATCGACTCAATGCGTGCATTCATATCAGACACCCATGAAGCGAGATTGGCGTAGTTCTCGAGGTTGAGCTGATCAATCGACTTCTGAATAATCTCCAAGCTGGTCTGGAAGGCTTCCTTGTTGTACTGACAGGTCTCCAAGTCTTTCAAAGCCTTTTCGACTATCGCGTTGATGCTGACTAGCGTTGCAACCTTGGTCTGGAGTAACGATGTATTCGAAGCAAAGTCGCGAACAAACTGTACATGCTTGCTCTCGCTTCGAACGCTGCCTGCTCCAACTGGAAACCCGGATTGCCGAACGTGCAAGTCGTAGGCGTGAACGAAAGACTCCCACTTGAGGGGTACACCCTTTCCAACGAGTGACTGAACGTCGTTGACATAGTTGTTCAGTAGAAGTGCGACACCAGTCAGTTCAGAGATTGAGCGAACGGTTTGGGTATACGTTCGTACACTCTCCATCAGACTGACAGCATAGGGATAAACGCGCTTGGCCTCCTTGGAGATGTTGTTGATTCCATGCGGGACTTGATAGCCCCGCCATGTCAGGTTTCGCACTTCCTTGAAAAGAGCAATGACCTGACCGTCAAAGTTGACACCCAGTTCGAGCATGTTGCCTGCCGCACGATTCTTGCCAACCTGAAAGAGGCGCCCAGATATGGAGAGTTTTCTCCGAGCAACTTCCTGCAGCCACGACTCAAAGATAGGGCGGGTGTCGAGCTTCTTCTTGAACATGCTGCTCTCGGCCTGCAGTTTTTGGCCCTCAGCGTGGAGCGCCCAGTCCTTGCCCAGGACATCCTCGACTTTACTCATGTAGTTTTCCAACTGAGTTTCAATCTGGCGTGCCCAGATGACAGCACCTGAAACAGGGGGAAAGTCACGCAGTTGGGCCATCGCATGAGCTTCTGAATTGCCGTACTGACGCTTGAATCGCTCGTGTAAAGCCAGAATGTCGCGCTTGACATTCTCAATGAGCTGTGTCTGATACTCAGAGATAGCTCCTCGAATCTTTGGTCTCACAAACAGCGGGTTGAACTTGGAGAAGACACGGAACATCTCGCTCGCAGTTTTGGCGGTACCGAGGCGATCCCTCAGCCTAGCAATGATAGAATTCTCGACACGAGATGTGCGCTCATTGTACTTTTGCTCTGCCTGCTCAAAAAGTCGCGTGCCTTCAGCAGACACGTTGAGCACATCAACATCTTTGAGAACATCATACGCTTCTTTGACTTCCTTGACTGCATCAACATCGCCAATCTCCTCGACGATGACAGCCTCCTTCTGTGTACCATCAGAAAATGTTGAGTGAGAGCCGAGGACATTGACAATGGTCCGCTGCAGCTGCTCGTGATTCTTCCTGAACGTCGCAATGTACCGGATGCGATCCTCGATTTCTTTGTGGCGGGCTGCGATCTTGATGGGAATGAACTTCTCATTTCTCCGCCTTGTCACCTCACGAGCGACATTCGTGAATTCTTTGACGTTCTCTTCCCAAGTGCGCCAGATGCTTTCTGCAACTGCCATGACAGCCTGGAACTCAGGATAGTCCATGTGCATGAGTGTCTTTCCATGAAGCAGCTTGTGCAGCTGAGTATCGAGCTCTCCAGATATGGCTTCCACAAGAGGGAGCGCTCGTCGGACCGGGTACGGGCAGATGCGCAGCTTCTTGTTCATATGGCTAAAGATCTGAGTGATCGAGTCCTGGACAGCTTGCAGCGAATGAGCGGAGAGGAGGTGGTCCAACGGAAAGTCTCGCATCAACTGGTTGTACTTCTGTACCAAGTCTGTAGCCTCCTTCAATCCAGTATCCGCACTGAAACTGACAGTTGCTTGAAATCGCTTTGCGTTCTTCAAAACATCCAAAGTCAGCTTCACGCCAGGGCTGCCAAGCTGTGTCTCGATGTCATGAAGCCTGTTCTCCATCGAGAGCCAGAAGTTGATTTCCTGCGCTGCTGATCCGGTCGACACATCTCGCGAGGTTTTGGTGATGGTTTGTATCGACTTGATCCATCCGTTGACGATCGACTGAAGGCCATTAAGAAAACTACTGTCCTGAACGATCGCTGCTGGAATGAGCTCTGGGGATGGCTTCATGCCGGTGTGTTCCGCATCTTCCAGTGCAGTCTGAATGACTGGGTGCCAAGGCAGCTGCAGCTCTGGGATCTCAACATTTTGGTGCAAATTAGTGAGACTGAGTGCTAGCTCCGCCATCTTCTTCTTCGCCGCCGAAATGCCCGTCCTAGCATCGTTGTCGCCCTTGCTGTATCCTCCCGCCACATTACGCTGACTCTTGGAAAAGGTGTCAAAGTACGGCTCGACCGTAGACTGAAGGAAGGAGCTGAGAAACTCGTAGGGAGTACCATCTTGCGCGGAAGTGGAATTAAAAAGTGTAGAGCCTGGAAGAGTGGAAATCTGAACTTGATTGAAGAGGGGTATCGCAGGATCTAGGGGTATCGTTGGTCGCTTCGAAATGACAACAAACGCCGCGCAGGTTGGAGATGCCGTGAGTTCAGAGGAAACAGAGTATGTAAAGCGCTGGGAGACGCCTAATAGTGCTGTCAGTGAGGTCGCTCCGTCACTTCCAGCAGAGTACTTGCCATTGGTGTCATCCAGTCCGTCTATATGAGGCGCAGCGATCCTTTCCTTCACAATGTACAGCGTCGACTGCCCCTCGGCAGCGAAGCGGGCGCATCGCTTCAGGGTATCTGGTGTCCTGGCGGGCGAGAGCAGACTACCGGTGGCGTAGAGGTCTTGCTCTTCTGCGCCAAGGCTGACTTCGAGAATCTTTTCCAGGTGGTTGACGATTATCTGGGGGTCGATTGCGGGTGGGGTTGGACTAGGCGTGTGCAAGCCGTTGGCCGCGCCAGGGGCCAGCGGTGCCTCCATGGTGATAGTTTGTCGAATGTATTAGTGGGGCGACATGTATGTCCTTGCTTGCAGTGGGGCGAAGAAGGAAAAGAAACGGTGTACGGTGAAGTAAATGCAAGGAAGGTGCAGAATCGCCCAGCGGTGATGATGTGCTGTCTCTCAGGGTTCCCCAAAGTTCACGTCGCGTGAAAGAACGCACTTCCGCTGCTTGGCAGGCGCAGGGTTCAACCGTGTGATTGGTTTCAAGACGAGGGATGGATGCCGCATGCAGTCTCAAACAAAGCGCGAGTGATCGGTGGAGGCTTCAGGCACGCATTCTTGTTTGTTGATGTGTCGCACCTGCTGTTTACTTTTGGCCATGACAGCCGTGTGACACGAGAGTGACAGATTTGGCTCCACAACAGCAGATCGGCGGCAATGTCAGAACTGTAAAGCTGAAGCTAATTTATTGGAACTTTTCAGCGAGTCGATTTACTCGAATGTACAATACTGAGCTATCAAACAGCATTTGTATAAATTGAAATGTTTCTCATCCACATTGTTGACTTCAACCGTATGTCGTTCCGTTTGATAATTGTCAGCTCATCTGAAGCTTCTCAGACCCATCAAACAAACACCCGGTGGACTCGACAATGCTATCATGGAATCGACTCCATCTTCAGCAAACAACCCATAGCACAGATAGCGCAGTAGCATACTGCCGTGTAACCCTCGGCTCTCAATGTTCGAGTCCCATATTGGTGATTTCAGGATCTCATCCTGGCCATTTTCTCCCCACTTTAAAGCTCCCCATTCCCTCGAGCATGCTCATCCACTCAGTCACTGCCCGACTATACCGGCTCCCAAACACCAATAGTCACACGCCATCCAGCCTGCAATTCAATGCTCTCCAACGCCTCGCTCGTCTTCTCCCACGGCACGCCAAACTTCCCACTATTGAGCATGCACATACGTATCTCCGTAATACCCTCCGCTTGCATGACCAACTCCAGCAACATCTTCATCGAATTAACAGTATTCCGTACAATAACCTCAGGCTTGTCCTTTGCCTTTCCGTACTTGGCGCTCGTAAAGACACATCCAATCCAGTGCTCCGACTCGCCTTCACATGGCGCAACGAGCTGGGCCGTGCCAGTGCGCACAGGGTTGAACTTGGTGTGGTCTTTGATGCAGAAGTTGCGGTGCGCGGCGTAGGCTTTGGGGTACTGGTCTCGGAAAGCTTTGGCAATGCCTGAGCCCCAGTGGCCTTGGGCGTTGCAGGCATGGATTAGTAGGCATCCTTTGGGTATGTTTTCGAAGATGTCGCCTTGGTGGTAGACCAGTTTGAGGGAGCTGGGTGTTGCGAATTGGGATGCTGCGGCGCTTGTCGACTGCGCAGTTGGCCAGCTGGGTGGAAGGTCTCTGTAGTCGAGGTGCTTCTGTTCCTTCATGGTGACGTTTTTTGTATCGCGTCGCTTTGTGGGAGGGGGCGAGATGGAAGTATATCTCTTGCTCTTGACATTCTCACCCTGCGTCGACAAAAGGATTGACGTCGGTTCATCACAACTGTCTACCGCAAATTCCCGTTCTTCCAGCTTGCGTTTCCCTTTGTTGATGGGCTGGGAGAGTGCCGTGATCTTCTTCTTTGGTAGTCCTGACATGTTACCGTTGCAGGATGTAGTGGACGGAAAGTATTTGCTCAAGGGTATGTTGTTGTCAAAGTGAGCTCGAGGTCATCTGCGAGTTACGTCCGTATTTAAGGCAACAGCATCACCGGTGAAGGTGAGAGAGCATTTCGCGACTACCTTGCAAAGCAGCTGCATTGCTTCAGATTTGGGTCACACGAGCTACGAATGATCAATGCATTCCATTGTGAATTTGAGAAATTTGTCGACACGACATGTCCAGCAACATAAACAGACACACAAAACTGCCATAAAGACAAATGAAGATGTTGGTGTTGCAGATGACGCTCCTGCCCTCGGTCACGTCGGCCCGTGCCAACACAGCCAATCAGCATCCTCCCGATCCCAATAACGAGACGAACTCAAGCCGGGACCTTGCCAACGTCAAATCTTCAACTCCAGCACCGTCACCACCGCCGTCCACCACCGCCCCCACCCGCGTCCACGATGCCCGCCCTCGCCAACACAACCCGTGCGATCGCACGCTCATGGACCGCCCACCAAATGCCCATGGCCCGCGCCGGCTGCTCAGCGCTCCAGACCCGCAACGCCTCGGCCTCCTCGTTTGACAGCCCCTTCAAGGGCTCCGCCGACTCGACTAAGATCCCGGACTTTAGCGCGTACAGGAACAAGGGCGGCGAGACGGGCACAAAGGTCTTTCAGTACTTCATGGTTGGCACTATGGGTGCGCTGTCGGCGCTTGGCGCGAAGGCCACTGTGCAAGGTAAATACACCACACACCATTGCAGCAGCTTGGCGGGGGTGGTGGACAGCAGTGGATGAGGGATTGGGGGTGTATTTGGGGGCGTGAGAGAGCAATTGGCTGTTTTGCGGATGATTCGGGGACATGGGGTGATGCAGAACAGATGGCTAATACACCCCGCGACAGACTTCCTCGTCAACATGTCCGCTTCCGCCGACGTTTTGGCCCAGGCCAAGGTCGAGATCGATCTCGCAGCCATCCCCGAGGGCAAGAACGTACGTCTTCCCCCGCTACAGCGATTGCCACAGCCAGGAAGCTGATATTCACATCCGCAGGTCATCATCAAGTGGCGAGGCAAGCCCGTCTTCATCCGACACCGCACCGAGGGCGAGATCAAGGAGGCAGAGGACACCAAGTGGGAAGCGCTGCGTGACCCCCAGTCCGACTCCGACCGCGTCCAGAAGCCCGAGTGGTTGATCATGTTGGGTAGGAAGCCCCGTCCACACTCACAACACATGGTAGCGAACTAACAACAATTACAGGTGTCTGCACCCATCTCGGCTGTGTGCCCATCGGCGAGGCCGGCGACTTTGGCGGTTGGTTCTGCCCCTGCCACGGCTCCCACTACGACATCTCTGGCCGCATAAGAAAGGGACCCGCGCCGCTCAACCTCGAGATCCCATCGTACGACTTCCCCGAGGACGGCAAGGTCGTCATTGGTTGAACGCGGTGAATGTACAAGTAGCGCGAGAGTAGTCGAGGGGTTGCGGTTGTGTCAATAGGAGCATGCATACATTACCATTTCCTTTTGGTTCTCTTCATAGATTCGGCTTGTGTGCGTTGGAATGTAACACCAGTAGAGTCGCTTGAGTATGCTGATGTGTGTATGTCACGTCTTTCTGATTTTGGTTGGTTTACACATATATTTACGTTCAGCATTGCATCCCCCCCTCACGCCCCACCCAAAAACGTCTTGACCCCCTCCACCGCCTCCGCAAACCGCCCCGCCTCAACCAGCACCAAATGCCCCTTGGCCTTGACGCCCATCTCCTGGAACGCGCGCCGACTGTCACTCGCGCCCTCGTCCACGGGCGTTTCATACTCGAAGCTGCCCGTGCCCAGCGCAAACCGCTGCAGCGTCTCATCCTCGGGGTGGAAGTAAAACACCTCTTCTCCTCCTTTTTGCTGTTTCTTCTTCTTGCTCGGCGGCTGCTCAGCCGACGGCAGCGACGAGGCTATCTCGGTGTAGCACTTTGACAGGACCAGGTAGTGTGTGAATGCGTAGGGCTCTTTTTCTGCCAGCGCCCACTGGATCTCCTCGAGCAGCATCGTGTACATTGGCGGGATTATCTCGTGCGGCATGTTTATGAAGCGCTCGGTTAGGATGAGGCCTATTTGCGCGGGGGACGAGGGGGCGAGCAGGGGCGCGAGGGAGGGGATCTGCGGGCTGTGGCGCGAGAGGTAGGATGTGAGGTCCTGTATGACCTTCTTGTCCTGGGGGCGGTGGAGTTAGTTTTGCGGCGGGTATGATGCGGCTGAGGGGCTGGGTACTTTGTGTGTTTCGAGGTTCAGGACTGTGAGGAAGGCGTAGGGGTCTGTCTCGTTGCCGTCGACTTTTACGGTGCTGCCCAGCAGCGGCTGTGAGAGGATCAGGTCGGCGAGCTCGGACAGGTCGAAGAGTTGCGCGTCGACGTCGAGCAGCTGGCGCAGCAGCGTCTTGAGCCCGTGGAAGTCGACGGCGGGCTGCGGGTCGAACCATTCAAAGTCGACGTTCACCGTGTCCATGTCCTGTGCTGAGTGAGCTCGAGCGCATGGCGGGCGGGTGCTGTGCAGTAGTGTACCTCGTCGCTGCCGGAGTCGTCGTCATCTTTCTGCTTGCCCTTTGCTTCGGCGGCGTCGGGGAGGTCCTCGGGGTCTCTTTGCGACTTTCTCTTGCCCATTGTGGTGGATGTAGTGTGTTTTTGGTGTTCTTGGTTGGAAATTCCAAACTTTTGCGACTTGCGACGCGATGCTTGCGCGCTACTGAAATTCAAAGCCCCACCAAAGGCAGGCTAACAAGGGCCCCACCAAAAACTTTGAGCGACAGTCACCCCTCCATGATACCCCGTCTTCTTGTCCCGCTTCCTTTCACTTCAGACCACTTTACTTTTCTTCACTTGTCTGCACTTTCTTCAACATGGCGACCGACAATTCTGACCCCATTCCCCCCCACAAGACGTTCGATACCATCCTCGTCCTCGACTTCGGCTCCCAGTACACCCATCTCATCACTCGACGACTCCGCGAACTCAATGTCTACTCTGAGATGCTGCCGTGCAACACCAAGCTTGCCGACCTGCAATTCAAGCCCAAGGGCATTATCCTCTCTGGCGGTCCCTACTCCGTCTACGAGGAAGGCGCGCCCCACGTCGACCACGCCGTCTTCGAACTTGGTGTCCCGATCCTGGGCATATGCTATGGGCTGCAAGAGATGGCCTGGCACTTTGGCAAGAACGCCGGCGTGGCCAGGGGCGAGCGAAGAGAGTACGGACACGCGAACCTCCAGGTCGAGACACACGGCGGACACGTAGGCCAGCTGTTCAAGGACGTAGGGAGCGACATGGAGGTCTGGATGAGCCACGGCGACAAGCTGAGCCACATGCCAGAGAACTTCACCACGGTTGCGACGACAAGCAACGCGCCGTTTGCGGGTATCGCGCACAAGACGAGCAAGTACTACGGCATCCAGTTCCACCCGGAGGTCACGCACACACAAAAGGGCACGGTCATCTTGAAGAACTTTGCCGTCACTATCTGCGAGGCGCGGACAGACTGGACCATGGGCAAGTTCGTGGACCAGGAGATTGCGCGCATCAGGAAGCTGGTGGGCGACAAGGGCCAGGTCATTGGTGCTGTCAGCGGTGGTGTTGATTCCACTGTCGCCGCGAAGCTGATGAAGGAGGCCATTGGCGACCGCTTCCACGCCGTCATGGTCGACAACGGCGTGCTGAGGCTAAACGAGGCCAAGCAGGTCAAGGAGACGCTCGAGAAGGGCCTGGGCATCAACCTCACAGTCATTGACGCGTCCGACATGTTCCTCGACCGCCTCGCCGGCATCACCGACAACCCCGAGCAGAAGCGCAAGGTCATTGGCAACACCTTCATCGAGGTTTTCCAAGAACAGGCCAAGAAGATTGCCGCCGAGGCCCACAACTCCGACAAGGCGGGTGAGATCGAATGGCTCCTCCAGGGCACCCTCTACCCCGACGTCATCGAGTCGCTGTCCTTCAAGGGTCCCTCCCAAACCATCAAGACACACCACAACGTCGGCGGCCTCCCAGCAAACATGAACCTGAAGCTCATCGAGCCCCTCCGTGAACTGTTCAAGGATGAGGTCCGTCAGCTAGGCCAGGAACTCGGCATCAACGAAGAGCTCGTCTGGCGCCACCCCTTCCCCGGGCCAGGCATTGCGATTCGCATTCTCGGAGAAGTAACGCGCGAGCAAGTCCGCATTGCGCGGGAGGCAGATTTCATCTTCATTGAGGAGATCAGGGCCGCAGGTCTGTACCGCAATATCAGCCAGGCGTTTGCTGCCCTCTTGCCGGTCAAGGCAGTGGGCGTCATGGGCGACAAGCGCGTGCACGACCAGGTTATTGCGTTGCGCGCTGTGGAGACGTCGGATTTCATGACGGCGGACTGGTATCCGTTTGATGGGAATTTCCTGAAGAAGGTCAGCAGGAGGATTGTGAATGAGGTGGACGGCGTGTGCCGCGTGGTGTATGACAGTGAGTCCTTCCCCTGACTTTCCAGTTTTCGACGTGGTGTCGGTCGCTAATAGAGAATAGTCACGAGCAAGCCTCCGGGTACTATCGAGATGGAGTAGATACGCACAGCTCTCCTGGACTCGGCTTGGCGAACGGATTTTACGAATGGGATGGGATTGGGAATGGTAGATTTGCTTTCTTGCGAGACTCTGAGAGACGCACATGAATAGACGATAGATTTTAAAGAGATGATACCCTGCGTGGATGCGATAGATACGAATGAGGATTCAGTTCCACAACGAAGTGCTGCCAGATTGATGGTGGGTGTTGTGAATGGTGTGGGTTTGGATGTTTTTGTGTTTTTGTGCTGGGCGTGTTTTGCAGGTGTCAAGAACAAACTGTTTCTCGAATTTTAGAGGAAAGAGATGTCGTGGTGTTGTGCTGTGAATATTCCTGTAGTTTGAATGTCTGGTCTTGGGACTAGAAATGGCAAATGGAAGCCTTTGAACAGAGATTCGGAAAAGACAAGCATTTAGATTTTCAAGATTTGTCTAAACATATAACAGACCACACGATACTGTCACAAATCAAATACAATGAAATTTCTCAGAAACGTAGCCTGTCGTCCTGCTTGACACACGATGACCGGACCCCCGAGATGGATCTTCGCTCTCCACAACCAAGCTCCACGACTCGACCACGACCCCCAAAGTCCCCACCACCCACCCTCTCCAACAATGCAATGAACCGCACCTCACCCCCGCCCTCGCGCCCGCGCCCACACCCCCAATCCCAGCCCTCGCACCACCTCCCCCGCCCGCGCCCAGAACCCACGCGCTCCTCCTCATCCATCCGGCCGTCGCTGCGCCGCCGCACCACAACCTTCTCCTCGCACTCCTCCGACGACGACCCCGAAGCCGCAAACACCACACACACCGACCATGTGATTGTGGAGGAAATCGCGTCGATAAAGCGATACGAGGACTTCACGACGATCGACTGGGTGCAGGACGCCGCGCGGGAGCAACTGCGGCGCAAGGCGCGGCGGAAAGAGCGCGCACATCTCCCGTCGTCGTCGACAGCGACGACTGGGCGTGTGTTCCTCGGTCGTGGGCGCGGCAGGTGGCGCCGCAAGATCGCTGAGGCGTATGATGCTGGCCAGGCGTGGATTGTAGTCACGCTTGTTGGGGCGGCGATTGGACTGAATGCCGCGTTTTTGAATATCGTCACCGAGTGGTTGAGCGATGTTAAGCTGGGGTACTGCACGACTGCGTTTTACCTCAATGAGAGTTTTTGCTGCTGGGGCGCTGAGGGCGGGTGTGAGGAGTGGAGACGCTGGAGTGGGTTCGCGCCCGTGAACTACGTGCTTTATGCGTGTTTCGCCGCGCTGTTTGCGTTGATTGCTGCAAGGCTGGTGAAGAGCTTTGCGCCGTATGCGGCGGGGAGTGGGATCAGCGAGATGAAGTGCATTATTGCGGGGTTTGTTATGAAGGGGTTTTTGGGGTCGACGACCTTGTTCATCAAGAGTATTGGGCTGCCGTTGGCGATTGCGAGTGGATTGAGCGTCGGCAAGGAGGGGCCTAGTGTGCATTATGCGGTCTGTACGGGGAATGTTATTAGTCGGTTCTTCGACAAGTATCGCCGTAATGCGGGCAAGACGAGGGAGATTCTGAGCGCGAGTGCGGCTGCTGGGGTGGCTGTGGCGTTTGGAAGTCCGATTGGGGGCGTGCTGTTCAGTCTGGAGGAGATGAGCAATTATTTCCCGCTCAAGACGCTGTGGAGGAGTTATTTCTGCGCTTTGGTTGCTACGGCTGTTCTTGCGGTATGTTTCCCCTTCGGAATAATCAATAAGTGTGGGTTTGTACTGCAGAGCTGATGCAGATAGGCCATGAACCCCTTCCGCACCGGCCAGCTCGTCATGTTCGAGGTCAAATATGACCGCTCGTGGCACTTCTTCGAGGTGCTATTTTACCTTGTTATTGGCGTATTCGGCGGCCTTTATGGCGCGTTTGTCATAAAATGGAACCTCAAGATGCAGCTCTTCCGCAAGAAGTACCTAGCTCAGTATCCCATCACGGAAGCGGTAGTTCTGGCCGTCGTCACGGCGCTCATCTGCTATCCGAACATGTTCCTCCGCATCGACATGACGGAGAGTATGGAGATCTTGTTCCAGGAGTGTGAGGGTGGGAAGGGGTATGACAAGCTGTGCGAGTGAGTGTCCCTTCATCCCTCCAATTCTCACCACACACTCGATGCTAATCGTCACAGTCCTAATCTCCGCTGGCATATGATCTTCACCCTCCTTATTGCAGCAATCATCCGCACCCTCCTCGTCATCATCTCCTTTGGCTGCAAAGTGCCCGCGGGCATCTTCGTCCCCTCCATGGCTATTGGCGCCGCCTTCGGCCGCATGCTAGGAATCCTCGTCCAGTACATCCACGAATCCTTCCCCAGCAGCGCATTCTTCTCCGCCTGCGAGCCCGACGGACCATGTATAACGCCCGGCACATATGCGTTCCTCGGCGCGGCCGCAGCACTCAGCGGTATCATGCACATCACCGTCTCAGTCGTAGTAATCATGTTCGAAATCACCGGCGCACTAACATACATCCTTCCCACCATGGTAACCCGTCCCCTCCCCATCCACACACAGCCCCCCTTACTAACCCCCCACCCCAGATCGTAGTCGGCGTCACCAAAGCAGTAAGCGAGCGCTTCTCCCACGGCGGCATCGCAGACCGCATGATCTACCTAAACGGCTACCCCTTCCTGGACAGTAAATCCGACCCCATCTTCGACGTCCCCGTCTCAACCGTCATGTCCACGCGGCCCGTCTGCCTGCCCACCAGCGGCCTCCAACTCCGACACCTCGACGCCCTGCTCGCAGAAAACACATACCAGGGGTACCCCATCGTCGAAGACACCGCCTCGAAAACACTCCTCGGATACATCGGCCGCACCGAACTGCAGTACGCGCTGTCCAAGGCGAAACATAGCGCTAGAACCACGGCTGTCGTCTTCTCTTCCTCGTCTTCGGTGGAGGGGGTAGATGCGCTGGATTTCTCGCGCTACGTCGACCTCACGCCACTTACTGTGCATCCCCGCCTCCCGCTTGAAACGGTTATGGAGGTGTTTAAGAAAATGGGGCCGCGTGTTGTGCTGACGGAGTATCGTGGAAGGCTGACGGGGCTTGTGACGGTGAAGGATTGCCTTAAGTATCAGATTAGGGTTGAGGCGCTGGAGCATGGGGGTGCGAGTGAGGAGGAGGGTATGGAGAGGGTGTGGGGGGTTGTTAGGGGGTTGGTGGGGAGGGTTGGAAGGGGGAGGGTGAGGTTGGATAGTCCGCGGGTGCGGAGGGATGGGGAGGGAGGGGGAGAGGGAGGTGGAGATGCGGAGGGAGAGGAGAGGCGGGGGGGGAATTGGGGGCGGGGAGTGGAGTTGGAAGATCGACGTTTTGGTGGTAGTGGGAGTGGTAGTGCAGCGAGATAGTCCGAATCGCAATTTTCTTGACCATGGAAATCGAACACGGATTAGATCGGTGGAATGTAATGTAATGTGATGTACCAGCCGAAGCCCTAACACCCCCGCCCGTGGCCTGTGATATCTCCCAGACGCCAACTATGCGCAACGCAACGCAACGCAATGCAGATATACCATGAGATCAACACCTTTCCCCCATACCCCTACGCAACCAACCCTCATTTCCCATTAATCGCCGTAAACCCGCCCGACCTCCTCATCCGCGGACTCCCGCTCGGCCGCAGCGAAATCTCCATCTCAATCTGCAGCGCGGCTTCGTCTTTTTCGGGCTCAGGCTCGGGCTCGGGTTCGCTGTCTTGTACACGCTGCAGCGCCTGTTCTTCCACGGGCTCTTGCTCGACGTCCATAGCCTCTGGTAGATCCTGTACGGGTACATCTGCATTTGGATCCGCGTTTACATTTGCGTATTTCTCCACCTCGGCTTCCGCTTCCATTTCCGCTTCCTCCTCCTCCACAACCGCCGTCTCCCCCTTCGTCGCCTTCTTCCCACCCTCCTTCCCCTCCTTCTCCTTCCCCTCCGCCTTCTCCCTCCCCTCGACCTTCTCCCCCTGCCTCTTCTTAAACTCCCTCCACGTCACCGTGCGCGGCACCACATCGACCAAAAACTCCAGATTATCCGTCTTGCCCACCGCAGCCGACACGTCGCGGTACTGGATGTTGCGCCGCGGCTTGCGCTCGGCTTTCACCACGTTATGCGTTGTGGTGGCGAGGTGCTGGATGAACATTTCGGCTGCGAGCGCGATGGCGAAGGATGCGTTTTTTGAGGTCGCGAGGCGCTCGGGGTCCGCTTGGATTATTTTTTGGACGCGCGCGACTGCGGGGTGTGGGTTAGTAGTGGGATGGAATGGGATGGGAGGGAATGGGGGGGGACGCACGGGGAAGCGAGACATGGCCTGTTACTTCTTTTGAGGGCGTGATGGGCGTGTTGTTGTAGGGCATGGTTGCTGCGGGGGTGCTGATGTGGATTGCTGGTGACTCGAGGTCAGAACGCACGGGATGGTTGCTGGGGTTTTGCAGGCGGGTTGTTGGTTTTATGGTTGTGGAGCAGATTTGGTAGGGCGGAGGTGTTTGGCTGACGCGGGTGTGACGCGTGGAGCGGTTGGTGTGCTGGTTCGACGCGTGCGGTGAAGTGTGGTGGAGAGATCGGGTGGGAAGGTCGAGAAGGGTGCTGGGGTGTGTGTCGCGGGCAGGTCGAGCCGAGCCGAAGCTCTTCGTACCATAGTTATTACCTTAGTGAAAAGAGTCGGATATAAGATCAGTGGCTTGACAAAGACGACACTATCGTAGCGCGACATCTACAGAATCTGCGAGGAAAACAATATAGTTAAAACAAGCTTTTAAGTTCTTGCACTTCTTGAATATCTGTTGTTTTATTGATTTACTGCTGAGTTGATTGGCAACCCGTTATTGCGCTATTCCCGGTTTCTCTACCACACGCAAGACGCCACACTTCTGGCTCTACCAGCCGTCTTGCATGGCTTTTTACGGCTAGTGATGCGAGGCATTACGTAGAGTAAGCACTCCGTTGTCGAAGGATGAATCGATAAGAAGTAGTGTGTTTTGGGCAGAAATCAACGAAGGGCTATTTTATTCACCACATATCAGTTGGATGTTACATAAACCATCGTCAACAATGAAACTCCAATTACCATCTTTGCTTATCGCAGGAATACCAACAGCAGCAGCAGCATTCTCCCAAGTACCATTCCAAGAAACCCCCGAGGTCGAAGCCTTCCAAGTCTACCAAAGTCAATTTTCCGAGCACCATTCCATCCGCATCAAACACCAGCAAAACGACACCCTCTGTGATGCGCGGTCCAAACAGTACACCGGCTGGCTGGACGTCGGCACAAAGCACCTCTTCTTCTGGTTTTTCGAGTCCCAGGACAAGCCTGCTGAGGATCCGTTGTTGTTGTGGCTCACGGGCGGACCGGGGGGCTCGTCGATGATCGGACTGATGCAAGAGCTGGGACCGTGTGTGATCAACGAATATGGTAATGGGACCGTGTACAACGAATATGGGTGGAGCAAGAATGCGAATATTATCTTCGTTGATCAGCCGGCTGGGGTGGGGTTTAGCTATATCGACGAAGGCGGGCTGGTTCCTGCGACGAGCTTCACTGCGGCGGAGGATATGCATCATTTCCTGCAGTTGTTCACGAGTGACGTTTTCCCTCACCTATCGGAGACGGAGTTCCATATCACGGGTGAGAGTTACGCTGTATGTATGCGTCGGCATCCCACTTGCCGCTGTTGTTAACTCATAGTAGGGCCATTACGTTCCAACTCTCGGTGCGCAAATCGTGTCGCAGAATCTTTTGTATCCTAAACGACCGCAAGTCAACCTGCAATCTATTTTTGTTGGCAACGCACAGGTTTCTCCTCTTGACAGGGCATTCGGCTACTGGGAGACGCTCTGCACGACGAATCCCGGCGTCGAGACACCTATCTTCAACCAAACCCGCTGCGACATCATGGCCACTCACCTTCCGCGTTGCATGGCCCTCACGCGCGTATGCTACAGCCACCCCGACCCCGCGATCTGCATTGCTGCCGATCAAGTATGCTGGACGGGTGTTGTCGAGCACTACGACGGCGAAGCAGGCGCGGGAGGCCGAAGCCGATACGACATCACAAAGCCGTGTACTACCAAAGACGACTTCTGCTACCCCGAGATCAAGCAGATCGAGGAATACTTGAATCTACCGTGGGTGTGGGAAGCTCTGCACGTCCCGAAAGCAGTGAAGAAATTCCGCGCCGCCTCCATGGAGATTATGATCGCCTTCTCGAGCACCGATGATATGGGGACTAGTACGCAGCCCCAAGTTCTGTATCTGCTGGAGAGCGGCATCGATGTGCTGTTTTACCAGGGTAACTTTGATTTGGCGTGCAATACGGCGGGGAATCTACAGTGGGCGAGCACCATGTCGTGGAAGGGACAGCCGGCTTTTGTTGCGCAGCCGAAGAGGGTGTGGGAGGACGGTGGGAAGAAGATTGGGTGGTTCAAGGAGGTCAAGACGAAGACTGCGAGTGGGAGAGAGACGATGTTTGCATTTAGCACTGTCGACGGGGCGGGACATATGTTACCATTCGACAAGCCAAAGGAGGCGCTTGCACTGGTGGATAGGTGGTTGACGAAGAGGAGTTATGCGTAGGCAGAGTGAAGGACGCGAGAGCCGCGCCAGCCTCATTTTGTGTCCAGATGCGTCCATCGTGCAATCAAACACTCCAGAGGAAACCCTGGTAATAGAAGATTCCAGGCCACAAAACTCAGTCGTATTCGCATCATCGTGCCCCGCCTCGTTTGGAGCCCAAGAGAATTGACGATGTGCTCCACCATGAGATCATAATTTGCTACGTCATGATAGAAATTCGTCTGTGCGCCAAAGCTCAAAGAACCCCTCTTAAAGAGCAAAAACTGTCAGAACTCACGTCGTTACACACTCGGAAATACTACTTCTCATAACAAACTAAATCTTTTTTCACCACACATCAACCCCTCAAACACAATCATCATGTCCGGAAACTCCAGCGTCGGAACCAGCCAGGTCTACGAGGCCGGCGACCAGCGTAACTACTCGGAGGCCGAGAAGAAGGCCCAGGAGGAGGCCAACAGGTTCCACGAGGGCAAGAAGAACTCGCACAAGGCCAACGACCCCAGTATGTCCTGATCTGTCAACGTCTTCATTTCATGACAGCCACTAACAAGCACGCAGAGGACGAGCGCTCCATTGCCAACAGGCTCGAACGCGAGACCAAGCGTGAGGGTGAGGAGGACGACCTTGACATCGAGGATGCCCGCCGCAAGCAAGACGCCACACTGCCTGCCCGCGCACACGGCAACGAGCCGTCCAAGGGCGCGAAGCTCGACCAGGAGCTCCGGGAAGAGGAGGAGGCTGAGTTGAAGGCCAAGGGCAAGGCTTAGGTGCTTGATGTGTTGATACCCTGTGTATGAGAATGGAGGCGCAAAAGCCTACCCTGACGAGGAATGAAATGAAATCATGAATCTTCTAAAGACTTTGTTGCTGCTGTGATGTGGTTGTGATTTGTTAGCTCATGATGTATATGTAAGTATGGTGATACAGAGAATGTGCCATTTTGGTGGTCATTATCGCCGTCTCCAAATAACACAACCTTCACTGATGTTTGTCCATTGTGGAGATACAATGACACAAGACTGCCCCTCGCTGTCGTGCTCCCCTCCATCTGACTCGAGCCTCGGGATAACCCCGATAACGTTAAGCCACTTCGCTACCCATCCCTCCGAGCTCGCAATCCACGCTCTTCAAAAGTATTACCAAGCTCCAATTGCTCCCGCCTCGACGTATGCATCTCCTGCCGCATACAAAACACCTCTTCCATACCTCTGCCGCGCTTGCCAGAGCTTCCCTCCGACCCCGCATCACCCCCCAGTTGACCAACACGCTCCTCTCCCACACGTCCAGAATGTCGTCCAGCATGGCACAGCGCCTAAAGGGCAAGACAATCGTCATCACAGGCGCGAGCTCCGGAATCGGCAAATCAACAGCCCTCGAGTTTGCGCATACACAGCCAGACGACTTGAAGCTCATCCTGACCGCGCGACGAGAAGACACGCTGAAAGAGATTGCCAAGGAGATTGAGGGTTTCGCAAAGGGCGTCAAGGTCCTGCCCGTCAAGCTGGATGTCAGCAAGCCGGAAGAAGTCAAATCGTTTGTTGGAAACCTACCAGATGAGTTCAAGGACATCAACGTCCTGGTCAACAACGCGTGAGTTGACTTGTATTTTTCCAATCCGCACTCAAATGCTGAATCGTCATACAGTGGCCTTGTCAAAGGCGTTGCTCAAGCCCCCGATATCAACCCCGCGGATGTTGATACCATGTTCTCCACCAATGTCACCGGCTTGATCAACATGACCCAGGCCGTCCTCGCCGTATACAAGTCGCGTGACACGCCCTCAGGCGATATCATAAACATCGGCAGTATTGCAGGCCGCGACCCCTACGGCGGCGGATCCATCTACTGCGCAACCAAAGCCGCCGTGCGCTCCTTCACCGACGCCCTCCGCAAAGAGCTCATCGCCACACGCATCCGCGTCATTGAGATCGACCCCGGGCAGGTTGAGACAGAGTTCAGCGTCGTACGGTTTGGCGGCGATGTAGAGAAGGCGAAGAAGGTGTATGAGGGTGTGGAACCGTTGACACCGGACGATATTGCTGAAGTGATCGTTTTTGCGGCGGGGAGGAGAGAGAATGTGGTTATTGCTGATACGCTGGTTTTCCCAAGTCATCAGGTGAGTTTGAGTCGTTTTTGGGAGGTGGTTGAGGATGTGCTAATTCGTGATAGGCTGCGGCGGGCACTATGCATAGGAAGCCTGTGGGGCAGTAGGTGTTTGTGGGAGTGTGGAGGTGAGATTTTGCATATAGACGGCGGGCGCGTGTCGCGAAGATTTGAATGCAATACATCAGCCTTCCAGAGGAGTTTGAAGGAATCGGGACACATCTTCTTCTCTCGGTCAGTCGCATACGACCCTAGCAAAGCCGTGATATGTTCAGTCCGTCTCTTTCTATGTGTGCTAACCACATTCAAGCTTTGCTATTGCCGACTTGTTCTTTAATTCAGCTCTTGTTCACAAACGGACTTGGTTGCCTTTATCACAGGAAGTTCTTTGTTCCTCGGTTTGATCATGTCACTTCTTCCAGTCAGGTTTTGTTTCCCATACTGCGGATTGGGACATAAAAGGATGTAGAACAAGTCGATGATTGAGTGCTAGAACTGCGTTTTTGTAAGTCGCATAAGGCAGCGTTCGGCTTCAAGTTGCTGTGCGACTCTCGTTCGACCAGCACTGACGCAGTGAGAAGCGTTGTTGTGCTGGATGCAGTGAATGAACGGTTGCTCTGGCACCCAAACAGCTCTCCCCCGAGAACCTGTATACCCTAGCAACGGGTAAGTTTGGGAACTGTACTTTCCACAGGATTCGCATATCTCACGAGTTTGTTTATCTCAAGGCGTCTCACAACCCACCACACACTCCTTCACAACTCACATAAACCTACCTTTTTCTCTCTTTCTACTTCCTTCAGACACACACTCGACGACTACCAGTACAGTCGGCCATCTTACTACCCATCGAGCTCAAGGTTCTCTAGGCTCATTGGCAGCAAGATCCTCCACCGTCAATCTCCAACCCACCAGGGCTGACCAGTCTTTTCCTCATCAACCGACGAAACCTACAGAGAAACAGCACGTTGCAAACAGCCAAATATTCCAGGAAACCCTTTTGTTTCAGCGTGTCTCGCCTCCAAAAAACGCCACTCACTGATTCTCCACACGCGATCTCACGACTACTCAGGCGAGAAACACCTCTTAGCACTAAGAAAAACTCGTACCATACTACAGTCCTATTCTTCAGAGTATCTGTCGAAGAGCAACATGGCAAGACTATCGCATCATCCCGCCCCGCTGTTGGCGATGAAAGCCCCTGGCTCAGTTGGTCGAGAACAAAGAAGTGCAGTTCAAGACAACGACGCAAGCATCAACAAGAACACTCAAAAGTCACTGAGTTATGTTCACAACAAACCTGCAAGGTCAACATCTCCTGACCCATCGCCCATCCATGGTGATGCCGATGTGCTGTTCAGGCTGAGTCGCGTAGCGAAGCGGGACATCGAAGGCTGGATTCGCGGACAGTATGCTGCTGTGGATAAGATCGGACACGAACTGACCAAACCAACCGGCACCAAGTTCGTGTTCTACCTCTCCTTTGACGACGACGAGGATGTGAGCGATGTCCAGTTGAGCCCGCGTGCAGAGACGCAGCTTCGTGAGCGCATTGAAGAGGTGGACACAGATGTTGACGCGGGCATACCGATGCGTCCTGTCTTTCACCCTCGTGATCTACCCGCATCGTTCCTCGACGGGAGTCTCGAAGAAGAGTACAATGATCGTGCCACAGCCCAGCATATGATTGAGGACAACGCACTGTATAGCCCTGCGAGTCCCCCACTGGATATCACAGCCAAAGTTATCTCAAACCCCAACGTGAACACGAAGCGTCGCCTCCCCCGCCGCAATCGCGACCCATCCCTCGCCCAAATCATCGCCAGCGCAGATCCGGACGGCTTCCCCCTCCCAGACCATGACTCCGATTCCATCTCAGGATACGACGCGGACTTCGAAGGGCTGCCCTCGGAATCCAAGTCCACCCACATCAGCACTACTACATCGAACCCCTCCCCTGCCCAGAGCAAAGACATCAACTACCATCCTATACCGCTTCGAAACAATCGTATCACCTCACGTTCCAGCCTTGACTCCAGCGATGAGTCTGAATCTGATCATCCACACGTAGTGTATCGATCTGCTACTCGACTATGTCTGGACCCTCGGTTTCCCGGTCATAGTCCCTGTCGTGGTCATAAGCAGCGCGCTTTTGGGCGTTCAGCGAACAAGGCGGCCAAGGTTCTGCGGAGGCAGTTCCAGGCTAGTCATGGGATGGCGGGGGACGTAGTGTCCTCTCGTGGTTGGAAACAGGATGTGGGCGAAATGGGGATGCAGATGCTCCACGGACCGAGTTTGTTGCGTAGAGAAGTTGATTTTGGTGATTGTGGTTGTGTTGGGGATGCTGATGGGATTGAGGTTGGTGCGAGATCGTCTGAGAGAGGGGATGTGACTGACGGAGATATGCAGATTTTAAGCAGCGCTCGGCCTGTTGTGGTGGAAGATGATGTTTACGATGAGAGCGGGTTTTTGCTCAGCAGTAGCTTCGAGGAGGATGCGGATCACGTTGTTTGCGAAGACTTCCAGACACCAGTTGGAGACGACGACACCGGCTCCGAGATTGCTGAAGGCGGTGCCGTTCCAGATGAGAACCTCGTGGACGCTCATTCCGGCGAAGTATTCCGCGGATCAGTCTCCTGTCCAAACTTTCCCAGCGGCGCATATGGCGAAGTCGAGGTACTTATATTCATCACACTCAATACTGCACAGCACTAACGAGTCCCAGACCTCCACCATTACCTCTACACTCCGCACTGGCAACGCATCCAGCAACGAGTCCCTCAATCCTTCCTTCCACTCATCCATCTTCTCGAAATCCACGTTGCTCACCCCCAAGTCCTCCTACGAGAGCGTCCAGTCTGACTACTCCCGCCTCATCGACGCTCTTGACCTCGAGGTCGAAGCGCATAAATGTGGCGACAGCTACTCGATGTGCTTACTTGCTCTACGAGAGCTTTCTGCAATCTGTAACTGTCTGTCGACTGTGTCGATGGACGACTCTGCCAGCGTTGTGCAGGGAGAGATGCACATTAACGGTCTGCCATCGGTTTCTGAGACACCGCAGGAGAATCACGCTGGTGAGATTGTCGAGGATACATTGACTTACGCTCAGGTGCAGAGTGGATTGTCACTGGATGGCACGCCGTCTCAGCTTCGAGGCGCGCCTGATTCTTCTGACACGCCGGATCACAATGGACTTCCCATCGATAGCTCGCCAGCTCATATTACTACAACAGACAAGTCAGCATTGCCATCAGACGATACGCGTCCGCTACCCTTCGAGGCGACCTCTACACTTCCGCCATCTACCATTCCCTCTAGCCATCCACCTACCACCCTCAACCAGTTGGCCCAAACTAGTGATGACACCCGCGAGCAGGACTACTCCGCCTTATTTGTTCAGCTCCCACACTGTCGCCGACGTCGCTGGGTCGACAAGGTTAGACACGTTCACATGAGGACGCGAAAGGCTACACAGAGGGTTGTCACGTCTACTAAAAAGGTTGGTAGGACGGTGAGGGATTTGGCCTTTTGCGGTTTGCTGTCTGTGTGAGGCGGTTGATGGTGCTCTGCATACGAGAAACAAGACACTGCACATCATTCAGCCTGTCAAGACCTCGAGCAGGTCTGAAACACCGACATCAAGCACACGACCAACAACTGTCGCCAGTTCGCTGCAAGTCGATAAGTTACAAGTTTGCTCCAACCCAACCTCAAGCACACCCCGTCTCGGAATCTGTCTCTTACAATCTGCTTGCCCACAATTTACTTTGGGGGGAAGGTGGGTTTGTCCAATCAAACTGGACCTGTTAATCACCTTACACTCACGCTCTACTTTTCATTCTATCCAGTGCGAATCTTTTTCCGCGCCTTGTGGATTTCCGGTCCAGTGTACGTTGTAGCGTGGTACCGGACCAGCTTGTCGTCTACCGTAGATTTCTCATCTTAATAATATACCCCTTTGAGCCAATTATCGCTTCACAGAAGTGCTGATCTAATGTCTTCGACCGTGGTTCATTCTAAAGTTTGTATAATGCTCAGCCAATGCCCATACTTTGACTTCAACACCTGCTATTCCCATTTTCCACGCACAATTAACCAATATACACTTTCATCTTCTCCTAGTCCACCAAGGCATAACACGCCCGTTCTAATTATCGAAACCGAACTCCTAAAGCCACGAGAGTGAGCGCAACATTTCGTGTTCCTCCGTAGTCGTCCAGGGGAATGACCAGACTATATGTTCGTTGACGCTAAACCTAACCCAGTAGTGGACCTTTCACTGAAAAAGTTCTGGCCAATCGCACATCGTGATGACACAATGTCTCTCCCGCTATTTTCATATTTCCATGGAAACCACTCACTCGCTTTTCATCAGTGCCATGGGTCGTACTTTCACTGAGAGAGGTTCGAAACCAAAGGCCCGCCTGCTTCCCTGTGTTGAAAGTTATATAACTACATATTTTCTTCGCACACGGCTTTCTTCAGCTTTGCAATCTGAAGACAACTCACTTCAACTTCACAACTTACCAAATTTACACTTGCACTTGCACACTTCACATACTCACTCACACATCAACATGTCATCCTTCATCAGCAACCGCCCCTCCTCAACCTTCAATTGGGCCGACGACGAATCAGACGACTTCGATCTCACAACCTGGAAAGCAACAGCCGACACCTCTGCCCCAACCGCAGAGTCCCTTGGCCCCCTGCTCCCCATCCCCTCCCTAGATGAGACCGAAAACCTGCACACTATCCCCCCAACCGCAGCGGCAGCGGCAGCCCGGGCCGCACCCCCTTCCCGTCCCGCACCTTGCGTCGTGGTAAACCAGCTCCCCGCCGCGCCCCAAGCCCTCCTATCTCCCGACTCCTCGCGCTGGCTCTGTGCATCCCCAAAAGCAGCATGGGCGTTTCTAGCCGAGAATGAACGCTGCGGAGCACCTGCATACCCAGAGCTTAGTTTCTACGAGAACGGGGTGCCGATACCGTGGAAGCGTAAGAACTACGCGGCGAACTGGCGGGATGCGAAAGTTAGGTGTGGAAGGGATTGTAGGCGCATGGCGATGGTTAGGGGGTCGGGGCTTAGATGGGTGGTGGGGTGTTATGAGGATGAGGAGGTAGGGGATTGGGAGGATTGGGAGGATTGGGAGGAGGATGTGCTTGAGCTTCAGTGTGATGATGGGGAGGAGGATGAGGAGGAGTTGTTGTTGATGCCGGAGTATTCGCCTTCGGTGAATCCTGCTGATGGGGGTGTTGTTGAGGTAAGCCTTTTGTCTTTCGACTTGGAGACTCGAGAATCTGACGGTGTTTTCAAGGGCGATTTGGATGCTGGGGTGATTGAGCTCGACGGCGCGACCCTCGCTGGCGCGGTCACAGACACGGATGCTGAGGTGTCTGTCGAGAGCGATGTTGAAGCCTCCGCCACGGGCACCTCCTTGGTACGCAACGACTCCATGGAAGTCCTGACTGCTGAAGACAAGCAGTCCAAACCTGTCGATAGTACTGTCGACACCACCACGTATACGCCAGAAGCAGACATCGTCGCGCCGATGACCACTTCACCAGACCTGGAGTATACTACACCACACCCTGGGTTTACAACATATCTCTCAAATACCCTGGCTACCGCCTACTTCTGTCTCTCTTCTCTCCCCTGGAAGACTGCGGGTATCGTTGCCGCCGGTGCCGTCACAGGTGCTGTCATCTACGCAGCTCGCCGTCGCTAGATCAGAGCATTGCGAGTGATGGCTTTGGAGAATACGACGACAGATTGCGATGGCATTTTTTGGCGCTATATACCCCTGTATCTTCTACTTCTGTGTTTACTAGAGAATTGTACGAGAGTCCTCGAAGGACATATCACCGGCATGGCCGGGGAGAAAAGCAGATCGAGGTTATGTATAAAATTGATATTGTTTCGAGTGTACAACTTTTTGAATACTATCCTTCTTTGATCCAAAGCCAAAGCAGTCTTGCATGTGTTATCTCGACAATATAGTTATGGCTGCAGTCACACCTCGGCTGAATCTTCGAAGCTGACGCCGCATACTGGGCGTCATGCACATCAGCCGTACCCTTAAGCAGTCAGCATGACTGATCACAAGATTAACAAAAGCTCAATATACTACGTCGCGACTCGACTTCACAACTTTCACGGTTCTTTGTGTTCATCATGGCTGGTTCAACGTATACATCTGTGTCGGCGGAGACAATCACGCACATCAAATCCCTCTACCACATCTACCGGCACACTGCAGACCTCGATCGCAAAGGCCTTTTCTTCTCGCAGAGCTGTATGCAGATATGTCGACCTACACCTTCCTACGCGGCGACTACGCGGGGTGAGATCGTGCAGTATCTCAAGGATGCACAACGGGGTGTTGTACCTGTGCATAACTTCAGTACTGCCTCCGTCGACACTTCAGATCCACTGGTCGAGGATGTCGGTAGTGAGGTGTCTAACGCGACGGAAAAGGGAAGGAGTGTGTATACGATTCGTCCTCTTCGTGCATCCGAGCATGAGTTTAGCACCAATGCCGTTACTGCACCTACAGGGCTTACCCCCGACGAACTTGAGAGCAAGGCTATGAAAGAAGGCTGGGTGGGAATGCGTGTTGATTTGTGGGATGAGGGAGGTGCAGGGGAAGGTATTCTGGTCAAGGTGCAGTACTGGTGGCGCAAAGAACACGTGGAGAATGGTGAAGAGGCTGAAGGCGATGTTGATGGATACTGCTGGAGGCATTGTCTGCATGATATTATGTACTTGGGTCCAAAAGATGGGACGGAGGGCGTGGAGAACCTCGAGGTGTTGGAATAAGAGGTCACTATCGCTATTTCATCTATGTCCACCCGGTAGCTCGTCTTGGATGAACCTTGCGCTCGGACGGTAAAGTCTCGAGAACAGGTTAGACGAAGTATTCCGAAGATACGGCTCATCTTGTTGTGGGAGTTGGCTAGCAGACGGTGCCGAAGGAAGCGGAGACGCACAGGGTTTCTGGGGATGGACTTGCCTAATTGGTTGCTAGCTCGAGCCTACGAACGTCATCGTCACTAGTAATACCAGCAGCAATAAACAAAACACATCGTCCATAGAAATCTAATTAACCCATCTCTCTAAGTTTCTGAGTTGCCGTTGTTGTGCTATCCAAAATGTTTTCCAAACTATCATTATTACTGCCAGTCGCCACCCACGTCCTGGTGAACGCACGCGAAGTCACCTTTCCATCCATCTCTGGCTTCACATTGCAGCAAACGATACCAGGGTACAATGAACCTGATATCAGCCAGTCAAAATTTGCTGGATTGATGACATATGCGAATCTTCCCTATGTGCATTGTTTGGCTGGAGAAGACGAGAAGGTGGAAAAGTATGATATTGCAATTCTGGGTGCGCCATTCGATACTGTAAGTTGTCCAATTCATTCACCTGATGCTGCTATAGCCTGGTTGTTGCTTGTCGATGAAAGAGGCGTACAGAAAGGTGTGAATAGTCGTTTTCGAACGAAGACGTCGGTACAATAGTCCTTGACGAGCGTGATTGGTAGGCACTGTTTGAACTGGGACAGATAGCATCCTGGCTTCTTCGTGCAGCAAGATCTGCATCACAAATACCCGGGAGTTTGTACACAGTAGGTGTGCTACGTGTCAATACCGTACTCTGTGGTCTTACCAGTATTCGCAGCTGGAGTTACAGCGTCCTGCAAGGACGCGAAACGATGCATATCTTCCTCAACTGCATCGCATATAGCTGCCATCTCAGGAGTGGAACATATGTTCTTACGAAGCAACATAGATTATTTCGCTTGTTCTTCTTCGTTCATCGGCTCAAAGTTTCTTCATAGATGAGACTGACTTGTCGGTAGGGTGTGACGGCACGACCGGGAGCTCGGTTCGGGCCGAGCGGTATCAGACAAGGCTCACGAAGGATTGCGCCTGGTACCGGTTGGAGCGTGTACACAGGTATGTTGTGTCAGATTCCCATGTCTTCGTATCCCACATATGCAAGACGCCGCTACACAGGATTGATAGTTGGTCTTCTAAGCCGCTAAGCGGTTCGGTAGTACGCCAAACCTTACGCTGCATCTCACACGCACATTGGGTTTGACTGCATCTAGAATCTGAACATATTACTGTACTGCGGCTTGTGCAAGATTTGTTGGCAGGTTCCAGTGTAATCAGAAACTGGGTTCGCGCGACTGAGGATTTTGCATGCACATGAATTTAAGTCGAAAAATGGGGTGACTGACTTAATTAATAGGAGAGAACGTGCTGCTTGACTGGGCAAAGATTGTCGACTGTGGAGATGCCCCTCTGACATTTCTCGTAGGTGCATCCTCATGCTCAACGGACGAAGACTTACTAATTGTCAAAAAAGGATAACACTGTTGCGTTGAAACAGCTTGACAAGGCTCACGAGGTTAGTGAAAAGAACAAAGAAACTTGCACACGGGGCAATACAAGAGCATGCGCTGACAAGTGAACGTCCAGGTCGTTTCTTCTAAGAGCACTAATTCAAGCGAATACATCACGCCTAGAATAGTCACGTTAGGTGGTGATCATACCACCACCCTCTCAGCACTGCGATCAACGTATGAACACTGGGGGCAAGTTAGCGTGATACACTTTGATAGTCATCTAGGTGAGTGGATCATAGTTGAAGTCGAGCCGCTGCTGATACTTTGATTTCAGACACATGGGATCCAGATGTTTTAGGTGAGTCCAAAGTGCTCGTATAAGTGAAGGTACTAACATGTCGAAGGTGGAGGAATCTCTCATTATGCGTAAGTGTCGACAAATTACCAATGCGGATGTACCTTGCTGATCAGTCACACACCAGCGGCGTGAACCATGGTACATTTCTTCATATAGCCCATGAGGAGGGTTTGATCCGCAACACGTCCATTCACGCTGGAATACGTGCGCCTATGGTGCGCCCAAAAGGTGATCTGCGGAACGATCTCAGATGTGGCTTCCAGATCATCAAAGCCAGAGATATTGATCGCTTCGGCGTATCCGGCGTCATCGCGAGACTGAGAGAAAGAGTGAACGGAACCAAGGTCTATATCAGCGTTGACATTGATGTTTTGGATCCAGCCTTTGCTCCAGGTAAGTGATAGGTTGTTTGAACTACACAGTGTCGCCATTGATATATGGCTATCACGTTTGGCAAATTCTTCAAGTAATACAGCATCGGCCATTAGAGATGTATGTATTTTTAGTTGGGTAGAACAATGACTGACGAACACAAACTGCAGCTACCGGGACCGCAGAAGTTGGAGGATGGTCTACACGCGAGCTGTTGTCGATCATCGACGGGCTGGAGGGACTAGAGGTCGTTGGGGCAGACATTGGTAAGTGTGGTCCCCTAAGTTGTGTCCGTTGGTCAGTGGCTGATCAAGTGACGCCAAATCAGTTGAGGTGGCACCTGTATACGACAATTCGGGCGAGACTACAGTTCTGGCCGCCGCCGAAGTCGTTCTGTCACTCATTGGCCTGATGGTGAAAACACCAGTCCAAGGGGCAGATCATCCGTAAGACTGGGCAGAAGTGATCATCGCAAGTTACTTCCGAGCCTGGTAATGATGAGTTGACACAGAGTCTTCGTTTGGGTGTCGACGGGAGAGGTCGTTGTGTACGAACACCTGTCAGGAAACGCCATCATGTACGAAAATAGTTTGGGTTGTTGTGCCGGTGCAAAGTCTCCAATGTGCACAAGATTACCGGTCACCTACGTACAGACGTTGCTGGAGACAGTTTTTTTGTAAAACAATAGGCAACACACACATCTTTTCTTTTGACACTTTCGAAAAGTGAGCTTCGTGTTGCAAGGTTGAAGCGAGGTCTGGTAGCGAGTGGCTGGTGAGGTGTGGCGTCGCGCTATCGACCCCACCTGCCGAGGTCAGAAGTTGCGACTTCCATCCACATGCAGCTTCCATCCACCATCACTATTCATCCAAATACCATATCTTCACCATGTCTGGTACCACAGAACAACCGAAGAAAGAGAGGTTCGCGCCGAAAGAGCCGGTGACTTTGAATCCGCCGAAAGACGACACTATCACCCGTGATTACCTGGCGAAGTGCAATGGTATGCCCCCAAGTGAAGCAGTCACGAATCAGCTATATACTCACTGTCTTTTGACTAGGTACGAATGAAGGTCATCCCACTCTAGTAGCTATCAAGGTTTGTGCCACGCATCCTGTTCGATCGGTCAGTATCCTAGTAGCTGTGTAGACTTACGGACTATTCAGGGTGACGTGTTCGACGTGAGTGGCAAGGAAACATATGCGCCAGGCAAGGGCTACCACGGTTCGTTGAACACTTGCTGTTGTGACATATCCGCCGTACACGAAGACTAATTAAGGTGCCGCAGTCTTTGCTGGCAAGGAGCCAAACCGTGCTCTTGGCCTCTCATCTTTGAAGCCAGAAGACTGTATATCGGACTACTCCGGGCTCTCCGACAAAGAACAGCAAGTTCTGAATGATTGGTACACATTCTTCAGCAAGAGATACAATATTGTCGGGCGACTACAGCCTGAGGGCGCATCGAGCCTATGAGCACATTTCATTTGTCATGAACAGCCACAGCTTGTCTACGAACAATTGATCTCAATCCGAACATCAACATTGCTCTCGAAAGTCGTCTGATTGTTCGGTGTGCATATGGATATCGTGCTTAATTCTTCAGTTCACAAACATCCCCAATGCGACTCGAAATCAAAGAAGGCGACTTGATACACATCACAACCTTACCTGAGTTTCCAACCTTGCCTTCGCTTCCGAGCCACCGGGTTTACTTGCCTTACGTACTACGTAGATTACTTTGCGGCCTTGCACCTGTCCTGCCACTCTCGAAAGTGTATTACCACAACAGAGCCAATAGAACTATGCAGCCCCTATGTCTGGTTTCCGTGTGCCAAGGACTCTGCATTTCTTTCCTCACAAGTCAAGCGATTGAAGGGCTCAAAATCAGATTTTGTATTATCAAAAAGCCGATGGTATACCTGATGCACGATATTATGATGGTACAAAGCTAATTAAATACACTAGTTTCATGTCTTCGTAAACATCGTTTGGGATGACTCGGCCAAAACCTGCCTCAACATGGACCCCATACAATCGACAAACACGGTATTAATAGACTCGCTTGCAAAGAAAAGCACGATTAGTTGCCAATGGCAAAGTGACCTCCCTGAAGAAGGCGATGTCACCCAGAAATCCTTTCGCGACAAATTGTGCCGAAGCGGCAAATCGTCGTCATCAACCCGAGACTGCCGCCCAGCTCGGGTTTGTAAACGTGCGGTTAGCCTCTCCTGGCGGCGATGCCAACGGCTGGTCGTCGAAGATTGAATATACGACAATTTATTGGCTACCCATAGGGCTGTCGGTGCGATCCAAGCTCATACAGACGGCGGAGTCGTGAGCCTTCAGCTGTCGTCGTTGTCTGGTGCAGCTATCACACTCAGTTTCGTGTTCCACCCATTGTCGTCGATAGTTCCAAGCGCCGAAACATTGATGATTCGGATCGTTGCGAGCGAAGTGGCAGTGCTGGACGAGTCGTTTATCCTCGTGACCGCAGGCAACGAAAACAACTCTCTCGTAGTAACACATCTCAGTTGAGATGACAGGATGGATACTTTATACCCAAGCGTTCACGCTAAGTTTCGAGTCAGCTTACAGGTCGTCGTGGCGGGCCTGAACATACGTTGCGTGCGAGTGTCCGCGCGTTGGCGTACAAGATCCGGTGACAGAAGGAGATACCGCTGTAGCTGTTCCGGTAGCGACTCAACAGCGTACAGTGATCGAAGAAGATGTGGAGAGAATCTGGGAAAGTATGAGATGCCGCACTTCTACCGCGCACTCATTGTGCTTTATACACGGCCGACCCACATCACCGCAGTCAAAATCTGCACATCGTGAACTTTTCATCAACCACACTTTTCCTGACGCCATACTAGTTTGGTCATTCCTTTCAGACCTCTTGCAGCATGCAACAGGGCTTTGTGTGGCACACTACATACTTGGTTGTCAACTCTGCAACGTTTTTGGTTGTCACAAACTCCACCCCCGCATCTGCAGGTTTGTACGAGCTCTCTACTTGCTCTGTATATCATTTATTTGATAAGGCTCACCTGGTCAGTGGTACTTGTCAAACATCGCTACCAGTGGAGGCATCAGGGTCTGACAGCCTGTCATGTCTGTGCGTATCTATGGCAGTAGTCCTGACCAGAAGCCAAGCCTGTCACTGTCATACTCTCCGGCTGTGCAGGTTGTATTTCTGGCATAGGGTTCTCTTGGCCGTACACTATCAGAGAATAACCGTGTCACTACAATATGACCATATCACTCAGGCACAGCACGGACAAGTCGCCGACCGCGGCGACGACAGTTCGTGATCCGGGATGTTGGTCAAGCCACTCGGAGGGATCCAAAGATCCCATCAATCCAATCGCAGAGCTAGTCTTCTGTGTTTCGTTTTGTACCTTCGCGAGGACCCACTCGGCCTTTTGACTGGCACACGGTTGTATCGAAGCATTCTTTCCGTTTGCCACACATTCCCGATCTCCGACCTAGGAAAACTACACATTGCGCAAGATGTCAGGAGAATGTTGTTGAACTGGTATTACGCATGATAAGTTTGATATATCATTTTTTCGATGAAGGTTCGAACCTTTCTAATTGCAACTGCATGTACATCCTTGTCTCGTATGTTTCTATGCATCAACACCCGAGGACCGGTCCATGTGAGCTGGGATTATCAGCCAGCCAGCGCGTGCTTGCTTGCTCGCGATTACCCGTCGCTGTCAAACCTCTGCAACCGCTCATGACGAGGTGCCCTTGTCCGTCCTTGTTCAGGATTCTACTTCTGAGCCTTATGCAGCAAGCGTCATGGTAGCATGCGGGATAAAATCCGGTCCCCCGTTATACGCGAGCGAACAAGCACATGTAGTACAGGTGACTGTGATTCACCAATAGGGGGGATCGCTAGGTCAACAAAACGTCGGGATCTACGACAATAGAGCCTTTATGTCCGGGCAGTTTCTCGATGAGATGGATCGACATATTTCTGCATCTTGAAACCTGCTCTACGGTTTATCTTTGCCATGTAAGTATGTAGCAGATTCTTGCTCGATGACGCTCACGACGCATATAGCACAGACAGTTCTGTGAAACAATAGCTTTCGCCGCTTCCACGCTCGCTGATTGCTGCCGAACTGGTGCTACCGCTTGGCTCTCCCAAGGCTGGCAATCCAACCACGTACGACGCCACTGCGCGTCGGCTTCCCATCCCTGCTCAGCCTACCGCCGTCAACAGTGCTGAGCTCGTACTTCGTATGCGCTTCCCATCTGTGTTGCGCGTCGTGCGAACGCCAATCGGGCCAACCTTCACTTGTATTCGTGACACTGCCCCCCACAAAGTACCAGCATTTGTCGAAGTACTGCAACAATCCGCCATCTCTTATCAAGAATTTCGATACTGCACCGGATGAGGACCGTATCCAGCGACTAGTCTCTGGCGATGTAGAGTCGCAACATCACTATACGAAAGCTTTCAGTATAGCTAGCTACGATGCAAATCCAAGTCTTCAATTACAGTTGATTCGCTTCGACATTGGCCCATTAACTCTGAGCAGCGACGAGTTCAAGCCAACTGCACGGAGATGTTTTCCACCAAATAACCATCCGCCAACATAACCACACCATCTATTCTTGGCAGCAGCGATTCAATCTCTCAATCTACGATTCACAACCTCGAGACGGGGAACCGGGTCCCCGAACCGCTCCTACATGCAGTGTAGCGTCCTCGCCGCAATGCACCGGCGACAATTTATTCGCTTTCGGAACCTTCATTCGTGCACCTGCAGGCTCGTTCCGGCATCCGTGGCAGCATATTGCTAGGCGCCCAGAAACCGTTGCATACATGGACAAGCTGCGCGGGTAGCCACTGAAGGCTCAAACGTTGCACGGCGTAGGCCCGTTTCCGTTGCGGATCGGGGGTGCGGTCCGCTGGTATGGCTTGTTGCTCGTGCGAGGGTGCATGGGTATATGTGCATACAGGCTGGGATGCTTGAGTGAACCTCCGAATGGTCGGATGGCGTGCTTTTGTTGTGGTGACGCTATAAGCGCTGTGGATATGTGGGGGTGTAGGGAATGACTAAAAGGGGGAAGTTTCTATTTTTTCGTTCCTCTTCCATGCTTCTTTTTGTTTTGTATCTTGTTTGTTTCTTCCCTTCCCCTTCCTGTATGCCTCTTGCAAAGCACTCGTTGGCGATGTGGCGGTCGTTTACATGGCTCTAGCATGGTCCACTGACACACATGCATAGATTCACGTATGTACATCTAGATACAAGTTCATGTCTGCCACGCATATCACATACAACATACCATAGCATACCATAGTATACCATAGCATACTATAGCATAACATAGCATATCATAACCTCATTCCCACTCATAACCACTCCAAGCTTTCAAAGACGTGATGTAACCAAACAGTGCATAATCCCCATAACAAAAACTTCACGCTCATATCCAAACAAACAGACAGACAAAGATCACGCTTTTGGACTCGCAAATGAGACAAATAAACAGACAAGCAAACTAAGCAACTCAACTCAACCCAATCCATGTGTCCATGCCCAACACACAAACCCAACAAGCACAAAGCAAACCCCCACGAAACACCACCAACACCAACACCACGCATGCATGCACGCACGCATACCTCTAACATGACATGACATGACATCGACGTGCAGTGCAGTGAAAGTGAAGTGAAGCGTAGCGTAGATCAACAAAAGACATTCGCCCCAGCACCACCCATCAACTCCCACACCAGATCAGATCAGATCGCAGATCCTCCAACCTGCTGCACCCACGCATTACTTGTGAGAAAAACGACAAAGCGATTTTTCGCTTCCTGCGCTCGGCATTCACTACCCCCCATGTCCAGTCCACCCTGGCACGAGGCCGAAAAGAGGCATTACGTCGCATGCACAGCGCAACACGCCTCAGAGCTCTGCTTGGAGAAATCAAGCAAGTTGCTAGGGCTCAGTCACTGCGCTGTGGCTTGAAGCTAGGTGGTGGTAAAATTTATTAGGCAGAATGGTGCGGTACTGGGTGGAATGGCATGGGAAACTTTTCTCTATACGACGTCTTAACGGAGGAGGGTATGCTATGCTGAACGTTTGATACTTGCATACAAATGTACATACATGTATAGTGAATAGACCAGACTAAACCACACAACACTACACACTCTACCGCCCCCCCTTCTTCGCCTTACGCGCCTGTCTCTTCTTCGCAATGATACGCGTACGTTGCGCGAGTTTGCCCTTATCCATCTCCGTTTCCGTAGCATTGGTCTTCGTCGCGAGTTTATCCTTCTGCGACGTCGGTGTATCCTTCGAAGCGTCACGTTTACGCTTCATGCCCTTCCCTCCCTTCGTCGCAGTCTTCGCCGTCTTCTCCACCTGCTCACCCTCCGGCTTAGCAACCTGCGGCAGCCTATCCTTATCCTCCCTATCCGAGCGTCTCGAGACAACATTCGCATTCTCAATCGCAAACTCCGCAATAAGCCTCTTGCGCTTATCCTCCAACGCCTCCTTAGCCGCCTTCTTACTCTTCGGCGTCTCGCCCTTAACCTTATAATCAACCGCATGCCCATTAAGCCAGCGCAGCCCCATCAGCGCATTACGATGCGTATAGTACTCTATAAACCCATACCCACGACTCCGTCCCGCGCCGGTATCTTCCGCGACTTTACTACCCGCGGGCGTCTCAAAGACGACTTTAGCCTGCTTAACGATACCCACGCCGCGCTTTTTGCGCATCTTCTCCGCAACAAGCATAGCTTCGCCGCCGCGGATAGTTTCCTCGCGGTTGAGTTTCGAGCGCTTGCCTGCTTTTACGTCTGCGGCGAAGCCGACGACGGCCTGGCGCGCGAGCTGCTTGAGGTCTTTGGAGGTGATGCTACGGGGGACGTTGCGGATGGAAAGGCGGGTGAGGCTGAGGTGGAGGGAGGGGTTTTCTTGGATTTGTTTGCGGCGGAGGGTTGCGCTTTCTTCGCGCATTTTGATCTCCGAGGGGGAGAGCTGCTGGTACAGGGGCGCGTTGGAGGCGATTGTGCCTTCGGAGAGGAGGTACAGACGGCGCTTGTCTTTGTCGCGGTTGAAGCGGGTGGTGGCGTTTTCGGTGGTGAGGCGTGTGGCTTCGTTTTTGTCGACGGCGCGGCTGAGCTGTAGGACGCGGCCGTCGATTGTGTATTTGCCTGAGGGGTCTTGCTCGTCGTCTTCGAGGACCGAGTGGGTGACGGTGACAGTGGTGCCGTCTTTGCGGTCGGTGGTCTTTGTCTTGAGCGTGGTGCGGGGGATGCCGCGCAGACAGCTGATCATGTCCTCCTCGCTGAAGAAGGAGACGAAGCCGGTGCCCTTGGGGCGTTCCGTGTCGCGGTCGAGGACAACGCGGGCGAAGCGGACGCCGCCGAATTGCTTGAAGTGCTCCATGAGGCTCTCGTCGTCGACGGTGAAGGGCAGGTTGCGGACGAAGACGGTGTACTCCTCGCGCTTGGGCTTGGGCTCGTCGTCGAGCTCGATGCCGCCGTCGCCGTCGCTGTCCGAGACGTCTTCGTAGTCGGCGTTGCTGTCGTCGTCGTCCTGCTCGTCGTCGCTGGCGTCCTCATCGTCATCGTCATCCTCATCCTCGTCGGAGCTGACGACGGAGCTCTCGGCGTCCTCCATGTCCTCGTCGGAGTCGTCGCCCCCCCGCTCCGTCTTCTGCTGCGTCTGCCAAGCATCTCTGTCGACGGCCCAGTCGACAGCGATCTGGCGCCCGTCAATCTCCTTGCCATTGAGCTCCAGTATGGCCTTCTCGGCGTTCTTGCGCCCGCGCAGCGACACAAAGGCAAAGCCGCGCAGCTCGCCCGACGGCTTCTTGGGCAGGTTGATGAAGTTGACCTTGCCGTAGCTGCGGAAGTGCTTCTGCAGCTGCTCGGGCGATTCGATGCTCCACGGCAGGTTGCGGATGATCAGCTTGGGCGTCTGGTTGTCCTTCTTGGCCTGCTCGCGCTCGGCCTTGATGCGGTCGCCGACCTTGACCCGGTCCGGCTCGCCCTCGCGCTGCCGGGCCTCGGCGCCCTCGATGCTGATCTTCTTGCCCTTGAGCTTGGTGTTGTTGAGCTCCTCACGTGCCCGCTGCGCATCCTCGACGTCGGCGAAGGTGACGAAGCCGTAGCCCTTTGATTCCTTGCTCTCCTTGTCGAGCACCACGAGCGCGTGCTTGATAGGGTATGATTCTGAGAAGTAGTCGGTGAGGTCTTGGGTGCTGACTGTGGCTGCGAGCCCACGCACGAAGAGCTGTCGGCGCGCATTTTCCTTGCCGTTGGGGACTGTGTCGCGGGCCTTAGTGGGCTTCTCGACGTCGGCGGTAGGAGTAGCAACAGCGGTGACGGCTTCGGCGCCGTCTTCCGAGAGACGTTGTCGCTTCCTGCGGGGTGCCATTGTGCGGGATGTGCTTGAAATGGCTGCTCGGTGCAAATGTTCGATTCCCAGTCGGGCCAAAAAAAAAATTGTAGACTTGTCGGCAACTATTTCTGCCGTGCTCTTGGCGGCGGATCGACGGACGCGTGTGGGGCAGGAACCGACCATCCACCCTGGACTATGTTACATCCCCAAGACCATCCGTTCACTCACCACACTCGTCATCGCTCACACTTCCAGGCATCCCCCGTTCGCACGGCGTCTAAATCTTTCGATGAGATTGTGTCGACGATCGCATCAGACCGTGACTGACGACTTTCGTCTCGTCCGAGAGAGGGCGTACACCATTCCTGAACTATCAATTGCTTGCACAGTGGGTCGTTGTTATTCATGCACGTCTCCAAAAAGCAACGACAACAGCATGATAATGACAATAGATACTATCGCATCAATTCAAGGGTTAACATGTTGAACAGATATCGTTGTATCGTACAAAGACAGACTTCCAAGAGTCAGCCTCGCCATACTAAACCCATGATAATGCGCGGGCTGGCGATCGCCCATACATCATATCGCACAAACATCTCAACCTCCATCACACCTTACGTCTTTCTACACCGTTTTTTCAAGATTCCCATCTCTTACCCAACCCCCGGGAATGCGCGACCTTCACACGGCTAAAAGCTTACTGCAACCCGCCTAGCTGCTACTATAACTAGCCTTAGCGACTATGCATGTGACGTCAACACATATTGATACACGGCCTACGTGAGGGGCAAACGCCAGAGGCTTCGCCGTTGCACTTGTCATTTGCTTTGCCTCGTTACGCTAATTTAAACTTTCGACTAACATGTCGCGTCGGTCCGCCGAGGCGAGCGAAACAGAAGCCCTCTTATATAACCATACGCCCGTTGCTTCCTCCTCGAGAGCCGAGTACGATTCCGACGACGAGATTAGATCCGTTATCATGGCGAAAATTTTGGATCATGAAAAAGAGAGGGAGAATGCTGCGGGCAAAATCGCTCCAGACGAGCGCTCGAGGTCGCTGGCTGAGGAGCTGGCTGAGGGTACCACGCTCTATGAGAAGAAGTGCATTCTTATCAACCGCGAGATCGATGCCATGGGCATGGGGAGATACCAGTGGTCTCTCTGGGCACTCTGTGGTTTTGGCTACTTGATCGACCTCATGTGGGCTCAAGCATTCGGGCTTGTCCTGTCACCTTTGCAGCAAGAGCTTGGTTTTGGTCCTGATCAGACTGGCAACCTCTCAATAGCCTTTTCCGCTGGTCTCACCGCTGGTGCTTTCACTTGGGGTATCTTGGTTGACGTCATTGGCCGTCAATGGGCATTCAATCTCACTGTCCTCATTGCCAGTGCCTTTGGTTTGTGCATCGGCGCACCCAGCACCTACCCTGCCATCCTTGTCCTCACGGCTTTCACTGGATTCGGCGTCGGAGGCAACATCCCCATCGACACCACCATCACCCTCGAGTTCACGCCTCAGAACAAGCGATACCTTCTGCCTCTGCTCTCCATCTTCCAGCCACTTGGAGTAGTCATCTGCAGTGTCATCGCATACGGCTTCATCCCAAACTTCTCCTGCAGCCCTAACTTCTCAGAGGAAAACCCACTACCCTCATGTCATGGAGTGGCGGCAGGAGTAGCGTGCTGCACCAAAGCGAGCAACATGGGCTGGCGCTACCTCCTCTTTACCCTTGGCGGTATCACCCTCTTCATCTTCTTCCTCCGCTTCGTCGTCTTCCGATTCCAAGAGTCCCCCAAATTCCTCCTGTACCGCGGTAAAGACGCCAAAGCAATTCAAGTCCTGCACAACGTCGCAAAATACAACAAGCGAACCTGCACGCTAACGCTGGCAACCCTTGAATCTCTCGAGCGCGAATTCGACTCGACAACCAGCGGCGAGCCCATGCTTGGTGGCGGCGCCAAGCTCCTCAAAACGACTTGGTCGCAGAAACTCAAGCTGGAGGCTGATCGCTTCAAGATCCTCTTCGCAAACAAGCAAATGGCCAGACTCACCATCCTCGTCTGGCTAACCTACATCTGCGACGCCTGGGGCTTCACTGTAGCCGGTACGTACCACCCCCCATGAGCAGCCCACACATACTAACCCCCACCCAGGAACCTACCTCCCGCAAATTCTCGCCTTGAAAAACGGCGCCCTACACCTGTCCCTGCGCTACACATACCGCTCATACATCTACATCTACCTCCCCGGCGTCGTCGGCGTCCTCCTCGGCGCGCTCGCCTACCGCGCACCCTTCGTCGGCCGCAAATGGACCATGGTCATCTCGTCCGCACTAATGGGCATCTCCATCTTCATCTTCAGCACAGTCAACGACGCGGCGTCCAACATCGGGCTGAACGTCATGGAGTACTTCTTCCAGAGCATGTTCAACGCCGTGCTGTACGGATGGACACCCGAGGCTTTCCCCGCCCCGATTCGCGGCACAGCGTGTGGTGTGGCGAGTTTCTGGGGCAGGTTGTTCGGTATTGTGAGCCCGCTTATCGCCCAGCATTTGTATGCGGGGAGTGGCGATGGGAATCGGGATATCAACTCTGTGCTTTATCTGGCGGGTGGGGTTACCCTCGGGTGCGTGATTACGACGGCGTTGTTGCCCACGCGGTTGTTGGGGAAGCAGAGTTTGTAGAGCGGTGGGGGTGGAACTATCGCGTGAAAAAACTTTTCTTTTTTTTGGTTCGCTGGTAGAGTGGGTGCGTGTCTTGTCTTGTCTTTGGGGAGAGGTGAGGGGTTCGTCGGTTTCTTTATACCCTTATATATGCTCCTCCGCGGTTTTTTTCATAGAGTCTATATACATCGTCTTCTCTTTGGCGTGTTGGGATCAGCCGTGTGTGGGGAACTTGGTATGTTCTTGTATATCCCTCTATCTCTCTGCTGCACACCATCTTCCTCCCATTACATTACGTATACTCCCACGAATAGTTAGTATCACATCCAACCCAACAGCCCATTGTAACGGAACTGAGTGATTGATTCATACACCCGCTCACCATCACATATCTTTCCATCAGACCAAGCACAGCATTCCTCGAAAACGACAAGGTATGCAATGCTGCAACATTTCATGTAAGACGCGCTGAGTCCGCAAGAGCTGATGTACAATCACACCTCCACGCCAGGGAACTGCTCAATAGCGACTTGGGCATGAGATTGAGGATGAGGATTATGGCTGAGTAGGTCGGGCGGATGTACACGATATATAATTTATCATTTGTTAGATGAGGGGTTGGGGTTGGATTTAGCAGGATTATGTGCGGAGTATGGGTACATGTTTTCTAACTTCATCATGCGGATGGGCTTGGGGCGAGTTAGTGTATACGGGGGCTGTTAAGTGACTGCTGTACTGATCATGTTGATGTGTCGCGTAGGTGGGTTGGAGGGAGTATTGAGGGTAGGTAGGGCTGGAGTATCTAGTGCGTGAACTATCTTATCTGTTTCTCTGAAGTGCGGGGGAGTGCGTACTGGTCTGGTTTGAGAGAGCGTTAGGTGCTGTGTGTCTTGTCTTACGAGAAGATTTTGTTTTATGGACTGCTGATGTTGTGTTGTTGGGGGTTGTGGTTGTGCATAGATTGATGAGGGGACTGGAGAATCGGATGTGACTTCTACTGATAGTGTTTGAGAGAGCTTGCTTGTGTAGTTCCAGATAATAGAAATCGGTGAGTCTGCGAGATTTCATCCGGGTCAGTGTATTTTCGTCGAACTGATGGTACGTGGTTTTTTTCGCCTCTTTTCTCAAGATCGCGAATCTGCAACAAGTTCAGACATGGAGGCTCTTTATATCGTAGTGTATTCAGACCTATGCTGATCAGATTGGCCTTCGCAGTGGGGTGTTAAGAAGTAGGGTCTGATCTTGATTATCCACCTTCTCCCAATCGGTTTGTGGTTATGAGCTCAACTGATTCTTAGCAGAAAACGCATTGATGGGATGGAGAAAATATTGCAGGACAAACGGTTGTGATGGAAAGGTCGGATTATGAGCGCATAACATCGACTGAGAGGAGTTTGAAATTGAAATTGAAATTGCGAGGATATGAGACCGAAGCATGTGTTGAGTGATGAATAGAAGCAAGACGATGGCATTGTATTGTAATTTTTACCACAAGTACAAAGCATCTGCCATATCTCGGTATCTGAATATGTTCTTGAACGGGCCAGACGTGTTGGCACGGCCTCTACAAAAGACAGGGCATGGCTGACAGCTGAGAAGACCAAATTATAGAATCCGAGTACGACTGTGCCTCCTCATCGCAGATGGCAACGGTTTTGAAGAAGTGCAACGCTTACAACTGTCATGCATCGAAAACTACAAAACAATAAACAACATTGCACACAGAGAGTCAAGTTGTGGCAATGGTGATGTTGCAGAAAGCTAGGCACAAGACTAGTCCCAAATCAGGACTAACGCAGACCTCTCGGTTGCGCGGGTTTTTCCTCGCCGGTCGCCCACAGTCTGAACTTCAATATCGCCAAATCGACATCAACTCTCGTCGTCACCGCTAACCCGCAGCAAACCTCAAGATGAAGTACATGTACGTCTCTCTCCCGATCCCGAGTCTCGAAACGCCGCATCGCACGATCACACACGCACAATTATGGCACTGGACGCATCCCCAGCCAAGCTCGACTCGCCAAACCGCAGAATACATGGAACAGGACTGACAATCGCGTAACAGCCACTCCGAGGAACTGCTCGATATCCCCGAGGGGGTCAAGGTCGCCATCAAGACCAGGAACGTCGTTGTTGAGGGTGAGTGCGCAACTGCGAGGAAGGAACGAGAATTGGCAGGCTAACACAGTGGACAGGTCCCCGAGTACGTTGACCGTGAAAAACCTCGAAGACGCCATACTCACAGTCTGCAGGGCAAGCTCACAAAGTCCCTCGGCCACTTGGCGGTCAGCTTCACGCACGTATGTTCAGATTCGAGACGGCGCATTGGGAACACGGACTAAGAATGGAACAGCCCAAGGCGAATGTCATCAAGATCGAGCTCCACCACGGCTCGCGCAAGAGCGTCGCCACACTCCGAACCGTCCGCACTCTCATTGTACGTCGCACACGGGTTGCTTTGGAATCACGTCAGAGGAGGAACCGGGCTGACTGGCAGTAGAACAACTTGATCATCGGTGTCACCAAGGGATACAAGTACAAGTGAGTTGGCAAAACAACCTGTTGGAAGATATATGCTAACAATGTGTCAGGATGCGTTACGTATATGCCCAGTATGTGTTACCCGCACCAGCCGAACCCGACCCCATCTCTCCGACCATGTCCAACTCGCAATCCGCGCCAGCACCCCACTAACACCACATGCAGTTTCCCCATCAACGTAAACATTGAGAAGAACAAGGAGACGGACCAGTTCGAGGTTGAGATCAGGAACTTCATCGGCGAGAAGCGCGTACGAAGGGTCGTGATGAGGGCTGGTGTCGATGTCGAGCCATCCAAGAACCAGAAGGATGAGCTCCTCCTGTTCGGAAACGTAAGCGCGCTCGTGCAGTCTGTATTGTTTTGCCGTACTAACGGGCCTCCAGTCTCTCGAAGATGTTTCCCAGAGCGCCGCCGATATTCAGCAGAGCTGCCAGGTCCGCAACAAGGATATCCGAAAGTTCTTGGACGGTATCTACGTGTCGGAGAAGGGCAACCTTACGGAGGCTGCATAGACGATCTCGGGGAGTACGGGTTTCTTTACGGGCATATGAACAACTATGAGCTTCTCTGCATCACGGACTGCGGTTGGCGCCTTGGGGGTTAAAGCTCTAAAATGATGTTCAATAACAATACCACCATGACCGGATGGAAACCTCTAGCACATGATGACTAGTGATGCTGTTCATATGCATGTTCCGAGACGCTGCGGGTAGTTTCGACTTTAGTGACTGCAGTTCCTGATCGACGCAAGACGGTTGTTCCTCGAGATTACACCCCGCGTTTATATCGACTATCGCCGCAAACTCCGTCTGCATAGGTAATCCGACCGTCTATCTCCAGAAGGAGGATGAGCTGGCTATGCGGCGCAGCTACAACCGGATAATCTGGCATTTCCCCTCACTGTCCGGGCGATGGCGATTGGAAAGTGGCGAAAACGTATGCCTGTGTGTTAATATAAAGGAGGGGTATAGTCGACCATCCCGCAATTATCTTTCCTACTGTATCTGCAGTTTGTCAGAACTTACCATTAACTACACAACATGGCCGACAAACTAGATATCGAGGGGCTGCTGAAAGAGTCGAAGGCCGATTACAAACAATTGGGGAAGAGTGGCTTGAGGGTTTCAGTGCCAATTCTCGGTGCTATGAGCTTCGGCAGCAGTAAATGGCTACCATGGGTTATTGAAGAGGAGGAGGCGTTGCCAATCTTGAAGGCGGCTTACGATAAGGGTATCACGACTTGGGACACTTGTATGCAAATTCCTCCGCTTGATGTGATCGCTGAATAACGACGAATTTCACAGCCAACAACTACTCCAACGGTGTCTCTGAAGAGATCATCGGTAAAGCCATCAAGAAATACAATCTTCCCCGTGAGAAACTGGTCATTCTTACGAAATGCTTCGGAACCGTTGGTGAAGACCCAGGACTTTGGACCATCAAATATCGACAGGAGCTCCCGAAGCTCAAAGATTACGTCAATCAAAATGGCCTTTCGCGTCAGGCTATCTTCAATGCTGTCAATGCGTCGCTCAAGCGCCTCGGTATCGATTACATCGACCTTCTACAAATCCATCGTTTTGATGAGTCTACGCCGATCGAGGAGACGATGGGGGCGCTGCATGATCTTGTCAAGAGCGGAAAAGTGCGGTATATCGGCGCCAGCTCGATGTGGGCGGTGCAGTTTGCCCGTATGCAGTTCACTGCTGAGAAGTTCGGATTTACAAAGTTTGTGTCAATGCAAAACCACTACAACCTCCTTTACCGCGAGGAGGAGCGTGAGATGATCAGGTTCTGCAACGATACGGGTGTCGGGCTTATTCCGGTACGTTGCTTTTTCCATCGATTTGATATTCATGGTACTGATTCGAGGCTTGTAGTGGGCACCCCTCAACCGCGGCAATCTCGCGCGTCCAGTCGCTGCCTATGGGTCGACCACGCGGTCCGAGGGCGATAAAGAGAGTGGCACGGAATTAAGCGACGTAGATCGGAAAATTATAGGTCGTGTGGAAGAGCTGGCGAAGAAGCACGACTGGAAGATGAGCCATGTTGCGATGGCGTGGATCAATAAGAGGGTAAGTAGTCCCATCATTGGGTTCAGCAAGGTGGAGCGCATTGATGAGGCACTGGAGGCTAGGGGAAAGGAACTCACTGAAGAGGAGGAGAAGTATTTGGAGGAGTTGTATGTGCCACGGGTGATTGTAGGACACCAGTGAACAGTTGGGTTGAAGTGAAGTGGAATGAAACCTCATAGTTGGATTGAAACGTACGATTGAACAACACCATCATCGTCAGGATCCTTTACGTGCACATGCATGCTTCATTGTTCAGATAAAGTTCATGCACAGTCACCGGGAATACCCAGTCCTATTGTGCCCGACTGGTTGCCATCTTGCACCATCAGAGCTACAGGTCCAATTGCATACGGCACCCAAGTTTTCGTATTCCGGCCCACAACTTGTATCAGCAACACTTGACCCAAGTGGATACTGCACACGAGTCCTACCAGCATTCGGCGCCGTGTATGCACCGGACTGAAGCGATGAGCGGTTTCTTTACCTGGGGATGACGTAACGTGATGTCGCGTGATGGTCATCTCACTAATGTTTGTGAGCTTCGCAAAGAACGAGCATCACATAGCTACAGCTTGAAGTGAATATTATAACGAACGAGAGCTTCAATTGCTAGTCTGGACGCTTCCTTTGTCGTGATGCTGTTCATTGTCCCCTCACCAGAGGCGCGTCGTTGGCGTCGCGCCTGCAGTAACGTTCCACGCCAAGACTTCCCCGCATTTCCCCAGGAGTGCACTGGATTGGGTTGATGGTGGTGTGGTGATCAAGTGACAAGCTCCTGTGCTTCCGACCATTGACCCCTCATCTCGTTTCATAAGAAGAGCGCCCTCCCTCGTCTCACTTCTCTTCTCACACACTTCGCTGTGCTTCGTCTCACTTCCTCCTCATCTCCAAACACCAGCTCTTGAGCTGTTCCAAGCTCTTTCAGTGATCTCGAACCTCCTCAGCTCACTCGTAGCTTCCTACACCTTGTGCTTGCTCTCACTCCCACCATCACCATGACAGAAGCCGGGGACACGCTCACCAAGATCGACTCGCTCGACCTCGAGCACCAGGAACTCAAGAAGGGCCACCGCAGACGTAGCTCTCTCGCTCCTGATGTTTACGCAATTGAAGACTTAGGTGAGGCACACCCTACTGATGATGGCCTGAGATAGATGAAGGGAAGACAGGACTGACGAGATGACAGAGAAGGAGAACGTAGAGCTCAAGATCTCAATTGAGACGCAGAAACTTGGATGGTATGTGAACACTTTCCTCACCTTGAATACCTTTGTCCCATGCATCGTCTGGTCAGCTCATCGACGCCGGATGCTTTCGTTTTCCTCAACACATGCTGACTGACTTGCCATGCAGGAAACTGAACAAGTCGTCTATGACAGTCGATGACCCAGCAGTCCTGAAGCTGCCACTCACCGAGCCCAAGGTCAAGAAGATCACTCTCCACTTCCCACTCGGACTCGAGGTCGTTGCAAGAAACCTCAAGGGTGTTACTATCAAGGACGCGTTAGACGCCATCCACAAGCAGTTCAAGAAGCGGGTATGTGATCGTCCGCCGCTTTCATCTCCACCCACACTACCATACCATACATGGCAAACATCATGGCTGACTCTCTTCCACAGGCAGATGACGAGTTCGAGAAGCCCTACCTAGCTGGCTTCGAGTGGGATCGCGAAGATTGCTACACGCGCTTCATAGTCCACCAGTCTGCCGTGCCGACATCCTCCATGTCTAGCGGCGGCAACTCTTCCAAGAAGAAGAAGAAGGCTGCAAAGGAGGGTGCTGACGAGTAATGAACAACTCGCCCCCCTTCCCTGACTTCGACTTCACACACAGCCTCGATCATGTCTCTATGCTTCCGCATGAGTTTTATGAGGGGTATACGATATGCACTCGAGTGCTGGTCAATCTCCACATCGATTTGGGAAGAGCGCGCTTGTCTACTGCGAATGGCACGGCTGGTGTACTGCACGCCTGAGAGGGTGCGCGGTTACCAGTCAGTCGTTGCGGGGCGGATGAGCGTCGTGGGATCCTCTACTGGTGCTTGCTGGTGAGCTGGCAGTGCCTGTCTATGTATGTTATTAGGGATTTGATGGGACCGCTGGAAAGCGTCCAATGCAATAAGAAGACCCTATCATCCAAATCGGTTGCTTGAGTGTTGCTGTGATGTCGTTGAAAGTCTTTGAGTGGGACCCACTACGGGCGACAAGCCAGGTTAAGCGACAGACACACTTGCCGCGGCCCACCATCACTCTTGTACATCTCGCCGCCTTGGAGGACACAACCTCCAACGCTTCTGTTAACCACCTTCGTGACGCGTCTTTTAGTGTCTTACGATAGCTTCTTCCCAATTCCTCGGCGTGACACAAAGTTAATTATGGCCGTGGGGCGCAAGCCTCCACTGAACTCGCTTGAGCGTCCTATGAGTGAGGGGCAGCCTTGCATACATGTAGCGGCTACATAGGCTTCGCATGCGTAGGCGTTTCAGCGCTTGCTTCTTCCTTTCTCGTAATCCTGGCTTTCCTCTTCATTCTCCCCATTCTATACGCAATTTGTGACACTTTGCACGATGAACTTTACTCTTCCCATGCGGCCTCCCAAAACGCCGCGTCGAAAATCAAGCATGGTCGCTCGCGCCGGCGTCATGAAACGCCGCATTTCGAATGTCGCAGCGACAAGTGCCAACAACGTGCCCTCGTTGAGTTTGATGGAAGAGTTGTTTGGAGATGATTTTCCCGAAGCGTTCGCGGGTAGTGTTGGCGGCTACGTGCACAAGAGTAGGAGAACAATACTGGACCTACCGGCAGAATTGCTGGCCGTTATTTGTGAAGACTTGTCGAAACTGGACATCAAAAGGCTGCGGCTTGTGAACAGAAGTCTGGCGAAGAGGGTGGAGCTACGTATCGATCGTGTCTACATCTCGCCAAACCGGGCGAATCTGGAGTCTTTGCAGAGGATTCTCGGGCACAAGCGATATCGCAATCGGGTGCAGGAGATTATTTGGGACGATGCGCAGTTGGAGGAGTATTCGTCGCTGGAAGACTTTTCTCATGCGATACATAACGACGAGAAGCAATTGGTCAACGATATCGAAACCCGTCTTGAGGATGCTATCAATGGACAAAACGATGACAGCTTCGACTACCAGGCTTTGGAGTACGGCGACTTGTTCCAAGATGGTCGATTGACTGATGTCGCAAAAGGGCTGTTGCTGCGATACGATGATCAAACATCGAGAGATTTGATTGCTAGGTGTGCCGCGATGATGAGCGTCGAGGAAAGCTATGCAATTTACCAGGATCTGTACAGGGAGGAGCAGGAGATTATGAAGCGAGGCGATGATGTTGCTGCTCTACAATATGCGTTGACGGGCTTTCCAAATGTGAGGAGAATAACTCTGACGAGCGAGATCTGGAGACCCTGGAATCTACTTCCTACCTACGACACGCCGCTTTTCCGCTCCCTACCCCCGGGTTTCCGCAAACCCTCTGTGTGGCCATGGTTAGGCCCCAGACCCCATCCTACTCCGGCACAAACCGCACATCGCGACAAAGTAATGGCACAACCTCTCGATGGATTACCGACTGAGTGGAGGGGTTACAGCATCCTCGTATCTGCCTTGATCGCTTTGCCAAACCCCAAGATCGAAGAGTTTATCATAGACGTAGGAAACGAACCCACAGGACTACCACACCAGCTCTTCGCTGCACCGAACGAAGACTACACGCTTACGCTTCGCATGCTCCAACATCTTCCACTGAAAAAACTCCAACTCGCCTTAAATTCACACGGCGCTGCACACGTGGGGTACACTTATCTCACTTCCGGCCTCCTCTTCTCCGCCCTCAATACTCTGCCCAATCTCGAGTCCCTCGATTTAAACACAAACTCTCACGCACGCATCATCCGACTCGTAGAGTTTTGGACAGACCCCTCCAAGCTACTGCCATTGTCCTTGATGCAAAGACTAAGCCACTTCGCCTTGCGTAACACAGTGCTGTGCACGAATCTGTGCTCGAGACTGTACCCATTCTTGGCAAGCATGACCAACGTCAGATCCGTCGTACTTGATAATACATTCTCAGGACCAGAAGATCATAAAGCGAGGTTTGCGCAGGCGCTTTGCGAACTGAGAGAAGATTTTGCTAGTGATGGGCGGAGGCCTAGGTTCACGGTCCTCATCCCAGCTTTTTATCATGGTTTGCGGGAAGGTTCACGGTCGTGGCTTATTGAGGAGGAGATCAGTGCGTTTTTGTATGAGGGGGGTGCGATGCCTTTTCTATTCCCGGATTGTAGAGAGGGGTGGGAGGTGGATGATAGGGATCCGAGGTATCGAAAAAGCCGTGATAAGTTGTGACGAGAAGGGGTCTTCTTGGGATTTGTGTGGATTTAACGGCGTATTAGAAGACATACAGATTAAAGTCTTGCCTTTACAGAAACCAATGATATTGTATACGATAATCTATTACATTGCTGCAAGGTGCGGTGTTGAGTGGCGAGAGAGGCACTGCGTCGGTCTACTTAATCTTTGGCTGTGCTAGATATAGTAGTGGTTGAAATATTACTTTGAAACGGGAGAGTTGCATACCTTTTATTCTCACGCATTGTGTCATGGGGATGCAAGGGCTGAAAATGGGAACCGAGGCTTGACCAACCTCCTACCAACGGCTGGAGCCTGCGACACTCCATCACCACGACATCGCCTACTTCCGTTCTACAACTCCTACGCATCCGCACATCCAAAAGACATGCCGAATCATACAATTCCCGAATACTTCAACAAGTATATCGAGCGTAAACTTGGCGACTTGATACGAGCGAAGATTGAAGCTGATCCAAACGCAAGCGTCATAGCAAACACTCTTTGCCCAGATTGTGAAGCAATATTCACGAAGCCTGAAATACTCCGGCTACCTCGCGTGGTCGAATTTGACAAAACGTTTCCACACAAGCGGCACTTGGACGAGCTTATACAATCGGCAGCGGATGGGTGCCATCTGTGCAATCTTCTCTGTAATACAACAAAATTCCTCAACTTTAACCGCCCATGCATAGCCCAAATGGCCCTCCATCTACGAATTTTTGGAAATTTGGATGCGCACTACAGTCTCCAGCTACTTGGACGAGCTACCCTGGAAGCACAACAAATCGAATTGAGGGAACCGCTTGCATCACTGCTATTTGACTTCACGCCAGATTTCATACCGCCGGTAGAATATGCTAAGCCAGTTGTAATCGAATCCGAAATCGATTGCAGGCTCTCGACTCTTGCTCGTCAGTGCTCTCTGGATCTCTGGACTGGATCGAGTGCGACAACTGCCCTTGTGCGAGAATGGTTGAAGGTCTGTGCGGATACTCATGAAAGATGCTGCCAATCTGTTACTGAAACGGTTGCCTTGCCGAGTCGGCTGATTGATGTTGGAGAAGATATGAAAACCTGTGAACACGTTCGTCTGCGACTGCTGGAGGATATTGGGAAAATCATGGATCTGTCGAGCCTCGAATACCTCACTTTGAGTCATCGCTGGCCTCAAGATCCGATCAAGTGTCTGACCCTGGAGAACATGAAGGACATGCAAAAATTGATTGCTATTGAAGATTTGCCTCCCAGCTTTCAGCAAGCTGTGCTTCTCACTCGACGTCTTGGTTATCGATATCTGTGGATTGATTCCTTGTGTAAGTACTTCATACATGCTTATTTCAACATAAGCTCATCTTAACACAATCTATCATTCCAGGCATAATTCAGAACTCAGCGGCTGACTGGCAACATGAGTCAGCTGAAATGGGGGACATTTATCAAAGAGGAGTTCTGAACATTGCTCCTTTGTCAGAGTCCTATGAGAAGGTTGAGGGTTTTGAATATCGAAGACCGTTCAGGTATCTCGATTGCACGATCGACGGGACATGGCGTATCAGTTTCCGTGATATACAACGGAAACAAGGTGCTGTATACGGAGAACTGTTGTCACGAGGTTGGGTTGTGCAAGAGCAGGTTCTTTCGCCGCGAACCATATTCTACCACTCCGATGGAGTGGTGTGGAAGTGCCGCCACATCTTAGCCAGCGAACAACTTCCAAAGAACATTAGATTTGACAAAGAATTGGAAGATTCGTACCCAAACCTCAAGCTCGCGATTACGAAACTCAAGCTGTATGAGTTACCGGACCTTTCACACCCCTCTGAGCAGTTCTGGATATTCTATAAGGCTTGGACACAGCTCATAGGGTACTATACCAACTGTCAACTTACGGTTGAGAGCGACAAGCTAGTCGCTATATACGGTATAGTGCGCAAGGTTGAAGAGAGCTGCGAATTGCGCTCCATTGCCGGTCTCTGGCGGCAATTATTGCCCATAGAGATGCTCTGGTACACACCCAGCGGATGGTATGAGACTGACGATAAACCATATCGATCCCCGTCTTGGTCATGGGCATCTCGATACTCAAATTGTCACAACGACTGTGCCAACATGATTACGCCTTCTCGGCCCAGTCTCACGTTCGATTGGAAGGTGCAGATAGTCTCTACAGATGTACAAGCCCTGTCGAACGGGCAAGTACAATCGGCACATGTCGTCATTCGCGCGCCGCTACGGGTAGTCAGTCTTGGAGAATTGGAGAATTACTCTACGAAATTTCTTGACAGAGGCTTCGTGGACTCGGGATCGATCTGGTTCTCTCCTTCCGAAGACGAGGACAGGCACTGGAATCCTGATATACCGTTGTCGGATGGGGTATCATTGTTCGCAGTTCTCTTCGCTCGCCGGACAGCGTCGAGCTATGTGAAGGAGGTCAGGGCTGACGGGTGGTTCAAAGACGGCATGTGCAATCTCGGCATCGTTGTGAAGAGAGTTGAGGAAGAACAGGACACGTTTGTCAGGGTTGGGTACTTTGAAGAGCACTTTTATCCTTTGGATACTTGGCCACTATTTCCTGTCTACGAGAGGGTGACGAAGAGAACGATCAAGATCATATGAGACTGTGGTCTCATATATCTCTCGATTATGACTGGACAATCACCAAGGACATCGAGCCTGCCTTTTGAACAATGAGACTGCAAGACCCGACATTCATGCTTGATCAAGGTGAGTTGTCGCATAGATCATATGAACACTCAGCTTTGCCAATCTTGGTCACATCAAGTACGCAATCTGAGCGCTGGAGATGACGATGCAACGAGTGCAGGATACTACAGCGTCAGCATCATGAAATTCTGACAACGGATTTTGTTGGCTATGTTCTAGTTACTTAAAATGTTCCTTTCGATAGCTCATGAAGACGCGTGCTCGAAGGGAAGTATTGCCAAGACTCACGCCAAACCTCCTTCCTTTGTTCCTGCGGGTCTAAGACATTAGTTGTCCAAACTCGATCGCTCCTGCCAAGAGAAAGTCGTTGAGAACGTCTCCTTAAACCTTATGAGGCACGCCTTCGCTCGTTCTAGAAATAATATAGGTAATCAGCCTTAGCTGCTCGAAGAAATAGGAAAGTGGTACCAACCCCCCTGGATCAGTCTCAGCCAGACACTAGATTTGGCAACCAACGGCGTGCGCCGGATTTCCTACAGACAATCAGTGCGGCTAGAAAACGTTTGTCGGGCTCTTTAGGTTTAGCGATTGTGACGCCTATGTTCCACATGCTTGCGAGATCGGGCATCGAAGCGAAGACCTTTGTGACCTATTGACGACTTTGACGGAGATGCCGACAAAAGAACAAATAGATTGCAACTACCACAGGAATTGAAACAGATGAAACAACCATCAATTACAGAAAAAGGACAGGTTTCAATTTTCTTGCCTTGGCCACATCGTTGTTGATACAGAGCTTGTCTGGTACGAAGTTGGGATAAACTAGTCATGACAGACATTCGAAATACTTAACAAATTTGATTATCACTGTTGATGTCAAGATGACTGCAAATCAGACTCGTTCAATATTCTCAAGTGCTGACCGTATTCAGTCGTATTTTCTTTCTTTTGGTACACTAGTTCAGGAGAGGGCACTTCAGCAGTTCAACAATGAGAAACATAAGCGGTAGTGGCTTGAAAAGATTTGTTCAGTACATGAGAAAAGGTGATGAAGGGTTTCACATGGGTGATCTAGAACAGAATCATGTACCGGATTGGGTGATGAGTGGATGAAGTGGCTGGGCATGACTGAATGACAGCGATATTGAATCGTACAAAATCGGCATACAGGCTCGCACCGTCCCGAACCGTAGATGTTTTTTTCGCTAAACCCTGTACTAGTGCAACGGCATTAAAAGCAGCATAGATTAGTCAGCGGCCCCGGATTTGTTCAAAATAACTTCTTTGTAAACGCACTTAATCGGTTGCAACTCACAAGTCAATAACACAGAAAAACATGAAGTCTAGCATATTGCTCCCACTATACATCTACCCTAACCTTGGGGTTTGGGACCCTTTATATGCGGCGTATGACGAATTTCCCTCACTCTTTGTCTTGTCAACTAATACCCTCCAGCATTGCCGCTTTTCCAGATCTACAATGGATCATCATTGTCAATCCAAGCAGCGGTCCTGGATCTATGCCATGGTGGCCCAACGAGGACTACGTGCGAGAGATACCCCGACTGAATGCACAGCCAAATGTGACTACAGTGGGTTATGTCAAAGCGGATTACTGTAGGAGGGCAGTGGAAGACATATCTCAGGATGTTGATACATACGCAATACGTGCTACAGACCGAAACTACCCGGGACTGGAGATGAACGGGATATTCGTCGACGAGACGCCCAATCTGTACTCAAATACGACAAAAGCACATCTCGACGCAATCGATCAGAAAGTCAAAGGTTGCCCAGGAATTCAGAGTGACAGAATCGTACGTCAGCAATCTCAAAACGAAACGATCGTTCAACACTAAGCGTTGAGTAGGTTATACACAATCCCGGCACTGCCGTCAACAAAGGCCTCGCAGATCCGGGTCCTGACATTACTACTGTGGTCGAGACCTCATATGCAGAGTTTGTAACTCCCAACTTCCAACAGTGGCTGGCTACATCGCCGTACGATCGTTCGCGATCTTCTTACATGGTACATTCTGTCCCGGATGGGGAGGTGGCGAATCTTACGATTGCGTTACGCGAACGGGCGCAGTACCTGTTTGTAACGAGTTTGACTGAGAACTTCTACGAAAGCTTTGGTCCGAGCTGGGGAGAGTTCGTTGCGGCGATGGCAGAGCCATAAGGGTACTAACAGCTACGTGGGGCTCAAGCGGTGATGATGATGATAAGGAGGAGGAGGAGGGGGAGGAAGGATGCGATCAAAGGTTGCGCAGCGATGTAAGACCGACTTTTGGTATTATGATAGACAAAGTGAAAATTCGATGCTCGAGTATTTGACCATGTGATTCGAAGGGAAGTGCAATCTCAGGCCTTACTTCAAGTTGGCCAATATCAAAACAAGCAGGTTTCTGGGAGACTGAGTAAGACGCGCCAACTAGTAAGCATATATAGCTTAGTCCACAAACTTCACACTGATAACAACACCCCTGTCCCACTACTATTCCAAAAGCTGCCACTTTCAGTAATCAGCCAAGAGTTCATGAATGCTGTCCGGACTCAACAACATTTCTTCCAACTGCCACGCCGCTACGGGCTGGCAACGCTTGCGGATATCCTCTGTGTGGTCACGTCGACCGCTACGTGCCATTTCCGGGAAATGTTCGATGCAAGCGTCTTCAATGATGTTCCAAATTCTACATCGGTTCCATAGCCCTGTTGGAGGTCCGACCAGTAGTGGGTTACTTTCGTTTCTAGGAAACTTCTTCGCAACCAGGAGCTGAGCAACACTTCTCCAATCCCACAGGCGATCTTGGCGTTCATGATCAAGTTGATTCGCATCCAGATCCCATATATGGGGAACCAAGCTACCGTCGATGAGACGGTCGCGCCAGAACTTGTTATTCAGAGGGGCTTTGATAGCAAACGCTTTGGATGTGCAGTGCAGTGCGATGACTGATTGAGGTGGGAGGTGTTTGCCGATTTGATCGAGTAATTCAGTTGGGAGACGTTCGAATCCGAGAGGCTCGCGCGCAAATTGCAATGTAGTTGGATTTTGTTCTATTTTGAGAGGTGTGGTCGTAAGCATATCAGACACGAACGAAGTAAGGTCAGGAATGTCGATAGGATTGGTGTAAAAATTCTGGACCGATGTCAACGCCGATTTTCAACATGACATGATAGACATACTTCATGATAGCCCTCCCACCATTCAAGCTTTGACATAGCCATTACACTGCGAGGTCCATACATACTTGAGTTTTCGCACAAGTCGAAGATATCGCTCCTTGTGTCGTCCGGGGCGTCTCGCCGGTCGTGAAACCGAGACTGGAGTATTTGGTTCAGGATTGCAAGCGTGGACAATTGTTTTTGATCGTTACGCCGATCTAAAAACCGCTGGATTACCCTGCAGCCAATTTGGATACAGCCGTTATGCAGAGGAAATAGACTATCGCCATCTTGATCATTAAGGGCGTTGAACCACACATCACTCCTATGAGGGTTGCTGTGGTGATTTTCAACCTGAAAGTAGCCCGACCCAGTCATGCTGAATTGGGCCGGCTGAGAGAGGAAGACGTCTTCGCTTCTGGCAAGATTGACTAGCCTAAGTGTACCGTGAATATTTGAGTCAATGACAAGCACAGAGATACTTACACACTAGCTTCACTCGTCACTTTGTGTTCAAGGTAGTTCGAGATACTGCCAAGCAAGCGAATATCGTAGAGCCACTAGCCAACTTGAGTGAGGTACATGGGATGGAGAGTTGTGCAGCAAACTGACCTGATACCGCTTCTCCTTTGGATCAATACTATGCACACCATCTTCTATGTCAAACGGTCCACCGCATATCACGCAAAACGTTCTTGATTCCATTGCGTATCGTGCTTCGCTTTTCCAGTTGTCGTCAACCTGTGATGATGATTGAGACCCACCCATTCTCAAAAATGGCGGAGGAGAGGTCAGAAGGCCTGAGGGACCCTAACGAAGTCTTAGTCATGAGATGCCAAACCACCCATCGCCCTATCTACCTAGGCTGGGTAGCAGTGGGCGAAGGCGGTTCGAGGTACGCGTTGTCCAGCCACGCTCGGTGGACGTTAGTGCATTTCTTAGTGTGCGCTATGATTGGCCACCATCCATGGCGTAGTGTTGTTGCAGATCAGAAAGTGATCCCCTCATCATTCCACTTTCATAGCATTACGCTTCTGTGTCAAGAAATACCAGGCCGAAAGGATATCCCCGGGTGACCATGCCGTCAGCCCGGTGTAGATTCCTTTAAGGCTGAGATCGACGCCGCAGTCATCAACTCACCCTATCACGCCAATCCCGCCACACAAAGCAACTGACTTATATCGGCGAAGCGGCGCTGTTCAAAACCACTCACATAATCGCGTCAATCTTTTGCGCCGACGCTGACACAAGTCCCCTTCGAAAGGCCACAATGTGAGGCAGATAAACAACACTCCGATTTTTGTCTCTGCTCTTCTATTCAACTAACTCGCCTTTGGTTGGCATCGTTTCAGGTTTTCCGTTAACTCCAGATCCAAGCCAAGATTGCTATTCCATTATCACAAAGTTAGATTCATCTTTCGTACTTGGTCAACATATCACCACCCCGTCAAGAAAAGCTGGACAGTTTTTGAGATTAGTCACCCAGCTTGGTAATGACTAATCGCAAAATTGTCCAGTTTTCTTTGACGGGGTGGTGATATAGATAATGAAGCATTTGCACTCGAGGATCGCCTTGGGTGTTGTGTTACGTAAAATATTGCCATACCTGTTTCGTACTTGTACATTGATCGAAGTGCAAGAGAACCTATCGCACGTCAGCTTGTACGAGAATCTCGTTACATACAGGTCATTGTGGTGTAGAAGACATGGGGTAAACGCTCAAAATCTTCTAACACTCGCGACCGTTAGCGCTAACCGCTTGTTATGCTAGCGCGGTTGGGAACCGTGCAGTACAACGACCCCTTCCAATTCCTTCGCCCCTCTGTCGTAAACTTCATCAACCGATTTCTAGGGGTATTCTCTCCATCTCTATCGAATCTCGTTCATCAAATCTTCTCGTGCGTCTTGGAAAAACTCACACATCGTTTCGCGTCAGTTTCGCGTCAGTTTTGTGCCTCACGCGTTTTGCGGTCATGGCTGGGCTCTTGGATTTCAGCACGGAACTCATCATCTGCGTTGCGTCGTTCTTGCGTCAGGTTGACTTGCTGAACTTAGCCCTGACATGCAAGCGCCTCAATACTGCAACAGAGCCGGAGCTCTATCGCGAATACAGAAATCGTCGAATCGGCCGTAATCATCCCCTCTCTAAATTCGCATTAAGGATAATTCAGAGGCCAGATCTGGCCAAACATGTCAAGAGTTTTGATTTAAAAAGTTGGGACGTGTTATATTGTTTCAGTCCTAAGTATTCCGAACCCATTCCGGAGATCCAGCAAAGTCGAGAAGCAAAACAGCTTGGATTCGGTCAACATCGCGCTCCGGAGCCTACCATGGAAGAATACGCTTTATGTACCGAAGCTGCAAAAGCTGCGGGAGTCATCAAGACAATCTTCCCCTATGAGCGGGAAAGCAGTGTGATAAAGAAGGCGAGGCTCATGCTATCCCAAGATCTCGGCGACCGCGCTTTCTGCCACACGTATCTCTTCGACGATGATATTCCTATGCAGGAACTGCCATTCGACCGACAATTTTGTCAGCTTCTCCGTGCTGGGATGTAAGCAACTTACCTTCACAGAAAGTACATAAGTGAGATGTTTACTAATTATGACTACACCTCCAGTGACGATCCTTTCGCAATACTCCTCTTTACAATACTCCCGAATGTTGGCGAAATCTTTCTTGGGACTGCACTTCATTGGCCACGACCTAAACACGGGTTCAAAGCTCTTCGCCGGCTCCAAGCCGGGGGTATGGACACGCAGCTACCCTGGGGGATCGGATATCTCAACAACGTATTAGCTGTTGCTCACCTGGACGAGCTCATGGTCCACAACACGGCCTCAAGGCTCCCGGACGCCGATGACGGAATCTTGCCCGGAGCCAAAAGTCTTCCTCTGGATCTCCGTCCTGGGTCTTTGAGATTGAGAAAACTTGAGCTGGTATCGTGTATTCTGGGACCTTGAGATATACGCACCCTCTTGCACGCATGTCCGCAACTGGAAACACTATATTTCTCAACCGCTGCCGAAGAGTCTGAACTACACAACTTCACGTGCAAAGAGTTGTGTGACGCTCTCGAACCACTTAAAGACACATTGGAAGAGCTGTATTTGGAAGTTAAGCCACAGTTGGATGAGTTTGGCCATCCTCATGAGCGCATAACTTCGCTGTCCCAGTTTACCGCTCTCAAAATACTCGACACTGTACCTGAAATGTGGGAGTGCCTTAGAGAGTTTGAAACGGAGCACGACCCAATTGAGGACGAGCAACGCTTGTGTGATCGTTTGCCACCTTCGCTTGTAACTCTCAATTTCCATCTTTCTCGTGACACTCGCTCATTTGATGATTATACTGTACCAGATTGGCGGCAGATCGAAGATGTGATTGTGAGGCGTTCGGAGAGATTGCCATGCCTCGAAAATGTCTTCATTGGGATTAGATACGAAGACTTTGCCTATGAGCTGAGAGAGACGTTGGAAATTATCCCTGACTATCAACGCGAGGGACTGAGTGTTGAGATAGGAATTGGCGAAGCAGCAGATGGTGCGATACGTAACGCATTTCACGGCATACCAATGGGTCGTTACTTACCCGTTACGAAATGGTTCGGCAACAAGTATGCGTCCAGGAAAGAGAAACCAAACGAATTCGATCAAGTGATGATCGAATTGTGCAAAGATCCTGCAAATATCGAACTGGACAATCAGGAGATGATGAAGATCATCAAAGCAGATGGAAGAGTAAGGGAACTTGCAGAGAAGATCGGACGGGAAGGCTTTCCGGAAGTCGAGTATGAGTCGGAAGATGCTGAGGATGAGATTTGATCTCATTGCCAAGCTGTATGTATTGTTGATACCGACAGTTGTCGCATCTTGCGGGTCGAACCACGGAAGGTGTATGTGGTTAGGCTTGGTTTCGTTTGCGTGTTGCTACTGTTGCATTTTCATGGATTACAATCTCGCGGAAAGTTGAGTGAGAAGATCCCGTTAGTATTGAAGGGGTCGTAAGCACTACCTACCGCACAAATTTACGTTCGTAGTGTCTTGATCTCCAGGCATGAGCTTTTCAGAAGGGCGCTTCCATCGCTATTTTTCAGATAACATGGCATGATGTTTGGTACCTGGTAAAAGCAAAAGTTTGAGTCGCAAAGGAAGGAGCGACGATTTTTCACTTACATTTGAATCATAACCAAAGAGTCACGACACATTGCCTCCATTGACGGCTTCAGTGAACACAAGCAGATATGGTTTCAAGCATATTGTTCTCGTTTCGTAGAACTTCACTTCAGGCGAAGTCAACATCGGTGCCATTAAACTGCATCATAGTGAAAGCATGACGGATACTACGTATTGTGGGGACCGACTCGCCTTCACCACCGTAAGCTGCTTTCACTGTCGTCATATTAACGCCCCGCTCCAACGCTTGTTGAAAATATCTGCAAGTTGAAATTCCTCTATTTACTCGTCGTCGATCATATTCTCAACCTGCACCTGTCCACAAGCGGTGGCACTTTTCATCGCCCACGATGGACCCAGGATCTAGTATAAGCAATATCCGCGACTTCTTCTCACGAAGCGATAGACAGAATCTCCCACCCGATCTCAAGCGTGCTCTTACACTCCTGCAGCTCCATACACTCGAAGATCTGGAACAGCGCTTCCTCTCCACTGACGCGTTCCTGAAGCCATGGGCTGTGTTCCGCGACTCCATATTCCTTCTGCAGCCCGATGCCATGACGCGCACTACGGAGATCTTCCGCTCTACCGAAGTCGGCGTGAGGGCTCATATTGGCATCAAGCGCCTTGACATATTGTGGTTTTACACACAGTTTGACGAAGGCACGCTGCGATATGATCCTCGCGCGGACAAGTGGACGTTGGAATACACCCATGACTCGACCATGTACGGTGTGATTGACAAAAGCCAGTGGAGCGTCGAAGAGTACGAGAAACATCTCTATGCCTGGCTGTTGCAAGAGTTCAAGGTGGGCAAGGTGCATAATCCATGGGGCTTCCAGTACTTCGAACTCAAGAGTATCTGTGCTGCGTGGGAAGACATATTCGTGCCAATTATCAACGCGGTGCGCGCTTCGTACAGTGTCAAGGGTAGGCGACACTATGGACGACTTGCGCTGTTCATTGAGAATCGGTCGCCCAGCCGTCTTGCTTTCCCAGAAGGCAACGTGGGTATCCCTCAGGCAGGTTTAATGTCGCCAACGCCTTTCCGTGTCATTTCGGTGCCGAAGAAACGAATCAATAGTGGAGGTACGACGTTCTTCCGACAGGTCGCTCACACCGGCGTTCTGACCCGGAAACAATACGATGATACCGAGAAAGAACTACGCGATGTATATCCTCAGTACGGTGGTCTAGTTGAGCGTCCACGGTTTAAACAGAAGATGGGCGACTGGCTAGCTGAGCAGCGTGCACGCGCTGCGCACAGGAAAGCGGTCGAAAAGCATGACGAGGTTCAGAGCTTCCATCCGCAGGTGACTGAGCGTGATGACAACGAAGGTCCTAGCAAGAATGCCACGGAGTGTTTCAGCCAGCAAAGCGGACGGGGAAGTAGTCGTGGCAGCAGTAGGAGCCCCGTCAAGCGGTATTCGGACAGCATCCGTCGTTCGCTATCGTTGAGCATCGGCCAACTATCTCCTTCGAAGTCCAGTAAACCTATTCTGGAGCCGATTCGACCAACAACACCAAAGGAATCGAAGTTTCCCAGGATGCCGTTCGGTCGATACGGATCCCAGACTGATCCTCCAAAGTCGCCAAAACAGTCGCCAAAGAGCCCCCTCCACGGCGTAACGCGCCAGCTCTATTTCTTTGACGCTGACAGAGTACCCGAAGACCCGTCTTTGCCAGTTCATTGCAAGGCGCATCAAGGCTCAAAGTCGTTGAATTCTATCCACCCTCTGCTTCGCCCTGTACAACAACAGCAAAACCCATCCGAACAGAGCGTCTACACTTCGATCCGCAACTCGAACCCTTTTACCGAAAACCCTCCAGAAGAAGTAAAGACCCAGTGTTCTACGGATGACTCGCTGTTCTCGCCCATGGGACCACTTAGTGCTATTCCAAGACCACTGTATAAACCTGAGCCCATCAAGCCGAAGAAGTCGTTTCATGATAGCCGCATTCCCAGCTACGAAGGTACTGGTTATGTCGATGAAATCTCACTCACGAATCTCCACAACAGCCGGATGAACACCGCTCACCCGCTAAGCCGTCTTCCCGCTCCTATTGCGCCCATCCCATACGCCGGTCACCTTCGTATCGCATCAACGGATACATACCGTGACGTGCCTCCAAAGTCTGTTGCACGGCCTAGCCAACCACCTCCTCATCCTGTAGCCTGGCCGGGATTTGAGTCGCAAGATAACCTAGCCCCGCCACCTCCACCCATCCCTTCCAAGAGTCCTGAGCGATGGAAGTCCACGGGCGGTCATGTCGCCGTTCCGCACTCTGAGCAACTCCTACGTGAAAATTCTCACAGTATATTGCGCATCGTGTCCAGGGAAAACATTCGCGCCGCACTTGGTGGTCTTTCTCGCGAGAGTTCGGAGGAGGATTTGGCGCCCCAAAACTCGTGTGTGGGGCCGGAGAGAACGATGAGCCCAGAGTCGAAGAAACGTGCACTGCAGACGTACAACACTCATTTATTTCCCAGAAAGGAAGAGCAGAAGGTGACACCGGTGGGAAAATAGGTGAACATGAACGAAGACTGTAGGTGAAGCCCACAGATAACAGGCATGTGCAAGGTGACTCCACGTGGGAGCAACGTATGGGGCAATGGATTTGAAATTGTGGTAGTCTGGTTGAAAAAGGTGTGGGAAGTATGAATAAGGAAGACTTAGCACCGACAATTGAAGATAGACTTACATCATGTCCCAAAGCTCCGAACTGAAGATAGCTAAGAGACAGTGATGAAGTTCATAGGTGCATGTAAGACGAACGGGCGATGGCAAAGCATACGGGCTTTGCAAGCAAGAACCAAAGTCGACCAATATGTTCCAATAGGAGACAATATAGCATGAAATTACAACCTGTCTAGTACTAACAAGATGTGATCTCGGGGTTGAAGAGGGAAGAATGGTATGTAGTGGGGTGTCGAGGTAGAACTCGGCGAATGACGCCATTGTGGATACTCGTCGAATGGCTTGTCAACGTTCACACCGGTATCCATCTCGATAACTTTGACATTTCACTCTTGAACGTTGGAATCTATCGACAAAACTTCCTTACCATATCCGCCATGTCTCAATCAAAACCCTCAAACTTCGAAGTGCATCTGCGATCACTTGTTCCAGACGAGTCCCGGACTGCACTCGTCCAAGAAGTGATCCCACTACTTCTCCGATCTCTATCAGACATTGCTTTGACACTACGTGGCGTATCCGTATCGGAAGCAGGAAGTTCAAACTCGTTCGGCGATCATCAACTAAACGTTGATGTCCTTGCGGAAGACCACATCCGTTCCGCCATCGCTCAATGCTCTTCCATAGTGACCGCGAGTAGCGAAGAAGATCCAATCGAGAAAAAGGTACACTCGGAGGGGGGTACACCCAAGGAGTCGTATACTGTGGCATTCGATCCTCTCGATGGGAGTTCCATCATCGGTCCGAACTGGACTGTCGGAACCATCATAGGGATTTGGGATGGCGCATCTGCGCTTTCGGAGTCAGATCTTCCCCGCAGAAAACAAGTGGCCGCGATTCTTGGCGTGCTGGGTCCTCGCACGACTGCTGTTGTTGCTTTGCGCGTGCCTGGTTCTGAGTCGGGTTGCTTTGAAGTTAGTTTGGCGGACAACGAGATCGAAATTGTTCGACCGACGGTACGGCTGGAGCCCCAGTCAAAGACGCGCTACTTCGCGCCCGCCAATATGCGTGCTGCAGCAGAGAACAAACAGTATTTGGAGCTTATCAATTACTATATTGCCCAGAAGTATACACTTCGGTATAGTGGCGGCCTAGTTCCTGACATCTTCCACGCACTTGTCAAGGGCCATGGTGTATATATCTCACCTGTCACGTCCAGCAGTCCGGCAAAACTTCGCAGACTGTATGAACTTGCACCGATTGCACTTATAGTCGAGTGTGCAGGCGGAGTTGCTTTGGATTCTGCCGATGGAACCAACGTCCTAGACAAACCAATTCGCGACACAGATGAGAGAGGCGGACTTGTGTGCGGCAATGGAGATGAGGTGGATCTTGTGAAGTCGAGACTACTTCAGAAGTAGTTTCTAAATAGTTTCAATTGAACTTACGATCGAACAGCTGTTATTGAGCTGATTGAGGCTGTCAGCCTACTGGCGCGAGATTAGCAGCTTTCCCTTCGTCTGGCCGATATATATCTCAAATCATGGACCAACTATTGGCCATTTACATGGCGTTAACATGTCATGGGTTTGATCACTCTAGACGACAGTACACATCACGTTTTGTTCTAGGTTCTAATTACTATGCTATTACCTCTTCCTGTTGTTTTCTCTTACATCGTGTAGAAGTATATTGCAGTACCTCATTTCAAATAGACTTGTCGCTAGCTACAATTCATAAGCCACTGCCAGATTACTATAGGAGCCTTAGCTATAGGGTTGTAAGCAGTACATCCAGTAGTAATTACAAGATTCTCTCTACTCTTTGGTTATATTGCGTACCACGGCACAACTGCGCCTTTAGGATAATGATTATGATCATGGGAACATCACCTCGTTGCGTGCCTGCGCTAGAACATAGGCAGACGTAAAGTGAGTACAGTGATCGCACGCTTATAGCGGCACGAGGGGTGATGTAAGAGAGAGGTAGGAATAGCTTGTCAAGTTAGCATGCAAGGTCCCTTTCGAAAGAATATTGTATGTTCGATCTTGAGTTCATCACTCGAAACAACACTGTACCAGCCCAAAGCAATATTGAAGAATTGAAACCAGATGACCCTTGATTATCTCATTACACAATGAGTGACAGCGTCGAATGCTTGTTGTCGTTCAGCAGATAGCCCTGTTTGATGGACGCAGCAGATAAAGCTGTTATAGATGCACACCAAAAACGGAGGTGCTATAAGCCACGCTTTTCCTCTTTTGTACAAAGGCTTTCACGTCGTGAGCGGATTGGTCGGGTTGGGTGAGCAGTCAGGCTGCCGTGATTCTTAACAAGTAGCAAACACTGCAACATTCTTACACCAACCCAAACATTCACAATGGAAACCTTGCAGCCATTGCTATTTCGACTACCTCGTGAGCTCCGCGACGAGATCTACCAATATACTCTTGACGATGATCTCAAGCAACAACGGCTCGACTTCCAGCAGCGCCATGATGTCCGTGAACGAGCGATAACACCTCCAATACGCGCACTACCTCCTATCTGTGGAGTTTCAAAGCAAGTATACTACGAAGCGACACCTTTCTTCCTGAGCCAGATCACGCCTCTCTCCCTCACTGTCGAGACGACATGCTGGCTGCGAAAGTGGCTGGCAACCTTCCCTTCCGAGACCGGATATCGCGCAATCCGCCAGCTTGCTTTCCGCAGCTTCCACGGTCCTGAGCAGATCAAAGGCTTCGAGCTTATAGCACTATGCCCCAATCTGCGGTCCCTGGACGTCATGTTCGGTGATGAGTACTCAGATCCCGGCACTGTCCCTTCCCTCGCAATCGAATCGCTCAGCAGCGCGGCGAATGCGTACGATACCCTCGAAAACATCGTCGTCATGCACCAACTACACAGATATATCGAGATTCCGAAGCTTGAACGTATGGATTTTGGATTTCACGACTGGCAAGGGGATGTCAGCTGCGAACGAGCTCGGCAGGTGATGGAATGGTTGCGTGTCAAATTTCATGCGAAAGGCAGGGATGTGCATATCGAGTGTCAACAGATGCGGCAGGAAATGAGCGATAGCGACGACGACTTTGTATGTGCCCTTTGGGATTGATGGATCGACGAGGACTTGGCAGTTTCTAGAGTCTGCTTGAAATGGGGGAAAATTCGACTGCATGCCAAACAAGCGTTCAATTTTTTTACTTCAGAAGTAACAATGACTCACGTCAATTTTTGAATATCGCTCTATTTTGTTCTACTCCGTGAAGTTCGCGAGCAAGTTTACTGCCTTGTCGTTGAGTCTTCAACCACGTTTTGGCTCACCACCCAAAACCTCGAATATCGTCCCGCGAGTATCAACTTCCCAAGTCTCTGAACTGCATATTAAGGACACGATAAGGTCACCATATTCAAACGCCCTGGCTACTTTTTATTGTGCATTCCGCCCATTACCACTCAAGATAACACCTTAGCTTTTGGCGAAGGTAATTGCGTGCCCTCTCAATAGGAAGACGACTGGATTGTTACACCAGTGATAGGAGTATGTCTTCAGCAACGTTGATATCTACAATTCCGATACTCGGTCGCCCAAAGATCACGTTTCCTCCATTTGCTGTTCATCTGCGAAGTCATAAGCGGTGTGTTGGAGACGGGCTATGACAACTGCGAAGAAAGGGAGTAGGACCGAAAGTAAAGCTAGCTAGGGCTGTTTTCACTAATTGTACCGAAGTGAAGCTCTTTGATCGTCTCAGTCCCTAGAATTGACGCTCACAAGTCGACTTCACCTTCACTTTCCGATCACTGGGATATGATTAACACTGCATAGAACTCGATACATTCCAGATAATCTCACTCTTAGTCTAGACTACCTACACACCTTTCTCAACATTTGAACCGCACGCTTTTAGTTCCATCACACATACAAACCTAGTGTCAAAACGCTCTCCCATCATCCACCTTCATAGCTAACAAAATATGGAGCCAGAAAATGCAATGGGGCATCGGCGACTGGATCGACAGCAACGGCAATCCAGAAGAAGTTGCATTCGCAATTCTCTGCAGGACGAAACTTATAGGAGAGCTCTCACCAGTCCCGATACGACAATATCCGAACACCAGCCCACTTCCTATGACCTCGCCAGCCTCCAAGAGTTCTTGCGCAAAGAGTGTCCTGTGGAGTTTAACGCACTGCCAAACATCGATATGTTCACCTTTGAGAACAGGAGCAATGGCTTTGTCAGTATTGGTTCAGCAGAGAAAAAGCAAGTTCGAATTGGCAAAGTGCAAGAATCAGTTAGCGATGATTCCACCGCCTATCTATATCTTGGGGGCGAAGGTACCAACAAGATGTTTTTCGTGGAGGGGAACATCGATGTCCGTTCTTCTTCGGGGTTAGCTTTTCTTTCTGAAGTTGAGCTTGAGGAACCATTCATACATTTGTCGCTTGACAACTGTATCAAGGCAGAAACCGAGCAAAGGCGATTTCGTGCATTTGATATATATGTGTTTCTTTGTTCGAACACAGAAACGACTGTTGAACCATATGGAAGCTTTCTGCACGACCTCCGGATGGCATGCACCTGGATGGGACAGAAGATTGTGGATCCGACGGTTAAACCATTGAGTTCTCGGGCGAAAGCCGCCTTGGGACGCAGATCTCTTAAGATCAATGTAGCCAACAGGATAGTCAGACAACCTATCATTAAGCCAAATAACAGAGCTAATATCGCAAAGGATCAGGAAGACCTCGACGATACTTCAGGCAGCTCAGATAGCTCAGACACCTGGGACAATCCAGACGCTCCAGACATCTCAGACGACTTAGACAACATAGACAGCTCTGAAGATTCAGAGAGTTCGGACAATGAGCTCAACGAAGAACTCACTAGCCACAATATCAATAGTTTCGAACGTCAGTAGGATCATAAACCAAATTTCATGAATCACATACGCTAACTGTGTCGTAGGTCCAGCAAAGAAAGCCAGACTCGGAGACGCTGTAAGCACCTACTTTCCACAACCCCTTCATCTTTCTAGCCATGCTGACGATAGTAGATGTCTCGAAATCAACGACAGTATGTGCAGATGGGTAAGGACATGAAGTTACTCAAGAACGAGCTCGCTACTGCTCAGCGTGACGATGGCTCGAAAGCCAAACTCCAACTCACAATCTGTGAGCAATTGATAAAAGCAAACGTCTGGAACAAGACCTTCAGAAAGTCAACGCTGAGAAAGACCAACTTAAAACTCATAACGACGCTCTACTGCAAACGGAGCATAACGCCAGAGGACAACTTGAGGCGAAGCTGAACGAAGTTGCGGACTTGAAAGCTTCAATTGAGAAAGAAAAAAGCAAGGGCAATGCGGAGGTGGTTTTGAGGAAGCAGGCGGAGGAGAAACTGAGAGAATATGTGGAAGCGCAGAAAAGGATGGCATTGATGTACAGTGATCTTGCATGATAGCTTATGTGTGTATGTGACGTCGGGCACACGACCGAGACATATAGGTATTTCAAGACAACCAGAGATTCGTTGCTCAGCTATATTTTTTGATCTTTGGTCTAGCAGTCGAGGCATCTCCGTGGAGAGATAGAGAAGCAATTATCACCTCGTAGACATCTATATGTGAGGGACATGAAGACCAAAGACGCTTGAACCGATGTAGGGTTACATCTGTAATTATCGTGAACGATACAGAAGAGTCTTCTGATGTTATACATGCGAGACTACTAACAAGATCCAATATTCAGGTTTTCCTCACTCACTATAACGTACACAAAGAAAAAGTCCAGAGGTCCCCTCTGCAGACTCGAGTGTAACGACCGAGCTAGTTATGATTCCGGCCACTGTGAGAAAGATTTGTTCGAGAACATCCTGGCGCAAACAAAAAGAGTGGGCTCCAACTTGGCAGCAATTACAATATGTAGGAGGGGCGCAGCTAGACAAGACAATATTGGTGAGAGAGATGAAGGAACATGAGAGCGTGAGGACAGGTGAGAACAATCGAGTTCTGGACGAGGTTAGATGACGCGCTTGGACTTCGGCAAGGTTCTAGACAGCGAGCAAACAGCAAATCTCGAATCCGTTCACGGTGAAGACCATGACGTCCGGTGAACCTTCGGGAACCTTGTAAGCTTGGTATATTTAAGCGCACCTCATCTTCGGCAGACCACCGTCACATCCGCTTTCCCAAAGCCCACCTCAGCGAAAGACTTACATACAACAACCATGACGCTAATCGACGAAACCAACAATACCTTGGACGAGCTCACTCAGCTGTTTGACGCGCTAAACAAGAAGACCTCGACGTCCATTCACGCTGACGTCGTAACGCTCGATGTCGGTGGCCGCAAGTTCAAGGCCTCTCGCAACACCCTCTTTGAGTCTGGTCTCTTTAGGCGTCTGCTATCTGATAGCTACGCCTGGGTACCCGAATCCGATGGCTCGTACTATATCGATGCTGACCCCGAGTTGTTCGAGCATCTCTTACACTTCATGCGTCGCCCGTCGGTTTTCCCGCTGTTCTACGATAAGGTCGCCGGCTTCGATTACAACACATACAACCGGCTCCAGGGTGAGGCGAAGTACTTCCGTGTTGATGCGCTTCATGAATGGATTAGTGAGAAGGTACGTAATCGTAGACGTGACTTTCGAGTACAGTCACTGACCACTAATGTTTGATATCAGAGATACCTCCAGGCCGTTGTCGTAAAAACAAGCGGTCCCTTCACTCGCAGTATTACCCAACCGATCTCAACCGAACTACCAGCGGATAAGAGCGACGAGTGGCAGATCGTCTCCAAGACTAAGAAGGTGTATCTATGCCCACGTCTAATCCTTGTTCACAAAGGCCACCCAGAAATATGTGGCGCAGCTTGCAGATCAGCACAAGCTGGGTTTGCGGTGCAGTACGAGGACGAATTGTCCCTGGAGATCATCAGTGTTCAGAAAGAAACTGTCTTCAATGAGGAGGTGTGCAGAACGGATATCCACTGATGGATCGACGGATTGTGACGGAGTGGAAACAGGACACACAGCAGTGTTGCACGCAAGCGAAGATACTCTCACACTATCATGTTTGAGTGTCTTGCTATGGAGTTATCCTATAGCCTACCGCCTCGTCTGTAGTCGTAAGCCATAGGCAGTAAATTCGCTCATCTCATCATGTCCGCACAATCCTCATGTGTATCTAAAGTAATCATGCCATGTCTCATCGTCAGAATGCGTTCCTTCGTTCCGTTTCAGATCAGCGTATTCCGCTTTGAAAGACCCAGGCGAGCAACATGATAGGGCTCACTGCTCAACCGCCCGAAATTCTTCAACATCTTCCGTCTTCTACCCTCCATTCACGAGTTTTCCATCACCTTACCAGGGTTGGACTCCATGATAGTCTTATTCCACCTCAATACCAACATCCTTCGATGCTATCATCAGTACCGTCCACTTCCTCCAGTCATGATATTTGTGCCCAAAGAGATCATCCGATTCGGGATGACTGATCGATGGATCCCTCCACAGAAAGAGAAATGCTTCCTGAGCGACGGCAAACTCTCGCGTTCTTACAAAGTAAGGCAGCCATCTTATCGGTTCCAATAATCGTACACAGTACTCGTGATGTGTGTCTTCTAAGTTGCGTTCGTTTGAACAATATCTTTCGAAGCAGACACTGGAGACATCGAGCACTTTCTCACTCTTGCCAGAAATCAATTTGTCGACGATTATCTGTTAATTTTCGAAACTCATACTTGAATTTCCCCTCGCTTCGCTAAACGCTTACAAGCAAATCCACCAGGTTGATGACTGATCATTGGGGGTAAGAGGCGTACACGTAGAAACCATCAAAATCTCGATTGACATTGAGGAACCCGACGTCCGTGGACATAACAATCTTGCGAATTGCCGGAGAGACGCGACTTGGGCAAGGAGTTTCGGGGTCATCTCGATCGGTAGGATTCCAGATATCTGTGTCATCTCCAGAGTCCACTTTAAATTCCAGCAGGATGAGCTCGGGCAGACTCAACATCTCGGGGGAAAGGGATAGTCACCAAAGAGTGAGTAGGGGTTGGCAAAGTCAGGGACACAAGAGTGCTCTGTTTCGTCATCGTATCCAAAGTTCCGAAGATCTTCCATAGATCGAGTCGGCCAGAATCAGAGTGCCCCGCGTCGGGGGCCCCACGTTTGTAAATTGTAAGACGTCGGAGATTTGGGAAGATAGTAATACCCCAAACAGCGCATGCTCCTTGCCCTACCGAATCCACTTCATCCACTTTTCATTGTACAAATCATATCCGGAAAAGGGGGTTTCCGTCAGTAGGCAAATCTCCGCGACATTGCCCCAGTCGCGTTGACACTGTCTAAGCACGCTATAGACAAAGAAGAGAGATATTTGGATCCATGTCCAACTCTCAAGCTAGTGCCAGTGATTTCACTCGGAAGACGAGATCGCATCGCTCAAGAAGTGTACGAATGAGTCGCGTCGAGGAACATGCAGTCACCAAACCGAGACTCCGATACAGTAACGACCAGATAAAGAACATCATAGGCGGCAGTTCGTAGCCTTTGATAGGTCAATGGAAGGTTGACGAGGTCCAGCTGTGCTTGAGATGCCGTCTTTGCGTCGTCTTGCTGTACTTTGTCTGCGATCACGAGAAGAAGTTTATCTGAGCTCGAGAGAGTCAACGACTCATGCATCGTGTTTGGTTGGATTGAATCGTTCATGTTCCTTGGGTTGCGGTAATGACGGAACGCAGGAGCCGATTCGCGAACCAACAGTGTCGGGGAAGGTGAGAGATGTGTTGTGAGCTACGCCAAGCTTTATGTAACGTAACATTACTCTAAACGCAAGGCAGGTAGAACGGTACGAACTCGGAGTACTCTATGCAATACAAGCGCATCAATAATCTCCGTCCATGCTCACGCTCTTGGCAAAGCTAGGCGGCAAAGGCTTCTTGTTGACAAACGGGCGATGGCTGGAAGGTGCCGACATCGACCTCTCGCCATGCCATACCTCATGCTCTTCTTCTGGCGAGGAAAGTTCGAGCAACCTTTGGGGGGAACCCACAGAGAGACCTAATGCGGCCATCTTCTCTTGCAAGATGCTCATTACCGCAGGATTGCCACCTCGGAATGAAGAAAGCACCTGTGAGAGTGAGTGGATCAGGTCTCTGGGTCCAAACTCAAAATGCGACTCGTGGTTCAAAGATGGCATGATCATCATGACATCTGCGAGCGAGTTGGCAACGTCGAAGAGCTTTGCTTCCTGTACAACCAGTGAGTAAGATGGTCCTGATGTGTGTGAGAGAACAGCATACCATGCCAGGCCCGTGCGCCTCGATGCTTTGTTTCGACAGGTTGCTCAGATTACTCAGTACAGTTTGCGCTACCTGAGCTGGGAAAGTAAACGAGAACTCATTAAACTCGTTCTCGCTACTCATGTTGGTGACATTGAGTGCGTGTTGCCAAAGGAATATACGCATCCACTGCTGAGTCATGGAGATGTCAGCACGTTGAAGTTCGTTCTCTAGGCTGAGAGGGGCTTCGTCATTGCTAAGTTGTTGCTGAGCGAGAGCGAGTGCATTACGAGCGGTCGTGGGATCCGCAGTGATGGTGACGTCGAGAATGTTGAAAAGACGACACAGTTGAACAAATGCAGGTGTAACTGACCCGTCCTCAAGGTTTTCTAAAGGGGGAAGATCTGGTGCTCTTTTCAGCATGATCGGTACATCATGCTGGAGGGAATGCGCCCTTTCCGTGATGAAGAGAAGCCAGTAGATCCTTAGGTAGTGCTGCACTTGCTCAACAGTCATGCCTTGGTAGTACGATGGCTTGTACAAACCAAGGATATGTGCTTTGGTGATGGCCTCGCCGAGCAGGACTGTCGATACGTTCATACGGCCGATATTGGCAGAATAAACATGCAGAAAGAAGCTGCTCAATAGAGAAGACGTAGTCACGAGTTCCATGTGGTCCGAGTCGTCCCGTGCCATCTTTGCCTCTGCTTCGAACGTGCCACTCGATATCCGATAGTGACATTCAACTGGACTACCTGGCTCGGCGTCGAGGGAGAACTGGCTCACGATGGCGGCACAGATAGCTGTCGCAAGCCCATAGGCTTCCATGTCGTCTGAATGGGTGAGGAGGTGAGCAATCAGGGCATCGGCGTCAACAATGGGCCATATGCCATATCCTCGGGCTTGGTAAATTTCCAGATACTGCGCAATACAAGAAGTCGATATCCGTTGAGGCTCCTTGATAGCTGTCGGGAAGGTTGGACTAATTGGTTGTGGCCATACCAGGCCATCGATGTCTGCATCGTTGATAGGTGGTGGCGATTTGCTGAAATGTATCTCGGTGGCGGTTGGGCTTCCAGTATCGCAACTGGCGTCGCTGTTGCTTCTCGATTCGTCGTGATTGGTTTTGCTACGTTCTTGCAATCTCCTGATGGCAGCTTCTGTCGTTCGGCGAGGTCCTTTGGGTCCGGATTTGCCGTGAGTTTTGAGATAGGTGCATTCCCAGCTCGCAGCCTCGCATCGTGAGCATGGCTGAACACCATCACATCGCACTTTCCGAACAGAACAAGGATCGCATGCTCGTCGCGTTCCTTTACGCGGAGCCGTACTCATCTTTGCCAAGAAATCCGCTTTCCTGTAGCGTGAGGGGAGATATTCGGGGGTCGTTGAAACCGTTGCTCATGCCGTCATTCAGGCTAGTCCTTGTCGCTTCGGTTATCAAGGGCGGCAGCCTACGCAAAGCCGTCGGGTAATGATATCGGGGAGAAAACGTCGATAGCCGATCAGTTCCAAGAGTGCGAAAACAGGTGTCGTTGCTTATGAAAGGCCTGACGTTAGAAAAGAAAGTGGAGATGCGGCTGCTTTTCGGTCCTCCTTCCCCTTTCCAGTCGGTATAGTGTAGCCAATCAGGCATGTTCTGGAGTTTTTTCCGAAAGAGAAAAAAGGCGCTGTTTGCGGCGCGGTATGATACCTGCATCTGCGTCCTCGTCTATCTTCCGAGAAACCTTCCTTCTATGGTGTAAGATGCTGCTGTCCGCTAACCAATGGATGGCAGACGTTCTGTGAAAATTTCATGGTCCTGTAAGCCGAGAGTACGCGCAGAATCGTCTGGAACGCGGGATATCCGCGAACGCCCGGAAAGACATAGGGTAACTGCGATGGTATCTAATTGCGGCTGAAAAATGGCATGGCTAGAAAGTGGGTACACGTTACGCGAGGTCCCAAGTTTCTAGACGTCTTCACAGATCTCAAATCAGTTTTTGGAATTCTCACATGTCCAAAATCTTATAGTCGAGGCCATGTGGTTGTGTAAGACTTGGAAAGTGGGGATTTGTTTAAAAGGACCACAACGGCCAAAGCACAATCTAACCCATTTCAGGCAGCATACTATCTACTTGTGACATGACCGTGTTATCCAAGATCATAGTTTAACCATGAAAGCTTAAATTCATGCCAATGCTGCAGATGCGGCTTAGCTTCCTTGTACAGGGGGGTAACTAGCGTAACGTTAAATACTAACATCTTCATCCCTACTGTCTACTAACTATCCATTTCCGAAGATAGAACAAAACCGCGCCAAGCAACCATATCGCTACTAACAGGGCCGCTTGTACTGGGGCGAAGACGGCGCCTCTGATTACCACGAAACCACTGATAAGGGCGAACAAGATAGGTATTAGGATGAAGGGCTTGACAGGACGGTTTAGGTCAGGTTCCCTGTAGCGAAGAATGATGGCTCCGAGGACGGTGAGAAAGAAAAACGCGTACTCTGCGAGACCATTGAGAGTAAGTAAGATGCGCATGTTTCCCATCAAGATGTAGACCGCGGACAGGACGGTGTTGAGTACCAACGCATTACTGGGCGTGATTAGCATCCAACGTACTTGGTATGGTGCGGTTGACTCACATGGGAGATTCGCCTTTGTCCATTGCTTCGTCTGCAGCTTCTTCGCCTTCTATTCCTGCCTTGGTCACCTTCAAGGTCCCGATTTGACCTACAGTTCCCAGCACACGTGGAAACCAATTTTTGTTGCTCGCTGCGACGGTCATCCGGCCAGCGACGAAGGAGTTGCCCAGCGCGGAGCCGGCAATGACGAGACAGATAAGGGCTGTGGCAAAGTAGGCAGCGCCTTTGCCGAGAAAATGGGCCACTGCAGTCTGTAAACAGTCAGTTTCAACCGCACTCCGGAACAACATAGATATAACTTACCACGGCGGCGGCGTCTGTCGTTGAAACAATTTTCCATGGAAGTAGCACATAGTAGACCGTGTTCGCAGCAATGTAGCAGATGATGATGGTCGGGATGGCTGTGTTGATAGACAAAGGAAGTTGCTTGACAACATTGCGGAGTTCAGATGAGATATAATTTGCCTATCATGCCTGTTAGTGTGGACTGTTCATATGCTATCAATCAGTCATACCTTGTCCCATCCTGAATACGCCCATAGCGCTCCATACAGTGCTGTAGAGTAGTAACCAAGCGACTCCCATGTCGTCACTTTACTCCAGTCAAGCCGACTCCCATCGGGTAGAACAGTGTCTCTAGATGTGAACCAATTGCTTTTATGCCAATCACCACCTCCGTAATCTTTACTCTTTCCCGCGAAGATGAAGACTGCAACCAACCCAGCGACGATCAGCAGGAGAATAGTGAGCAGCTTGATGGCAACAAAAAACCCAGACAACCTCGTACTAGTCTTTGTACTGATCGAGTTCAACGTCGTGACAGATACCAAGACAAGCAAGGAAAGCAGCTTGTGTGTCATTGGCGGCTCAGGCTCATTAATGCCCATACTCGAATAGATCGACTCCACAAACACAATGCTCAGGATCGCAAGCGTAGCCGGCATTGTGGCAACGATCCAAGACCACGCAGCCATGTAGCCCCATACTTCCCCATACATGTGGGACAGATAGGGTTGAATGCCACCCTCGCCAGGAAATGCGGTACCCAGCTCGGCCATCGTGAGCGCACCAGTCCATGCTAGAATTCCGCCCACGAGCCAGATGAGTAAAGCAGCACCTGGAGATGGTACATTTGCGTCTATTGATCCTGGGGATGAGAAAACGCCAGAACCGATGACTATGCTGATGAGGAGGGCAAAGCCATCGATTGCGCCAAGGTTTCGCGCAAACCCTCTTGGTTCTGCGCGAGCATTTTCCTCTCTTGCAGATGACTCAGTCGCATCCGGCTGCAGAAGAGGCGCTGTCTCTGATGAAGCCATCGTTGTTGTCAATGATAAATTCGAGATGTATGAGGCTGCAAGTTGATGGTGAACGGGATCACCCACCGATCCAATGACGTGCTCGAAGATCACGTGGTCCGAGCTATCCCGGCTCTCCCCGTTGTCCCGACAGAATCGCTCTAGAGCTCGCACACTAACAGCCTAGAATGGGACTGAGCTACTGTCAAACTCCAGTCAAAGCTGTTCTCCACCCACCAAATATTTATTATACATAAACCTACTGACTCCCACCTGTCAGTACTCCGGCTGCATATGCACCACATTCAGGTAGCCTTCCCATGCCTGTCGAGGCTCGATTAAAATTCCAATAGAAGGGCCGGACCACAGACTAACTCATGCACATGCACCAATGAGGGGAGTTCTTGGCCTGCTGCAGTCAACGCCGTAGGCAAATTCCTTCCATCATGCAAGTGGATTACGCGGCTATAGTCTAGCACTTGTCATTACATGCCGAGTTAGCTCACTGGACATGACAATTACCTCACCTTGTGCAAACTATCAACGGCAGACGCACGAAATCGACCCAGCCCAAGCCCAAGCCCAAGTCCAAGCCCCAAGCGCGACTTGAGCCGCGGAGCCCTGAATCTCTCAAGCTCACCGCCTGACGATTGTTTCCTCTACCTGCTAATTACAAACGCCCAACGGTTGTGTGCCAAACCAAGGTCACACTATGAAAGAGCTGGGCGAAATTTCTTGTCAGCATCGATGATGGTGAGGAAGAGGAGTTCGGACCGCCTTGCGGAGCATACACGTAGCAGATCGTCATTCGCAGAGCCCGAAATGGTACATTGTAACATTGCGGACAGCCTGAAGTGCGAGGTCCCTGGAGAAGCTATGAAAAGGGTCGATCATGACACGGAATTGCGAGGGCGTCAAGCTCCAGCAGGATTTTAGGCACATCGATGCAGCACACGGATCAACCCCAAGAAGCCCAAAGGATCTAGGGTTGCAGGAACCGGCGAGTTGCTTTTTCACATGTCCTCCTACGATACCCGATTGAGACAGGATGAGGCAATTTCATGTTTTATTGATCACGACGCTGCGACTGCGAGAGTTGGAACACAATGGACAAGGAATTGGTGACTTTGGAAGTTATAATTACCTCAACCACGAGACACCGCTACTTGAATAAGCAACTCCTCCGGAACCTCTTACGACATGGCTTGATACTCGTATGACCTGACTGCAGCTCTGCAGATGAGGCGGAAGCCAACGTCACACAATGCACGAAAAAGTCCATCAGTGCCATTCTTTTTGAGCTGTTTACCAGTACCCACGGAGGAATTTTGCCAACTCAAACAGAAGCACAAATGGCGGCGTCGAGGACTGCAGGAGAAGAGTCCCTCGTAGAAATTCGACGTGTCTACTGGTGACTGCTACTTTTCAACCCAGAAGCTACAGTCTCGAGGTTCAAGACCTATTTGTTCTTAATCCATTCCCCCGTAGGTCGATCACCACCCCTGTAAGCCTCGCATCATCGTTTTTGGATATGATCTTCACCGATCCACTGAAGGATGAGAGCAACCACTCAGACCTCAAAACACGCCCAAAAGATGATCATAGCAAAAGCCAAAAGCAGAGCCCTCCAGGTTACCCTTTGTCCGAAAAAATTGACTAGGTAGGTAGCAGAGGAAACCCTACTATGGAAGTCTCAGCGCTGTGTTGGGAAGCACAGAAGATAATACTATTAAATTGTCAAAGATGTACAGCTCGGTGATCCTGTAGAATCAGATACACGACCCATCGCCATTATGGCTTGTACATGCCAGGCCATCAATGTGCTCGCTGGCATCCTGTGTAATGAATATCCTGCAGTAAACAACATAGTAGTAGACCTAGTATTTGGACAAATTAGGCACGCAATTCTATTCCACAATATAGTTCCACCAGTGTAGAAACAACTCAAACTGCTCTTTGGAATATTTACCTCTAGCAGTGGTTGCGTGCTATATAATATCTCAAAGCCAGCACAATATTAGATGAGAATGACTAGAAGAAGTGATATCTTGCGACTGTCTCTAGACCGTTTGCTTCTAAGTGGAAGAGGTTCGAAAGCCCGGCTCTTGAGCAAACCTCAGATAGACAACACGGCCTCCAGCTCAGTCCATGAGATAATTAAGAACGTCAAGAAAGCAGGAGTGTACGAAGTGCTCAATAGACCCAACCTCTAGACCAAGAAGCAAGCAGGCAAGCCTAGGTCAGATTTATCTAGCGGGTTATGGTGCGTTATGTTTCGTGAGTAGATATGCGTTCGATAAACATTGAACAGACATATCACTTATTTTCACATCAGTGTGACTTAAGGTCAAACCAACACTTGCAGTATTTTTGCATGTATCGTGAACGGCAAATATGAGAAGCGATAAGTGCACATAAGCACAGCTCATTGAATACACTACCAAACAACCCCCCAAAACGACCACCCAATGAAACAAATGCTAACAATGCAAACCCCGCACACAACAACGCCAACCAAAACTCCCCAAAGTCCAAAAGCCCAACCCCCCCTACCTAACAGGGAGTTGATTCTGCCACTCGGGATCAACCTTACTTTGCTTGAAGAAACTCTTCCCCCTCAGCCACTGCCGATAAGCCTTATACCTCTTCGCAGTCCCATCGTCATCCTCAACATCCAGCGGATTATCCTTGACCTGGAGGAACTCCTCAAACTCTTCAATGTCCTCCTCCGCGGTTTGGAACTTGCCGTTGCCGAGCGTAGTGTATGATTGCAGCGCTGGCGCGACGCCGACGCCGTCGAGGAACGAGGTTTCGAGGTGCGGGTGGGGGTTGTGCGGATATGGGTATGAGTATGAAGGTGCGTGGGAAAAGGGTGTGCTGACGGAGTGGGAAGTTGTGGGGCGTGCTTGGGATTGGAAGGAGTAGAGGGAGTTGATGTCGGTGTCGAGACGGGGAAGGTCGGTGGGCGCGAGGCGCACGCCTTCGTCATCTGGGTTTGTGGATATATGGGGGCTGCCTTCAGTTGTGCATAGGTACTCGTAGAATTCCGTCGCAACGGGGTCGTCCGCACTTGGCACCTCCGTACCCACGACGAGGGGTAGGATGAGAGGGTGCTCTATGTAGCGCGTGTACTCTTCTTCTTCTGCAAGAGAGACTGAAGGGTTGATGCTGTTTTCGTAGAATTGAACCAATGTCCACTGGTTGATGAGAGCTTTGTCGGCAGGCTTGAACCCATTGTTCAAGGTTGAAGACAGACCCGCCGAAGTCGATGTCGAATTTGCTAGCGAGTACATCGAATTGTATGATTCTGGTGTGGAAGACGGCATGTATGTCTCGAAATGAGGGTCCCGAAGAATCGAGTGTTTGACAGGCGAGTGGACTTCAGGAATGCCGAGATGTGCATAGTGTCGTCGCTGAGCCATCATGTTGCTCAAGCGCGCGTCAGTCTCGTTTGATGGATCGAGGATAGTGACGCCTTTCCGGGGCGCCTTCTCTTTCTTTGAAATTTTGCGTTGCACTTCATGTTCATGCGCTTTCTTGCGCGGCACAAACGGCGACCTGTTCTCTTCACGTGATGGAAACACATTGTCTCTCCAATCTCGTCCAGGACGTGGAGGGTTAGACAGCCGGAAAGCAAAGACCTTGAGGAACGAAGAGATGGCCAGTGGTCTGTAGTACTCAAGCCAGTAATCATCATGAGCACTTATCCCCACATCAAGCGATGCTATTTGTACCCTAGATGGCATTGTCGCAGGTGGAAGTGTGCGTTCCCGGAGATGTGCGGCGGTGTACCATTGGTTATAATCTCGACGAGGCTTTTCGAGCAACGAACGCGGATCAGCGTGATGCAGGTAATAGTCTGTTGTCAGTTCCCACAACATCGGCTGAGTCGGATCGAAGATATAGTTGCCAAGGAATAGATTATAGGCTTCTTGACGCTGAGAATCCAGAAACGAGTTGTGGTAATATCGTTTGAAGCTTTCCATCATATCGCGCGAACTGCTTTGCCACTGATTGATCTTCCGATAGGTCGCCATGGTGTTCACAAGGTGGGACCCACCGTATTGGATTGCTATAGCATCTCCATGGCCATGAAACATGTGTGTGAACATCTCAACACAGTCCGAGTCGTATTCAACAGTATTCCCCGAAATGACGCCAAGAGCTTGTAATTGACGACCCAACGCCCTTTTCCCTATCACAAACTGAGCAGCATTTGTTCGGTCCAGACAGTCGATACAGTTGGTCCGCGCTACCCCGTTTTGTACTTGCGGCGTATTGAACTCCTCGTCGCCGTTCTGGAAGAACCCGGTTTTCTGCAGGACCTTCTCAGCGAGGCGCTCCAAGGTGCCAATTACGTCTTGTCCTCTCGTCTTGGCCGCTCTGGACATGTCGAAGGCCTCATATATTATCTTCTTGTCCTGGGGTAGGGACTGATTAAGGTAGTCGATGCAGTTCTTGTATTCGTGAAGCAACTTCGACTCCCTTTCCGTGCGTTCTCGTGCTTTGATCAAGTTGAGCACGTAGAGAGGTGCGCCATACCGCTCGAATAGGTTATCAAAGTGAATCGCTGCAGCGCTGTAGAAGGGATCAACAAGGCTCAAGTCGATGTCCGGCTTTGGTGAGACACCGGTATTGTCTTGTGTCCAGTACACTGGGATACTCCCACGATGCTGAATGTAGGATGTATATGTGGGGTTTGAGTACAGACGCGGTCCTGCTGCGTGGAAGGATGTCGTGAGTGCCTCCGACACAATCTGCTCGCTTTCTACGTCGTTGGCGACGTACCCTTCATCGTTTGTTCCACGCTTCAGAAACCGGGCCCCTGCAAAGTGTCTGGATCGCCTAGCTAATATCGTGATGAATATCTTGCGACCCAGAACATCGAGAGAGGCCTGATCGATATAACCATGTATAGTGGGCTGGCACCAGTCGTAGACATTCTTCAATACAGTGCGAGCAGGGTCCAGAAGATGATTGTTCCAGACAAACATATCTTGGAAATCCCTGTCAGCATTTCCGATTCCTTCGTTGAGAGCTGTTCGTTCGTGGATAATATTCTGTTGGAGACTTCGCGTGATGTTGTAAGAATAGCTGTAGTAAAATCCTCGCGTTAGATCCATATTGCTCAAGATAGCAAGCAACCGCGTTTCGTCCGGGTTGCGGTCTTTCTGAAAGCGTGAAATCGGACCAGTCGTAAGAGGAACCACCTCTGTGCCGTCCACTTGGTAGATATAGTGACCGCCCAACATCGCTACTTGCGATCGCTTCGATATTAAGATCATATAGTATGCATCCGTGAATCTGACGAAGCCCAGCAAACCCCAGAAACCAAGCTTGAGCTTCATGCCTCCGTGCGCTTTGTTACCATCATCGATAGTCAAAAGCAGCTGATTCATCTCTCGCACGTTGTACAAGATATCGTCTTCGAAGATATTCAAAACTCCTGGTGGCGCTGTACGATCAATCTTGAGGACTCGGTACTGTTTGTCCATGATATCGGAACCAATAATATAATAGCGCGAATGCGTCTCATAGAGCGAAAACTTGTGCATTCGCTTGATTCCGCTTTCGCCAACCTTCTCATACGTGACACCTTTGATTTTGTGCACAGTAGCTGGACTCGTTGACCTCTGGAAGGATACGCCAATAGTCGGATCGTCTTCTTCGCCGCCAAATTTGATCGATTCTGTATCGCCTCGAGACATTCTGGGCACCCGTTCCAGGTCAGCCTCTGGCTTGAAGTTGCTGATTGGACTACCATTTTGAGGTGCTATTCGTGGACTTCCTGTTGCAACTGGCTCTCTTTCGAATCCATCCGCCTTCTCTCGCACACTTTCTTGTGATGTTGTTGCTCTGGACGCGACTGAGCTAGTCCTCTCCCTGTGATCTGGTCTCGACCTTGAGCGTTCCATCTCTTCAGATTTGCCAGATCAAAATGTATCGAGCGGCCGCTTTGTGTATTAGTGCATATCATGTGGGCATGTTTGCGCTTCGACAACAGAGTAAAATGGCGACAGTGTGATCAACAGGAGTTAACAAAAGTCTGCAGCCCGAAATCAAGACGTTCTGGTTAGCCGTTACGTCTGAGCGAACGACTCAAGTAAAAGCGAGCCGTTGCGACAAAGTGGCAGTGTTGCTGTGAGAGAGCAAGACTGCCTTTCCTGAGGTGCAAAGGTCTTGGCGGCCGTCATAGCGCATCACCACGTGTCTGGGTACCAACAAGTAACATCTACGAATCTCTATGCTCATTTCATTCCTACAACATGAACTCAAACTTCTTCTGCGTTCTCCTCGTAGTAGCGCCCTCCTCAAGAGGAACACTCGCATAATCTCCTCCACCCTTGTCTTCTCTCATTTTTCTGTTCTCCCTGATCAGAACCCACCTCAGCACTGCTGCAAGAACACCGGCTGACAACATGAATGCCGCACAGATGCCCATGCCACGAACATACCATGGTCCATCTTCCTTTGGAAAAATGCTCGTCCCAACCAGAGGCCCCATCTGCCCAATGATGTTCAGAATCGCCATCCCAGTTCCTTTCTGGCTATCACTCTCTTGGTTGTTGATCGTCCAGGTAATGATGATGGTGATTACTGAGAAGAAGCCCGCAATGGCGGGGTAGAGCGCCATGTAGCGGACCATTGTGTTAGGAAGTTCGTAGTAGCCGGAGATTGCGATGATAGTGTAGCCAAGGGTCGCAAGTAGGGAGTGCAGCATGATGAACGTCGAGCGAGACTGTAGACGATCTGAATAGTACGCCGTTGCGAGGACTACGACAAACGCGAACAGATAGGGAGGTGCCGAAAGACCTTGCGCTGTGATTGATTCATATCCCATGTCGCGAATTATTGTTGGCAGAAACACGGGCATTGAGCTGAATGCGACGTTGCAGCTGAAGAACATGAAAGCAGTGAGGTAGCACTTGGGGTCCTTCAACGTCTGGAGAACTTCGCGGAAGTTGACTTTGCTCTTCCCTTTTCCAGCATGTTTCTCATCAAAGTGTTCCTCTTCCTCATCTTCTTTCTCTTGTCTCAACCTCAACACAGCAACTCTCCTTTGCCGTGGCGTCAACCATTTCACGACACCTGGACCATCTGGCACAAAATCCCACGCCCACACCGCCACAAGTACGCTAGGGAAGCCCTCGAGCAAGAACAGAAGTCTCCAAGGACTCAAGGGGCTGTGCTTGCCGACTTTGGTAATAAGCCAAGCTAGAGCTCCTGCAAAGGATGCCGAGAGTGGGCTTGCGGAGATGAACAGACCGGTCCTAAAGGCCAACTCATGCCGTCTGAAGAAGAACGAGAGGTAAAAAGGCACGCCGGGTCCAAAAGCAGCCTCGCCAATGCCGAGAAGTGCTCGCAGCACGAGGAGGAAGCCGAATGAAGTCGACAACGCTTGAAGCGACGCAACTATACCCCAGGATAGGATACAAATAGAGATGTAGATATGGGGCGGTACTATACGGTACCTAAAAACAATCAGCAAAACCCACACAAGAAGACATAAATACTTACATGAGCGTCATCCACTCAAACGCAATATACGTGATATAAAAAGCCCAAAGCAGCCACTCATACTGATTGGAGCTCAATTTCAAATCATCAGCCAACCCAGCTATGCGAGCATTTCCTATATCTGCCAGACTTCGTCAGTCGATATCCCGAACCCCCTCCCATGACAACCCACATATCCACCATGCGTACCCTCCTGTGCACACCACACCAAGTGACGAAATCACTCACTCGACCGATCCAGGAAGCTCAAGCAATACAGTAGCGCCATAAACAGCACCAGCCTCCTATCCAGTTTCCGCAAAACCTGCTTGTCTTCATCTGGAGTATACAGCTCAAAGCTTTGCACCGAGTCCACGGAACCGCGCCGTTGCCTCGGTATAAGGTCCTCATCTTCATCGTCTCTAGATGTATCGAGGGTATTCGAAGCAAGCGGTCGCAATTCGTAGGATTTCGGCTCGCTAGTCTCGGGTAGGCTGTTCGAGGAATTCGACGAGCGCGGCGACGGCGTGAACTTCGGGGAGCTGCCGTCTGTACTGTTCGATGCTGACTCGCGGCGCGACGAGGAGGGAGGCATTGTGTCGATTGGCTGCAGAGCTCCAATGGATTGTGTTTTTGCAAGAGGTTGCTGATGGTGGTTACATTAAGAAGCCTGGCAACGCGATTGAACGCGACAATGAAAGAGATTGGAATTGTGCATGTTGGAGAGGTTCCACATCTCATGACGCGGCTTGACATCCATGCACGCTACCCCAGATTTATCCAACGTTGGAGGATCCGCTGGGATAAATTGTGTTCACAACATCAACATCATCAAGGGACTTAGCCAAGTTTCAACGAGCGTTTGAAAACATGGCTTGAATTGTCTCATCTTGTATATAGTCCTCTTGTATGTTAGTGACCGCCGGGGTACCATTGCACCAAGTAGAAAAAGTCCAGAGGTCTTCTCTACATCCAGAGTTTAGGCTTGGATAAATATTTGGACAAACATAGGATGCAGAGAATACCATGGGGAAAGGTGAAGAGAGAAGACACGGAGCTTCCCAGCGCGACCAACATCATAGGAGCACAGGAGCACAAGAGCCAGATAGCAAGTTCGCACAAGAACAGTCAGGAAGACGTAAACGGGTATATATCTTGAAACTTTTTCCATCCGTCCAACCCCTCCGAAGTATTGATCTATTTCTTGTTGAGCTCCCAGTCCTTGTAGCTCCACTTCTCCGACACGGTGTATTTCCTCTTCTTGCCTTCTCCAATCTGCTTCCTCGGCTCGACCTTGCCGCGGAGGATCATGCTCCTGAATCGGTCTTTGAGCAAGTTGCCTTCTGGTTTGAGGAGACGGAGAGAGTCACGGAGTTCATCGGGAAGAACGACTTCGAGCATGGCGTCGGGGATACTGGGATGTGTTAGTTGGACGTGAAGACATCAATGGAGCAGAGACTTACGGTGCCTTGCCGAGGGTTCTCCTCCTCAATTCCTCCTCCTCGCCATCGTCGTCTGAAAGAGGTTCATTTGCTTTGTCCATCTTGGCTAGGATCTCCTTCGCGGTAGCTCTCGCCTTCTCCTTTTCTGCCACACTCTTGGCCAACTCTTTGATCTTTTGCACTTGCTGGTCCTTGGCTTTGACTTTCGCCTCGTGTGTTGCCAGCCTCTCTGCGTCTTTTCTCCTCTTGATCTTGTTGCGTTGTGCGGGTGTCTTCCTCTCTGGCCTCTTCTTCTTCAGCTCGCTATTTTCGTTGTCACTGAAGCCTTCCCACTCGCTCTCCCATACACTCTCCTCGCCAGAGTCGGACTCGGATTCGACGGCGGCACGCTCCATGCGCTCGGCTTCTTCGCGGGCTTCCTGCAGGCGCTTCTTCTCAGCCTCAACAGCCTTGTCTGCTTCGCGTGTGAGGAGTTCTTGCCAGGCCTGGAAGTCGGGGTTGTATGATTTCCCCGCGGCGGGCTTGCGCACTGCGGGGATGATCTTTCCGTCCCTGGCCATGGAGATGGGCGCGCGCTTCAGTGTGGATGGCTCGACCTTCAACTTTTTCTTCTCGAGGAAAGAAAACTTGGGGTCGTCCTTGACTTCCTGCACGGCCCACGGGTCGTATTCAGCGCTGCCAGTCTGCACGACATCCTTCTGCACCTGCTCGCCTCCATATGCGATGGCCCTCAGCCTGTCGTATTCCTTGCCCGAGACCTTTGCCTTTTTTCTTTTGCCCTCGCTGTCGAGGTCTGCTAGTCGCTTGCGGGAATCGACTGCGGGGACGGCAGAGCGCTGGGCGAGGATCTCGTCGACCTTGAGGGGCTTGTGACGGCGGGCTACTTCTTTCTGGATGTCGGCTGAGCCAATTGTGTCGACGGCGAAGAGCTGATCCGAGGGCTTTTCCGCAACGACACCACTGTGTACTGTCAGTAGGATGTAGAAGTCGTCGCGGGAGAGAGCTATACCCTTGAATTATCTGTTCCCGCACTTCTTTGAGCCCGGATTGGATCTGCGTAACGTCGACATTTTTGCGCCAGGCCTTCTTGCCCTTGCGACTGGGCTGCTTGTACTGTGCCGGTGCTGCTTCTGCGTCAGCCATGTTGTCGTGAATTTCTGGTGTGTCCGAGGTGGAGTTGCGGGCGCAGACTTCACGGGCGCAGAGAAATTGTCCAAAAAAACTGGCGCACAGACCACACGTTTTTCTGCGGAGAGAGGGCAGTTCAAACGGAGCATCAAACGGAACACTCTTCAACGACCACTCACAGACCGAATTTTACACCGCTATGCCTTGCAGGTGACATTAAAATGGCTCCAATCGCGCCCAGCAACCTGAGTTCCAACTGGAAGAAGCTCCAGGCGACCTTGAAGACTTCGACGCCGACCGCATCTCCGAAGCCTAAGAAATCCGACAACGAGACACACCCCCCACTCAAGCGCAAGAGGCCCCAGAAAGCCAATGGAGAACACGCATACGTGTCTCCCAAGTCTGTGAACGGTTCAGCGACAATCACACTACCGAAACCACTTCCGTCAAGAAAACGACAAAAGATGGAAGAGCCCGCCTCTGTTGGGGCTTCAATCAAGCAGCATGACGCCAAAACCCTCTCCACGAGCGCATCTATGCCTTCTCTCCGCCAGACACCCCTCCTGAGCTCCTCGAGGGACGTCGACCAAGCCGTCTCCATCCTCGAACCCCACCCCGACTTCCCCGACGTCGAGAACGAAGGCGTGTCTGAGCTGGCACTGCCCGGCAAATACGTTGCGCTGGATTGCGAAATGGTTGGAATTGGTCCAGAACCCAAGCGCGACTCGGCCTTGGCTCGAGTGTCTCTAGTAAACTATCACGGCCACCAAGTCTACGACTCCTACGTCCAAATCCCTAAGAAGATCGAAGTGACCGACTACCGCACCGCCGTGTCCGGTATCGAGCCCAAGCATCTCCGCCCAGATGTCGCGCGACCCTTTGAAGAAGTACGAAGCGACCTCAAGATCCTCCTCGGAGGGCGCATACTCGTTGGGCACGCTGTAAAGAACGACCTCGACGTGCTAATTCAGAAGCATGACAAGCGCCTCATCCGCGACACCTCCAAGTTCTCGAAGTTCCGAGCGTTGGCCAACATACCAGGACGGACGCCGGGATTAAAGCTCCTGGCAGAGAAACTGCTAGGCGTGGAGATTCAGGTTGGTGCGCATAGCTCTGTTGAGGATGCACGGGCTACTATGGCGCTGTTCAGGCTGGAGAAAGGCGACTTTGAAAAGGAGGTTCGCCAAAAATATGGGCACGTCAGACTCGAAGCTGCTGCGCCCGATGTGGACGTCGACGTCGCCGGAGATGACGAGGTCAAGCCGAAGAACAAGAACAAGAAGAAAAAAAAGAAGAAGAAGAACTGAAAATGAGGCTGGCGAGTTTGGCAAGTTTGGCGTGCTTATGGAACTGCATTGGGTTTCGGGATGGGCATTTGGATACCCGTCAAAACTTCCCGAGTTTGGCAGGTGTTGTAGGCGACATTTTTTTAGTGTACATCAATCTTAAAAAACTTTCACACTTGATCTTGTTTCCCGGTAAACATAGCTGGTCCCAAGAGACAGGATAGCCCAAGAGACACTCGATGCGACCTCACATTGAGCAAAGGAATTGTGTATATTCTCAATGTCTTGTGTTCGCAAGACTATCGTGTCCGGCTCTTTCGGTCTTTGAATTCACCGCGAGCTTACATAGACTATTGCAGTCGCTATTAATGGCAACCAATACGAAGCAGCCTGTCAGAGAGGCGCAACCAACCGCGCAACCAACCTCACAGCCCCGATCTATCCTCAATGTGTCCCCAAATTGCCCTCAAACCATCAAACAAGCGTCACACTCTTCCTTGATCCTTGAAACGCGCTCCCAGACGTCGACACTACAATCCTGAAACCCCAACGCTCATTTCCCGCGTGATGTCAACGCGCGTATATGACCGAGGCTAAACCACCGACACGCAATCGTTCGAGGCCCGCGCTTCTGCAGCAAAAACCAGCCATCTCCCGCGAGCCGTCGAACGCCACGATCCTCGACTCAACCTACCAATACGTCAATGTCTTCGTTAGCGCCGGACGCATCGCAGTCGCCGGGCGACAAAACGGCGCAACGCAAGGTGTTTGTCCCAGGGCAACCTGCTGCGTCGACTCTCCATCACACCATGCCGTCGCTCACCTCCCGCATCGTCGACCTCGCATCCAACCCAGACCACACGCGATGGATGGTCCCGCTACTGCTCGTCGCGGACGCTGCCCTCTGCGGCTTAATAATAGACAAGATCCCGTGTACGTTGCTCGCTCGAGCCCACGGCCGCCGTTCAGCTTCAGCCAGCCACGGACAAGCCACGTTTGCGTCCATCACGTGCTGACATGATTCGCAGACACGGAAATCGACTGGAAGTCGTATATGGAGCAGATTGCTATTTATCTCAAGGGCGAGAGAGACTACAGGAAAATTGAGGGCGCGACGGGCCCCCTGGTCTATCCGGGCGCACATGTTTGGGTCTTCAAACAACTCTACGCGCTTACGGATGGTGGGGACAACGTACTGCTTGCGCAGTATCTGTTTGCGCTTCTGTATCTTATTACGCTGGCAGTCGTCTTTCAGTGCTATCAAAAGGCAAAGGTACGTCGCGCGATGAGATGATAAAAGGAGTGAATTGACGAAAATAGGTCCCGCCGTATGTCTTCCCGCTACTCGTTCTTTCGAAGCGACTACACAGCATATTCATGCTACGCTGCTTCAACGACTGTTTCGCGTTACTGGGCATGTTTTTGGCAATCTTCTGCTACCAACGGAATCAATGGCATCTTGGGAGCTTCTTCTACAGCACTGGGCTTAACATTAAGATGAGCCTGCTGCTGCCGTTGCCTGCGATTGGCCTCATAATGATTCAGAAGTTGGGAGGGAGAGAAGCAATGACACAGGCTATGATCATGCTCCAGGTCTCGGTGCGTGTGCACTACATTTTATTGCTCCCAACTAAGTACTGACTTTTCGCAAGATTCTCTACGGGTACCCCTTCCGCAAACAATCGCTTTCCTACTTCGCCAAAGCCTTCGAACTCAGCAGGGTCTTCCTCTACAAGTGGACTGTGAACTGGCGCTTCGTCCCTAAATCAACCTTTCTCTCGAAACCCTTCGCTATCGGCCTTTTGCTTGCTCACGTCGGCCTGCTGGTCTGGTTTGCGAAGTCGCGCTGGATAAAGCCCTCCAAACGCTCTCCCCGCCAGTTCATCAAGCTCGCTTTCCCGCAAAAAGAACCCAGAGATCAAGACGAAATGGCGCGCAAAGTGACGCCCGACTTCATCATGACAACCATCCTTACTGCAGTCACAATCGGCATGCTCTGCGCGAGATCATTACACTACCAATTTTACGCCTACATCGCGTGGACAACGCCGTTTCTGCTGTGGAAAGCAGGTTTCCACCCCGTGGTCCAATATGCGCTCTGGGGCGCGCAAGAGTGGGCATGGAATGTGTTTCCAAGTACGCCCGTAAGCTCAGCGACTGTGGTCGTTGTGTTGGCCGTTACAGTTTTGGGTGCATGGTGGGGTACCAAAGGGGAATTTGATCGTGCGGAGGCATTTGAAAACGCTATGGCCGACGACAAGGTCGTGTTGGGGTATGATGAGAAAACTACGATGGGGCGCGCAGTTCTTCAATAGTGGCCTCTGTCCGCTCTCATTCCTCGTCCGAGTCCGCAGGCGGCATTTTCCCCACAGTCGACTCCTCTTCATCGCTGTCGGCGATGTATGTTGATTTTTTGGCGAATTCCTTTGGCCTTTTTGTTACGCGTTGATTAGCATGCTGTGCTACCGAAAAAAAGCACACGATACCCCTTTCTGCGTTAAATAGATAATCATTTCACATACCAATACGCCATCTTCCTCCACGCTTTCTCGTCGCGCACCACGTTCACAATCTCTCCATCTAGCTTGTTCTCCCGGTCTGCCATTGCCGCAGTGTCGACAAGCACGTAACTGCCCCGCTTTATCCAAATTGTGGAGCGGAACTTGGCTTCCAGCTCAACGAGGACTTCTGTCCCATCAGGAAGCTCAGCGTTGTACAGGTTCTTGCCCTCTGCTTTCGTGATGCGGGCAAGAGAGTTACTAGGCGGAAGCGTGTCTGGTGGCGTGAGTGTCGAGTCCATCGTCGCGAGGACGTTGCGCTTTGGTCGCGGCATTTTCGGTTTGGAGGGGTGTGCGGGATGATCGTGGTGGTTGTGGTGCGTTTGTCCAGGGGTAGCGGGGCCAAGGTTCGTTTTTAGCGGGGAATGGGAAGGAGCTGCCAGGCGAGCCAAGACGGGCAATTCGTGCCTGCCAGCACGAGCACGCCGTTCAGTGGTTCACTAACTGACTCATTCAGTGTTTCCACAACGGCATGCGGATTGACGTATATCGACCTGGCCATTGGCTCAGTGTCGATTCGTGTGTCAACGTTGAATTATTCAGCAACGAGCCATTGTGATATCAACCTGGGTTCTTTCCATCTCCCAGACCATACTTCAGCCAACCTTTGTGACCATCAGTAGACGCCCTCGTTACTCACAAGATGCGACATCACGGCCTTTTTGATATCCAGCCTGTCTCTGACATTGCCAGTCCGGAGCCCACACTTCAAAAGAGCAAGGGAAAAGCCCCACAGAGGCTCGAAGATGTGGGTGTGCTGCCGGACAGTGGATTTGAGGACGTGCTAGCTGGAAAGTCTCGAAATATGTCTACAGATCCGGTAACCAATTCCTCAGAGCAAGAGCCGCAAGCATGGCCACAAACGCCAAAGACACCAAATGCGCTTGAGATGAGCCGTCCACCCTCTCCTTCAAGAGAAGAAGCCGTTGGGTTGATACGCATGTGGAACGGCGACCCGATGACTAAATGGAGAATTCTATGCTGCTGTTTGATCTACTTTTCGAACGGGCTGAACGATGCTGGTACGTGGGAGCCCCGGGCCTTCTACAACGATTACAGTCACTGACCCCTCTTCAGTTGTTGGTGCTCTTATTCCGTACATGGAAGTGTACTACCAAGCTTCTCACACGATCATGTCATTGGTCTTTGTCGGGAACGCAGCAGGATTCATTCTCGCCGCATTCTTCACCAACGTCATTCTTGGTCGAATCGGAAGAGCAAAGACACTGATCCTAGCTGAACTGATTCAGCTTTCGGCCTACACCATCCTTGTCTGCACACCTCCTTATGCTCTTGTGGTTATCTCGTATGTCATCAGCTCAATCTTCAGTACTTCGCTGACAACGCTAGCTTCTTCCTTCTGGGCTACGGCGCGGCCATGAACCTAGCACTAAACAACGTGTACTGCGCGAACACACACCCTTCCAGTGTTATTCTCGGCGCGTCTCATGGGGCCTACGGCATTGGAGGTATCATCGCACCCATCATCGGAACTGCTATCGTTTCACGAGGCATCCTATGGTCGCGTTTCTACTTCATCACGATAGGACTACGGTTATGTTGCATTGCTTTCGCCGCCTGGGCATTTTGGTCCTATCAAGAAGACTCGCCGCAAACATTGCTGAATGCTATTGAACTCACAGCTAGTCGTCAACCAGCTGATGAAGATTCCGAGTCCAAATCAAAGGATCTGAAGCTTGCATTGAAGAACAAGGTAACCATCTTCGGCGCTTTGTTCATTTTCGCCTATCAAGGGGCAGAAGTGGCCATATCGGGCTGGTTCATTTCGTACTTGATCAATTATCGAGATGGTGACCCAGCAAAGGTCGGTTATGTGACAGCTGGCTTCTGGGTAAGTTGTGGTACCTCTACGTTCTGCAGTTGAGATTCTAATACCAATACAGGGTGGTATTACCGTTGGCCGTTTCGTTCTCACTCATGCTGCGCCTAAGATAGGCGAACGATGGTTCGTTGTCGGTCTCACACTAGGAACCGTGGTCCTCCAGCTCCTGGCCTGGTTGACCCCCAACATCATCGGCAATGCCGTTGCAGTGTGCCTTCTGGGTCTACTGCTTGGTCCTGTTTATCCATGTGCGCAGACGGTTTTCTCACGCTCCATGCCACGCCACATCCAAACGACAGCCATTGGCTTCATTGGTGGTGCGGGAAGCTCTGGAGGGGCTGTAGCCCCGTTTACAACTGGTATTCTTGCTCAGGCTGCTGGTACATGGGTGCTTCACCCTGTTTGCCTTGGGCTTTATGGCGCTATGCTCGCTTGCTGGTTTGCGTTGCCGAAGGTTCACAAGCGAACTGAGTAGATTCGCCAACGAAGTATGGACTCGGTCTTGGGTACGAGTAGGCGCGAGGCCTAACTATGAGCCGATGGGCTTGCTGAGGAGAACATGACGTCATGCGTCGTGATAACGGAGTCCACGCGCGCCGAGCTGTCCATGTCAACATGTAAGACAGCATATATAAATAGTACCCAAGTTTTCCCATATTCCCAGCTCAGCATACCAAGTCATCCTTTCTTAAGAACAGAGTCGATCAACTTCCACCACCACAGCAAACACCCTGAAACCACAATGTCCGCAATCCAAGCCCTCCAAATCCTCAGCATCTCCACCGCCCTCCTAGCCTCCGGCGGCATAGCAAGCCTCTCCCTCTTTGACGTGCCCCTCATGCGCTCCCAACCAGCCTCCCGCTCCCTCCCCATGATACGCTGGCTCTTCAGCCGCGGCTCCCATATCTTCCCCACAGCCGCTTTCATCTCCTCAACCGGCTTCGCCTACCTCGCCTACGCCTCCCTCCCCCCTACAACCCTCACACTCTCAACCCTGCTCCAACACGCTACAAAGGGAAAACCCGCCCTCTACCTCGCCGCCGCAGTCCTCACTATCTCCATTGCGCCATGGTCCACGCGCGTCATGGTCCCTACGAACTTCGAGCTCATCAAGCGGAACGAGGAGTATGGCGGGACGAGGAGCGCTGCGTCGGCGGAGTACCGTGCGCGGAAGGGGTTTGGACTGCGGAATACGGAGGAGTCGGTGGATGGGAAGGAGGATGTTAGTCAGTGGACGGATTTTAGTGGGCCGATGGAGAAGACGCGGAGGGATACGGGGGAGAGGGAAGATAGGGAGGTTGGGGAGTTGTTGGAGAGGTTTGGATGGATGAATGGGGTTAGGGCGGTGTTGATGGGTGTTGGTGGGATTGTGGGGTTGGCTGGGGCGTTGGCTTGAGGATGGTAGGGGGGCTTTGTACTGGGGTGTACTTTCGTTCAGGGGCTGGACTTGGATAGTGTGACAGTGGTCTTTTCAGGCGCCATATGAGGGAGGCTTGTCAACAGTTCACCCGTTGTCTTACAGTACAATCTAGCCGCAGAACCCCGAAGAAACACATAAGCTAAACAATCTAGAGCATACTATACTCTACCTCTCGCAATATCTGCCAGAGGCTCTGTCAAGGCTAGATGAGTGTGATGATAGAAAGAAGGCCTGTTTGTTCTGCTACAATTCCGCGGTACTGCAGTACGTCTTGTTCGTTGAGCTGCTGTTCTTAGTCAAGTGTGAGTACCGAAACTAAGTTGCAGTAAAATTTTGTAACAGTCTGACAACTACATTCAACATCGGAATAGAAGTTGTGTGCCTTAGTTCTTAGAAAACATGCCAAACATGCCGTTGACATTTTATTATTGTGGTGTTGCTGCTTATAGAACCCATCGAGAACACAGCTTATATACTACTTTTACACTTAATAGAGAGTCCGATGTCTCAAGTTTTCCCTTGAGCACGTTGCTTCAGTTTTAACCTGAATTGGTCAGGATTTGGTTACGTTTAGGAAACCAAAACATACCTGAGGAGCGGAGCTTTGGGACAGCTCACGCAACTTGCACTATCTCCCTTTTCCTGGTAAAATGCGTTACAGCATTCATATAAAGCGTCAACCTGCTGCATGTCAGACTCGTTTTGGCAGACATTGCGCGAATAGACAAACCTCTTTTCGACACTTTTCTTCGTTGTAGTTGTTCTTCTGTATGCAGTCTACGTACTTGGCTTAACTGGCTGCATGGGTGTGTTGAGCAGTATCTCGACTTACTTTGAATCGCACATGCTCGTGGGTGACACGGAGGATCGGTCTTGAGGTCTTTTTCCAAATCTCCCTTGGTTGATGGTCAATCGATGTCGCGATAGTGAGAAATCAAGTACATACCATGATGAACCACGTGAACAGGCGCAACGCTCAAGAATTGCTCGATGCACGCTTAACTATTTCTGACAATTGTGATCAGCGGTGATAGCGCAATTCTCGCAGGTGAAGGTGAGGCTGGACCAAAGTAAAGGTGAAATGTGTAGGCCAGGAATGGCCAATGCGTAGGTAGCCCCACTAATCCTCACGCTCTTCCGCTGCAGCAACTCACTTACTCGCTCTTTCTGTTCTCTCGCCTTCTCGCGTTTGCCACCGGTCTAGCAACGAGTTTCTACGCGTCTGCGCGAGTCTGCCATCCTTTTCCCTTACCTGACGTGATTTGCAATTCAACCGCCGGCCAGAATCCACTCAAGCAGCACAACATAAAAGCAACATCTCCGCGCCCACAGTCCGTTTTCCTCTACTCTCACCTGCTTTCCACTCCGATTAACGCTTCCCAGTAGCAGCTCTCGCGCTCGCACACATACAAACCACCTCCACAGCACACAAACCGCCTCGAACAAAGCCAGGATGTCTGACAACGGTTCGCCCAACGTCCAGCAGAAGCCGGAGGATGCGGGTGCGTCCGAACACCTTAACATTAAGGTCACGGACAACAACAACGAGGTGTTTTTCAAGATCAAGCGCAGCACCGCCCTCGGCAAGCTCATGAACGCCTTTTGCGATCGACAGGGAAAGAACATCAACAGTGTGCGATTCCTATTTGACGGCCAGCGCGTGACAGCGCAAGACAACCCAGACACGGTACGTGCGGCGCGGAACCCCCCGCCTAGGTTTTCGGGGGGTTTCGATATCTTGCTCGATGCGTTGCTAACACTACACAGCTCGACATGCAGGACGGCGACACACTCGAAGTGCACCAGGAGCAGATTGGCGGCGCATGGTAGCCAAGTGTGTGACGCTTGGAGCCGTCCCCTCGCCGCACCCGCCATAACGGCAACCCTTAGCATCGACGCTACACTCTCCCACCTCACGGCTACGCGAAACGACGATGAATACCCTTGGTTTTAGCGACGTTGAAGAAGGCATACAGAGGAGGAGTTTCTACTTGTGATATGCACATCTCGGTTTCTGGCGTCAAGGAATCATCAGGCTCGCTTTGGGCGGTGCCGTTTGTGCTTTCATATAGTTTCTCACGGACGCCGTATGCGATTGAATTTCATTTCATACCAATCAACACCTTGCACGAGAAGACTTGCTCTGGTTAGTTGGATATTAATGTGCTGGAAAGTCTTTTGTCTTGTTACAATACCGAGACATCTTGCTGGAAAACGCAGTGAGACAGGATCTACAGCTTTACACCCAACGACACGTATAATTTTTCTACATCATACTGTCGACTCTGCAAACCACAAAGCAATACACACAACCTGATCCAAGCAAGCATCATTGACCCAATAACGCTACATCCCAGCTCCCCCATCCCCAACCCAATATACAAGTCCAAATAATATACACCCACACCCACACCCACACCGCTAATCATCCCAAACAGCCTTCTTCCTCAGCTCCGTAGCCTCCGCCTCCCTCTTCTCCCGCTCCTTCTCCTCCCCCCTCCTCCTCCTCTCCTTCTCCCTAACCGCACGATCAAACTCCTTCTCCTCCTCGCTCCGCTTCGGCGCCCGCACCCCCAGCGCCCCCGCTATCATCCGCCCCGCAACCGCCGTCGTCTTCTCAGGCCGCTTATCCAGCCCGCCGCGCGCCGCACCCGCGTCCCTATCGCGCGACCCCGCGGCGTAGGGCGAGTTGTCCGGGAAGTCGAATGCGGGCGGCGACGCGGGGGTTGGTGGTGGGGGGTCGGGCCCGTCGCTTGCGGTGGGCGAGAGCGCGGTTGCGGACCCGGCGCGCGGCGGGGAGGATTCTCGCTCCGTGTCGGAGCCGGAGTTGTCGTCCCAGCTGTCTGCTACCGGCTTGGATTTTGGCTTGTGTGCGGGCTTTTGGGGCGCGGTGGTGCTGAGCTTGAGGTGCGTGAGGGTGCTTGCTATTTCTGGGGGGTGTTGTTAGCTTTGGGTGAGTTGCTGGGGAGGGGCGTTGGAAGGGTTGGAGATGTGGGATTGGGAGGTGGTGGGGTACCTTCTTCGCTGGGGGTCTTGTCTATGCTCGCCATGTTTAATGTCTTTGTGTGTGGTCGTGTGCGTTTGTTTGTTTGTTGGCAGATAGCTGGGGAGCAGGGGAGCGAGCTGTGAAGCGTGTTTTGCGGGGTTTTACAATGGAGCTTCTTGTTGGGAGCAACGAGAAATGCGGGGAAAGCGAACAGGAGATCTCAATTGATATATATGTCAAACAACAAAGCCTCTCCTTTCCAACAATTTCAGAAAAGGCGCTCGAATGTCTTTTTGTAAGGATTTTTTTTCACGTCTCAGGGGATGGCCTGAGCAGCAGCATCATCATCTATATTTACCCTCGCACTGGCCTGTGACGTGAAACGACTTTGTATGGAGTCGCCGCACGCACACTACACACTACACACGCATATCACGCCGATTCCCTGCAGCAAGTGTGGGGAAGGGTGCGCGTCATGGGTCCGAGGGTCCTGGGCAACGTCAGATCGACTTGTTACTTGTCGTTTTCTTGCTAGGGAGCCGAAGTCCGCCGTGGCTTCTAGACTTCTTGGGTTTGGGGGCTTGGGAAGGAAATTTTGGTAGAGGGTGGAGTTGTGGGGTTTCAATGGGAACGCGGTGGTGGTCTGTGTTGGGGATTGCGTGGTTTTGGTGTTGGTTGGGATGGGGTTAAACAGGTTGCTGGATGTAGATGGGGCATGTGGATAGGGTTGGATATCACCGATGTGTTGAACGGGAGGGGCGTGGGGGCGGTGTGTTTGTTTTGAAGATGGGTTCCCTTATGGGAATACTCACGTCGAATTGCGAGGGTTGAGGTAAGAACAAAGGCCATACAGGTACCTCGGTGCAGACGAATATTGAAGCTGTCGATGTTGAGATCTCTAAGCCTGTTTTACTCGCGACTATGTGAGGAAGTAACTACCAAGTCTCCATCATGTTCCATCGAACAAACTTGCTTGTCCATCGCTGGAGTTTCTTTCGTCTACCAATTTCACGAGTACAGTGCATGGCGAGTTCCCGAGGACAAAAGTTATGAGGGGCACAAGTTCGGTTACTTGGAAGTAGCCGTTCTTCCCTCCCCCGGTTATTTCCAGAACATCCCGACGTCGTAGTTACAAGACTTCCGCAAGCTCACATAAACCACCAACCGACATAGACAATAGACAGATACACTCACAGGGTCGGGTCATCATCGAATTTCAGCGTTGTCGATTGGACCTGAGCCAGGGTTGCGGAACAAACCTACATATCGTCCCATTGCATATACCCAATTCCATATCTTTCAATTCTACCCAGAGTTTGAAGCTCTCCTAATTTATCATGCTCCCCCAACGAACGCGCTGCCTCAGCAGCAAGATCCTCAAAACCCAATCCCTCCATCGCCTACCCCAAGCCGCCTTCTCCACAACATCAAGACGCAACGGCTACGACGACACAATCCAGAACCTGAGAATCGGCGCAAACACACGCGTCATCTTCCAAGGGTTCACCGGCAAACTAGCCACCGCGAATGCAAAAGAGTCGATTGAATGGGGCACGAATGTTGTCGGTGGAGTGAAACCTGGTGGTTCAGGCGAGCATCTGGGGCTGCCTGTCCTGCCGTCTGTGAGAGCAGCCATGGAGCAGTTGAAGCCTGATGTGACGGGGATTTACGTGGCGGCACATCAAGCGGCTGCTGCTATTGAGGAGGCGGTTGAGGCTGAGGTCCCGCTCATTGTTGCGGTCGCGGAGCATATTCCGCTGCATGATATCATGAGGGTGAGTGGGACGAATGCAGAAGGGAATAGAGATGCCATGGTCGCTAATAATGGGATAGATACATTCTATGCTACAATCGCAATCTAAATCGCGACTTGTAGGAGCCAACGCACCTGGCATAATATCTGCGATCGGGCGCTGCAGAGTCGGCTTTCAACCTTTGCCTACTTTCTCTCCCGGTCACATCGGTATTGTGGCTAAATCAGGTACTTTGTCATACGAAACTGTAGGTTCTTTGACAAGATCTGGACTGGGTCAGAGCCTGTGTATTGCTGTGGGCGGCGATGTAATTGCAGGGACGAACTTTGTAGACGCGCTGAAGGTTTTTGAGCAAGACGAAGACACAGAAGCCATCATCCTTGTGGGTGAGGTAGGAGGAACAACAGAAGAAGAAGCAGCGGAATGGATCAAAGACTACAAAAAGCGCGTCAAGAACCCGAAACCTATCGCTGCCGTCGTGGGGGGTTTCCAAGCGGTACCGGGCAAAGTCATGGGCCATGCTGGCGCGTGGACGGGCTTGGGAGAGGGAACCGCAGAGTCAAAGTACAAGGCTCTGGAGAGCGTCGGTGTGACTATGGTCGACCATCCGGCGAAGTTTGGCGGTGTCATGAAGAGTATCCTCGCAAAGTCTGGTCGAGACGTGAGGAAGATAGTAAGTCCTTGACCTAGAATCGACTCTACAACAAAACTGACATGGAGAAAAGGAGCAATCAGCGGCCCAGGCACAGCAACGCCGCTCATACCACACATCACGCTCCTCTCATCGCCCTCTCGCATCCTCCGCTGTATCCACACCTTTCCAGCAAAAGCGCGGCCTCCACCTCACACCAGACCAATCCTCCACCCTCCTCAAAACCTACAATATCGACATAACAGATCCACCCCAATCCCCACCTTCAACACACTACATCGGCATCTCCCCCGCACGCTCCGCCCGCTCGCCATCCATAATCGCCGCCCCAACCGCCAACCCATCCCACCTCCACCACCGCGTCCGCCGCTTCCCCTTCGACTACCGCGCCGGCCCAACACCCGAAGCCATCCGCGCCGCAATCGCCCACCTACAACTCGACGCCCTCCCGCCCAAAGCCGCCGCGCAAACCACCGCGCTAATAAAAAACCTCTGGGCCCTCTACCGCGACAAAGAAGCAATCGACGCACACGTCAGCCTCGCCCTATCCCCCATAGAAGACGCCTTGCACGTCTACAACCCGTACCTCGTCTTCGACGACGCAGCCTTCAAGTCCAACAAGCGCCATGCCGACCTGCACGCTCTACGCGACACATCGCTTATCCCCGCCGTGGAGCTCGAAGCAGAGGAGAGCGGGATAGTGTACCACACACTGCCCTCTCCCGCCTCCTCCCCGCAGCCCAAAAACCTAATCGGCACGCTAGTAAACGGCGCCGGGCTAGCCATGAACGTCAACGACGTCCTCGCCCTGCGCCTCCTGCCCTCCACTACCTCAGCGAATTTCCTCGACACAGGCGGCAAAGCGACGGCCCGCACGATTGCCACATCGTTCAAACTGATCCTGGCGGACCCGCGTGTGAGCGTCGTGTTTGTGAATATCTTCGGTGGGTTGACGCTGGGGGATATGATTGCCGAGGGGATTGTGCTGGCGTTCAGGGAGGTGGGGGTGCGGAAGCCAGTTGTGGTTAGGATTAAGGGGACGAATGAGGTGGAGGGGAGGAGGATATTGAGGGAGGCCGGGCTGCCGATTGAGGCGTTTGATGGGTTTGAGGAGGCGGTGGGGAGGGTGGGGGAACTTGCTGCTGAGGCTGCTGCTGTGGTTGCTGAGGGGGAGGGGGAGTGATGGGGTTGGATGGAATACACTGGATTAGGATGTTGGCTGTGTATAAAGCAGCAACATGGAAGGACAAACACCCCACCATAATCTTTACGTTTCACATCTTTCTCTGCTTGTTCAGGACTGCTTGTAGCCATCTAATTCAATTCAGTTCGGTACAGTCTATACACTTATGTCCTAAATCCTACAACCCAGTCGTGACAACCACATGCGCCTACTCTAGAAGTCTCACACCCAAATGTCCAGCCAACAATATACATCTAGCGCAAATTCTCGACTGTCAAGTATCTTCTTTCCCTCCCCCCTCTCTCCTTCCTCCCTATCTTCATACTTCCACACATACCCAAGCGCCACCACTATCAATCCCTATACATCTAGATAGCCACACTCCCAAGGAAAGGTACATCATGATTGTATGTTGATTTCTGGCTACCTACCTACCTACCTACCTATCTACTATACACGTCCAACCCCC